AGAAAACTCCTTTCACCGGCATGAGTAGAAAGCACAACGGGAAAGGCTAAAGTTTTAAAGAGGATTGGACCGGCCCCGGGGTTCGTTCACTCAGTTCGGATCGATTTCAAGTCTGGTCCGGCCCGGAGGACCATAAAAGCAAAACATTCGTTTTCGTTTGAAGTTCATTTGTGAAAAGTTGAGAGAGACTGGGTAACATTTGATAAGTGAACTTGGCCAAAGGGATGATTAAACATGAGACAAAAATAGAAATAGAGAAAAGAGCAAGTATGAGACGCACATAGAGAAAGGATAGAGAAGAGAGTGCGAGAGAATGAAACAATAAAAGAAATAGAGAAAAACGAAACGGAGACCATAATAAAAATGTAGCATAGAAAGAAAAAACGGGAGAAAATAAAGAAAAAGAGAACAAAGTGAGTGAGGCAGAGAGAAAGAAATTAAGAAAGTTAGTAAATAGAGTTCGAAAATGAAGAGAGAGACAGAGAGAAAGAGAGGGAGAGAGTGAGAGGGAGAGTAAAGAGTGATACGGCAGGAAGAAAGAAATAACTTTACAAAACAAAGATTAAAGTAATAGAGAAGAAGTAAAGAGTAGAGCAAGAAAAAAATATATAGAGAAAAATAACAAAAAGAGAAAAGGGTGATAAGGGCAAAAAGAAATAATTTAACACATAGAGGAAACAGAAAGAGATAAAATAAAATAATAGAGAATAATGCAAGAATAGAGAAAGAAAAGATCAATATAGAAAAATAACAAAAACAGGAAAAAGTAAAAGAGGCAGATAGTAAGAAATAATAATATAAAAAAAGAAAAAGTGGAATAAATTAATTGACAAAAAATGCGTGAAAGAAAATAATATAGAAAAATAATAAAAGAAGAAGATAATGATAGAGAGAAGGAAAGAAATAACAACACAGAAAAAAGAGAGAGGAATCAATTGATTAAAAAAATCGTGTGTAAAGAAAGAAAAAAAGTAATATAGAAAAATACCAAAAAGAGGAGAAAATAAAAGGAATAGACAGTAAGAAATTAGTTAATAAGCAGAGAAAAAAGAATGAGTGTAATAAATTAATAGGGAAAAAAAATTGTGAGTAGAGAAAGAAAAAATAATATTGAAATACAGCAAAACGAGAAGAGAGAAAAAGAGGCAGAAGGAATGGAATAACTTAACAAGCAGATAAAAAAGATAGTGGAATAAATTGAAAGAGAAAAAAATTAGTAAGTTAAAAAAGAAAAAATATAATATAAAAAAATTACAAAACGAGAAGAAGTGTGATACAGGTAAAATAAATAAGTTAACGAACAGGGAGAAAAGAAAGAGAGGAATAAAATAATACTACTAATTTCCTGATACAAGCTTCTTTCCTGGTATCCTAATAACAACAAGCTCCTGTTTAACCGATTTTATCCTGATACAATTTCTGCCCCACAGGAGCTCAAAGCAAAAGAACAAAAAATATTTTGCCTCCTAATTTTCTAGTACAAGCTCCTTTCCTGGACTGTTTCTAACGACAAGCTCCTACCCGTAACTCCTGTCATCCTGATAGAGTTTCTGCCCGATAGGAGCTCGTAGCAAAAGAATAACAAATATTTAAGTTTCTTCTCTTCTGATACACGCTCCTGTCCTTAACTGTTAGCATCCTGATTCAATTTCTGCCCCACAGGAGCTCATAGCAAAAGGAGAAAAAATATTTTTGCCTCCTAACCTTCTAGTACAAACTCCTTTCGTGACTATTTCTAACAACAAGCTCCTGTCCGTAACTCCTGTTATCCTGACAAAATTCCCGCCTCACAGGAACTCATAACAAAAAACAAAAAGAACATTTGAGCCTTCTAAATTCTTGAGGCTTTTGTTATCTACAAACACCTGTCTTTAACACCTTGTATCTATTCTTCTACGTTGGAGCTCTTAGAACGAAAAGAAACAACATGATAAGAAGAAAATAAAAAAATAACTGGAAGATAAGTCATACGTTCCGACCACATGCACATTAGCATAATTGGAGCGCCGTGAATATTTCACCCTCTTTCAAAAGACGTCTTTTTAATTAATTGTGTATTTATTTTATGATCGTGTTGGGTGTGTGTGTTTATTTTCATATGTGAGTGTAAATTGAGATATTAGGGTGTAGATTTTTACAGGAGGGGTGTAATGTTTCTTTCTTCTTGTGTTGGTTTATTTATTTATTTATTTATTTTAATTGTTATTGTTTTTTTCGTCCAGGAAAGCACACAAGTTTGTAACCCGTTCCGCCAGGGGCACCGAGCCCACCCCCGGACGCCGAATCGATCTCGTGCCCATGCGCACGGCTAGTGTCGATTCGGCATCGGCCAACTCGGTTGTATTTTTTTTTAATTTCCAAAACCCCGTGAAGTTTTTCCCGAGGATTTTCACCGAGTCTTACCACAGTTTTCCAACGGCGGGTACCCTCGCCTCGGCCCATGTCGGGGCGCGCTGCGAGTCGGGGCCCGGAGCCTCGGCAGTCGGCGGTTCCGTGAAAAGTCAGGTATCTATTTTTTTTTTTAAATCCCTTAACGACTTCATTTTAAGTCATTAAAGGGCTGAAATGTATCTTTCAACCCAATAGATACTAGGTAAAAACTGAAAAACACATAGACACTATGTGTTTTATAGTGATCCTTTCACTAAACAGAACGACCGTCCACACCTCAGGCTAAACCAGATTCATTTCAAAAACCAATTTTCCAACCTTACCCTTTTCTTCCGGAGGGAAAAAACGAAAACTTCTCTAATTAAATTCCGATATTTTGCCCTAAGTCCCGCGGGACTTCTTCTTCCCATCCCCTGGCCGCTATTCTTCCTCAAGACCGTGGAATTCCTAGGATTCTCGAAAAAGTTCCGGCCGGGGAAAGTTTTTTTATTAACTGCCTTTAAACCGCCCCACCCCCACGAGAATATAACCGGAAGTTGGAAGCGGAATTTCAAAAGGCGCTTTCTTGGCGATGTAGGTCCGACAGGATAAGTTCTCAAAACCAGCCAACAAGGACGGAATTCTCATAAAATTGACCGCAAAAACAAATTCGACTTGGCCAACGTTCATCGTAGAGAGAACATGTAAAAAGAAAAATATCCGCCCCGGAGGACCAAAGCAGTAGCATAAACTTCTCCCTACACAATAGTTTCATGCCTGTTGACTGTATGAATTTTTTTTTATATATTAAGTGTGAAAGCCTTCACTCTCACATTCCTTCAGCCAGGAAGTTTTATTTTAAAAGGACAAAATATTTGTGGTCCTCCGGGACGGTCTAATTTCCAATACTTTTTGTACTGTTATAAAAATAAAATTCTATAAAATTGGCTGTAAAAACTAGTCCGACCTGTACAATTATGAATTGTAAAAGAAAAAGCGAAAAAAATACGGCCCGGAGGACCAAAACAACATGAACACATTCCACCTTTCTACACAGTAGTGCACACCTATTGACTATGTTGGTAGACTAAACCTTTTTTTTTAACGTGAAAACTTTTTATCTCTAACCTTCAGCCAGAGGGTTTTATTTTAAAAGAAAAATATATTTGTGGTCCTCCGGGCCGGGTTTATTTCCAATATGGTGTTTTTTATAATCTATACAAAATTAAAAGTCATAAAATTGGTCGAAAAAACTAATCCCGCCAGGACAATTATGAATTGTAGAGGGCAAACCTAATAAGAAAGAGATCCAGCCCGGAGGACCAAAATCAACGAAAACACCTTCCAACATAATAGACCCACTCACACCTATTAACTTCATAAATTAAAAAAATTAAAATATAAGTGTGAAAGCCTTCAATCTTTTTTTTTCTTCGGGTAGGGAGTTTTATTTTAAAAGGACAAAACATTTGTGGTCCTCCAGAACGTACTAATTTCCAATATTTTTTTGTAATGTTATAAAAATAAAATACTATAAAATCCGACTTGCACATTTATGAATTGTAAAGGAAAAAGCGAAAAATGAAAAATATCCGTCCCGGAGGACCAAAACAACATAAACACATTCCACCTTCCTATACAGTAGTCATACACCTATTGACTATATAAATAAAACCTTTTTCTGTTTTAATTTAAGAGTGAAAACCTTTCGTCTCTATCCTTCAGCCAGGGAGTTTTATTTCAAAAGAAAAATACGTTTGTAGTTCTCCGGGCTTGGTTGATTTTCAGTATGGTATTTTTTATAATCTATACTAAATTAAAGATCATAAAATTGGTTGAAAAAACTAATCCTGCCAGAGCAATTATGAATTGCAGGGGAAACCCGAAGAAGAAAAGTAGCCAGCCCGGAGGACCAAAATCAAAGGAAAACACCTTCCAACACAATAGACCCACTCACACCTATTAACTTCATAAATGAAAAAAATTAAAATATAAGTGTGAAAGCCACTGATCTCTTTCTATCCTTCAGCCATCTCTCGTAGTCTGGGGCCGGATTAACTTCAAATCTTTCTTATTTACATAGCAATGGTATCTACAAGTTTATTTGAAGATTTTATTTTTGTTCTTAATTACAATTCGTTAACTTATATAATTGTTTTTGTACTGGGGAAAAATCACTTTATCTATGGTCCTCCGAGGTGCCGGACCACCTTCTCTCACCGTCTAATTTCCATCGGACAATCGTAAATTAGAATCCGTCGTATGCCGACAGTCAACACGGTCCAGAAATTATTCAAATCGCACTTGTTGATTGAAGCCGGATGGGGGGAAGGGTAAATTTTAATGAATTTACGCCACGACTGTCGACCTTTATTGTCATCAACCTGAACGAGTTTCTCTTTGGGTGCTATGTTTCGTTATGAACAGATTTGATTCGACTGTGGGATTTGGTTGGGTAGCAACTGCCAATTGATTTAGCTAGGTCATGGGGTCATGGGTCGTATAGCCTGAGTGTGACGGTACCGATATTTCGGCCTATCGGTGTGATGTTCTCTGATGCCAGGAAGCCATGATGCTCATCTTACTCTTGGGTCTGCTGTCGTCAACGACCGGTTGCTACCTGCCCGCAGGCGGCACGGACGGAGGCCCGTGCGAGCTGACGAAATGCGGCCCGGGCGAGAGCTGCGTCGTATCGAGGGACGGCACGTCGGCCGAGTGCAAGTGCCCGACCTCGTGTCCCGACTACGGCGATCACTCGGGGAGCAGGCCGGTCTGCGGATCGGACGGTGTCGACTACAAGGACATCTGCTCCATCAACATGGCCAAGTGTTCGTCCAAGGAGAGAACCGGGATTGAGCTCAAGTACCAGGGACCTTGCGGTAAGAAGCGTGCACCGTTGCATACCTGCCAGTAGCTCCCTCGTCCAAACCTGTAGACCACCCCCTGCATGCTCACTTGAAGCAAAAAAACCTTTGCCTACTTTCTGCATGTAGTGAAAAACGTAGAGTATTCAGCAAGCACGTTATACCGAACCAGAGACAAAAATGTCTCGATTTTTTGTATGGCATGATGCACACCTTAGGTTGTGATTTCTGTTATTTTTCTCCCTCTCATTTTCCTTCCTTACCATCTCTTTTTCTTACCTGTATATTCACTTTTCTCTCTTTCATTACCCATCGCCACTTTATATCTTTTTCTTGCTTCCATGTCCATTTCGTTCCTCTTTCCCAATCTCCTCTTTATCCATCTCTCTTTCTTACTTCTATCTTATTCCCTCTCTTTCCCCATCTCCTCTTTATTTTCTCTTTTACTTACATCTATCTTCATTTCATTCCCCCATCTCCTCTTTACCTCTCTCTTTTTCTAACCTCTATCTCCATTTCTTTCTCTTTCTTCGTCTCCTTTTCTTTTCTATCTCCTTTCACCTATATCCATTTCTTTCTCTTTCTTTCCCCATCTCGTCTTTATCCTATCTCTTTTCTTTACGTCTATATTTATTTATTTATTTCTCCTTATTTTTCCTTTTATCTCCTTTTTCTTAACCCTATCTATATTTCTTTCTCTTTCCCCATCTTGTGTTTATCCTATCTGTTTTATTACTTCTAACTCCATTTCTTTCTCTTTTTTTCATTACCTCCTTTTATCTGTGTTTTTCTTTCGTCCAAATCCATTTCTTTCTCTTTCTTTCCCTATCTTCTGTTTATCCCAACTGTTTTTTCTCTTTCCCTCCCCACCTCTCCTTTATCTATTTTTTCTTTCGTCGTTATCTATTTTTTATGTCCTTTTTCTTTATTTTTCTTTCTTCTGCTCCTTTTCCTTTCTATTCATCTCCTTCTCTCCCCTCCATCTCCATTTTTTTCTCTCTTTCCCCATCTATCCCGTTTTGTTACTTCTATCTCCATTTTTTATGTCCTTTTTCTTTATTTTTCTTTCTTCTGCTCGTTTTCCTTTTTATTCATCTCTTTCTCTCCCCTCCATCTCCATTTCTTTCTCGTTCTTTCTCCCTCTTCTGTGATGTATCTATTTTTTCTTACGCCTATCTCCATCTATATCTCTTTCTTTTTTCTTCACGTTCATCTCTTTCTCTCACCTTCATCTCCATTTTTTCTCTTTCTTTGCCCCTCTCCTTTTCATGTATAACTGTTTTCTATCTCCATTTATATCTATTTCTTTTTCTCTCTTCTTTTCCTTTCTGCCCATTTCATTTTCTTGCCTCTATATTTCCTCCCTATCTTCCTCCCGTTTTCCTTATTATCCATCTATTTTTTGCGTGTATCTCCATTTCTTTCTCTTTTTAACTTCCATTCATCTTTTCTTTCTATGGACCAATAAACTACGAATTCTATACCTTTCTTCTCCACTCTCACTCTCTCTCTCTCTCTCTCTCTCTCTCTCTCTCTCTCTCTCTCTTCCTCTCTCCCTCTCTCCCTCTCTCTCTCCCTCTCTCTCTCCCTCTCTCCCTCCCTCTCTCTCTCATTCCATCTCTCCTCTCTTCTTACATTTTACATCATTTTTTCACCATCATCGCCCTCGTCAGCTTTTCCTCTTCTTGGATTTTTGTCTTGGTTGTGATTAATTTTCCTTTCAGGCCCAAACGAGTAAACTTACGACTTACGACGTTTAAATTTAATGTTGCGGATCGACGAGGGGAAGGGAATTTGATTTTATCGCCGGACTTTACCCCACCTATTTGACTTATTGGTCGCATATTACAAACTTCAGTGCGCCGTGTCGCTTTATAAGCGATGCAACTTTGCACGGCGGTGCTTCGATTTTAATGCTATTGCCGTGTTAGACAGTGGAGGCTTAAATTTCTATAAGCCCCTTTAGGGGAAGGTCCCAGATAAAATTTATTAGTACTTGTACAATGGGCAATACGAATGGAAAAGGAATCTACTTTTGGTTTGTTTTTTCCTCTCCCTGGGGATCTTCAAAAGACTTTGTTTTCTTAAAGTCCGTTATCGTCCAGCTCCAGCCCCCGGCTTGTCTTTTACCCCTTAAGGCCGGTTTTCAATCAACGAGGATCAAGCCCCTGCTAAGTCGGATTGACGCAAGGGATTATCCGGTAATCTCTTGCAGGTATGATCCGGCTGAACGATGCCCGGGGCGAATGTTTGCAAAGCGGATTTCCCTAATTTCACATCGGGGGATGTTTTCCCCGCTGGGGGGGTCCGTGCGGTTTCGCTCCGTATCAATCAATCCGTCACGACTGTCAGCCCTGCCAGCATCACTCGTCTCTAACTGCACAGGCAATTAACTCGAGGTTCATCTCCTTTTCTTCATTTCCACCCCGGCTCGCGGGATGCAGGGAGGAAGAAAAAAGTGGAAGGGTTTTTCATCGGGGTGGAAGCGTGACCCATTTTAACCCCTGTAGACAATCCTATCGATTTGTTTTTACAGGCCAGCCTTTAATTTCCCCTGACGTGTTATCGTGTAGGAAGCGCACACCCTTCAAGAAAAAGTTATTATGAAAAAAAAACTGTCGGCAGTTTTTCCCCTCGTGGAAAAGCGCCAGGGACTTATCGGGCTGACGGAGCGCTAAATTTAAAACTTATACGGATGTGGAACCAGCGAGGATGGACGGGCCCCGAGAAAAGGTTGTCCGTGACTTACATGCGTTTTTCTTTTGTTTCAGATCCCTGCGCCGGTGTCGTCTGCCCGGGAGGCGAGGTGTGCCTCGTCACGGAAGGTCGGGTCCCGAGGTGTTCCTGCCCCGAGATGTGCCCGATGCAGGAGTCTCCTGTCTGCGCCACGGATGGTCAGACGTACTCGAACGAGTGCTACATGCGTCTCGAAGCGTGTAGAACTAGGAAGCACCTTCTCGTCATGTATAGAGACACCTGCTCCTCAGGTAAAAGCAAATTGTTCAAAACAAACCTCCCTTCTAAACCTCTTTTAGGGCTTTTTATAAGCGGCTTTACACCCGCCCCCCAATCACCACTTGCAATTTTCCCTTTCGCTCTCTAGGACGGACTTTTCAATAGGTAATCTGTGAAGTACGCCAGAACTTGACAGAGCGACATGTAGAGTTATATCCGTGTCATAGATTGGATTCACAAATTATCCATGTCCAGATTCGATGGAGGGAAAAATCAGTGAAGTCACAAGACAAAAAATAAAGCTAGTCGCAACCCTCATCAAAAACCCCCACGGGAAAGGGAAAAATCTGTAACATCTCAAGGAAAAATAAGGGTAGTTACAATCCTTAACAAACACAAGGGTGAAAGGATAAAATCGATGATAACAAGACAAAAAGTAATGGTGTTCACAACTATCATCAAACGTTATGGTGGTTGAAAAAAACTAGTGACGTTACAAGACAAAAATTAATGATGGTCATAACCATCATCAAACCCATGATGGGTGAAAAAACTAGTGACATCACATGAAAAATTAAAGATCGTCACAACCATCACTAAACCCCATGATGGTTGAAAAAATCAGTGACGTCACATAAAAAATTAAAGGTCGTCACAACCTTCATCAAACCCCATGAGGGTAGAAACGTCAGTGACGTTACACGACAAAATAAGAATGGTTACAAACGTCGTCAAACCCCATGGGGGTCATTACCCGTCTGACCAAACTAGCAGTGGTGGTGGGAGGCGGATTTACATGTCTGATGGTGGGGGTATTTATGTAGAGGATGAGTGGGAATAAAAACTACCCCAAGTGCCAACATATCTTCTGACATCAGTCAAATGGCCGTGACATAGGCGAAATATATGGTGATGTGGTCAAATGGTTGTGACGTTTAAGGGATTCCATGTGATGACGTAGCCAATAGTAGTAACTTTGATAGGCCCCCATATTATTGCGTCATTGCAAGATATAGGATATCATTTTGACATGTTCGATTCAATATGAAGAATTAGTAAAATGGTCGTATCATATTGTGATGATGCCTTAATCCAATGGCAATGTCTTTTATGGAATTACATGTGGTGACATCATTCAATGATACTGAGGTTTATCGGGTTATATATGACGACGTTATCAAATGGTAATGAAGTTGGTTGGATTCCATATGATGGCGTAAGCCATGTCAGTGACGTTAATGAGATTCCACGTGATGACGTAGCAAATAGTAATTAAGTTGGTCGGCTTCCACATGATGGCGTGGCAAATGGTAACTAAGTTGGGGAAAATCCCATGTTATGACGTAGTCATAGAGTCGTGAAGTTATGAGATTCCATACGATGTAATCTTATGATTATGACGTTCATGGAATTCTGTATGGTGTCTGCTTCAAATTTAATGATGTTTATGGGGTTATTTATGATGAACTATCAAATGATCTTGACGTACGTGGGATTCCGTGGGGTGACGCCGTCAAATGACAGTGACGTTCATGGGATCCCATTTGACGACATGCTTCCTATGATCATGACGTTTATGGGTTTCCATATGATGACATAGTTATAATCATGAGGTTGATTCGATCCATATGGTGACGCCATCCACTGGTAGTGAGTGACATAGGGATGTGTGGTAAGTATATAATGACCGTGACGGAATCAATTATTCCAAATCCTTGAGTTTTAATTCAATATTATTGCTAATCTACTGATGAAAACTTAATGTGGATTAGAAATAACTGATGGAAATCAATCACCTCGCCTCAACCCCCCTCCCGAAAAGATTCCAATAACAGGAAGACAAACAGTCCCTCGGCCTTCTAATAATAAAACAAACCCGGACTCGGAGACGGCCGATTTTTAATAATAATAGCCCTCCCGGGGGTGGAGGTTTAATAATGTCCCGGATCCGTTTCCAATATAAGGCTTTATTAAAAAAGAAAGGGAGGAAGAAAGAAAGGGTAAAAAACGGAAGGGGGTGAAAAATCTCCCACTTGGGTAAGGGGGTGAATTACACATTCATGCAGTCCGGAGAGCATCTTGGCGGCGACTTGGCCTCCTTGAATAAAGCGCTAAGCACATCACAAGCAATATGTTAAATAAAGAACGACATTGAGACTTGATGCATGTTAATTTTTCGAGGGTAAAATTTTGTCGATCTTCTTGTTTTTTGTGGGCTGGAAGAAACCGGAAGAGGTTGTAAAACAGGGGGTCGAAAACGGAGCAGGGGGTATGTGACGGATAGGGAGGGTAATAAAATATCTTCGGACCCGCCAACAGCCCCCACGAAAAGGGGCTCTTTTGCGGAGGGGTAACAGTTGGTTTTTAACACTCCTCGTCACGGGGAGACCTGTTGCTCGCGGTTTTTTCCCCCTTGATGTTCACATCTGAGGGTGGGGGGGGGGTCCGCAAGGTCTCGTCAAATTCGACCAGAACTTAAAACCGGCCAATATTGGTCATTTTTAATATTTGAAAAGGGTCAAGGCGTTTTTTATCTCAATACGGGTTTTCGTCAGAAAAGGAACAGATTGAAAAATAAAGACGATTATTTAATATAAAAAATGCCTGGGGTGGTAAGGGTTGGGGTAGAAGACCCTTTGTTCCGACTCTGCCCTGTTTTATGCCCTTTCCTCGGCAAACAATTTTATTTACAGTCCGTTACAGTTTCCTCCTTTTTTTCCCTCTCTCGCACGTTTTACTTCGGGGAATACGCGATGCCGCCCCGCCGCAGGGGGTTGAAAACTGAACGAGTCGGCCGACAGGGCCCAGGGGCTTTTTCAAAACTTCGCTTACAGGTGAAAACTTAGTGGAAACAACGAAAGCGACAAGGGAGGTTAGAAAACCGACGATAACCTGGAGGAAAAACAAGCCCGGAAGATAACGATCCTGTCCCACCGGCAATCACAGCTTATAAAATCCAACACCAAGTGATTAGGTTTCGTTGTTGGTTATGATTAGGTTTTGGACTACGAGTTATTGGAATGGCTCCTATGACGCCAGGTTTTGGAGGAAAAGTTTTTGTGTTGTCTTGTATGACATCAGTTTTGAGTTGTCTTGTATAACATCAATTTTAAGAAGATGACTTATTTGTTTGTCTAGTATGACGTCAGTTTTTCAGTTGTCTCGCATGGTATCATTTTTAAGAAGATGTCCTATTGCGTTGTCTAGCATGACATCAGTTTTTGAGTTGTCTTGATGACATCAGTTTTAAGATGTCCTATTGAGTTATCTAGTATGACGTAGATTATTGAGTTGTTTGTTATGACATCATTTTTAAGAAGACCTATTGGGTTGTCTGTCTAGCATGTCGTCAGTTTTTGGTGGATAGGTTTTTGTGTTGTCTTTTATGGCATCAGTTTTGAGAAGATGATGTATTGGATTGTCTGGTATGATGTCAGTTTTAACAAGCTGAAATATTTTGTTGTCGGGTTTGACAACAGTATTTTGAGGATGATTTATTGGGTTAGCTGGTACGACATCAGTTTTGAGAGGATGATTGATTAAGTCGTCTCATACGACATCAGTTCTGTGAAGATTATTACATTCAAAAGTTATAGGTCGTCTGGTACGGCATTTCTAACTTTTGTGGTTGAGCCATTGAGTTGCCTTACAATAATCAAATTTGTAGAGTCATTAGGTCGTCCTTACTTTTACTTCTAGCTTCTAGCTTGACACTCAAACTAATCGATTGTATTATTGGATGGTCAGACGTGACTCAAACTTAATGTATGTGTTGTAATACGACATTAAAACTTTTAGCTTGTGTTATTTCGTTTTCATAAGACGCAAGCTTCTGTTATTGGGGGTCACCTATGACACCAGTTTTTGGAGTATGTGTTATTTGTTGTCGGTACAACATCAGTTTTTGGAGGATGAGCTATTGCGCTACCATAACCTAAATATATTTCACACTGCAAATTACTGTAACCTCTGAAATATTGTCTTTCTTATTTGACAGGAATAAACCCGTGCTCTGGATTGAAATGTAGCCATGGCGCATCGTGCCATGTTTCTAAAGATGGCAAGGCGTCCTGCGAGTGTCCTCCGCCTTGCGAGGAGGTGATGAGGCCGGTCTGCGGCACGGACAACCTCACGTACGAATCCGCTTGTCACCTGGCGCGTAAAATGTGCCTGGAGAAAGGAGACGTGGGACTGGCGTATACGGGCACGTGCGGTACGCGGCACTAAACGTAAACGATTGGCGTGACGGCGTGTTGATCTGTTTCGATGTTGCAGGAGCTGAAGGGCCGTGCACACATAAGGATTGCGGGCCGCTTGCTGTCTGCAAGCAGACGGGCACGATAGCCGAGTGTGTCTGCAACACCTGCGGTTCGGAGTACGAGCCAGTCTGCGGGACGGACGGCATCTCCTACGGCAACGTATGCAAGCTGAGACGCGAGGCGTGCCTTCGCGGCAAGTCCATCGATGTCCTCTACCAAGGACTTTGCGGTAAGTTTTATACATTCAAATACCAGGTTGAAACTTTACTCAATTTTTCCTTTATAGACGGCTGCGAGAATAAAAAGTGCGATTTTTTCTCAACCTGTGTCAGCGACTCGTCAGGGGACGCACACTGCGTCTGCACGACCAACTGCTCGGCCACTGTCGGAGAACAGGTCTGCGGAACGGACGGCGTCACCTACCAGAACGAGTGTGAGCTCAAAATGACCGCGTGTCAGAACAAGCTGAATATACAGCCCGCATACAAAGGAGATTGCGGTAATATTCGACCGCGTACTTCTGCAGGCTTTTTCTGAATGTGTCTTCTTTTGCAGAATCCTGCGCTGGGGTGGTGTGCCAGTACAAAGCCAAGTGCTCGGGCGGCCGGTGCGTATGTCCGACGGACTGTTCTGCCGCCCCTGTTGAACAGGTTTGCGGTTCCGATCTCGTCACTTACGTCTCTCAGTGCCATCTTCTCAAAAGGGCTTGCGAGCTGAACGACAAATCTTTGGACGTGCTGTTCTTTGGAAGTTGCGAACGGCGGTCACACCGACCCATGAGTCACGCCATAAGTAAGAAACAAATTTTTAATTTTTTTACGAGTTTTTAATGATTTTGTATATCTTTTTTAGCTACTCCTTTGACAGTGGTGGACAGAGAGGAGGCGTGCAGGGATGTTAGATGTGATTACGACGCGACGTGCGAGGTGGACCCGGAAGGCTATCCGAAGTGCGTTTGTTCTTTCGACTGTTCCGGTGCTAAAGGGTCCGAGGTGTGCGGCAGTGACCTGAACCTGTACTCGACTTCGTGCCACATGCGCGCGGAGGCGTGCAACACGCAGAGCGAGATCCGCGCTAGGCCTTTGGACCTCTGCCAGGGGATGGAGGTGAAGCCTTGCGGCGGGGACAGGCCGCTTGTCGACCCGGAGACCGGCGAAGAGCTCGATTGCGGCAACGGCCATAACAGGCAAGACTGCCCAACAGAATACTACTGCCACCAGACATCGTCTTTCGCCAAATGCTGCAGAAAAGGTACACTAAAAAAACCCCATCCAAAGTCAGCTTCTCAAACGAAACTTTACAGAATCAGGAGTCTATCTGAAAGACTGCGAGGACTCCTGGTACGGATGCTGTCCTGACGGTAAGACACCTGCCCAGGGGCCTGAGAACGAAGGATGTCCCAAAAACTGCGGTTGCAACAAGATCGGATCGTATTCCGACTGGTGCGACGACGAGAAAGGCGAGTGCAAATGCAGGCCTGGGGTCGGAGGTCCCAAGTGCGACCGATGCCAGAGCGGCTACTGGGGNTATATATATATATATATCTATATATATATATATATAAATACAGTAATTTAAACATAAAACATGATTTTATGTTGGGATTTTTTTCTTTTAAAGCGGATGTGACTACACCAGTACCGACCTCTTGTTCACAAGTGATCTGCTACTTTGGAGCTGTGTGCGAAGAAAGAGACAACAGGGCGAGCTGCGTGTGCGCGGCGACATGCCCGCAGGACGAACGTCAGCAAGTGGTCTGCGGCTCCGACGGCCAGACTTACGGGTCGGAGTGTCAGCTGGTACTCTACGCCTGTAAGTACCAGATGGACATCGCGGTCGTGTCCCTCGGTCCTTGTAAGGAGAGCAGCTACAGCTACTTGGCCACAGAAGGCCCGGCTCGAAGGTGGACATCGTACAGCCACGTCGTGAGCCAATTGAGCAAGTCGACCCGCCACTTGCTCCAGGACAAGTACAACTTACCAGGTCGAAGCCGTGACGTCTACTTGATTGACGGCTTCGTCACGTCCGCCGTGGAAATGGGTTCGAAATTAAACGAGCCCTGCACGTACAACGAAGACTGCAGGACCCAGTCGACCGTCTGCCTCCAGGGCGTCTGCTCTTGCGAAGAAGGATTCATACAGACTCAAGATAAAACGGAATGCATAAGTAAATTTAATTTCCTTTTAACCTTAAATCTTCTTCATTGGAAAAACTTTTTGCAGAAGAGGAGATACCGTCTTTCACCGGGAAGTCCTGGCTTAGGCTTAGGCACATGAAGGCGTACCACAAGTTTAGCCTGGAGTTGGAATTTACGACATACAACTTGGACGGTATCCTCTTCTACGCACAGCAGAACCTAGACGGCACCGGGGACTTCATCGCGCTCTCCATCGTCAACGGGTACTCTTTCAAAACATACACCCGGACCAATACATCAATGATAATTGTGTTTCAGATATGTACTTCTCAGCTATAACCTTGGATCTGGGACAGTCAGGGTGAGCTCCCTGGTCAGGATATCACTGGGAAATTGGCACAGGGTGAAGGTGAGGAGATACCAGAGAGACGCGCTTCTGCAAGTCGACGGAGAGACTCCGGTCCCGGTACAGTCGCACGGAAGCCTCGTAGCCCTGGACCTCACGCAGTCGCCTTATTTAGGCTACGTCCCATCGAATTATACAAAGTACATTATATTCGGCACCGATCTTTGTTATTCGCCGTGTTTCAAAGTGTTTCAGTTTGACGATAATGTATTTGTTTTTTTTTAGAGTGTTTCAGAACGCAGGGACGGACATGGGCCTCGTGGGTTGCTTGAGGGCATCGCATCTCGAACCTGAGGAGGAGTTCGCCATCAGCAGTTGCGACGACAACCCGTGCCGAGGGAGACCGTGCCAGAACCAAGGCACGTGCGTGCCGGTCGACGGCCTTGCCTCGTGCCACTGTCCGCACAACTTCACGGGCGATTACTGCGAGGAAATGCTGAACCCTTGCGCTCATGGTGTTTGCTCCATCGAGACCCAATGCCACGCCGTCCCTGGTGGAGGGTTCGACTGCCTCTGCTCTACTGAACAGGATCCTCTCTGCGATGCCGGTATGTTTTCACGGATCAAACATGGATCGTTGTGATATTTTTCCTATGGGGCTTTCTAGGAGACCCGGACCCTGTGATCTTCTCCGAAGAGACCCTAGCACTGCCGCGGCTGGAAGGTGTCTCCAGGGCGTTCTCGATAACCGTCTGGTTCAAGTCGTTCTCGGAAGACGCGTCCCTGCTCTACAACAGCCAGTCCTCGCACACGGGCAAAGGTGATTTTGTGTCTTTGACGATCGAAGAAAGGCGGCCTGTCTTCTCCTACAGCCTCGGTGGCAACCCGGCCGTCATTGCTGCAAACGAGACCGTCACGGTCGGGAGGTGGCACTCGGTCCACATCTCGAGGACGGACAAAGACGGCACCCTCCGCCTGGATTCAGGACCGGTGTACAAAGGACAATCTGGCGGGGAACACTTCGAGCTTAACCTGGAGCAGCCGCTGTACGTCGGCAAGCCACTCTACCTGGACGATGCACCCCACTTTTCAGGCGTGGTGCAAAAGCTCGTCGTAAACGGAGACCGCCTCTTTCTCGCCTCCTTGGGCAAGATCGGCGTCTACGAGGGCGAACCTTGCACGAAAAGCGCCTGCGAGGGAAACCAGACTTGTTTCCCGTTGCTTTCGGAGTACCGATGTTCCTGCGTCGCCCCGACCTGCTCAGAAAGTAAGTACCATCAAGTACCACACACCCAGGTCGTTAAACGAGCTTCTAAATTCCAGCAGGGAGGGACTTCGAAGATGCAGTCTACTTCAATGGCAACGTTGTCGTCAAGTACCCGAGGAAAATCCCGAAAAGAAAGTAAGTAAGGCTCATTCAATCAAAAAGGGTGCATGCGTTAAACTAACCCATTCCGACTAACATAGCGACACGGAATACGAAGAGGACGAAGAAGAATACGAAATAGAAGAAGAAGGCGATGAAGAAGAAGAAGAAGAAACCGAATACGACGATTATGAGGAGGAGTGAGTTGACTAACCCGTCTAACTTTGTTGTTCTTGGGATTTTGTTCTCTTTTCCACTTTATTTCATTTTAATTTTGTACTGACATTTTTGGAAAAAAAGGAGGAGGGGAACGAGGCTAGAGATGTGGGCGAAGAGCGAGTCAGACGGGCCGCTTCTCGTGTCAAAATCGCCCAAAGTCTGGGCACTAATAATCCTCGAGGGTAGAACGGTCCTCACCGCACAGGTAGGCGAGAAGCAGATATCACTGACATCCAAGACCCGGATGGATGACGGACAGTGGCACCATGTTGTCGCAGTGAGGCGGAGAAGGATGCTCCACTTGCAGGTCGACGATGAGCCAGCCGTCAGGATGCCCCTGGGTCGCAGCATCGCCGGAGCTAAACGATTTTGGCTAGGTAATGAAACCATTTCGAAGGGTCGGAAACAAATTATTGGGTTGGCATGTATGGAATTTCTAAATTTTGGGGTTGTTATTGCGTTGTCATGAATGACATTTCTAATGTTTGGTTTTGAGTTATTGAGTTGGCATGTATGGAATTTCTAACTTTTGGGGTTAAGTTCTTGGGTTGTCATGTATATTTGTAACTTTAAGGGATGAGTCATTGGGTCACCTTGTTCGACGTTTCTAACGTTTGAGGTTGAGTTATTAGATTATTGTGAAGGACAATTGACACTCCTAGCGTTGAGTTATTGGGTTGTCGTGTATGGCATGTTATTGGGTTGTCATATACGTGATTCAATGTTGTAGCTTGTGTTATTGGGTTGTCACCATGACTCAAAGTTGTAGCTTGTGTTATGATGTAGTCATCGAACAATAGTTTGTTATTATTTAGAAGAAAAATAACTTTATTCTGGGACTGGCGTCCCCTAAGAATAATTTACATGAAATAAATAAAGGAAGTTCCTTCTATGCAGTTAAAAGTTAAAAAAAAAGATAGAAATCTTGGAACAATGTATACCAATAAGGCAGGACAGAAGAAAAAATTACGAGGATATTAAACAAAAATAACAAATGTTAACCTGAGGTCTCTGCTTGGAGGGAGAGGAGGTGATTATACAGGTGGGATTTAAAGGAGGAAAAGGAGGCAGCGTGACGAATAGAAAGGGGAAGGGAGTTCCAGAGTTTAGGGGCTCGGATCAGAAAGGATCTTTCGAAGGTATGGGTTGTATGTTGCGGAAGGATAAGGTCGATTGGGGATGAGCGGTTCTTACGAGTGAGATGTGAGGAGTTGAATTGGAGGGATTGGATGACGTAAGGAGGACGACGAGTGTGGATGGACTGGAAAAGAAAGCAACCTAGGAAATACTGTGCACGGATGGAGGGGAATAGCCAGGAAAGTTGGGAATACAGCCCCGACACCCGGGATCCTCGTGGGGTGCCGTACACAAATCTTAAGCAACAATTCTAATACCCTTCAATCGCGCGTTCTCCCCCTCCGAGAGACCACCGTATGCCAAACAGCTATAATCGAAGAAGGGAAGTATAAGGGAAGATACAAGGAGTTTGCGGGTGGAGAAAGGTAAGAGAAGCCAGGACCGACGGAACAGGCTGAGGGAGGCGATGGAATGGCGGGAAATGTGAGAATGCCAGGAAAGGTTTTGGTCAAAGACTACTCCTAGGTTTTTAACCGAAGAGCAGAAGGGATGGGATGGTTATTTAGCATGAGAGGTGGGATGCTGGGGAGGGAATTGAGGAGTTGCCTGGACCCGATAATTATGGCGGTGGATTTGGACGGATTGAGGACTAGGGAATTTTTATGGGCCCATTCGTTGATGGAGTTTAGGTCTTTTTTGGATCTTGAGAGTGGCCGAGTGAAGATCGGAAGGGTGGAAGGATATGTATAATTGGGAGTCATCGGCATATAGGTGATAGTTACAGGACTGGATGGAGTCGGGCAGATCATTGATATAAATGGAAAAAAGGATAGGAGAGATGCTAGAGCCTTGGGGCACCCCAGATTTTAGAGGGAGGAAGGAGGAGGTAAGGCCATTGGGAAGGGAGACAGCTTGGTGGCGATTGGTAAGGAGGAGTGGAACCAACGGATGGTGCTGGCGGAGAAGAAAAAAGATTCGAGGAGAGAAGAGTGAGGGACAGAATCGAAGGCTTTAGAAAAATCAAGAAGGACACGTATAGTAACTTTCCGTTGGTCCATTGCTAAGTGGAGGTCACTGGTAATTTTTATTAGTGCTGATTGGGTGGAATAACCTTGGCGGAAGCCAGATTGGAGGGGGTTGAGAAAATGGGACTGTTCAAGGTGCCTGAAGACTTGTGCTTGGACTAATCTTTCTAGGGGCTTGGACAGGTTTGAGAGGATGGAAATGGGACAGTAGTCTGTAGGGGAGGATAGGTTGGGGTTTTTATTGACAGGGTGGACAAGAGCTTTTTGCCAGGCTGTCGGAAAAACAGTTTTGGAGTGAGTAGTTATAGATAGTATTATAGTGAAGTAGAACAGGTAGTAATATTGGGAGGCAGAGTTTAAGAAAATGGATAGGGATGCGCCATCAACTCCAATGGCATTGGAGTGGGATTTGGATTATGGCCTCGAGGACTTTGGCTGGGGTTAGATACGAGAAATAGAAGTTAGACGAACTGAATGAGGGTCCAGAGGAAGCGGGTATGGGGACAGGCATTGATGAAGAACAGTTGGGGGGAGACATATGCCAATGTTACGAAGGAGCTTCCATTTTGCTCTAGGATCAGGAGTGGTGGAGAGTGCCTCTTGGTAATGAAGGGCTTTGGCCCGACGGATATAGGATTGGGTTTTATTGCGAAGGGCTCGGAAGGAAGAGTGGTCTTCAGGAAGTTTAGTTCGACGAAAGCGCCTTCTTGCTGCTTCCTGTCTTTTAATTAGGGCTCTAATTTCTTCGTTTAACCAGGGAGCAGGAGGACGACGGATAGTGTGGGTTTTTAGGGGTGTTATGTTTGTTAAGGATATTGAGGAGATTATTTTAGCCACATTGTGCTTAAAGTTGTAGCTTGAGTCATTATGTAGACACCGTGGCTTAAATGGGGTGGGCATACAACACTCACACTTGTAGCTTGTGTTATAGGGGTTGTCAAATACATATCGCCATTTTTTTTTTCAGGAGGTTGTGCCACCCTTCCAGGCGGTCTGCCCGAATACTTTTACGGCCGTTACAAGGGCTGCATGCGAGGCGTGAGCATAGACAAAAAACCCGTCGACCTCAGGGATTACTCGTCGAGGCTCGAGCACTGTGTCGACAACAATTTAAGGTTGTTAACGCATTTTACTTTTTCTTCTGTTTTTTAACCGGTGTATTATTTTTTTTCCAGATAAGACAATACAATTTTGTGTAAACAAGAACGTCGAGGGTGGACAGTACAATAAGTAAGAAACCCCACAGAAGTAAGAAAATCATAATAATTACAAAAAGTAACTATAAATTCTCCGCCCCCCTCCCCAAAAAAAAACCCTCGACAAAACATAACTCCTGACCAAATCATAATGACCCTGAAACCCTGAAAAACTTGTAATAAAATTTTCTTACATTATTTATTGTGTGTAATTTATGTTGTTAATTTATTTGACACATTAAGTGTTGGATTTTTTATATATAGTTTTTTTGTAAGTGAGGGTATTTGTCTGTAAATAAATAAGTGTAATTATTACAATGTAATTTGTGATTTATGAAAGTCGTTAATAAACTAAGTTGTTAAGCATATTTTTTGTTTTTCACGGCCATCTTACTTTCCGTTTTCAGCATTAGAAGGATACCAACCCTATTAACAAACTGTGGCACTACACTTCCTCGCAGGAGGAAGTGCTTTGGGACGTACAATGTGACCGTAGTAGAAATTCAACCACTGAAACTGGACCTACTAATCAAACTCCTTGATGAGATCCAGAAGAAATTCAACCACCGAAACTGGGCCTACTAATCAAATTCCTCGATGAAATAGGACCTCACTGGTGTGCTGTAGGCACAGAACGGGTGATACAACAGCTATTAAAGGGCGCAGTGTATTACACACCCCGACTAATACAACTACATCTACGTCAATTGATTTGATGAAGATGATGGTTCTACTCACAAACTATTTTTTCTGTTATATGGATTTCGAGTTATCTGATTTTCATTTACACTGATGATGACCATTTATTTATACAGGTAAATATACCCAGTTACAAGTTCTATAAGAGTTTAAACTAAACTGCTCAAAAGTGAATAGGGATATTGCCAATTTTGTAGTATTTACTTTCCTTAGCATTTGTATTTTATAATAAATTGAATTAAAATTTATCAGAAATCATTTTTTTACCGAAGGAAAATTTAATTAAGGTTTTTTGAAAAATAACAAAATAAGAGGTTTTAATTCACTGTTAGCTAAAACCTCGGTGCTCCTGTTGGGCACACTGTTAATTAAGTTGTCAATAATTTCACTCCACAGATGTTGCAACACTGCACTCAGTTGTATGGCAGAAGTGTAGAAAATAAAACTACGTTCAAAATTTAAGATATTTATTTAGAAATCGTGAGGTCCAGACCGCACCTCACGATTTCTAAATAAATATCTTAAATCTTGAACGTAGTGTTATTTTCTATGTAAATGGCCCCTTTCAGAAAGAACATATTAAACAAAATGGAGCCCAGGATTGATCCTTGGGGGACTCCATCCATGAATTATCAATTAAATATAATAATATCTTAAATGTGTGGTGATTAGTGACCGTTAATCGATATTTATTTAGAAATCGTAAGGTGCGGTCTGGTGTGATGAGGTTTCAGAAAAACATTTTCTTTATCGTGCCATCGTTTCGATCTTTATTGAGATCATCTTCAGGGCCTGGGATTTACAAACATTGTTTACATATAACAATTACANCCCAGGCCCTGAAGATGATCTCAATAAAGATCGAAACGTTGGCACGATAAAGAAAATGTTTTTCTGAAACCTACATCACACCAGACCGCACCTCACGATTTCTAAATAAATAGCGATTAACGGTCAATAATCACCACACATTTAAGATATTATTATATTTAATTGCTAATTCATGGATGGAGTCCCCCAAGGATAAATCCTGGGCTCCATTTTGTTTAACATGTTCTTCTCGAAAGGGGCCATTTACATAGATCGACCTATCCCCAAATTGAAATAAAGCCCAAAAACATCCTGGGGAAATAAATCGCAATAAACAAAATAATATATATTTTACACCCAGACCCAACGCCATTAGAGTAAGTCAGATATGTTAGGTGCGATTACGACGCGACGTGCAAGGTGGACCCAGAAGGCTTTCCGAAGTTTGTTCTTTCGTCTTCCGGTGCTAAGGGGTCCGAGGAGGGCGGCAGTAACCTGAACCTGTACTCGACTTCGTGCCACACGCGGAGGCGTGCAACACGCAGAGTGAGATCCGCGCTAGGCCTTTGGACCTCTGCCAGGGGATGGAGGTGAAGCCTTGCAGCGGAGAGCGAAGAGCTCGATTGCGGCAACGGCCATAACAGGCAAGACTGCAGAATACTACTGCCACCAGACTTCGTCTTTTGCCAAATGCTGCAGAAAAAGTTCACCTTCAAAAAAACCCCACCCAAAGTCAGCTTCACAAACGAAACTTTACATAATCAGGAGTCTATCTGAAAGACTGCAAGGACTCCTGGTATGGACGCTGTCCTGACGGAAAGACACCTGCCCAGGGGCCTGAGAACGAAAGATGTCCCAAGAACTGCGTTGCAACAAGTTCGGATCGTATTCCGACTGGTGCGACGACGAGAAAGGCGAGTGCAAATGCAGGCCTGGGGTCGGAGGTCCCAAGTGCGACCGATGCCAGAGCGGCTACTGGGGCTTTCCAAAGATTTCATCAGGCCATAGAGTTTATTTTACACCCCAGACCCTATGCCATTGGAGCTAGCCCACAATTTCCCAACACCAAAATTCAATTAGAAACTACAAAACTCCGCTGTACAAATGAAAACTAAATATTATTCAAAACCAATTAAACCAAGATTAATAGAACACCTATTAAAGAGATTTGTTAGGAGCCTTTCTCTACTAGCCAACGTCTCAGGGACACCTGAAGACACCTCCGATGCTCATGTGATAAGAAGTCTGTTTGGCGGGGGGGGGGGGGGGCACTCCACCCTATCTGAGCCATTGCCCTTCGTGTGTCAACTCCCAATCTGCATCAATCCCAGGGAAGACACTGCCCTCCTCTTTAGGCAACAAACGCCGGGATGATGACGGTTTGTAGACGAGGCAACTTGAAGACTGTTTCCAGAAATGATGCAGGGTAGATTAATGACCACAGGTGCTTAGCTAGAGTGATGAGGGAGGCAACCGACCGTTGAGTATTTGCTGAACAGTAATGTACTATGTAATTGTGTGGTGTCCTTTGTACTTGGTATTGTTCACTCATGGATTACAAGCGCTACAATCTAGAGGCTGAGCTCCGATGACAGAAGTGCCCATTTCTGTAATAGATGGAAACTTAAAATTAATCAATTAATCTCAAATAGAAGCAAATCTCTTCACCAGATGAGTGGACATTGTAGCAACTGGAATATTTTCCTGGTCGCAGACCAATATCTTGGCTTAACCAGAGGCGTCTGACTTTCAACAGACACACGGATGACAGAGTTGATCGTGGCAAAATTGCAATAAGGTTGCTGTTCCCACTACTTTCTCGGACCTCCAGGATAAGCACATTCAAATAGCTCTCATATAACAGCTCAAGCTCGTGTTTGTAGTAGATTTTCTGATGATGGTTTGCTCATGGGAAGACCTGACGGATTTCCGATGAATCTAAATTCTACCGTACGAATTTATTTATGAGAGGTGATGCCAGATTTTAAAAAAAATGGTTGCCTCTGTGCTGGTTGCCTGCTTCAAATTTAGGTAACTTGCATTCTGGCCAGGTAAAATCTATTAAACCTAGTTGATGATTCCTTAAATTCACTAATTTCGTGGTCCGCTTGACCAATTAAATCATTACAATTAATTAAGGTTTTTAATTGAGATGAAAAAAAGTCAATGGCACGAGCGGGATTCGAACACACGATCTTCGGGCTAGATACGCCGCTGCTCTACCACTTGAGCTATCATGATCTCGATCCACTCGGACATCAACTTCCTATCTCAACCACACCTTCGAATTTTCCCTCCTTTTTGCCATTTTTCAAATGTCGTGTAATCAATTTGATTCTCGGCGACAAATGAAATGGCCAGGGAGAGCTTTGGTAAAGGATACTTCATTTTAAACTTATTAAATTCACTAGTTTCGTGGTCCGCTTGACCAATTAATATCATACAATTAATTAAGGTTTTTAGTTGAGATAAAAAAATGGCAAAAAGAAGGGAAAATTCGAAGGTGTGGTAGAGATTGGAAGTTGGTGTCCGAGTGGATCGAGGTCACGATAGCTCAAGTGGTAGAGCAGCGTCATATCTAGTCCGAAGATCGTGGGTTCGAATCCCGCTCGTGCCTTTGATTTTTTTCATCTCAACTAAAAACCTTAATTAATTCTAGTTGATGATGTTTAACTAAACAGCTTTTTGTCCTGGCGATCAAGAAGGAAATGCCTTCAGCCAGCAGTGCTAACACCACGTGCAGTAGTTGTTCCGTTAGTTCCTTCAACGTACTTGAAATACAGTCCCATTGGTCCAAATATTTCTCATTTGGTCATTACCAATTATCCTAGTCTTCCTATCCTCATCTATCTCAGACATTCTGTCCGAAGAAGACTGGTATTGTTTTTAAAACAGAATAACCCACCTGCAATGGTTTGGGATGCTTAGGGGCAATACTTTTTAGGGTATAAAATGGTGTCATTTGGGTTTTGTAAAGTGTAAGGGGGTAAGAAGGCCAAAATGCTAGAATAAAATATCAGGATTTATTTACAAATTCAGCTTTTTATAAATATAAATAAATTACAATTACAACAAATAATTTTTATTTTTTTCCTTTTAAAGCTGCATTTTTCTTTTTTTTAATAGATCGTACACATTTTATATTGACAATTATGTATTGTTTTACCCCTGAATTTTTTTGTTTGTTTACTTTGTTTAATCATACCAGGAATAAAAGGTTAGAAAATAATTTAAACGCTATGCTAAATGCAATTGCTAATATACGAGGGATTTTATAAATGTGTGTAGCTTAGAAGGATGAGAAAGCTCTGTCGCTAATGTTTATTTTTTCTTTCTTTTTTGTGGTTTTCTAAGGTAAATTGAAATAGATTATTCTAGAATTGAAATTTTTTTTACAACCTAGTTTCAATGGCTAAAGAGGTTTTCTAGGCGTCTACGACAAATAGGGGCTTTTTTTTTTTACCTGGGTAAAGAAGGCAGAAATGGTTACTGAATAGTACCGACTAGGAAAACGAAGGGCAAGAGAGAAAAAAACGCACGACCCAGAGAGAATTATTTAAAACAACACATCCAAAAACGCTAACACAATACAACAATTACACCCCCTCCACCCCAAAAAAAACTTCATTATTTCAATCATTCATATCAAAATTGTTCCAAAAACAAAAAACTTTCGACAATATTTATGTGAGGTTGATCAACAAAGAAATGGTTAATTTGTTGATTTTTAAAAAATGTCATTATGCCTTGAGTGGTTAAAAAATTAGAACAAAATCAGTCTATCGCTTAAATATAATTAAACATTAAATATAATAGTTAACTTTTTCTAAATAATTAAAATTATGTTATTTGGTTCACTTTTATGATGTAGCAGTGAGCGACTAAATAATACATTATAGGTTTCAAGTCGATAAACCTTCCTTATGCTCGGTAACTGCTACATTGCAAAAGGAAATTGCATACATTAATAAAAAGACCGTTTTATAAATTAAAAGATTAAAAATATTTTGTACTTAGGGCAAGATAGAATGCTTTTATTTTTAGGTACTTAGGTGCTAAGATTTTTAAAATATTAAGGACTTAATATTACATTTTTTTAAAAATAAAAACTAAAAATAATCAGTCTATTTTTATCAGGAGGATCACATAAATATCGTCGTAGAAATATATAATTTTTTTTTTTTTGTAATTAAATAAACGAACATTTTGTATTTTTATTTGGAAAGAGAAGAGAGAAAAGGGAAAAAAGAAAGGACGAAGTACGATTTAGTAAGGTTCAAGCCTGAGGAGGAGGGAGACGAGGATGGTAGCGTTTCTCTCTTTAGTGACCCATTCAGATGGTGAGGCTATTTTGTACGATCCGGGTCTGACGAGCACTTCAAGCGCCGCATACGCCGCCAGTGGCTCTTTCGTCTTTGGATCGACATAGGGGTGTTTGTGAAATGGTGTCAGGACGGGCGAGATTGCGAGCTGTGACGACTCGGCATCTTCGAGCTTGTGACCGGATCGCTTCTTGTAGTCGCCGCCCATGCCGAGCTCGGACGGCGTGAGGGGACGGCCGACATCGAGGGTTCGGCGCACGTCGCCGAGCAACACGGGGAGGTATGCGCCGTGCCAGACATCCGTGTTGGGCTGGTCGATGCGACGCTGTAGCGGGAGAAGGGTCCAGCCGGAAAGTTCGGACTTCCTCGGAGCAAGTCCGCTTGGTGAGCACGCCAGGCAGAAGCAAACCGCTTCCTTCTTAAAATACCCATCTGTTAAAATAAAATTAAAATAAATAAATATTACAAATGGGCTTTTTTTCAAAAACACCGGCACCCTGAGGGTTTATATGACCTCTGCTGTTGCGAATCTTCGTTTAAAAAAAAATATAAATAAATAAATAAATAAATCTACTGCTTGTTCAACTAAATCAACAACAATCAGTAATGATAAAACTGCACTGACAAATATTACAAGTTTGAAAAGAATTTTCAGTAATCTGGTCCCAAATCACTCTTCCTAAACCATAAGCAAGTACTGTCAACAATGACAATACATAAGTAATGCTGTCAGTACAAAATGGAAACCATAATAAGTAGTCGGTGATGACAAACCCAAAGTTAGTACTGACAACAGGTTTTTGTGGTCTTTCAGCTAATTGGCCAACCAATACCACAGCCAGAAGCGTAGATTAGTACCGACAGCTGAAGTATTGACAGAGATGACAAACCAAGTTACTACTGTCATTTATGACAATTACATATAATTAGCGTCGGTGATGACAAACTGAAAGTCATCAATGACAGCAAATTCAAGTAAGTACTTTGAGAAATGACAAGTACAAATAATGCATCAGGATATCAGGACAACGAGAACAAAAATTCAAATGCATCTCTGATCGTTCTATCCTAGATACTTGATCGTCAATGATGTACATTTGTAATCAAGACGATAAAATTAAACAAATACTCACTTGGCAGGCAGAGCGACGTCTTGAGCCGGAGGCAAGCCGTTAGGTAATCGCAAACTGGCTGTTTGACAGCTATGACGGGAGATACAACTGGTGAAATCGGCACGCTAGGCGCACTCGCGATCGGCAGGTTGGACACGCTTGGCGACTTGGCATAGCTGTCGTTATTCGTTGCCTTTTGCGATTTCTATCGGATAAAGAGATGATTAAATAAAGAAGTTTTTATTTTATTTTATACAGTATACCTCTAATATGAACGAAGTTACGGGGAGTGAGGTTGGCGATGTATGACTAGAGCACTGTATGTTTTCGTTCATCTTGTCCAACTTAGTCCTGAGTGTCTCGGCTTTCTCGCGTACCTCTAGGTTGCCCTTTTCTCGCGAGTCGGACCAGACGTGGTCCTCGGAGGACGGGCTGTGTAAGCTGCGATCAAGCCCTTCGCTCAAGATGCACACCTGGTCGCACATCCCGTAGAGGTCAACTAGTGGGATCGTTGCAGACTGCGGTATGTCGGACGCCGCAACACCCTGGTCTTGACCGTTTACGTACAGATGGAGCTGGTTGTTGCCGTCAACTAATATACCAACCGTCTGGCCGAGGGCGAGCATATCGAGGTTGACGCCGTACTTTGACTTGACCTTGTGGCCGTTGTGAAACACAGAATCACCGGATATCACCCATGTATCCTTTTTGAGTCCGAGCGCCGTGACGGGGAGCGAGAGTGAGATGACGGATTCGGTCGTGATCCCGATGCTCAGCGAGGACACCCAACGTGGGTTGAGCGATTCGATCATCACCTGGAAAAGCATCCCTCGCTGAAGTGGACGTGACATAAGCACGAGGCCTTGATTGTAGCTCGAGACACGTTTCGCGGCTAGTCTGCTCTCAGACACTTGCACATTCCGACCGTGACATTCATGAAAAACATGCGGCATTGCCTGTAAAATTATTTAAATAAAACAAATATATAGATTTTTTTTTTTTAATATTTACATCTATTTCGTGTATTTCTGAAACGATTTCACCATCCTCGATGCTCTTGTCCATCTCGTCGTTTCTCTTGTCTTCTGATTCTTCCTCACTACAAGGTGATAAAAAAATCATTAACTTAATTTGATCATCAATGTAATTAATTGTGATAATTACATGGTTGTAGCTTTGTCACAGGGAGATTCAATTTCCAAGACTGCAAGCGGAGCATCGCCATGTCCAACTGCGGATCCGCCCTTGCTGATGAGCTTGACACCACATGTTGAACCATACAGCTCCATTACTACGAAAAGCTTCTTTGGTACGTTGAAAGCCGCGACACCCTGGTCGGCCCCGTCAATGTAGAAATGGATCGACGAGTCTTGGCAACGTTTCACGCCAACTCTGTTGCCTGGACGGAGCCAGTCGAACGATGTACAATAGTTCATCTTGACGACGTCGCCGTTCGATATCAAGTTGTTCCCTTGTACGTACCAAGTTGTCTCTTTGACCGAAGACATCGAATGCGGCAACGGTTCGACGGGGGCGAACGTAGTGACGCCGAACGACAATGACCCGGCCCAGTGTGAAACCCAAGTCTCTATGAGCACTTCGAACAACTCGCCATCTGTCAGAGGCATCGCTGAGAACGCCAGACCCGCCGACGGGCTGTCATGAAGACGAGATGCCCTGCTTTCAACGATCCTGATACCCTTTCCACACACATCATGCCACCTTTAAAAAAAAATATTAATATTAAAAAATAAATTCCTATAGTTAATTTAGTAAGTTCTCTAATGTAAGTTTTTTAATCCATAAAATACATAAAATATAAAAATGGAAAATACTTGTGTAGAAGATGCTGTGTAGGAAGCACAGTCGATTCGGACACCACATGGCTTTCAACCTGCGGGACGCTGGTACTATCATCGATGTCGACCATCGCTTCGGGATTGCTCACAATGGAAACCTGGGCACACTGGCCATACAGGTCGATTACGGGGTACACAAGCTCTGGGAGTCCCCGGCACGCTTCGCCCTGGTCGACCCCGTCAAGGTAGTAATGCAGCGATGTGTCGTCGTGACGCTTTATCCCTACGATGCTGCCCGTCTTGACCTTGTCGAGGTCGAGCATGTACCCGTGGCCGAGCAGCTCGCCGTCCTTCATGATGACATAGCCCGAAAGCATCCATGTGTCATGGTCTAGGTCCGTCATCGTACCGGGGAGCTCGAGGTCGTCCGGCTTTATCGCTGTCACACCTGTTTTTTTACAAATAAATTTAAAAACCATTTTTTTTCAGATAGAGGAACAGTGCACTAACCTACTTCTATCGACCCGGACCAACGGTCAATAATCCTTTCGACAACAACGGAAAACATCTCACCAGGTCGTAACGGTCTGCTCGTTATAACGATAGCGTCATTGAACTCAACCATGGCATGAGGCCTGAGCGCCGTTTTACCATTGTTCGTCAGTCTCGCATTTGGACCGTGTACCGAATGGAAATGTATGTCCCTATGGGAAAACAGTTATTTTTTATTTATTTATTTATTTTTTTTAAAGATTATTGGGAAATATTTACTGGTAGAACATAGTAGGTGTCGATGGGGAGCAGCAAGGACAGTGGGATACGATGGTTGCCTGTGTAGCCTGGCCGTAAAGGTCGATTACGGCATAGAGATTACTCGGCAGTCCTGTGCCAGCCTCACCTTGGTCTTCTCCATTGACAAGGAAATGAAGAGAGCCGCCTTCTCGTATCACAACGCCGACTCTATCCCCAGCTTGTAACTTGTCAAGGTTCTGCCCATAGTCATCAATGACGGATGTGCCGTTGCGCATCACGCCATTCCCAGTCATGATCCACGTCCCTGAACGCACGTTGGTCATCGTTGACGGGTACTCGAGCTCCGTGGGGAGGTGAGTTGTCACGCCGATTTCAATCGAGCCAGCCCATTTAGTCACCATCTTGTCAATCTTCACTTCAAACACCTCGTTTACCTTTAACGGCCTATTCGTCAATACTACGGCATTGTTAAAATCATCAAGCGCCCTGAGGAGAATAATTTTTTTTTAATTTGTACGGTTTTTTTTTACGGTATGTGTGTTTAATACTTTGGCCTGTGAGCAGTCCTTCCATTGTTTATCACAGCAGCATGAGATCCGCAGTTGGGATGGAATGTTAAACTATCATCAGCCTCTTCTTCTGTAATGTCTGGACATATTTAATATCAAAAATCAAGTTAATTTTTTTCTTTCTTTTAATTACCATTTAAAGATTGAAGGACGTTTTCTCGTAGGACGGTGTTCCTTCTCGTTATAAGGTTCTGCTCTTCGCGCTCGTCCCTGTCAACTATGGTCACCTTGAGCGTCATGCCGTACAGATCGACTACACCCCAGATCGGGCTTGGGACTTGGGAAGCGGCGACACCCTGGTCAAGGCTGTTGATGAAGTAGTGCAGGTCGGCATTGCTCTTTCGCATCATGCCTATCCGATCGCCGATCTTGAGGTCATCGAGATTAAACTCACCGTATTCCCGCATCGACGATTTCCCATTCGTGAGTATCCCGCATCCCGACATCATGATGGTACCAGTACGCATGTTGGTCATGGTTGCCGGAAATTCTATAGTCGCCGGGTCATGTGTTGTAACGCCGACTTCAATACTGCCCGACCATTTCCCAACCAAACGATCTATCCTTATCTTTCAAACAAAAAAAAAAAAATTAAAATTAAATTTTAGTCAAATATGTATATATATAAAACCTCAAAGAGTTGATCGTCGACGAGAGGTTTGCTCGTCATGACGACGGCGTTGTTGAACTCATCGAAAGGACGTAGACGCTCGGCGGAACGCCCGTTGCAGGAAAGCTTGACAAGACTGCCGGTCCTCTCGTGGAACCTGAGCCGCTCAGTCGGTACGAGGCGGAGCGGAGTCGCCTCAGGTTCAACCGGCACGAAGAGATCATCGGGAGCCTTCGGACATATTGACACCTGGGCCACCTTTCCGTAGACATTAATAACGACAAATACCCTACGCGGTATACCAGTCGCGGCCACGCCATACGTCAGGCCGTTCATGTAATACTCCAACTCGCCCTTTAAGTTTTTTCAAATTTGCGTTAAACAAAAATCAAATAAATAAAAAAAAATCTTACATTTCTCGTCCTGATGACTCCGATCCGATCACCTTCAACCACCTTGTTCAAGTTTAAAGGGTAAGCACCGTCCAGCGTACATCCATCTTTCAGTATGGCTTTCCCTGATAGGATCTACAATGATAAAAACTTTTTTTTTTATAGATGATTCTTTTTTTTGTTTTTTTGTTACAGACCCATGAGCCGTTGCGTAAATCTGTCGCACTGGCCGGAAAACACAGTGAACTTGGGTCGCAAGCAGTCACTCCAATCTCGATGCTGCCGATCCACGACTCATTCTGAAAAGGTAAAAAAAAAATATTTATGATTGATATTTTTATGGGTCAATCATGTTATTGACTTAAGCCTCACAACACCCCCCCCCCCAATATTACATATTTGACCGTGTCAATTGCCTTTTTGTCGACGGACACTTCGAAGAGTTCGTCGTCCTGGATCGGCTCGGCGCTGAATACGAGTCCAAAGTTGAACTCGGACGCGGTCCTAGTCGCGGTCCGTCCGCCCTCGCTGAGCCGTACGTGATCACCGCACCTGGCGTGGAACATGATTTCGCATCCTCACCGGCGTCTTTGAGACAAGCACCGGAACCCGGAACCCAGAACCCAGAACCCGAGGAGCCCGCACCTCGGGACGCCGGACAGCTGATCGATAATCAAGTAAAATGAGATAAGAGGCTTTAAACTGACTCTTGATAACCAGCCTATAAACTTTCCCATCACTGATAAAAACAAAACAAAAAAAATTTAAAACAACAATAAAATATTAAATTTAAAATATTATAAAATAATAAAAATAATTTTACAATGTCAGGAACAATTAAAAACGAGGAAATGATCGAAATATTAAGTAAACAATAATGGTAAAATTGCGGAGGGGGCGCCATTAACACACCGATCTACTATAATCAAAGAAAACACATCAAAACATCCTCAATTCTTTTTTATTTAAAAAAACAATCATCCCTATAATTATATATATTTAAAAAAAGAATTTTTGTGCTTATTTTGGGTTATAATTGTCCGATTGACATTTACAACACTGTTGGTCGTAACCTCGCGTAGAGTGTCACGCTGTGTCTTAAGTCAGTTAATCAAAGTCGTTTTAAGTGGTAAATACCCAAAGTTTGACCTAAAAAAAACCTAAAATTTTGCAAAATGGGAAAGAAGAAAAAGACGGGCTTAGGACGTGCACTCGTCAAGGACAGGTTTTCGAACAGAGGGCAGAGGAAGAACGACTCCATGGTAAGAAGTCTTAAATCTATATTGAATACACAGGTGACAACCTCTCCTGGTATTTTTTGCCGACTTGGGGTCCTGATTGTAGTCAGTATTGATCATATATGGCGGTTTTATAAAGAGAAAGTGGTTCCAATCGATCATCGAAAGCGGAATACTAAAGAAAAATCATTTAAAAGTCTAGCTCATATGACAGACTATATTGATCTTGTGTCCAGTCAATAGTTTTATCCCTCAACCTTTTCAAATATTGACCTGTGAAAGTTCCTACCTCTCCTTCTTGATCTATAATTCTGTACTGATGTAAGGAAATCAATAGAATTTCTGGACCTTTTTCGTCCCCACTTGACCGCTAAGATCTCTCTCCGGTCCCTTAAGAAAATGCTTCTTTAAAAGAAATCATAAATACTGAAACATTTTATTTTTAGTAATTCAGGTAATAATAAAGTGTATAAATTGGTTTTTGTAATAAAGGAAAACTATTTTACTAAGGATGTCATCGAAAACATCCACATTTCTCGCCGTACATGACTGCCACCACATAAATTTGCATAGTTCCAATAAACTTCGGCGAATACCCCACTGCCATTCATACCTCACTTTTGCTTTTCCCCATACCCTTTCAACGGACTGCGTATGTGCAAGGGTGGTCGGGTCGACAAAATTGAGATAGTGGTTCATTGTCATATGGCGGAAACTAAAATCCTGGGATAATGTTTCGTACGCCTTCCACTGATTGGATATGTCAGACCCAGCAGCGATCACGAATTGTGTGGGATGAGAGTGGCAGCCGATCTGTCCAGAACAGCGGTTGAAAACTTTTTCTCGTTTCGCAGCAAATGCCACCAAAAACCCACTGCTGTGGTAAGATTCTCCCGGTGTTCTCACAGTGATTCATAAATTCCCACAGTGCATTTGGGGCCACCAATGCGCAAATGTGTGCTCAAAATAGAGTTCGCACAGGCTTTGTAGTTGCACAAATCAACGAACGTGTTATGATTTATACTTAACTCTCTTTCACAAAATTTAACGCTTACCATTTTGTACGCCCAAACGTATATGAACAGCACGGTGGTCAGATATGGCAGTCTTGAGCCAGTTAGATATGTGTTAATTCTTAAAGTAATTTTCCGCTTTGTAGCACCTCCACTTATCACGCGATCCTGTCAAATGCAGCCTCGCACAGTTAGTGGAAGAATGCCCTGTTCCTGAAGGAAACAAACTGCCATTTCCTTGTTTTGATAGCGTCAGATAGTGCGAAAAAAGTTCATTTTTTTAACACCGAACTCTTTGATAACGTATATAACTGAGTAAGATAACGTATTTCATCTTGTTTCTAAACATAAGGTAAGATAGGATAAGAGTGGAAGCCCAGAGACCTGACCTTTGACTTTATTTCTTTCACCGAGATAGGTCGAGTGGGGGGAGGGACATGCAAAAGGTTCATATTTCTTTTAATGTATTTTTCAGAAAAATATCCCCTTTAAGATAGTCAATATTGACCTGTTTGATATGTAAGGTTTTTATTTTGTTTTTTCAATTGACAGCTGCACACCGCAGAGCTGAATGACGGCTATGACTGGGGCCGTCTCAACCTAAGGTCGGTGACAGAAGAGTCGTCGTTCCAGGAGTTTCTGTCCACAGCAGAACTTGCCGGCACTGAATTTCAAGTGAGTATGCTCATTTGCCAATATATTTGGTAGGTTTGGGGATGTGGTCCAATGAATGTTCTGGCGTTGAAACTACGCCAAGCTTTTGATGTTTTATTTTACCTTCCTCAGAGCTAGATTCTCTGTCAGTATTTAACATTGTTTTTTCTTCTCAACATGTATAAATATTTTTTATCTTTTTATAATTTATTATACTATATACAATATTTTTTTTTAAATAAAAATTTAAATGTCTTTTACATTCTTATTTGTGATCATGAGATGCGGTCTGGTGTGATGTAGGTTTTAGAAAAACATTTATCGTGCCAACGTTTCAATCTTTATTTAGATCATCTTCAGCGCTCAAAGTATTTGTTTTCTGTGTAGATGTGTCATTCTTGCGTGTTGTGTTGAGAGTGGTCACTAAATCATCATTAACTAACGGTCACTAAACACCACACATTTTACATTCTGACTTTGTCTGTGATAATAGTTTTTAAAAACTGCCATTTATTTATTTATTAAAAAACATTGTATTTAGTATGTGAAATGCCAAAAAGAAAATTTATTTATACATGTTGATAGCAGAAAACCATTTTAAATACAGGCAGAGAAAGTAGCTCTGAGGAAGGCGAAATAAAACACCGAAAGCTTGGTGCAGTTTCAACACCAGAACATTCATTGTAATTGAGGTCTTTTTTTTTTTTTTTTCTTCTGAGTACAGGCTGAGAAGTTGAATGTCGCATTTGTCAATCCAAGTGTCGGAATTGGAGTACTTACTAAAGAAGAGATGGCACAATTCCAGAAGGACAAGGAAGAGAAAAAACACCTTTTGAAAATTCCCAGAAGGTTGTTTACATTTCTTTTTTTTTATATTTTTAATTTTAATTTTTTTTCTTTTTAATTCAGGCCAGAATGGAATGAGACTATGACAGCTGATGAGGTCCAGGCGAAAGAAAAAGAATCGTTCCTCCTCTGGAGGCGAGGACTTGCATCGCTTCAAGAAGATTCTGGGATCATACTCACCCCATACGAGAAGAATCTCGAGTTTTGGAGGCAGCTGTGGAGGGTCGTCGAGAGGAGCGACGTCGTCGTCCAGATACTCGACTCGCGTAACCCGCTCGCGTTCCGTTCCGAGGATCTAGAGTCATACGTCCATGAGGTAGACCGGCAAAAGAGGAACTTACTACTCGTGAATAAATCGGACTTCCTTACACCGGGGCAGCGCAAATTGTGGTACGAATATTTCACGTCGGCCGGCATACGGGCCGTTTTCTTCTCGGCAACCGAGGCGGCTGAAAAACTCAAGGAAATTGAAGAAGAAGACGAAGAGGATAATTTAATCACAAATCGACAAGAAGACGTAAAACAAGAAAAACAGAACGATTCAGCAGATAAAACGGCATGTGATTATTCTGACGCCGATAATTCTGATATTTATAATTCAATGGTTGAAAACGACCACCCCCTATCTGAACAGTTAAAGGACCTGACTGTAATGGAAAGTAAGTACAGCAATATTAACTCTACTATTTACTATCTATTGACTGAGTTAGTAGTTACTAATTAGGTCAATATTGTTTTATATATCTCATTATTTTGCAGATTTCGGCTAGTACAGGTCAACATGATACATTAGTGTAAGGCTTATTTCTTTTTTAAAAAATGATTGAACACTCACTCCATCATTCACCATTTCTAAGACTTAATTTTACAAAATCGCATTATTGATTATCTATTGATTCAGTTAATTCAATATTGATTCATAGATCACATTATTGATCATATCATCAATTGTTTCACAGTTAGCATTATTATCTATTGTCTGGGTAAGTTCAGTATTGTTTGACATGCCTTGTTATTGAGTAGTCAATTAAGTAATTAAGTCAAAATTGTTCAATATACATTATTGTTGTCAGCCTTAAGGTGGCCATTCACGATCGCTCCAAATGGAACCGCGCCAAGCCGTACAGCTCCATTTGGAAATTTGAGGGGCATTCACGACCGCTCCACAGCCAGTCGCTCCGAACGTCATCTAGTGAATTACCTTCTCAAAATGGATGACGATCTCTTGTGCTACGCTGCTGTTTGTTTATATATTAAAGGCAAAAAACCAAAGAGGAAATGGTGTAAGAAGTGGCTCCTAAACAGAAGTCGTAATACCCACATCAATTTGGTGAAAGAACTTTCCCTTGAACCCGCTGATTGGAGGAACTATTTAAGGATGGATGAAACGTCTTATTTATTCATTATATTTAGTGTTCTATTGACCAAATTACTTCTTTCAATTATTAATCTTTTTTGTAAGGTTTTAATTGAAATGAAAAAGCTAGTGCCACGAGAGGGATCTGAATCCATGGCCTTTGGCAAAAAGAGAGAAATTTTGAAAGGTTGTAGGTTGAGATGGGGGGTTGGTGTCTGAGTGGATCGAACTATCGAAATCACGATAGCTCAAGTGGTTAGAGCAGCAGTGTATTTAGCCGAATGTTGTGGATTCGAATCCCCTCGTGACACTATTTGCATATTTTCATTTCAACCAAAACATTACAAAAAAAATATTAACTTCTTATTTATTCAATTAATTAAGGTTTTTAAGTTGAGATTAAAAAGTCAGTGTCACGTGCGGGATTTGAACCCACGACCTTCGGCTTGATACGTTGCTACTCTACCACTTGAACTATCGTGACTTCGATCCACTTGGGCACTAACTTCCCATCTCAACCCCACTCTCGAATTTTCCCTCCTGTTTGCCATTTTTCAAGTCAAAAGAAGTCACGATGGCTCAAGTGGTAGAGTAGCAACGTATCAAGCCAAAGGTCGAGGGTTCAAATCACACTCATGACACTGACTTTTTTATCTCAACTTAAAACCTTAATTGAATTGTATTAATTGGTCAAGCGGACCACGAAAAATAGTGAACTTAAGTCTTATTTATATTTACTCCAGCTTGTTACCCCCTTGATTAGAAAACAGAAGACAGTCATGAGAGAAATCATCACTCTGCATGAAAGGTTGGCAGCCACTTTACGATTTCTCGCTACAGGGATGAACTATGAAGAACTTAAGTTCTCAACTACGATTTCTGCTCAGCGCTTAGAGGTTATCAATACTGCATCTCTCATTGCATTTGTTATCCTTTGTTTTGAAAAGATCGACAAACTGGTTGAGGACTGAATTGCTTTTATTTCGATCATGGTAATCATTGACAACCACTTTCCATAAACATGGTAAATTTTCATACAATTCAATCACCTCAACAATAAAATCTCGATTGGATGTCATTGTCAATAAATAATAAACGTTTTTGACTTTTTGAGAATGTACGCCGGAGATGTTCGCTCAGTGACAGAAAGACGGAGACTGTGCCAAAAAATGCTGGTTTTCCCATTCACGAACGCACCATGCCATCATCGTGCCGTAGATGTTTGGAGTGGTGCGATGGAGTTTGGACCGGTTGAATATTCGGCTCAGCTGGGCATGCCAGTTATTTTGCCATTGACGTGATTTTTGGAACGGCGTCGCTCCGTTTGGACTGCTAGGAGCGATCGTGAATGGCCACCTGTATGGCTATAATGTTTCATAAATACATTATTTATTGACTTAAGGTTAATATTGTTTTATGATTGCCATTGTTGTTTGTTCAATTATTGAGCAACTTTGGCAATATTGTTTTACAAATCTCATGAAAAATGGCGAAAAGGAGGGAAAATTCTAAAGGTGCGGTTGAGATAGGAAGTTGGTGTCTGAGTGGATCGAGGTCACGATAGCTCAAGTGGTAGAGCAGCGGCGTATCTAGCCGAAGATCGTGGGTTCGAATCCCACTTGTGCCATTGACTTTTTTATCTCAACTAAAAACCTTAATTAATTGTAATTGTTTGATATATCCCATTATTGCCTTGCTTTAACAATTGGGGTGTTATTGTAATAATTGACTGGGTTAAGTCAATACTTTTGTTTATCATACGACATTGTTTATGTATTGACTGGTTGAGGTCAATATTGCTCACCTGTTATCGCTCTTTATTCTGGGTCAATATTGTCTATTAAGGTGGGATGATGGCACTTAATAGACATGCCTTAGATCAATTATTGTTTTCATATTGACCTGTTTTGTTTATTAAACTTTTTTTTTTCAGATGGGAGAAAACCTTGGGATTTACTCGGACGGGAGGAGCTCATCGATCTTTTTGAGAACATCCTTCCAAAAGACTTTGAAACTCGCATACCCGGTGTAACTACAGTCGGCCTTGTTGGATACCCGAATGTTGGCAAGAGCTCAACGATCAATGCCCTCATCGCCGGGAAGAAGGTTTCCGTGTCAGCGACGCCGGGCAAGACAAAGCACTTTCAGACACTGTATCTTACGAAGAGTGTCATGCTCTGCGACTGCCCTGGCCTCGTCTTCCCATCACAGGTTTCGACCAAGGCGGAGATGGTACTCAACGGGATCCTTCCAGTCGATCAAATGCGAGACCACGTGCCGCCGGTATGCCTGCTCTCCTCGCTCGTACCGAGGCATGTTCTCGAGAACAAATACTCCGTCATGATACCGAAACCGCTGCCTGGCGAGGACCCAGGGAGGCCGCCTACGCCTGAAGAATTCCTCAATGCTTATGCCTGTTCGTATTTAACATTTTTTAACCATTTTGTTTTTATTTTATTTTTTATTTTATTGAAGATTCAAGAGGGTTCATGACACAAAATGGCCAGCCAGATAATCCGAGGGCGGCGAGGTACGTTTTGAAAGATTTTGTACAAGGGCGACTGCTCTATTGTGCTGCACCTCCCGGTGTTGAGCAAGATGAATACCATAAGTTCAGATTGTCAGATAAAAAAGTGCCATTTCCTACGCCGCAGGCTACACGGGCTATACGGGTAAAACTACATAGTAATAAAATTTAAAGTCGATTTTTAATTGATTTGTTTCTCAAGGTGAACAACGTAAATGGGAATGACGTCGACAGCAGTTTCTTCCGCAAGGACACGCCCGGCGTGCATAACAAGGGTGTTGTGAAGATCATGCCTGACGGCGTACAAACGTAAAAAAAGTAAATAAAAATTAAAGCTGTTTTCATTCACAGGACTTTTTTTCTTTGCAGATTTGGAGTGCAGACGACGACCGGCGCCAAGCCTTGGAAAGACCACTCAGCCAAGAGGAACAAAAGGGAGAAGTTGCGCCGAGTCTACAGGCATTTGGACGAGTGATCATCACGGGTGATAAATCGATGTTTTATACTGTACATAACTTCGGGTCCTCATGTATGAACTATCAATATACAATCGATTGTTTATTTAAGTTTTTTCTTTTTTTAATAAGCGTTTCCTTAACAGTTTGTATACAAATGTCACAAACGGAAGAAAAAATAGTATAAACAAATTCCTTTTAAAATAAGAGTTTATTATAATTCATGAAGAAAACCAAAACAAATTATTTAAATATTCTTTTGAAATAATAATATAAAATAAAATTCTTCTTTTTTCTCAAATCCCAAATAAATAGAAAATGACTAATTATCAAAATACAAAACAAACTATTGCTAAAGGTAAATTAAAAGGGAAGGCTCACCTCACGAGGCCAGGAACGTTTATAAAATAAAGACTCCACTGGTTAATTTGAAAAACACACAGCTTGGCCCTTCTCAATTTTGTCCTTTCAGACTGACCACTGATTCAAGACTCCTCTTGTTTAACTCTTACTCCTTTGGACCCCTCCCTCTATGCACCTTATTGGCCTGTTGTAAGGAGAGAATTGATATCTCTTTGTTTATTTTCAGTTATATTTTTTTTAAATTATTTTCCCTTTTTATTCGATAATTTGTAAGGTTCCATCGAATGGGAACGTTACACAAAGGTGTTATTTATTGACTAGGTAAAGTCTGTTTGATGTGTCACATTATTTTGCGTATATTGGCCTGCAAAGGTCAATATTATTTCACAATTAATGTTGTTTGTTTAGTTAGTGGGGTAACTGGTAGCAGTCTTGTTTAAAAAATCAAAATTATTGATTGGGTTAGGTCAATATTGTTCAATAAGCCTTAGTGTTGTCAGTCTTAGTGAATATTATTTCACAAATTGTTTTATTTTGTATTGACTGGGTTAGGTCAATATTGTTTTGATTTATAACTTTTTTTTTACAGATATTGATTAGCTTAACTCAATATCACAAATATGTTATTATTTTACAGTTAATTAAGGTTTTTAGTCGAGATGAAAAAAAGTTAATGGCACGAGAGGGATTCGAACCCACGACCTTCGGCTAGATACACCGCTGCTCCACCACCTGAGCTATCGTGACCTCGATCCACTCGGACATCAACTCCCCATCTCAACCCACCTTATGAATTTTCCCTCCTTTTGCCATTTTTCAACAACGACATTTGAAAAATGGCAAAAGGAGGGAAAATTCATAAGGTGGGTTGAGATGGGGAGTTGATGTCCGAGTGGATCGAGGTCACAATAGCTCAGGTGGTGGAGCAGCGGCGTATCTAGCGAAAGGTCGTGGGTTTGAATCCCTCTCGTGCCATTAACTTTTTTTCATCTCGACTAAAAACCTTAATTAATTGTAAAGTATTAATTGGTCAAGCGGACCACGAAATTAGTTCATTTATGTTATTATTGATTGACTTGATTAGGTCAATGTCGTTTGATATGCCAAATTGTTGTCAGTCTTAGGGAATATTATTTCACAAATACGATATTATTGACTTGATTAGGTCAATGTCGTTTGATATGCCAAATTGTTGTCAGTCTTAGGGAATATTATTTCACAAATACGTTATTATTGACTTGATTAAGTCAATGTCGTTTGATATGCCAAATTGTTGTCAGTCTTGGGGAATATTATTTCACAAATACGTTATTATTGACTTGATTAAGTCAATGTCGTTTGATATGCCTAATTGTTGTCAGTCTTGGGGAATATTATTTCATAAATACGTTATTATTGACTTGATTAGGTCAATGTCGTTTGATATGCCAAATTGTTGTCAGTCTTAGGGAATATTGTTTCACAAATACGTTGTTGATTGACTTGATTAAGTCAATGTCGTTTGATATGCCAAATTGTTGTCAGTCTTAGGGAATATTGTTTCACAAATACGTTATTGATTGACTTGATTAGGTAAATGTCGTCTGATATGCCAAATTGTTGTCAGTCTTAGGGAATATTGTTTCACAAATACGTTGTTGATTGACTTGATTAAGTCAATGTCGTTTGATATGCCAAATTGTTGTCAGTCTTAGGGAATATTGTTTCACAAATACGTTATTGATTGACTTGATTAGGTAAATGTCGTCTGATATGCCAAATTGTTGTCAGTCTTAGGGAATATTGTTTCACAAATACGTTGTTGATTGACTTGATTAAGTCAATGTCGTTTGATATGCCAAATTGTTGTCAGTCTTAGGGAATATTGTTTCACAAATACGTTATTGATTGACTTGATTAGGTAAATGTCGTCTGATATGCCAAATTGTTGTCAGTCTTGGGGAATATTATTTCACAAATACGATATTATTGACTTGATTAGGTCAATGCCGTTTGATATGCCAAATTGTTGTCAGTCTTAGGGAATATTATTTCACAAATACGTTATTATTGACTTGATTAAGTCAATGTCATTTGATATACCTAATTGTTGTCAGTCTTAGGTCCTAAATTGGTTTGTTTGTTAGTTCCATTGTTGTTTGTTCGATTATTGGGTAACTTGTTGCAGTATTGCTTCGCAATTCACATTATTATGTATTGACTGGGTTGGATCAATATTGTTTCACAAATAACATTGTGGTTTGCCTATGGTTGACCATCCTGAGATCAATATTGTTTCATAATTAACATCGTTCAGCTATTGACTGGCTTTGGTCATTTCTTATTAATCTTGGGCAAAATTTTTCTCATCATTTTTAGATACTGACTCTCATAAGTCTATATTGTTCCAAATCCATCATTATTCCAGGTCAATGAGTATTTGAAGACATGACGCAGTGTCAATATTGAGCGTTTTCTTTTCCAAGCAGTACTGGGAAAATTGTTTGTGGAAAAAATAAATTTAAAAAACACATGTTCAATAATATTTTTTTTTTTTTTTTTTCAAAAAATATATATACATTTAAATAACAGGTATAACATAAAAGAATAAGAAAAAAAGGTTTTAAGGGGGCGCGATGGACGGGAGGGCGTTGAGTAGAAAAAGGGCATCGATGGACAAGGACGAAAAGGTTAGTTATAAGCTTTAATACGATGGGATGGTTCTACGTTGTTGTTTGTTTTGTTTTTTCTAGCACCTCCTCCAGTATACCAAATTTCATAACAGGGAGCGTTACAGCATGAACTACAACAGTTACGAGGCGGCTATAATCGACCCAGAGGAGAAGAAAGTGCGCATGCTGCAGTATACATTCCCTGGTTACAAATTGCGTTCGATGAAAGACTACCAGGAGGGCGCTACGCAGACCCATCTGTCGATACACGCCAGCCTCCCCGAAGGAGAGAATGCCAAAGTTAGTTTCATCAGGCTGAAGTAAAAAAAAAAGTTAATATTTTTATCCGTAGTTGAAACAGGAGATGAGTTTGGAAGAGTGCAAACCAGAAGTCGCTGTCGAAACAGCCGTCAAAGAGGCAAAGAAGGAGTTGAAGATCGACAAGAATGAGAGGGGCTCCCTTGCTGCACACGGTTGGGTCGGGCCTCCCCTCATCGTCAAGATGCGCATCAACGACTTCCTCTTCATCGAAATCACTCCTGTAGCACTTCCGCCTGTCCTGCTACGGCTTAACAAGGGCGCCATCGACCATCACACCCTCGAGGTAAGCCATCTGTTCTGAAAAAACTAATACAACTTAGAAGTCTTGTGTGTCATGTCTAGCTATGTCACTTTTTCCAAATTATACGACCAGTGAAATTATACGACCAGTGAAATTATACCACAGTGATGTGCCCATGATCTACCTTAAAATAAATCATAAATGACAAGTATAATGTTGCCCTTGTTTGTTGTATCATCATGACATTGAGGTACTTGGCCATCCTCCAAAATTTGCCATGATTTGTGTGGAGAGATCTTACTGATCATTTTGTATTTTTCAGATCAGCGTCGTACCAGGTCCGCAATTTGTGCCACAGGTCGTCGTGATGATCAGCGGCCTCGAGATTTACCCCCACAACCAATACAATCTGCTCAGCGTGAACAAATCCCTCGCCAGGAGGCCGATCATGTTCATTGACTCGGGGCGCAACACTCAGGTCAAGACAGGCGGTCGGTGGCTCGGCAAGAAGGACGGGATGCAGAACCTCGCCATGGCTGAGTGCATGCTCGATCAGAACCAACCGGAGGAGGAGGAGGTTGAGGACGAAGGGTTTGACATGCCCCAAAGCTGGCTCCAACTCCACTATGACAAAATGCAAAAGGTGAAAGAGTACCACCTGAACAAGTACAAATTAGAGAAGGGTACAGATGTGTCGCCCACATCCGTGGGGAACCCGCTCAAAGTCCTTTTTGAAAGGGATTACGAGCCTTCATACAAACACCGTTCGCCAAAGCAGATGAAAAAGTTCCACCTTGAAAACAAGCTGATGTACTCGAAACACTTCATCTACTCGCCGCACGGCACCTTGAACAATAGAGACCGCACCAATTCCATCACAAAAGCACACGCGGCCACATCGCACATGGCATTCCTCAAAAGGATGGTGCCTTTGAACTTGGTGCCCAGCGGAGAAGAGCTCGACTATATCGAAGCCGATCCGAAAGCGACGAGGGGAAGGAGGGGCACCTTCTACCCTCAGAACGAGGTCTACGACACGCCCTTGTCCGAGATGGATGAACCGACGAATGCAGGTCTGCCTAAAATCAATAAAATCACGATAGAAAACAAGGAAAACGAAAAGAAGGATGAAGTGGTGTCAGATGTTCCGGTTCCTAAGATCGAAAGATCCAACAGCTCTAAAGTCACCTGGACACACAACAACCCCAAAAGGGGTAAGTATTACAAACTGTCTTGTTGGTTTTTTTAAATATTTATATATATATTTTTTTTTTCTAATAGAACATTTGAAAAGTGTGCTGCTACATAGAGAATCTATGGTGGATATGCAGATCCAGCCCTTGGTAAGCGATTCACCAAAACATGGCAGGACGACATCAGAAGAGTATGCCCTGGCTAGGATCAACAGGTACCTGCACGCACGAGGTGCCAGTCCCGTCTCCCCGTCACCACATGGGAGCCAGCCCTACCAGTGGGGCGTCGAGGAGGACCAGACGGTCACAGACCGCCTTAAACGCGGCATCGACAAGCTCGGCCAGACGATAAACGAAGACCGGAAGAGCACGACACTCTCCCAAAAAAGCTTTTTTGGCAATGCAAGCCGTAAATCCTTCAAATCTGACGAATCTGACCGTAAAGAGGCCAGGGGTAACTCCTTGTACAAGAAAAAATCCACCATTTCGGTAGACAGTTTCAAAACTGCGAAGGAAATGAGTGAAGCCGAGGATAAGAACAACAAGCGGAAAACGCCACAGAAGAGGAAAAAAAGCCTCAAGAGGCACTCGTCCAAGGACCGACCGCTTCCAACCATCAAAGAAGAGAGTCCAGCATTTGAGAAAAGCCCGAAGAAGTCTTTCACGGACATGGCCTTAGGTATACAGAAAGAGATGAGCCCCATACGAGACGAAATCAACAGCCTCAGGGACAAAATGGCCAAAGTGCGCAGAAGCGACCAGCAGTCAGAGGTCCCAGTCACCATCGCCAAAGAGAACGAGCTGAGGAAGTCTCTGCCACAGAGCCTCGACGCGGAGCCCATCTGGGAGTCAAGGCATTCAGCTGTGAGCGTATTCCTCGAGCCCCCCTCGCCCCAGACATCGTCCATCTCAGGGGACGAGAACCAACCCGAAAAGAAGAAAGGAGTCAAACGATTCTACCAGAGGTTCACAAAGAAAAAATAACCCAAAAATCCCCCCCCCCTGAAGAAATGAAACTTTTTTTCTTTTCAATTTAAAAGTTGAGCCGTTTAGACAAAATAAAATCCTGTCATTTATCAAAACAAGTCGCCTACTTCCTGTATCAAAATTAAATCAAATTTAAAGGAAAGTAGCAAAATTTGAAATACATACCGTCAACAATTGTAGAAAAAACCGTATACTCTTTAAAAAAAAAAAAAAATAGAAATTCTTTTTGTTTTTGTTTTTTACCGGCGGCACGTGGAGCGTCTTTGTTGATACCTTCCTGAAACTTGGAAGTCAAAAATGTATAATTGAACGAACTAGTTCAAACGTGAACCCCCCCCCCCAAAAAAAATAACTTGTCTGGTTATTCTTTTATAGTGAACTTTTTTCCATACAGCATTAATAGAACTTATACGTTAATAATATATATAGTATATATAATTAATAACCTATTTTTTGTCCAAAAAGCATAAACTGGTTCGTTCGAACAGGTTTTCTGAACTGGGTCAAATGAACTATTGACCGGTTCTTCTTTTATAATGAACTATTTTTTCTTCTATTCAGCATTGATAGAACTTTTTTTAATTACCTAAAACAAGTTTAAATTAATTTTTAAATAACATTTTTTTGTCTAAAAAGAATAAACTAGTTCGTTCGATCAGGTTATCAGAACTAGTTCAAACGAACTATTCCCCCCCAAAAAATAATGACCTAGTAGAACTTCTTTTAAAGTGAACTACTTTTTTTCTTCTTCATACATGATTAATAGAACTTTTTTTTAATTACTTAAAAGAAGAAATTAATTTTTTTAAACGATTTTTTTTCGTTTTCTAACAAAGCGTAAACCAGTTCGAACGAACTAGGTTATCTGTACTAGTTTAAATGAACTATTCCCAAAACATAACTATTGACGGTTTTTCTTTTATAATGAACTTTTTTTCTCCTATACAGAACTAATTTTGTTTTCTTTTCTGTTCCGCATTAATACTTTTTTTTTGTCAATAATTGCTTAAAACAAGTTTAAAACAAATTTTTAAAAACGAAACAATCTTTTTTTTACTTCTTTAAAAACATAACCTAGTTTGTTTTAACTGTTCCATGAACTAGCTCAATAGAGCGTACCGTTTCGATAAGTACGACTTTGGCCTTTTTGAGTCAAAACCTCTTCCGCGCGACTTTCTTCCTCGCCACCCGAGAAAAAAAAACTAAGTTTTTTTTTACAATATACACTTTACACAATGTTATAAAATGGTTAAACTTAAAAAAAAACCATATGGTGAAAGAACACGATCCGGTCGGCGGAATCTGAGATCGCGGGAGGAGCAAGGGAAGAAGGGTGAAGATGATGAGCAAGAAAGAAGGTAGTATGCATTTTAATAGCAACATACATTATATACAACATACAAAGTTTAAAAAAAAAAAAACATTGATAGAGATTCTTCCGAGTACGTCGGCCATTTTGAGTTGTATCGTGATCATGATCACGTTCTAACTCCCTAAGTTCTTTTCCCCTTCTCTCCAAAGAGGTTGAAAGTCTGCCTAAGCACAACAATGATGACGACGGGAAAGAAGTAAGTATTTTAATGACAACTTAAAGAAAACATTGGAGGGTGTACGTCCAGATGGTAGTCGACCATTTTGTTCTTGATCATGATCACATTCTAACTCCCAAGGTTATTTTCCTCTTCTCTCCTCAGAGGTTGAAAGCTAAGGACAATGATGATGACGAGTAGGAATGAAAGATTTGTTTTAATAACAAAAACAATGTACAACATAAGTAACAAAATAGATGAAGCTTGTTCCTTCAGATAGGTCAACCATTTTGAACACGATCGTGTGTCCAACATTATGTTCAAATGCCAACTATACAGCACTCGACTCATTTTTTTCTGTTTTTTAAAGGTTTCAACGGGATGAGGAAGCATACGAAGAAGATGGAGGAGACTCACGAATCGGTTTGTTCGTCCAAGATGGTATGATAAAGGTTTTTTGCTTTTGTGACATTCTGTAATTAATTAATTTTTTTGAAGCTGCGTCGCAAAGAGAACCAGCAGGACAACAGGCAACATTACAGCATGGACTACCGGTCATATGAATCCGCCCTCGTCAAACCAGAGAAAAAGGAGAAGAACACCCTGGACTACATGTTCCCCGGCTACGAGTGTAGAGACCCTCGTGACTACTATGAGAAAAGCATCCAGTCCAAAATATCCACGAGCAAGACACCAGGGACGATGGAACAATTGTGGGTACGTTTCGTACATTTGAGCCGAAAGTCCTTTAAAAAGAATATTGATCGCATAATTTTTTTTTTTTTTTTTTTATTTGGGACTTTTGGACAAAATGTTTATGATATGTTTATTTTTAATTGTGAATTTTTAATTTTAATAGTTGGGAGGATAACTTTATGGTTTGCGATGAGAAGAAGGTGAAGGTTGTTGAGGAAGAGAAATTGAAGGAGGATGCACTTCATTGCGATGAGATGGTGCGTAGCGCCTCATTGGCACCGCACGGCTGGGTTGGACCGCCACTCACCGTCAAGCTGAAGCTGATTGACATACTATATATGGAGGTGACGAACGTAGGTAAGAACCCTAGGGTTCTTCGCCTCCACCAGAAAGCCCTTGTAGACAACACACTCAAGGTCAAAGTCGTCCCAGGGCCGTACTACGTACCTCAGGTTGAGGTGTCGCTCGGCCACAAGCGTCTCTTCCCTGATGGCAACCACGAGAGCCTCATAAGGGAGAATATCGTCCCGCGCTACCCTTCGCTCATATTCGCCAACTACCGCTTCACCAAGCTCCAGAAGACGCGTCCTTTCATTGCTACGATGGAAGGCATGAACCAACGCTTCTTTAGGTTTGACGAGTTCTCCAAGGACGACACGGACATGCTGCCGACTTGTAAGAAGCAAATCGACCTGCCGGACAGCTGGACGGACATCATCAAACTCGAAGAGCCAGTGTTCAGACGTGAATACAGGCTCCATCGATATGATGAGAAGGATGAAAAAGAATCCCATTCGAAAGGTGCGCAATCACTTAAAGTGGTACTCCCAGAACGGACGGACGAATACAGCCCTTGCGAACGCACCATCATAATGGATAAAAATTTCGTTGACAAAAAGCTATTATATTACAACCCTTTCAACGAAGTTGAACCAATACCAAAGATCAGACATGCTCCAAGCAGAAAGAACCTCAGGTCGCAGAAGTCTGAAATCTGGGAAGCGGATTCCAACACTGAACTCATCCCTACACCTTCTCCTCCGCCCGTCACACCTCCGTTCAGTCCACAATGGCAACTATCAACAGAAAAACCTGTTAAATTTTCAGTAGAGGAAATGGATCTAGTTTCAAAGGAGAAGCCGGTTAAAGGTTCATGCAGTTGTGACTATTTATCGCCTGTGCCTTCGCCAGAGAAAGCGTTCGCCATTCCATTGAAACAGCCAGAAATAATTATATATCGTTCGCCGCTGCCGTCGCCAAAGCATAGTTACATTGTACCAGCTGGTAAATTACAGATTAAAACAAGCATATTACCGACTCAACCGAGCAAGATGCCCAGCGACAACAGGATCGTTCAGGATGCTGCAGTTGGCAGCAGGGACGCCCTCAAAGACCTTTCCGGATCGTTCTTGGACATAACCGAACTGCCCAAGGACAACCCGCTGCTGCCCAAGTTGGTCCTGAAGAAGATCAGCGACGAGATTGAAGAAGGACACGACGAGAAGCAGATTGGAGCGAAGGAGAAACTACTCATGCACCCGTTGGTATCACAAAGCTCGGGGTTGAGCGCCGATTCGGAAATGAAATGCAGCATGAAATCGAAGGGCGACGAGACAAGGGAAAAGCGTCCCAAGTCGCACATGCTCACAACGCAGCTGTCTACGACACAAGCGTCCAAGGTTGAGGACATGCTGAGGCAGATCGAAAATGAGATGACACCCGTACAGAGGCAAATGGACAGCATACACTCGAGCTTAAGAGAGGCAGGCATCAATCTGAAAAAGACCTCAAAGGAAAGCAACCTATAAAATCACAATAAAAATATTAAAAAATCGTATTTTATTTACAAAGAAAAACAAAAGGAGAAAAAGGTTTGGATATTAAATTAAAAAAACAAAACAAAAAAAAACTTTTTTTTTTAATTTTAATCGAATCAGTAGAACAGGACGCAGTGGAGGATCGCACGGTTGCACTTCTGCTCATATGTTGCAAGCAGGTTGTCGATTTCGTTGTCCAAGTCATCCGCATTGGACATCTACCAACAATTTAAAATTTTTTTTTTTTAAACAATTAAAAACCAAATTTATAAAAAAAATTACCATTGTTATGAGTTCGCAGATGAGGAAAGCACCGATGGTTGCCTCCTCGTGGTTATCCTGTATGTCGATGTTGATTATATGAACGCCCGCGCTGTCTTCTGCCGTCCTGTTTTCAAAATCTTACCAAAAAAATTAAATATAATATTAATAAATGATCATAATTATATTACAATTAGTTATAATGTAATAAATTATGGTAGATTATTAAATTATAATTAAATTATTATAATTATATTATAATTAAATATAATAAATTATTATTAATAAATTAATTATAACGATATATCCATTATAATTACTGGTCTATTGACCAAATGACTTCTTTCAATTAATTAATCTTTTTATGTAAGGTTTTGGTTGAAATGAAAAAGTTAGTCACGAGTGGGATTCGAACCCACGACCTTCGGCTAAATATGCTGCTGCTCTACCACTTGAGCTATCGTCACTTCGATCCACTCGGACACCAACTCCACCATCTCAACCTACAACCTCTCGAATTGTAAATTGAAAAATGGCAAACGGGAGGGAAAATTCGAAAGGTTGTAGGTTGAGAATTGGGGAGAGTTGGTGTCCGAGTGGATCAAAGTGACAATAGCACAAGTGGTAGCCGAAGATCGTGGGTTCGAATCCCGCTCGCGGCACTACCTTTTTTATTTCAACCCAAACCTTACATAAAAATATTAATGAATTGAAATAAGAATATATATTGAAGTCAGAGCTGTTACAGAACTCAGAAGGGAATGTAGCTAAACTAAGAAGTAACCTTAGCCATTTAAGCACCCTTAAAAAATTAATAATTATAATATATAATATTTATAATATCTAAAAGTTATAATATGATAAATTATAATTAATCCTTCACAATTATATTATGATAAAATATAATATAATTAATTATAATTTAAAACTTATAAATAATTATTAATAATTAATAAATTAAATATTATATTAAATACATTGACAGGCAAAAAATTTTACCAAACTGATTTTTTTTTCATTTTCTCGATAAAAGAAAATTCTGCCCTTAATTTTCTCATTATTTTTATCAGTAAATATTTGTTTATGGTATGTTTTAAATTGGGAATATCAATTAGACGTAAACACACTTAATCTTAATCCAAAATAGGGATAAAGGATTTTTCAATGTTTAATTTTTACTGAATTTAGAATGTTTATTCAAACTCATTTGAATTCTGAAGCAATAAACTGTTTAGTTTTCATCTATTTTTCTTAATTTCAATATTTAAACTTAAAACTGCCACTTAGTGCTGTGGATGTTGCGTGTGGTGTGGCACTTATTGATGATGGACGTTCCATCAGGTATGCGGCTATTGTTTTGTTCCCTACTAAACACTGTGAGACGCCGTTAGAAGTTTTTGAGAAACTGGGTCCTACTGTAGAAGGCCCGGTTCTGGATGATAGAACCACAGGATGACCGTGTTTTGACTTTGAGAATTTTTTGCAAAACCGGCACCTTACTGTTTTTCAAGCAAATCATCGGCTCCAGAAAGTTCGAGGTGTCCAAATTTCTGAACACACTGTTTGAAGATTAAATCAGTATGGACTGATCTTTTGATTGGAATAGGACCAGAATTGACCAGAACACACAGATTTGCACAACAACCATTTCCTTGAGAACATATCCATTGGTTTTTAATCGATTGGTCTGCTATACTTTTTACAGATGAGTGTATATTTGCTCTACGATTTCTAGAGTGTGGAGAAGGCAGAATGAAAGGTACGAAGCTTGTAATTTTTCCCAGAGCCAATGTTTTCAATGTAGCTCATTGACAGTGTGGTGGGGGATTTTTTGAACAGCTGGCTGTTGTTCGTAGAGGGTCTTTGACGGACACTCACTATGTGGATGAAATTTTTGAACATAATGCGTTGCTTATCCTCGATGAAATCAGTGTCAATCCTTTTCTAATGCACGATAATGCTCGTCCACATGTCGCTCGGATAGTACGAACGTACCTTCACCAGCATCACATCAGGGTCTTAGCCTGGCCAGATGGTTCTCCAGACTTGAACCCCCACGAACATAACCTCAAAAGACGAATAAGAGCATATCCATCACTTCCTGATACACTCCACGATCTTGAAAGGGCTCTTGGTGAAAGAGTGGGCTAACTTCCAACAAAGGGACAGATTAGTCCAGGATTCCAGACGTAGAAAGTATGCTGAGGTGACTTCAAGATGCAATTTAAAAAAAATCTAAAACAAATTGTATCTGTCCGTCTTTTTTAAATTTTTTTATTTTCCTTAGCGATTAACTTTTTTTAAAAATTTTTTTAGACAAAGACTCAATTATTAAATGTTAAAAAACGTGAAATTTTGATTAATATATAAAAATATATACAAATCAAGTTATATAACAAGTGGGCGGAATTTTTTGCCAGTCAGTGTATAATATTATATAATAAATATATTATATAAATATGATAAAAATAAAACGTACATTCTAGGACTTGGTCGTACACACGCTCTTCGCATGTCACGACGACGTCGAACTTGTCGTCCGCGTCCTGGAACCGTTCCGGCCTAGTTTTGATCCTCCTGTTTCGATCGAGCATGTGGAGGAGGCCGTTTTGCGTATAACTGTTGTATTAATTAAGAAAACATAATCAATTATATTTAAAAAAAAAAAAAAAAAAAAAAAAAAGCCATCTGAAAGGATACAAGTTGTTGTCTTTGTTCTGAAGGTCCTGGTAGATCTCGTCGTATGTCGAACTGAAGTCATAGATGTTGGGACGGTCGAGTGCCGTACCGGGGAGTTTCACCTTGTCGCCCGTGCCATACGATTTCACTTTGAATCCCTTTTTACTGCAGAAAAAAAATTGAGTGATGACTGACAACAGGATTTTTAAATTTGTTGCGGTCAATCCAAGTCCAAACAAATCTGAGTAGTCAGACTGTTTGCAGGTGATGGATGTAGGCTTGAGTTTTTACTGATAAATCACAAACTGTGATTGATACGGCATTTCATTCACTTGAAAAAAACAAAAACATGCCAAGATTGAGTTTGTCATGGTCCATTGCAGACCAACCAATTTTAACTGATATGAGATTAACCAAATTTAAATTGATAAAAAACAAGGCCAGAACTGAATTTGTCAGTCAGCAATTGATCAAAGTGATTTTTTTAAATATGAGGTAGACAAGCCCAGGATTGGGTTTGTGCAGATCGCAACGCCTACCAAATTTGAATTATCAGACAATTTATGAAAAGTCCAGACTGAATTTGTCTTAATCAATTACAAGCAGATTAACTGATATTTATATTGAATTAGGTTGGCCACAATCATTCGTTGACTGGCCAAGCTTGATTGAGCAGACCGTTTATAAAACGGCAGAAAGTAGACAAAACCAAAAGTGAGTTTGTCTCGATCAATCATATACAGGCAGGTTAACTGTAATCAGAGGTTTATTACATTTAACTTGAGAGAAAACAATTTCGGGACTGAGCTTGGTTTCTATCAATCACAATCTATTAGCCTGCGACTGATCGAACCATTTACAAAAAAGTTATAATTTTACCAAGAGGCACATAGAGTCAACAAGATTAGGGATTAGTTTGCCATAATCATCGCAGGCAGATTAACTGGGATTGATCCAAATTAGAAAAACAATGCAACGTTGCCTCTATCCATTTCTGTGATTTCTTGTTTACAGCAAAGACAGATTAAAAGCAACGCCAGCACAAAGTTTGTCATAATCTGTCAGCCTGCGATTGATGTATACAATATAACATGTATACAAAAAATATCCGGATTAATTGAAAATATCCAACTGTGATTGATCATAGCTTTTCATGAGAATAATTAGTTTAATTACAGAACTGGAGTCGTAATCAATCACAAGAGTGTCATTCTGCAATCAATCTGAGATTTAATTAATTTAATTGAGAAAAACCAGTGACCAGCTGCAATGGCAGACTCAGTCCTCGACTTAAAGTCAAATCACATCTGCTCTGACTGTGATCGATCAGAGATTTAATTGAAAAAACACGAGACCTTGGGTTTGTCTTAATCAATCACAGTTTGTGAGCATGTGATTGATCATATAATGTACATGAAACATCTAGATTGAGTTTATCTTGATCGTTCGAAGACCAACTGTGATTGATCAGAGCTTTTCACGAGGCAAATTAGTTTAATTACAAGACTAGAGTCGTAATCGATCACAAGGCCAACTGTGATTGATAAGATACAAACGAGGCAAACAAGGCCAGGACTGAGTCTGTCGCGATTGATCGTTTACACGTAAAAGACTTTTTCACCTGAGAAAAGCGTGAGCTTCCATGCTCCTGTTCATGTTGCTCGAACAGACGACGGCGACGTTGAGCGTAGATGACGGCATCGTGATGATGTTGGGGCCGGAGTCAAACGGTCATGTCTCGGAACCCTGGCCGAAGTTCCGAAGACTTTTTAAATTTATCCCCCCCAAAAATAATTAATAATAATAAAAGACCCCCAAAAATTTAAAACAGGTCGAAGAGGAACAGGACTCCTGGAAGAAAGGAAAGCCTTCCTTCGCACCTTCTCTCAATCAGGGTTTCAAAGAGTAAGGTCGCAACTCGGAACAAACGATGAGGAGTCGGTATGACGCCTTAAATTTCCCGTATGACATCATTGATTACTTTTGTTTTATTCTTATCGTTAAGAATTTCAAAATAAAAGTATGAAATTAATATTTAGCTGTTTGTAATATAAAATAAAATTTCGTTTCTCTTATTGAAATGTTTTTAAAGTGAAAGGGTTTGCTTTATTCAACTCCAAATATGACGTCATAAGTTTTTTAAAATATTTTTTATTTTTCATAGAACGTTTTTCTTTTCTTTTTTTTAATAGTAAATTTTTTTCAAGTGTTTGGTCGTTATTTGGAAGAGAATAAAAAAAAAAAATAGGAATGGAGTCGTTCGATCGATAAGGCCGTGGCGAGGAGGGAAAGGTGTTTCGGCCATATTTGATTGTTCTGTACCCGATGTGCGTCCCTTGTGCACTTTCGATTGAACTTTAACGAAGTTTCCCGAGCTTTTTCCCATTCTAAAGCATTTAAAGAGCGTCCGTGAGGACTTTTAAAATCTTTTTCCCCCTCGTTTCTCTCATTTCGACACCCGGCCATGGGCGATATGTCGACCGACCCGCCCAACTCGCGGCTCTTCATACTCTGCAGCAAGATGACGTCCGAGGACGACATACACGAGGCGTTCGACAAGTTCGGAAAGATCGAGGACATATGGTTCGTCATGGACAGGGAGACGAACGAGTCGAAAGGTTGAGAAAGAAAAAAGCCTGAAAAAGAAAAAAAAAACATTTTATTAACTGTTACATTCTTCCAGGTGTCGTCTACGTGAAGTATGCCAAGTCTTCAGAGGCGGCACTCGCCATGGAAGAGATGAACGGCAAGACGCTCGGCGGCATGGGTAGAGCGTTGAAAGTCATGATTGCTCACAGGTAAACGTTTCACAAAATTTCATGTTTAAACATTAATTTTGCATTACGTACGATTTGCTTGTGACCGTCTTGTACAATCCGTATGAGGCGATCAGATCAGTTCACTCGGGCAGCTTGAGAAAGACGACCGAACTATGCTGCCCTCACTTGAAACTGATCAGTGTAGTCTAGGCCTTTAGTTGAACTACATTGCAAACGGTCTCTGATGTCTGGAATGATGGTTGAACCTGTTGGTTGGAAAGACGGCCGAAGGATTGTATCAATTTACCTTAAATGATCATTGGAGGATTTTCCTATAGTTTTTAATCTTAAAGTTTAAAAAAATTAAAAATGTTTTATTTTCAGTCGAGAGCAGGGTTCGCGGAAGGAAGATGACCCCGAGCGCCTCCAGCGCCTGTTTATAATAGTCCCAAAGACTGCAACGGAAGAGGACATCAAGGAGCACTTCCGCCAATTCGGCGACATCGATTATGTTTCAATCGTTAAGAAGAAAGACACAGGCGAGAGCAAGGGAGTCGCGTATGTCAAATATTTCCGTGCTTATCACGCCGCCAAAGCGTTCGAAGAGTGCAACCGCAGTTACAAGGCCGTGTTCGCGAGGCCGCGTGAATCAAAAATGTCGCAGAACCATGAAACTTCGACAGACAGCGGGTGAGTAAGCGATAATGCTGTAAATTGTAAGATTGTATAAAAATTTCTCGACAGTTCTACATCCAGAAGGGGTAATTACGGGGGGCCTCCGCCTCCAAGCCACAGCAGTGGGCGGTGGTTGAACAGCAATGCTGAGGTCCAAGGGGACAGCCGTTTAGTCGCATTCTTGCATTCCTCTCTCCAAGATGAGCAGATTTACCGTCTCTTTGACATCACACCTGGCCTCGTTGACATAAGACCCCAAGCCAATCGATCTGTACGTTTAATATTTACTTATAAACATTGTTTTTATTATTATTATTGTTATTGTTATTATTATTTTTTAGTATTATGGAATGCAAAAAGTTTTGGTTGAATATAATTGCCCTCCTGCCGCATCTTACGCTTGTTCAAAGCTCAATGGTTTTGAGTACCCGATCGGTAATAGGATATCAGTGAAACCATATTTACAAGGTATGATCAATACAGATGAAGTAAGGATGCCGATTCAGATGCCGTTGAAGGAGATTAATGGCGCATCAAGCGGTGGACCGCAGGGCGGAACGACTACGATATCCAACAACGAGCTTGCCACTCTCACAGCCGCGCTCGCCAAGGCGGAAGCGATCATCAGGTCAAGCGGTCTTGGTGGCGGAAGTGGAGGTTCGCAGAGCGGGCCACCATCCGCACCCAAGCAGGATGCCGCCGAGGAGACGTTTGACCCGGCGTACTGCTCCGTTCGACTCCCACCGCCCCAGCCACTTGCGGCGCCGACTGACGAGCCGACACACAGGCTGTTCGTCGTCTGTCAGCCCGGCCTCCCATCCATGTACGCACTGCGGGACATCTTTGGCCGGTTCGGCAACCTCGTCGAGGTATACACGCTTCAGGGGAAAAACTGTGGATACGTCAGTTATGCCACTAAAGAATCTGCAGACAAAGCCATCAAGGTGATAATAAAATAAATAATTTAAAAATAAAATAATAAAAATAATTATTTGTTTTCTAGACTCTTCATTTCCAAGAAGTATGCGGCATGCGGATTAAAGTTATGGTGGCCGACCCGCCTCGTAATGAAAGGAAACGGCTACGAGTGGATCAAGACTCCGATAACTGAATTTAGGTGAGGACATAATTTTTGTTTTCCACACTTATGGTATAGACCTTTGCTTGCATATTCTGGGATGGAAAGATGAGGTGAAAGTGTTCCCTGTCACATCCTTCAGTGAACAATCCAAAACGAAGAGGTATTTGTTCTGCATTGAATGAGATGTAAAACAAACTGAATGTAAAAGTTTGTATCGGTCTAGATTGTTGGTGAACAAATTGAAACAATAGGGGATTGTATTTGTCCGAGATTGTTGTTGGCGAACAAACTGAAAGTTTATCAGTCTGAAATTGTTAGTGGTGAGAAGCATAACAAACCGACAAATGGTTTGTATCGGTCTTAGATTATTGTTGGGTTTTTTCCCTCTCTTTAATGATAGATTCAGGTAAATAACTATTGAACTGATTTTTTTAAATTTATGCTGATGCCTACCAGGGCCAATCTGTCTCCCCCAAATTGAGTTTATTACTCAAACAAGCCCTGAAGAGAGGAACCAGATTGGCCCTGAAATGAATCAGAATCATTAATCATTTTAAGTTCACGAGTTATTTACTTAAATCTATCATTGAAAAAACGTTAACAAACTGAAGGTGGCTATATCGATCTGGAGTGGGAGTAAAGTAAAACAATAAGCTGTATCTAGTCTGAGATTATTTTTATTTATTTTTTTTGGGGGGGGGGGTAAACAAAGTGAAACCAAGAGGATTGTTTCGGTATGAGATTGTATAAAGATAACGATATACCGCCTCATACATGCCAGAAGTGCAATAAGGTTAACATTTAATTTTATTACAATTAATTAAGGTTTTTAGTCGAGATGAAAAAAAGTTAATGGCACGAGAGGGATTCGAACCCACGACCTTTCGCTAGATACGCCGCTGCTCTACCACTTGAGCTATCATGACCTCGATCCACTCGGACGCTAACTTCCCATCTCAACCCCACCTTTTGAATTTTCCCTCCTTTTTGTCATTTTTCAAGCGTCAAGCGGACCACGAAATTAGTGAATATAATTTTATTTTTTATAATCATTATTATTTGTGTCCTAACGGCATTGTTATTTTGGCATGGTGCCAACATTGGAAATAATTGGTTATAATTTCTCTTGGCTTGAATTTTCTCTTTGACCATCGAAAGCATCCTAGCATAATGATTTTTCTGCTCACTTCTACTATTGCCGCACAGCTCAATAGAGTGCGATTGTTGTTGGGGGGGGGGGACAAACTGAAAGAAGTTGATTTCAGGTGGCTTGTGGTTAAACAAAAGGTTTGTATCTGGTATCTAAGGTGGGGGGGTTTAAAAAACGAGATAATCCAGGTTTGTATCAGGGGGGGGGGAAACAAACTGAAACAGACGGAACAGGTTCGTCAAGTCCCGAAACACGACTGGACGCCACGCCACATTTTTCGTTTTCTTTTGTGCAGGGGGTATTTTGTGATATCCCCTGATTGGTAATGACAAAACCGACAAGGATTCATGATAAATTTTTAAAAAATGTAGATTTAAAATGGATTAAAACAATGTAGTAGTGTATTTTCTGGTTTGTTTGTTTTTTTTACGTCGGCTTTTTTTCTCTTTTATTTTGACTTGTTACGCCCAATTGAACTTTTTACGTTTTACCTTCTTTATTTAGAGATTTAAAAAAGCCGGCGGTTTAAATTAAAAAGAAAAAATAATTAAATGAAACAACAGGTACTAAACAGAAACTTGTCTATGTTTACAGAACTACACACAAAAAAATAAAAACCGATGAATTGGGACCCTACTGACCGAAACAACAACAAAGTAACTATAGCAAAAATAACTCAGATAAACAAAAAAAAAAAATAAACTACTGAAAAAAAAGGATTACTGACCCAACAGGAAGGCAGACGAGAACACAACAGAAAAAAATTTGACTTCTTTTCTTTTTTTAATTATTAATCTTTTTTACCTCCCCGGAACGGAACTGAGAAAGAAGACTAGACGAAAGTACAAAAAATAAATATAATAGAACAAGTATATTAATAATAATATACAAAAATAAAGTGGAGAAAAAAAATATAGCATAGTGTTTAGACATTTTTTCTATAAAAAAAATACATATATACACACATATGTACATATAGAGTTGTGTCTTGATTTTACTAAAACGTAATTATCAATCAAAGTTCAAAGGAGAAAATCTTAAATCCGCCTTTTTTTTACTGAACAAATTAATTTAAACGAATTTCCTTCTCTTTTGTTTTAATAAAAAGTAATTTTTTAACTTGTTTTTTTTTCTTCTAATTTTATTCGATCAACTTTAATTTTATTACCTACCGACGTAATATTTTTCAATCAACATGTAGTCAAATGTTAAATAAAGATATATTAATACATCCTATATCGTATTCTTTCCACCTCCTTTTATTATTAATCAAATCTATATGTGCAAGCTTATAGATTTGTATCTGGGCGGGTGGGGTTAAAACAAAACTGAAACATGAAGCATGGTCAGATTGTTGATGGGTGGGGGTAAAACAACTTGAAAAAATCCAACAGGACATACTTGATGCATTTAAAGATAGTTGCCAAATGGAAGAAGAAGAAAAGGAAGGAGAAAAAAGGTAAGTAAACAAATAATTTATTATAAATTTATATACAAAAACATTAATGCTTGTTGTTTTTGTTTGTTTTTTAATTTTCTTTGGTCGAGCTCCTCGTCAGCATTGATTTCGCAGACTTGTCGAACTTCCTGTATGAGACAAAAAAGAAAAAAAAATTTTTTGTAATAAATAAAAAATATGGAATGCTTACTTAGACTTGATCATTTCGCCCGGTATGTAGAACGGGTTGCATATCACATCTATGTACGCCGAGTGGATGTTTTTCATCATCTGACGGGAAGAATTTTTTTTTTAATGAGATATTTCAAGTGTGGTGGATTTCAATCACTTTTTGAATTCAGGATCTGGCTATACTTACCGCCTTGATCTCATTCTCCCTGGGCAGGCTGGTCGACTTGAAAACTACGACAAACTTGATCTTCGTGTTGGTCACATAGCCGTATCTGGTCGTATGTGAAGGAGAATGTAGAAAGTACACAAATTCCAAGGATGCAACCGTTACGCCGGAGTTCAACCCAACTCAGACAAAGTGTAAATAAAATTAATACTTTTATGGAAAAACAATACAATCTGGTGTACTGCATACTTGAAGCAGAACATTTTTAGTATTCAAGAATACAAAAAGGTCCGACCTTCACTGTCGAGTTAACAGTACAGTGCAACAAGAAAACCTACAAATCTCGGTATGCCGTACTGTCAGTTGTCTCTGAAGCCAGCTTTTAACTACACTACTACCAGGTAAAATATAGAATAAGTTACATAAAAGTTGTACAGCGAGACAAGAACAAAATCAGTCTGTTCAGTACACCAGATAACACACAATGCAAAATTTAGAATAAATTATGTAAATGTTCAGGACTAGCAATGGTACGCCAAGATGGACAATCTATCCACAACCTTGGCTTTACGACAAAGTCAGAGTCACACACAGCAGGTGCTGTAAAGCAGTTGTTAGTCTGTTCGGTACTTTAGCACTGGCATGTAAAAGAATTACATCAAAACTAGTCAGTGAATGTATCCAAAATCTCCAAAACCTGGGAGAACACAACAACCTGATGATATCTTGGGTGCCAGGGCACAGGGGAATTCTGGGTAACGAAGAGGCGGACAAACTGGCCAGAAGAGGATCTGCAAGACCATACATAGGCCCCGAACCTATCCTTGGGATAACAAAAACAAACATAGATTCCTCCATCGCAGAATGGATCCAAACAAAACAAAGAGAGAAGTGGATAAACTCTAGCGGTGCTAGACATAGTAAACTTATGCTGAAACAACCCTCACCAAAATTGGCAAAAACACTGCTGCAATTGGAGAGGGCAAAACTCAGAGGAGTGGTGGGACTACTAACCGGTCACTGGTATCTGAGAAAACATCTACACAACATGGGTATATACAGCGATGACCCCATTTGCAGATTATGTAATGAGGAGGAGGAAACAGCCACTCATATCATCTTCGAATGCGAAGCAACAGCTCAATGGAGGTTTAACCTAGCGTACGAAAAAGACACAGGGAACCAAATTGCAGCAATAACAGTCAATGACTTGATGCTTCTGAGAAGAAGGATTGAGTCTATTGACTAAACTAGGGAACTGGGAAGGTACAATAAGCCAGAAGGCTGCAGTGCCCGGGGAGTGCAAACCCCGCTTCCTAGTATCCTTTTCTACCATACCATTCTACCATACCATACTTCATGACTGCCTCTACCAACAAGGAAAAACATATTAAATTATGTAAAAATTCAGAGGACGTGCTGGCCAATCTGTCAACCTTAGCTTTATGACAGTCAGTCATGCACATCAACAGGCATAAGGCAGTCGTCTGTCCATTCAGTACGCCATATACTCAACAATCACTTATCATAAGGTAAAATATATAATAAATCATATAAAACTTTAGAAGAAATGATGGTGAATTCATCAACCTTAGCTTTATGACAAAGTGTAACATTAAAGTCTGGCATATTAACCAATGAGTTAAAGCGACCTGATTGCCTGCTACGCCGTATGCCTTACGGGCAGGCAAAATAAAGAACAAATTGGATAAAAACTCATTTAAGAAAAAACAATGACTGTTATCTAGGACAGTCGGTTGCGACCTTATTACTAAATGGATAAAGTCAAACCATAGACTCTTTCTTATCGACTTAGGCCAAAAGGCAACCCTGCGATTGTTCGGTATGCCATAAGCCTTTCAGTCTGGCAAAATATGGAATAAATTTGAAACAACGGTCGCCTTGATGGCCATCGTATCCTTGGCTGGTTGGTTAACAATACGATATTAAACGTACGTCATCGTACTGAAGACTTGGTCGTACCATGTATTTTGAATAAAAAGGTTACAGCCTGTGTTCCTCTGTCGAGTAGAGCAAGCCCAGGTAGAGGTCCTCGACGCGTTTCTCAGGCTGGAGCTTCTCCTGTATAATGTCCAGTGACATGTGAACCTTGTAGTGGAAGTCGAGCTCTTCTTCCGGCTCATAGCAAGCAACATATTTCGGCGCGTTCTAACCAGTGTTTTAAAGAAAGAAACAAGAAAAAAACTACCATGTGTTATTTTGTATTTTAATCAATTTTATTAGTACAACAAAATAAATTCACCTCCTTGCCGATAACGGCAATACAGACAGCCATCGCCGAATTGACAGGCAATCCTAGCTGAGAAGGTTATGAAACCTCTATCTTCGGAAGAGCGCAGGTCGGACAGACGCGAGCCGTGACGTCACGAGACGGGAGTTCACCGATTAGGATATGGCCAAAACGGCCAGGACCATCCTCTCGGCTATCGTTCGGCATTGCCGTTTCTCGTCGGACGCCAAAAATGGTGAGTTAAACAAAATTTTGTTGGTACTCAACAGAATAGATTCTCCATCGAGTCCATACTGACTAGAGTGAGTATCGCGGTCCCGGTGTTTGGTGAATTGAGTGAACGATTCCGAAAAAACTCAATAGCATCGATTCTCCATAGTGTTCATCTTCACTCGAGTGAGTTTCGCGATTCGAGTCTTTAGAAAACCAAATGACAAACGGCTCAATTGAATCGATCGAAAATCGAGTCTTATGAATCGATTCTGAACTGAGTCTAGATCGACTCGATTCTCAATCGGCTCAATAGAATCTGTTCTAATTCGAGTCAATCTTGAATCAACTCATTCGTGAATAAACCCAAACAGCTTAATATTCTCAATTTAATCGAGCCCAAACGGCTCAATAGAATCGATTGCATCTTAAATGTATTCACAATTCAGTCCATTCTTAATGTATTCTCAAGCTCATCGTATATCGATTCTTTCGTGAATCGAATTCTCAATTCAGTCAATATTGAATCGAGTCAACTGAATGGATTATTAATCGAGTCAACTGAATCAATTTTTAATCGAGTCCACCCTGAATAGGTTTTTAATCGAGCCCATCCTGAATTGATTTTTAAACGAGCCCATTTTTACTTGAGTCCTCCCTGAATCTATTCTTAATCGAGTCCACCTTGAATTGATTGTTAGTCGAGCCCGACTATTCTTTGACTGGTATTAGAATTATAACATTGGTTAGAACCTGACAGATATTTGCATCGGGGTGAGTGGATGTCATAGGAGCTCATAAAATAAAAAGTGGAGGACTTTTTTTTACACGTTCCCTCTTATTTTTAGAAGGTGATGGCACATCAGACCTACCAGTAGCCCTGTCCTTTCTCTAATTTCAGCCCTGTCCTTCAAGATCCCTTTCTTCGTTTTAATCGTCTTGGTGTCGTTGAAGAAATGCTGCGATTTGAATGTTACAGTTTCAGAACGACTCGAGAAGAGCTTCAAGACGCTGTCCGGCTCCCAGAGCAAGTCCCTGCTCAAAAAGCACCTGAGTGCGGATGTGTTCAACAGCCTTAAAGGGAAGAAGACGTCGTACAACTCGACCCTAATGGACGTGATCCAGTCTGGTACGGAGAACCTCGACTCCGGGATCGGGGTGTATGCCCCGGACGCCGAGGCGTACACGGTGTTCGCGGGCCTGTTCGACCCGGTCATAGAGGAGTACCACGGAGGTTTCAAAAAGACGGACAAACACCCGGCGAAGGACTGGGGCGACCCCGGGTCCTTCGGCGACCTCGATCCGAACGGCGAGTTCATCATATCGACCCGGGTCCGATGCGGTAGGTCCATCGAGGGCTACCCGTTCAACCCTCTCCTCACCAAAAAGAACTACTTGGAGCTGGAGGAAATGGCGAAGGAGACGTTCACGAGCTTGCCGGAGGAGCTGAAAGGCGTCTACTACCCACTGGTCGGTATGAGCAAGCCCGTACAGAAGAAGCTGATAGACGACCACTTCCTCTTCAAAGAGGGCGACAGGTTTCTCAAGTCGGCCAACGCGAACCGGTTCTGGCCCGAGGGTCGTGGGATCTTCCACAACAAGGACAAGACGTTCCTCGTCTGGGTCAACGAGGAGGATCATCTGAGGATCATATCGATGCAGAAAGGTGGCAACGTCGGCCAGGTTTACAAGAGGCTCGTGTCTGCTGTCGAGTGCATCGGTAACTGCCTCCCCTTCTCGAGGAACGAGCGGCTCGGCTTCCTCACCTTCTGCCCGACCAACCTGGGCACGACGATACGAGCCTCCGTCCTCATAAAACTGCCAAAGCTGGCGGCGGACAAGTCCAAGTTGGAGGAGGTGGCTGCCAAGTATAACCTCCAGGTGAGGGGGAGCCACGGCGAACACTCCGAGGCGAAGAGTGGCATGTACGACATCTCGAACAAAAGGAGGCTCGGACTCACCGAGTTCAACGCCGTCAAAGAGATGAACGACGGAGTGGCACAGCTCATTAAAATGGAAAAACAGCTTAAATAAATTATGTAATTTTTTGTATTATATTTTAATTGTTGTAATCTGTCAAATGTAACGAGTCAACGACATGAATCGGTTCTAAATCGACTCTAATATTATCTTTCTTTTAAATACGTAAATTTTACTTTTTTTTATCATGATGACATTCATGCAGGAGGGGGAGGAGGTCTGACAACGTAAAAAGGTCCCTGTAATAATTGTTTTTCGCGAAGTCTTTTTTTATTCGCGTATGAATTCGCCCACGACTGTTTCCCATTGAGGAAGTGGTCAAGGTGGTGAAGTCGATAACCGGCGCCCACTCCCACGACGAGACCACTTCCCAAGAACCATCAATGAACTCGGGACGCCATTGAACAACTACGAGACGGGACACCACGACGCCAGCCAGACCGGTAGGCGGGTTTCGGCCCTTCTGATTATTCTCCCCCCTCCCCCACAGCCTATGTCTTTTCACCCTCAGAAAATATTTTTATCTTTATGTTTTATTATTATTATTTGTTTATTTGACAAGACCCTTGATGTAGTTTGAAGGCATTGGGCGTCTCCACTTGACGATGTTTTCACCGTGGGACGACACCCCGTCCTGGCTCTTTCTAGGGGATGACACAAAGAGAGGAGCAACGCGATTCGCTTACCGTCGGCCGCTCTTCTTCAAAATGACTCATAGTTTCACCAGAAAAAAAATTATGAAACCCGTCCAAGGGAAGTTTTCCAAGATTATACGTTTTCAGAAGATTTTTTATTTTATGAGGTCCTATTAACGGTCTTTATAATTATATTAACGCTTTTCTTTAGGACACTAAGAAAGTAAAGTCGCAGAATCGATTCGATTATGTAAAATAGACTCGGTTGAGAGTCGTTTTACGAAAGACCCGATGGAAATTCCATTCGTGAAAGGCTACATTTATTGAGCAAATTAAAGTCATTTGGTAAACAGAGTCGATTCATGAACATTATTGGAAATCGAATCAAGAAAGATTCGATTCCGGATCGATTCACGTTTGAATCGATTTAAGACATAATGGGTTTGGAATCGATCAAGGTATACTCGAATGAGAATCGATCCTATTGAGCCGTTTTTTTATTGATGGAAGAAATACGGCTGAAAATCGATAAACAAATGCTCGATTCGGGATAGACTCACTCAATTGAGTGAGTCGTTTATGAATCGATTCTCAATTGAGTTAGTCTATCGGGATTCGATTCTTTAGTGAATTTAGGGAAACTCGAATCGTTATAAATTCACTCAATTGAGAAGCGAATCAGATGATTCGTTTAGGAATCGATTCTCAATTTAGTGACTATCACTAATCGAGTCAGTAATGAATCGATTCCCAAACGGCTCAATTGAATCGATCGCAAAGGGTCGAATCACTCATTCGAGCATTGATCCAATTGAGTGCAATAGTAATTTGGAAATTGATTCAAGATGGAATTTTTCACGTGAGTCGAATGAGATTTGATTCACTAAAGAATCGAATCGCGATAGACTCACTCAATCGCGAATCGATTCTTAAACGAATCATCTGAATCGAATCGTTTTTCAAATCACTTAGTGAGTCTATCGCGATCGATTCATTTGAGCCGTTTGGGAATCCATTCAATGTAGACTCGAAAGAGGATCGATTTTCAAACGATTGGACTGAACTGATTCTTTAAAGAGTTTGGTGAAACTTGATTGAGAATCGGTTCAGTACAATCGTTTGAAAATCGATTCTCTTTCGAGTCTATATTGAATGGATTCCCAAACGGCTCAAATGAATCGATCGCGATAAACTCACTAAGTGATTTGAGAAACGATTCGATTTAGATGATTCGTTTAAGAATCGATTCGCGATTGAGTGAGTCTATCGCGATTCGATTCTTTAGTGAATCAAATGTCATATTAATTTGGAAATCGATTCAAGACGGAATCGAATTCAGGATAGATTCAAGATAGAATTTTTCAGTTCAGTCTAATGAGATTTGATTCACTTAAGAATCGAGTCGCCATACTCACTCAATCGCGAATCGATTCTTAAATCTCAAATGGCCGCTGCTATCGGGAGTCGACTCGTTAATGCATCGATTCTCAAATGGGTATTATATTGGAATCTTTTCTCAAATCAGTGAGTGAATATCGCAATCGATTCAATTGAGCCATTTTGGAATAGATTCAAGGAGGATCGATTTTCAAACGATTGTACTGATTTGTGTCCCTGTTGACAATCGTCTCAATTGAGTGAATCGAATACGAATCTTGTTTCATCATAATCGCTAAAGAATCGAATCGCGATAGATTCAGTCAATCATGAATCGTTTCTCAAATGAACGAGGCTGTCGGGAGTCTATTAATTTCTTAATCGATCCTCAAATGGTTATTATATTTCAATCGTTTCTCAATTCAGTGAGTAAGTATCGCGATCGGTTCTCAATTGAGTCGTTCGGGAATTGTAATACACTATTGACTTGATTCATGAAAGCCACTCAATTGTGAATCTATTCAATTAAGTACAATAGGCATTTGAAATCGATTGAAGATAGACTCGAAAGAGGATCAATTTTCAAAAGAAGATTGTACTGAACCGATTCTCAATCGAGTAAATCGACTACGGATCGTTTCACCCAATTAATTAAAGAATCGAATCACGAAAGACTCACTCAATCGTGAATCGTTTATCACATGAGCGAGGTTATCGGGAGTCGATTCGTTAGTGAATCGGTCCTCAAATGGCTATTATATTTCAATTGTTCAATTCAGGGAGTGAGTTTATCGCGATCGGTTCAATTGTCCTTTAGTTCGTAAACTGCGAAGAGGTTTGAATTTCGGCGGTAAACTTGAAGGGCGGTTGGAAGGGAGTCGGTTGAAGGTGGGGCGTCGGGCGGCTCCTCGCCCTTCCGTAACCCGTTATCCATCCGTAGATTTTAGGAGTGGCTCAGTCGGTTTCGGGCCGTTCGAGGAGGTAAATGGACCGGGTCGTCTCGAAGGATTGGCTTTGTAAACAGCTCCGCGCCAACCCGTCAAGGCTCATCCTCCTCGACTGCAGGAGCTCGAACGAGTACGGGGAAGGGCGGATAAGGCAAGCTGTGAACCTGAGCATCCCGAGCATAATGCTCAGGCGTCTCGCCGCTGGCAAGATCGACCTCGCGTCCACGATCAAGTGCAGGAGGCTCAAAGAGAGGATACTCGGATCGGTCAAAGACAACGTTTTCGTCCTATACGACGACGGGAGGGACAGGTCCGAATCGGTCAACATACTCACAAAGAGGCTCCTTCAAGATGGCTCCAACGTCTTTTACCTCCAAGGTGAGTTAAACCACTTAGAAAATTACTTTTAAAAAAAACCCACACACACATAGCCCTCCATTCTTTGAGTTTTCATTGATCAACGGACGGCCTCGCCCCACTCCCACGCCCTGATAACGCTCATTCATCCGCTCGCGGAAAACATGCACCATCCTAACTTCAGACATAATTTCTTTTTTAAAACAAATATACCGGATCAACAGGTTCCAAGGGTATACAAAGACTTTTCATGTGAATTGTGATTTTTTTAAAAAATTGTTTTCAAAACTCGAGCTCCAGTCCGTCGTGTTCAATTGGTGACATTGAATCAGGAGACGTCCTGAGTTTGTTTATGAGGTTTCTTCTGTGGTAACAGGAGCTTCGTGCCAATTGTGTGAGCTCCTGTTTAGTCTGATAATTTTTTTGCCTAACTTGAGCTCCTGTTAATTTTCGTACATTTGTAACAGGAGCTTAAAGATTTTTTTGTCTAATTTGAGCTCCTGTCCATTTTCCTCCTTTTGTAACAGGAGCGTAGAGATGTTTTGCCTAACTTGAGCTTCTGTCAATTTTCGTCCTTTTGTAACAGGAGCGTAAAGATTTTTTGCCTAATTTGAGCTCCTGTCCATTTTCGTCCTTTCTTAACAGGAGCTTCAAGATTTTTTTCCTAACTTGAGCTCCTGTCAATTTTCGTCATTTTGTAACAGGAGCTTAAAAATTGTTTGCCTAATTTGAGCTCCTGTCTATTTTCGTCCTTTTGTGACAGAAGCGTAAAGATTTTTTGTGCAATAATAAAAAAACTTTTTTCTTAAATTTACCTCTCTGTTTGACTTTTTTGTAACATGTGCTTTGTGCTATCGAGGATTGACCTCTTGTTTAGTCACAACTATATCACGAGACGTCTGATATTTTTTGCCTAATTTGAGCTCTTGTCAATTTTCGCCCTTTTGTGACAGGAGCGTAAGATTTTTTGCCTAACTTGAGCTCCTGTCAGTTTTCGTCCTTTTGTGACAGGAGCGTAAAGATTTTTTGCCTAATTTGAGCTCTTGTCAATTTTCGCCCTTTTGTGACAGGAGCGTAAAGATCTTTTGCCTAACTTGAGCTCCTGTCAGTTTTCGTCCTTTTGTGACAGGATCGTAAACTTTTTTTGCCTAATTTGAGCTCCTGTCCATTTTCCTCCTTTTGTAACAGGAGGGTAGAGATGTTTTGCCTAACTTGAGCTTCTGTCAATTTTCATCCTTTTGTAACTGGAGCCTCAAGGTTTTTAGCCTTACTTGAGCTCCTGTCAATTTTCGTCCTTTTTTAACAGGAGCTTAATGATTTGTTTGCCTAACTTGAGCTCCCGTCAATTATCGTCCTTTTTTAACATGAACGTAAAGATTTTTTGCCTAATTTGTGCTCCTGTCCATTTTCCTCCTTTTGTAACAGGAGCGTAAAGCTTTTTTTGCCTAACTGGAGCTCCTGTCTATTTTCGTCCTTTTATAACCGAAGCTTAAAGATTTTTTTGTGCAATAATAAAAAAAACTTTTTTTCTTAAATTTACCTCTCTGTTTATGTCTTTTTTGTAACATGTGCTTTGTGCTATCGAGGACTGACCTCGTTTTTAGTCACAACTATATCACGAGACGTTTGATATTTTTGTGTATTTTTTTGCCTACCTTGAGCTCCTGTCAATTTTCGTCCTTTTGTAACAGGAGCTTGGATCAGGAGACGTAATGAGATTGTTTATGAGGTATCTTCTATTGTCCCAGGAGCTTGGTTCCATTTAACCTGAGCTCCTTTCTTTTCTTGCTTTGCGGTAGTAACTTACTGCTATTATGTATTGAGCTTCTGTTTAGGGGCAACTGTATCAGGAGACGTCTGAGAGTGTATTTGTCGTTTTGTGACAGGAGCGTAATGTTTTTGTTACCTAAATTAAGCTCGTTTCCGGACTCTTTATATTTAGGGAGCTGTTTAGTTACAACTGGATGAATCGACGTCAGATATTTTTTGTGTAATTTTTTTGTTTGGAACAGGACACATCCTGTGTTTATTATTATCGTTTGGTAATTCGAACTCCTGTACAGCTTGTTTTTGTGTGTATTTCTCGCCAGATTTGAGCTCCTGTCCAGCCTCTTATATTTGGGAGAGGAGCTTATTGCTATCTACAATTAAGCTCCTATGTAGTCGCAATTGCATCAATAGACGTTCAATGTTTTTGGAAAGTTTTTTCTTAAATCGAGCTCTTCTCTGTTTATTTCTTTTTGCAACAGGAGCTGTGTGCCATCGAGGATTTCGCTCCTGTTTAGTCGTAACAGGTTCGGGAGATGTCTGATATTTTTATATATTTATTGCCTATTTGAGCTCTTGACTCTTCTCGTTTTTTTTCTGGCACTAACTTGGGGCCATCAAGGATTGAGCCCCTATCAGCCGGATCAGGAGACATTTTTGTACATTTCTTGTCTAACATGAGCTCTTATCTGTTCACGTCCTTTTGTGATAGGAGGTTGTATCAGGAGACGTGTGATTTTTTTTTTTTACATTTCTTGCTTAATTTAAGTTCTTGTTAGTTATAGTATGTGGCTTTGTGCCATCGAAGATTCCTATTTAGTTATAACTGGATCTGGAGTAGACGTTTTCAGATTGAGGAGCTTTTAACCCGTCCAAGGTATTTGAACTCGTTATTGCTCGTTCTTGTACCATGTAACCGGTCCTGTTACAAAGTATAAGAAAATGATTTTCTATCTCCTATTAATTATAATCTAGTAAGGGCTCGTTTTTCGTTCATTTCACTGCTCCTGTTACTTCAAGACTGTACGAAAGGAACACGAGCTCATCACGGTTTGCTTCAACATCGTCTGATTCTCGTACTGTTGTAAAAGAACAGGAGCTGGTCAGAGTTTGTTTTTATAGCTGCTATTACTTCCAGAGGGATAGGAGCTCGTTTTTGGTTTATTCACGTGCTCGTGTTAATTCCACATTAGATGAAATGGTCACGACCTTGTTTATTTAATTTCATAGATTTTGGCCCTACGGAGTGTTAGAATGGGACAAGCCCTCGTCGAGGTTTCTTTGCTGATGTTACTTCCAGAGAGAAACAGAAGCTCATCTTAGTTTATAATTACACCTCCTGTTATTTCCACCGTTCAAGGGAAAAAAAGGAGCTCATCAGAACTGCTCCTGATACTCTTAATGTGGAAAAGGAACAGGAGCTCTTCATGATTTGTTTTATACCTCCTGTTACTTTCAGAGGGGCATGAGCTAATTTTTTTGTTCATTTAACTGTTCCTTTTGCTCTCAGATTTACGAAACAGCCATGAGCTCAGCTTTGAAATTTTGACTCTTGCAGGCAGTTTGAAACGCACAGGTGCTCATTTTCGGTTCATTTAACTACTAATACTTCCAAAATGTGTGAAAGGGACATGAGGTTCCCGAGAACTCTTCGTCACAAGACAAGAGGATTTTTAACGTCCGCTCCTGGCCTATTCAGCCTTATCGGACGTTTTGATTCTCAAGATGAGAGCTGACGCACCTCCGCGAATGGTGTTACCGCTGCAGCATTGGTGTAGAGTCGCCCCAGCCCCTAAGGGCTCTTACTTTTAGAGCGGCTTGGCACGTTCTGATTTCAAGATGTTTAACCCTTCCAAGCTCTCTTTAAATAATTTTTTTCATCATTCTTTTCCGTATTATTTAACCAGTCCTGATACTTCCACGGTTTACTCAAGAAGAGGAGAAGAGCTTGTCAGGTTTTCTTCCAAATTTTGATACATCCCTAGTGTTAAAATGCCCAGGACTTTTTAATTTAATGAGTTTCCACTTTCTTACATAATGTAGGAAGCTAACATGAGCTTGACTGGCGAACGTCGGCGAGATACACTTGGATCAAGAGACTTACCGAGTAATTCTACAGTTTGACTGTAGACCTGTTACTGTGGCAAGGTATTTCCTCCGTTGCGGTTCGAGCTCCTGTTTAGTTACATTTGGATGAGGAGATAATAGAAGTTTTCTTAATTTGAGGTACGTCTATTCGAGACAGTAGTTGGGATCAGGAAAGGTGTGCATTGGTTTTTATGATTTTCTCAAATCTGTCCACGCTCGTTCTTTTGTGACAGGAGCTCGTCAGGATGTGTTTTTATATATCCTGTTACGTTCAGGAGTTGTCTTTTGACCCGATGAAAAGGAGCTCGTTTTTGCTTCATTTACCTGCTCCTGTTACTTTCTGAAATAAAGGATAAACAACGGAAGCTCCGAATCGTCGTACCCGGCTAGTTTATCCCAAATCCTGTTAAATGATAGACAAAGGAGCTGAGTATAAGGTGAATTCTTCAACTCACGTGTATATTGGCGCAATTTTTTTCCAGGTGGAAAGTTTTCTTCCGAGGTCTCCTCATGAGATTCCGACTCGTGTTTTTAAAGCCGTTTACAGTCGCGTGTTAGGTGCTCCGACCGCGGTGTCTTGGCCGTCGCCCAAGGTATTTCATTGTCGATTCCCCTTGTCACCGGAAATGACAACTCGAGAGCCGATAACCGGCAACAGCCTTCCGTTCCACTGGCACGGATCGACGTATATTTCATTTTTAAATCTAACAGAAATACGCCGTTTCCTTCTTTTCATCCTGATCTCTCGGGGAGACAGGAACTGATAGAGGTCATAATCCAGAAAATCAAACTTCCCGTCAAACAGATAAGTGAAGCTTTATTCTACTTAACGTACCTCGTGGAAAAAAGCTCGACTTGAGAAACCATAAAAACCAACTGTTCATCATTCTTGATGCAAGCTTGTGTCACGAATAAACCTCGGTGGACACGTGCTAACGTTAAGAAGATTTCAAGTGTTCCTGAAGCATAAGTTGAAGGCGAAGTTAAAGAAAAGAAGCTCCTGTTGCCTTCAATTGTGCAAATATCAGGAACTAGGAAATTATAAACTAATCTGTCATACCGCTTTTCTGAAAGTAACAGAACATAATTAGAAACTCTGGCGCGCTCCTATACTTTTTCAATGCTAGGAGTATCAAGAGCTGTTGAATCAAACCACGAGCTTCAATCTTTTTGTTCAGTCTGAAACTAACAGGAGCAGGTAAATAAGCCAAAAACGAGCTCCTGTCCCTCTGAAAGTAACAGGAGCATAAAAAGAAATTCTAGCGAGCTCCTGTTGCATCACACTATGTAGATATCAGGTTCTAGGAAATTATAACTAATCTGTCATATTGCCTTTCTGAAAGTAACAGGAGCTATACAAAGAAACTCTGACGAGCACCTCATCTTTTTCAACGCTGTTAGTATCAGGAGGAGCTGTTGAATCAAACAGAAATGAGCTCCTCTCTCTTTTGTTCTGTCTAAAACTAACAGAAGCAGGGTAAATAAGCAAAAAACGAGCTCCTGCCACTCTGAACGTAACAAGAGCTGTTAAGTCAAACCGGGCAAATAACTAGGAAATTACAATCAAATCTGACTTCCTGCCTCTATGAAATAACAGGAGCTGTAAAATGAAATTCCGACGAGCTCCTGCCCCTTTTTTCCATTCTGTAACTGTCTGGTGGGGTTAACTAAACCAAAAACGAGCTCCTGACCCCTTCCAACGCTGTTAAGGTCATGAAATTAAGAAGCAATGCTGAGCCCCGCTTCTCCGGAAATAACAGGAGCTATACAAAGAAACCGCGATGAGTTCTTGTCCCTTTTTCCACTCGGGAGTATCAGGAGCAAACGAGCTGATTCTCATTAAATTAATCCGTAGAAGTATCAGGAGCTAGGTAGCTAAGCTGAGCTCCTTTCTCTTTCGTTCTCTCTTGGTGACGAGCTCCTGTTCCTTAACTACAGATAACCGATTTCCAGGTTGATTTAAAAATGTTGAAAATTTTGTTTTTGTTTTTCAGACGGTTTTTCTCAGTTCCGTTCTTGCTACCCCGAGTGGTGCGAGACGGTCGACGATTCCCTGACGTCGGCCGACCCGGATCTTCCGCTGATGGGGCTTAGGTGAGTACGCGAGACTTGACACTTGGTATAGTTTTGACTTTTCTTTTGGATCGCAGGTCGCTCCGGATCTCAAACTACGGTGCTAATAGGTGTTCTAAGGGTCGAGAGAAGTGCAGATGCGACGTGCCGTGCGATTCAGGTGCCATACTCGAGGACGACGCCCTGGTCGAGATCCTTCCCCACCTGTTCCTCGGGAACGCTGCCAACTCTGAAGACCTGGAGACACTGACGAAGCACAATATCAAGTACATACTCAACGTGACTCAGAACCTGCCAAACGTCTTCGAAGCCTCTGGAGATATCAAGTACATGAAGATACCTATAACGGACCACTGGAGCCAGAACCTCGCGGTCCATTTTCCCAAGGCGATCGAATTCATCGGTAAGAATTTTTGAAATCGGACTTTGTCTCATGAATGGTCGGACGTTTTCAAGTCGCCGAGAATGAATGAAGACGCCGTCCACCGGCCCGAGTGGGCGGCACCACCCCCGTCTCAATGGGGGCGGGATCAATAAAACGACTCCCCCGCAGGGGATGGTTCAATGGAAATCCGACCACCACCTCCGAGTGTTACAACTTGTTGCTACCACGCGCCCCCGACCCGAAACGGAGGTCAGGGCCGCTTTCCAACTAGATCAATCCCGAAAGTTCAATGTCACCGTCACAGCCCAGCCCATGCCTGGCCGCCTCCGGGGGTGGATTTATTTATATTACCACCCACGCTTTCGTCGACAAAAGGTTTTCACCTCTATGTATGATCAATTATTCACCCTGACCCAAATAAAAAACAAGGGTTGTTTTTCCCTTCCGAAGCGTAAAGGTGGCAGACATCGACACATCCAGGCCCGCCGTCATTGTCAATGGTCAATGACGGATTGACTTTTAAAGTCAATATTCTGACGTAAACGCTACCTTCAGATGTCAACGGGTCATGCACACCTTAGAACTTTGTATCAGTTTTCCTTGATAGAGCTTTGACATAGGGTAAAGAAGCCTTTACGTTGATGCCAGTTTTCCTTGATTTTTATACTGGTGTTGGTAAAAGGGGATCCTCGCACAAAAGAGCTTAGGCAGTTAAACTAGACCGCTAATATCAGTTTTCCTTGGTCTTTATTCACGGAGAAGGTGTAGCATAGGTTGACCCAAATCCAGGAGGCTAGTTATACCAGACAGGTGATGACAGTTTTTCCTTGGTCTTTATATCGGATGGCATCTAGTATAGGGTGATTCATACCGAGAGACAAATAGTTGTGCCAGACTGTTCTTCATCATTATTGGCATTTTATACCAATTTTTCATTCGTCTTTAAAATTGGAGGAGGTGTGGTTGATCCAAACAAGAAGGCTATTAGGCCTACTATACCAGACAGTTGATAACGGTTTTCCCTTGGTTTTTATGCAGGTGGACATGAGGCAGAGGGTGAATCTAGGAGAGAAGACTGTAGACAGTTATACCAGTTTTACATTGGTCTTTACACAGGATGGGATCTGGTATAGGGTGATTCATACCGAGAGACAATTAGGCCAATTGTACCATACTGTTCTTCTCCATTATAGGCAATTTATACTAGTTTTCATTGGTCCTTGACTCGGAGAAGGTGTGGCAAAAGTTGATCCTAACCGAAAGGCTATTAGGCCAGTTATACTAGACGGTTGATGATGGTGGATATGTGGCAGAGGGTGATCCTAGGAGAGAAGACCTTAGACAGCTAATACCAGTTTTACATTGGTCTTTATACAGGATCTGGCATAGGGTGATTCATACCGAGAGACAATTAGGCCAATTATACCAGATTGTTCTCCCTTATTGGCAATTTGTACCAGTTTTTCATTGGTTTTTAGACTCGGGGGAGGTGTGGCAAAGGTTGATCCTAACCAGGGGCTATTGGGCCAGTTATACTAGACTAGACAGTTGATGACGGTTTTTTCATTGGTTTTTATACAGGTGGACATGGTCTTTATATAGGATGGGATCTGGTATAGGGTGATTCGTACCGAGAGACAATTAGGCCAATTTTACCTGACTTCCCCATTATTGGCAATTTGTACCAGTTTTTCATTAGTCTTTTACTCGGAGGAGGTATGGCACAAGTTGATCCAAACTAGTAGGCTATTAGGCCAGTGTTATACCCCTTATGCCCAGGTAAAGGGTGATCCTAGCAGAGAAGAATTTGGTCAGTTATGCCAGACAGTTGATGACAGTTTTACATTGGTCTTTAAACCGGATGGGATGTGGTATAGGGCGATTCATACCGAGAGACGATCAGGCCAGTCATACCACATACATGTTTTCTTCGTCACAATTAACAGTTTATACGGGGCAGTTATATCGGACTGTTTATACTAGTTTTCCTCAGTATTTATACCAGTGGAGCGGAAGTATTTGTTGAACTACTTTCAAAAGAGCTCTTGAGAATCCTGATGCTTGGTATCTTTGATGAGCTCTTGTCGAAAAGTTATGTTCAACTGGTCATTCTTACTCGCGATACATCATTTCTTTTCTTGAGTTTCTGACACAAATGGACTGGTTAAAATGCCCTGCTTTGTACATCCTGTCTCTTTGCTGAGTTTCTGTCTAATTTGTACCGGTTGGACAGTGCAGCATTGTGAATCCTGATAATTGGTCTCCTTGCTGAGCTACTGTCGGAACTTGTACAGGTTTTGTTAAGTAACCTTTCAAATCCTGATATATTTTGTGTTAGCTGAGCTCCTGTCATATTTGGACAGGTTAATCGAACTCCATCTTGTGCGTCCTGATGTTGTGACTTTGCTGAGCTGCTGTTAGCACCGGTATAGGTGAGGTTTACCAGCCTTCCACTTCTTAATACTTTCTGTCTTTCTCGAGGTCCTATGTAATGTGTACCGGTTGGACAATCCATCATTGTGAATCCTGATACTTTCTGTGTTTCTTGATCTCCTGTGAAAGGTATGACTAATTGTGTGTAATTGTTTTCTAGACGAGGCTAGGAGCCAGGAGAAAGGGGTCCTCGTCCACTGCGTCGCCGGTGTGTCCAGGTCCGTGACTGTGACCCTCGCCTACCTCATGGGGAAGCACGGCCTCTCTATGAATGACGCCTTCGTCTGGGTCCGGGACCGGAAGCCGAACATAGCTCCCAATTTCCACTTCATGGAGGAGCTGGCCAGGTTCGAACGGGAGGTGCACAAGCCTTCGGGGGCGGCGAGCCCTCCCGAGGAGACTCGGGGGCAGAACGAGCCGACCACCTTCCTGTCACCCCTCAACCTCGGCCAGAGCCCGGATTCGGGGATCGAGTTCGATAGGTGGACACCGAACACGGGCGAATGACACGAGGTTTACAAGTTCTAAGACGGGGCCGAGACGCACAGCAAAGTCCTCATCCTAGAATGGTTGCCCCAGCAGCACAAATTGTTCTGTTGTTGGTTTTTTTGCCCCCAAAAGCAAAATTTCACAAAGGTTTTCCAAGGGGTTCGTCGTGGGCATTAAAAAACATATTTTTAAGTTTACCTTTATTTTGTGTATTATATATTTTAAAAATTTTTTTATCCTGTACATAAATGTTAAAAAAATCAATATATAAACGTAGTTTAATTGGTTGATCGTTAACGAATTGATTTTTTATAGATTAAAAAAAATATATCCATAAACAATTTTTTAATCTTCTAGAAAGACTTTAATTCTAGTCCGATCTTTTAAACATAAAACACAAATATAATATAAAATGTTAATAGCTTTAATTGATTTTTATTTTCGTTTTGTGCGTGATCTCAAAAAATCCACTAGAGTCTTCTAAAACAAAGACCGTTTCAATTCCCCCCCACAAATATAATTAAATAAATTTAAAAAAATTGTGCCATATTAAAAAGAGAAAAACCTTCCGATAGAAAAGTCAAAAAACAGTCTTTCAATTTTTTTAAAATTAGATGTACAAACAAATTTTAAGAAAATAAAATTTTCCCTGTCCGCATGCGTTAAGCTAAAAATATATATATTCTATACAAATTATTAAAAAAATAATATATTAAAAATTAAAATAGTTATATTGTGTATAAATGGTACATAAAGAAATTAGTCTCGATTTGAGAGAATCCTGATAATTTGTGGCTTTTTCTTGAGCTCCTGACAATATTGATTTGACTAATTTTGCTTCCCCAGGTATTCCTAATCCTGGTACTCTGTCGCTTTTTTGAGCTCCTGTCAAACTTGTGCAGGGTATGTTTCCCAACTAAGGAAATCCTGATATATTTGGTCCGTCTTGAGCTCGTGCCGAATTTGTACAGTTAAATTCCCAAGTCTTCAAAATCCTGATACTCCGAATCTTTTTGGAGCTCCTTTCAACCCCACAGCTTCGAAAAACCTGATACTTTCTGAATTTTTTGAGCTCCAGTCAAACTTGCACATGTTATATTTTATATTTATGGAAATCCTGATATAGTCGCTCCTTCTTGGGCTCCTGCCGAATTTGTACAGGATAAATGTCCAAGTCTTCATAATCCTGATAATATCTTCTTTTGGACCTTCGGTCTTCGCCACAGCTTCGAAAATCCTGATACTTTCTGACTTTTTTGAGCTCCTGTCAAACTTGTACAGGTTATTTTTCCCAGCTAAGTAAATCCTGATAAATTTTTTTTGTCGAGCTCCTGTCAACAGGACAGCCTCAAAAATCCTTATATTTTCTGCCTTTTTTGAGCTCTTGTCAAACTTGTGCAGGGTATGTTTCCCAACTAAGGATCCTGATACTCTTGGTCCGTCTTGAGATCCTGCCGAATTTGTACAGGATAAATATCCAAGTCTTCAAAATCCTGATACTGTCTCCTTTTGAAGCTTCTGCCAACGCCAGAGCCTCGGAAATCCTGATACTTTCTGCCCTTTTTCAAATTTGTACAGGTTATGTTTTTCACTTAAGGAAAATCCTGATACATTTTGTCTGCTATGAGCTCCTGTTAATGGCACAGCCTCGAATATCCGGTAATTTTTCCTCTTCGAGCTCCTGTCCAACTTGGACAGGTTACGTTTGCCAGGTTTTCTAAATTCAGTTACATTTTGTCTGTATAGAGCTCCTGTCGAAAATGTACAGGTTAGACAGAAGACTATCAAAAATCCTTTCTGTCACAGTTAAGCTCTCGTCAAACTTTGGACAGCTTCAACCCTAATTTCCTACTCGTGAAAACCTTGATACATTTGGTCTGCCTTGAGCTCTTGTTAAACTTGGTTAAGTTTCCCAGACTTGAAAATACTCTCTCTTTTTGGAGCTCATGTCGAAAATGAAATGTTTTAGCGTCCTTGCCTTTTTTTAATCCTGGTACATATCTTGTTTGTCGAGCTTCTGTCCATATACACAGGTTAAACAGTACAGCCTTCCAAATCCTGATAGTTTGTCTCTTTTTAGAACTCCTGTAGAAAACGTAATGGTACAATTTCCCAGGCTTTTCTAATCCTGACATATTTTGTGATTCTTGAGCTCCAGCCAAATGTTTACATGTTAAACAGTCCAGTTTTCTGAATCCTGATACATTTTCACTTCGCTGAGCTCCTGCCGAAAATGTCCAGGTCAACTGACCCTACCTTGCAATCCTGTTACTATTTTTGAGCTCCTAACGAAAAAAAACGGCAACAAATGTATATTGTATTAAAAAAACCCTGTAAAAGGTAACTTTAAAATAAAAGTCTCTCTTTATCGAGTAAAAAAAATTAATAAAAATATAATTATAAAAATTAAAAAAAAAACATTTAAAAAAAAACAGAAGAAACAGAAAGAGTTGTAACAATGTCTTCTTTAGGAAAGTGAATAAAATAGGTTAAAAAAATGTGTTGTTTATTGATGTAAAAATTAATTTAAAAAACATATATATATACAAATTCCTAGGCATCCATGTCAGGACTGATAGTATTGTACATATGACGTCGAAGGGTGGACATTTAAAAAATTTAAAAAAAGGCGAAAAGCCCCAAGACAGTTTTTCCTATGTCAGTTTGATTTTTAAAATTTTTGAACCTTTTTTTTTGTATTTATATTTTTAGCGCCTGTAGATTGTAAAAAATAAAATAAATATTATCGATGGCTTTATTATCATTTTTGGGTAAAGTGTGTGTGTGGGCGGGCGTGCGTATGTGTGTGTGTGTGTGTGTGTGTGTGAGAGAGAGAGAGAGAGATGAAAAATAATATTTAAAAAAATTGTTATAAAGCCAAAAGTTTATATAATAATAATAATAATACAAAATAATTAACAGAATTTTCTTTGAATTAATCTAGTGAAAATTAAAAAGAAAATTGAAAAAGATTTTTCCTATTTCATTTATTTCTCGAACCTCCCTTCCCATCTTTCAAGACAGTGATTATTTTTCGTCACAGGTAAGTATTAAAAAACAAATCAATACATCAATTTTACAATTTATTTTAATTTGTTTCAATTATTCCAGGTGGTTTCTGGGAAAAGGACAAAATTGCATTTCCATGACTTCGGTGATAAATTTGTAGAGATTAAGGTTTCCCAATCCTGATACATTTTGGGAAATGTTTAAAAGTGACTTGGACTTGAAAATCCTGTCACTTTCTGTCTTACTTGAGCTCAAATGTTTACAGGTAAACAGCCCAACTTCGTGCATGCTTTAACTCTTTTCTGAGCTCCTATCCAAAATGTACAGGTTAACTGGCCCTCCATTGTTGAATTTCTGTTAGAACTTTTAAATGTTCCCAGCCTTTCGAAATCCCGATAGATTTCGTATTGTTGAGCTCCTCTCAAATGCTTACAGGTTAAACAGCCCAACCTCGTGCATCCTGATACTTTAACTCTTTGCTGAGCTCCTGTCCAAAATGTACAGGTTAACTGGCACATTGCATATCATGTTACTTTTTCTTTCTTGAGTAAAGGTTAGGTTTCCTATCCTTCAAAATCCTGATAGATTTCGTTATAGATCCTGAGATTTATCCTTGTCATATGTTTGTAGTTTTTAAACAGCCCAATACTTTCTGCCTTTCTTGAGCTCATGTCAGAGCTTTGACAGGTTAGGTTTCCCAGCCTTTCAAATGGCTATAATTCATATTTTATTCATTTACTTTTTGTTGAGCTCCTGACAAACCTGTGCAGGTTACGTTTGGCCATTTTCAATCCAGATACTTTTGTTGAACTCTTTTGGAAATGTACTGGTTTAGTTTCTCAACTTTTTATAATCCAGATATATTTTGTCCATTTTGAGCTCCTGTAAAATGTTGCTCTGTTGAAAATGAACTGATTTAGTTAATCATCCTTTCTTATTCCTGATTTATTTTGCACTTGGTGGGGATGGGAAAGGCCAGGAGGACATAACTCGTACAGGTTCTATGAAAGGAGCTCAACTAAAAGACAAGGTATCAGGATCCGCAAAGCTAATGACCCTGTGTATAAACACTTTTGTATTTTTGAAAGACTTTTGTCATTTTCAAAGGGTCTTTGAATAGCTGGCTTGCTAGGCCACCAGGCGTCCGACCTGCCTACTCTACCATTAAAAAAATTTAAATGTTTATTTTCCCCGTTTTGCCGGTTTAGTACACAATTGCGCAACGGGTCCGTTGATAAAGGGTCATCGCGATCCGCCCCCGGCACAGTTCCAGTCTTGAAATAGAGTTGAAAAAAACGAGATACGACGGCCATAGGTCAAATTTGGTGTCAGCGGTTCTGTTAGAAAAGAAGGAAAAAATTCCTTTTGCACATAAACCAAACAATTTAGCGATTGATTTTAATTTTTAGTATTTATTTAGTAGTTAGCATGAGCAACATGTCAAACGTTTTGTTCAATTCCGTAGTAGCTCAACAAAGACACAAAATGCATCATTATTAGGAAGGTTCGCATATCCTGATACTTTTCCTTTCTCGAGCTCCTGTCAGACTAGCACAGGTTAGGCTTTCCAGCCTTTTCTAAACTTGATACTTTTCTGTTTGCTGAGCTTTTCGTTTTTGTTGACCTGTCAAACCTGTACGTATTACGTTTGACCACATTCAGTAGTGCTACTTTTCCTTTTTTTTGAGCACCTGTCAAACCAGTACAAGTTACGTTTGACTACATTCAATCCTGCTACTTTTTCTTTTTTTGAGCTCCTGTCAAACCAGTACAAGTTACGTTTGACCACATTCAATCCTGCTACTTTTCCTTTTTTTGAGCTCCTGTCAAACCAGTGCAAGTTACGTTTGACCATCTTCAATCCTGATATTTTTTTCTTTTGTTGTGCTCCTGTTCAAAATAGTCAGGTGAAACGTCCACCTTGTGAATCCTGATACTTTGTCTCTCTTGAGTATGCTCCTGTCAGAACCTGTAAAAGTTAGGTTTCCTACTCTTCTGATTCCTGATAGATTTCGTATTTATTGAACTCCTGTCGAGCGTGTCCAGGTTAAACAGACCAGCATTGTGCATCCTGATATTTCCGTTCTCAAGCTCCTGTCAGACGAGCACATGTTAAGTTTTCCAGCCTTTTCTGTTTGCTGAGTTCCTGTTCAAAATATTCATGTTAAACGTTTCCCAGCCCACCAAATCCTGATACATTACATATTTTTGGAGCTCTTGTCAAACCTGTACAGATTACGTTTGATCATTTTAAATCCTGATACTTTTATTTTTTACTGAACTACTATCGAAAAGTACTAGTTTAGTTTGCCCAGCCTACCAAATCTTGATATATTTTGCATTTTATCGAGCTCGCTTCGAATGAGTACTGGTTAAAAGGCCACGGCAGGTTAACGGCAGGCACAGCCTTGAAAATCGTGATACTTTTTCCCTCTTCATTGAGATCCTGTCGAAAATATAATGTTTCAATTTTTCCTGTTTTTGCAAAATCATGGTATATTTTGCCTGCCTTGAGTTCCTGCCAACTTCACAGTCTCGAAAATCCTTGTACTTTATGTCTCAGTTGAACTCCTGTCAAACGTGGACAGGTTCAACTTCAAATTGATTTCGTAATCCTGATACATTTTATATTACCTCCAGTCGAAAATGCTCAGTTTATGTTCTCCAGACCTTTCTCAATCTCATAAAAAAGAATGTGCTTTTCGAGCTCGTGTGTGAAATGTATACAGTCTATAAATTTCCAGCCTTCCAAATCCTTATGGCACATCCGTCTTGAGCCCCTATAAAAAATGTACAGGTTATTTTCGCCCGGTCATTCTCACTCCAGATATATTGTCTGTCCCGAGCTTCTGTCACATTTGGACAGGTTAAACAGCCCATCTTTATGCATCCTGATACTGTGACTCGTGGCTGAGCTCCTGTCAAAACATGTCAAGGTAAGGTTTCTCAGTCTACCAAATCCTACAACGTTATCCTACCTGGCTCCTGTCGAAAATTTACAGGTTTACTGCTCCTACCTTGCAATTCCTGTTACTTTTGTCTTTCTTGAGCTTCTGTTAGATCTTGTACAGGTTACGTTTGGCCATTTTCAAACATACTTTCGTCGAGCTCCGGTCAAAAGTACCAGCTTTTTACAGTCCTGACATGTTTAGTGAATATTGAGCCCCTGTGAAATGTTCAACGTTGTCTTGGTCTTACAAATCCTGATACTTTGTCTCTTTCTTCGGCTCCCGTTAGAACTTTTACATATCACGTTATCCAGCCTTCCAAATGCTGATTTATTTCATACTGTTGAGGTCCTGCCAAACCAGTACAGGTTACGTTCGTCTATATTCAATCTTGCTACTTTTCGTTTTTGTTGACCTGTCAAACCTGTACGTATTACGTTTGACCACATTCAATAGTGCTACTTTTCCTTTTTTTTTGAGCACCTGTCAAACCAGTACAAGTTACGTTTGACTACATTCAATCCTGCTACTTTTCCTTTTTTTGAGCTCCTGTCAAACCAGTGCAAGTTACGTTTGACCATCTTCAATCCTGATATTTTTTTCTTTTGTTGTGCTCCTGTCGAAAAGTACTGGTTCAGTTTGGCAAATACTTCTGACTATATTAATTCCTGACCTTATTCATTCACTATGATTGATCATATTCAATCTTGATACTTTTTTCTTTTGTCGAGCTCCTGTCAAAGTACTGGTTTACGTCTCCAGTTTTTTATAATTTTGATATATTTTGTCAATAATGAGCTCATGTGAAATGTTCAAATTTGTCTTGGCCTTGCAAATCCTGTTATTTTGTCTCTTTCTTGAGCTCCCTCGTAAATGTACTGATTTAGTTAATCTACTGATTATTTCTTACTTCGGGATGAATATTCGTTTCTTTCCTCCTCGCACATGCAAAAACGGGGTTGATACCGGCTTGACCGCAAATTGAAGAGGTTCAAGGCGGACCGGTGCGCGTCCGAGGATAAGTCCTCGTTCTTTCGACGGTTCACGTTTTTATTCCGAAAATCCTTATCCCTTGGGGGGGGGGGGGGTTTACGACTGGGTACGACTTTCTCCACCCTAGGGCCTATGCCCTTCGACAACGGAAATAAAACCTTACTGGGGGTGAAATGGCGGAAAATCTTTACATCAAACCTCGAAAATAAGTTTAAAAAACACGAGGATTTTCTTTTTCTTTGATTCACATAAGATTTCATTTTGTTTGGTTAGCTAGCGACATAAAACAAAAAAACCCAAGATGGTAATCTTTGGAATTATTTACTTATTCTTTTATGAGATCGGTTTTTTTCCTTATTTAATAATATTTATCAGCGGTGATATCATCCAGTATCGCCCGCCTGTTCGGAGAAATAGATTTCCTTATCGGCAAGGATTTTTCTAGGTTGATCCAATTTGCACCGAGATAAAAATCAACTGACTTTTTGTCGTATAAAAAATGGAAATAAAGGGACTTTTTCCTACACGGACCACCCAAAAAAGACTAGAAGGATATTTCTTTCCTTTTTTCTTTTTTGTATTTTGTAATTAAATAAAATATACGAAAGATAGATTAATAAAAACAAGTTTCACTCAGGGGAAGGGAAAAAAAGAGTCTATTTATACAAATTATACAAATAATAAATAAAACAAAAACAAATGTGGCTGCGTAATCCCATGTTTGTGCCTTGGACTTTGGTGGGAGGCCTGGACATTCCAGGGGTGGGGGCTGTTTTTATAAATTGTCTGACCTCCCCGGCGCCCCTTTCAGTCATGGCCATTCTCGCTAAGTTGTTGGTCCTCGGTCTTGCGGCCCTCTCGGCTGCTCAGGCGGCCAGGGTCGTCTGCTACTGGAACGGAAAGTCATTCTGGAGAGAAGGTGAGTACGAGAGAGGAACATTTTAAATGTTTTTTTGAAGTTCGTTGAGGCGTTTAAAATCGACTTGGCTAAGGTGTTAAGTCGAACCGATTGTATTAATTAAACTGCAGGGAGTGACCTCCGAAAAATTCAGAAATTTCATCTACAATTTGAACCCTTGGTGTTATTTCAACAGTCTAGCCAATCGTCACTACTGGGGCTTAAGCGAATTTGAGGGAGCCCTCCAAAAATTTCACATACAATTTGAACCCTTGGTGTTATTTCAACAGACCTGCCAATAGTCACTTTTGGGGCTTAAGCGAATTTGAGGGGGCCCTCCAAAAATTTCACATACAATTTAAACCCTTAGTGTTATTTCAACAGTCTTGCCAATTGTCACGATTGGGGCTTAAGTGAATTTGTGGAGGCCTTCCAAAAATTTCACATACAATTTGAACCCTTCGTGTTATTTCAACAGTCTTGCCAATTGACCCGATTGGGGCTTAAGTGAATTTGAGGAGGCCTTAAAAAATTTCACATACAATTAGAACTCTTGGTGTTATTTCAACAGTCTAGCCAATTGTCACTATTGGGGCTTAAGCGAATTTGAGGGGGCCCTCCAAAAATTTTACATACAATTTAAACCCTTAGTGTTATTTCAACAGTCTAGCCAATCGTCAATATTGGGGCTTAAGCGAATATGAGGGGGCCTTCCCAAAATTTCACATACTATTTGAACCCTTCGTGATATTTCAACAGTCGACCCAATCGTCATTATCGGCGCTGAACGAATTTCAGGGGCCCTCCAACAATTTTACATACAATTTGAACCCTTAGTGATATTTCAAAAGTCTTGCCACTCGTCACTATTGTCGATTAATTGAATTTGAAGGGGCCCTCCAAAAAAGTCACATTCACTTGGAGCCTTTCGTGTTATTTTATCAGCCCTACAAAATATCACCATTTTAATTTACAAAAAGATTCATGTTTACTTCAAACCTCAGGTATTATTTCATCAGCCGTACGAATCGTTCCATTTTAAACTATTGTCACAAAGTTTTCACGATCGTTTCGAACCCCAGATGTTATTTTATCAGCCATAAAAATTGTTCAGATTTTAACCTCCGGTGTTATTTCATCAGCTTCACCGGCTGTCACAATTTGAAATATTCTCGTAAAATAATCACATTCATTTATAACCACTGGCATTATTTCATCAGACCACCAACTGTCTTAATAATCTAAACTCCGAAAATTTCACATTCATTTCGAATTTCTGGTGTTATTTCATCAGCTTTACCAAGTATTCAAATTTGAACCTCTGTTGTCGTTCCATCAGATCTACCAACTGTCAAATTTGAACTATCTTGCCAACAATTTCATATTGATTTCGAATCTACGATGTTATTTCATCAGCCACACAAACTGTCACAATTTGAAATATTATTCAAAAATAAATTGGATTCATTTCGGACCCCTGGCGTTATTTCATAAGCATCACCAACAGTCACAATTTGGAATAATCTAAAAAAAAAAAAAATCACATCCATCTCGTACTTCCAACAATTTCATATTAACCTCCAACAACAGGTATTATTTAATCAGCAATTACAATTCTTTATATTAGTGTTATTTCGTTCTATTTCAAACTATCCTCCCAAAAATTTCTCATTCGCTTCGAACCTGAGGGTCTTATTTTATGAGCCCACCAACTGTCACAATAATCCAATCTCCCAAAAATTTCATATTCATCTCGAACTTCTGGTATTATTTCATCCACTTTACCAATCGTTCAAATTTGAACCCTTGGTGTTATTTCACCAGACCTATCGATCGTTCAGTTTCAAACGATCCACCCTAAAATTTCCCATTCACTTCGAACCACTGGCATTATTCCATCAGCCCACCAACTATCTTAATAATCTAACCTCCTAAAATTTCACATTTATTTTGAACTTCTGGCGTTATTTCATCAGTTAACAATCGTTAAAATTTGAACCTCTATTGTTATTCAATCATATCTACCAACAGTTAGTTTGAACTATCTTCCAACAATTTTATTTTCACCTCGAACCTAAGGTGTATTTTATCAGCAACTTTCAATCGCGTTTCTTCATCACAGTATAAAATCAATTGACACAATTGCAATTTTAAACGGGGTAGCTTATATTTGCTGCCAGGGGGATCTCGTAGATGGGCCCCGAAGGACAGAGCGATTTTGCACAAGTGGTCGTGGCAATTCTCGCCAATCAGGGCTGGTTAAGACATTGAAGTTATGAGTAATGAAAGAGAAAATTTATTGCCTGCGTAGGCGTCGGGTGGTTAATTGTTTGTAGAGGTGATTTTTTATTTATTTATTTATTTTTTTATTTCAGGTACAGCCAAGGTGACGGTTGAAGAGCTCAAAGACGGCCTCTCCTACTGCACACACCTCGTCTACGGTTTCGCCGCCCTCGACGACGACGACTACCATCTCAAGCCTGTCGACAAGAAGCTCGACCTCGACAAGGGCAAAGGTCAATACAGGCTCTTGACCACGCTCAAGAAGAACTACCCTGGGATGCAAATCCTCCTATCAGTGGGCGGCAACCAGGACACCGAGGATGTCAAGAAATACCTCGAAGTGGTACGTTTTGAAAAAAAAGAAAAAATCTATGTTTTTAATTTTTTTTAATCATTGACAGCTCGAAAAAGAACAATACAGGAACAATTTTGTCTCGACGGCAACCGCCTTGGTACGTGAGTTCAACTTCGACGGTCTGGACCTCGCCTGGCAGTTCCCACCCAAGCACGAGAAATACGAAACGACATCGCTCAGTAATTTATTTATTTATTTTTAATTACAAAAACCATAAAAAATATTAATTTATTGTTTTAATTATAGGCTCGATCTGGCATAAGATAAAGAAGACGGTCGGCTACGGGGTCGACACCAAGGAGGCAGAGCACAAGATCCAGTTCACCTCCCTGGTCAAGGAGCTTAAAGCATCCCTAGCCGGGAAACTCCTCACCCTCGGAGTCCTCCCTCACGTCGAACAACAAGGTAAGCCAGGCTGAAACTATTTCAAGGACGTTTAGACCCGAAATTAACATCCCGTGGCTAATAGGACGGTGGAAAATTTCCATTGTCTTTTGACGACTTGACATTTACAAAAAAATTTTAGCTAGAAAATCTTTTTGAATATTTTAATATATTCTAAAAAAATCGTGACCAAAAATCTTCATGTGTATGAAAGAAAACGTTTGGTTGAATAGTACAAAGGCGCTAGTAGGTAGTCTGGTTGGTTGTATCATTCGCCACTAGGTCGCAGCGGTTGTCTAAAATCTATCAATTTTCCACCTTTTTCTCATAACACCCTGTATATTTTCCTGATGTTTTTCCAACTGGATCGATTAAATTGAGTTAATCCTGTGAGAAAACGCAACGAAAAATTTACCCTTATTCGGGAAAATCGTCGGAAAATATGGTCGGAATTCTACGCTTCCCGCTTGGCCGGATAACGGCCTGTTTGAGAGCCTAGTCCAACCTCAGTCCTTCTTTGATCGTGTTGTAAGAAAGGAGAGAAGTTTAGCACTCCCCTTGACAAGGATGGAATGAACACATAAGGCAAGCCGTTGAAAAATGGCAAACCAGTTTTTTTTTTCGTGATTTTAATTTGGACAATAATTTATCCACAAAAGTTTTATCGACCAAAAAAAATCTTCCTTTTCAATGGACAAAAAACCATATTCTTAAGTTCAGTCTTAAATTGCTTTCGGGCAGGTCATATGAACCTCTTTGAAAGGTGAACAATTGAAAGATACGTTTAATGATTCGTTCACTGAATAGTTCCTTTAATGGTTCACTGATGATCGGTTCACCGCTCGACTCAACAGTATTCGAACATCAGTTCGTATACTTTGAACATTGATGATTGACTCGTTCACTAATCAATTCGTCGAATGGTTGACTTAAAGAATCATTGTTCGCATTCCAATATTGATGAACTTATCAGTCAATCGTTGACAATATGCTTCAATGAACGGATCATTGTTTGGATCTTGAAACTTTCCAGTGACGTTTATTAAACGTCCAGTGAACCCATCACATAATCGTTCACTGAACCTATTAATGAATCGTTCACTCAATAGTTCACTGAACGGATCATTCTATGGCTTATTGAAGTAATTATTTCTCCTTTCTAGTGAACAATTTATCAAACGTCCACGAACCCATCACATAATATTTCACTGTACCTATCAATGAATCGTTCATCCAATATTTCACTCATGGCTATGGCTCTACCGATCACATAATCGTTCACTTAACAGTTCATCTTATGATGATCTATGGTTATCTATATATATTTATGGCTCCCCGCTCAGCTCAACAGTTGGTCGAAATTTGCTGAACCTATGAATGAATCGTTCATCTTACGGTTCACTGTATGAATCATCGAACGGTTTACCGTTCTATCCAACATTTTATCTAAGGATCATAGTCGTTCACTGAACCTATCAATGAATTGTTTGTCAATTGGTTCACCGAACTGATCGTTATACGATTGATCGAAGTAATCACCTTTCCAATGAACAGTTTATCTACGTCCCTGCACCGATCACATAATCGTTCACTTAACCGTTCACCTTATGGTTTAAAAATCATTGAACGGTTCACTGTTCCGCCCAACATTTTATCGGAGTTCAATGAATCGTTCATCTTATGGTTCACTGTAAGAATCATCGAACGGTTGACCACTTTACTCAACAGTTAATCGAACGTTCACTAAACCGATTACGTAATCGTTCACTTAACCGTTCATCTTATGGTTCACCCTATGAATCATTGAGCGCTTCCCCGCTCAGCTCAACAGTTGATCAAATGTTCACTGAACCTATGAGTGAATCGTATATACGGTTCACTGTATGGATCATCGAATGGTTCGCCGTTCCACCCAACATTTTATCGAATGTTCAATGAACCTACAGATGAATCGTTGATCTTATGGTTCACTGTTCGTTACAATCGTTCACGTAACCGTTCATCTTATGATGATCTATGATTATCTTTATATGTATGGCTCCCCGCTCAGCTCAGCAGTTGGTCGAATGTTCGCTGAACCCATGAATGAATCGTTCATCTTAGGGTTCACTGTATCATCATCGAGCGGTTTTGACCACTTTACTCAACAGTTTATCGAACATTCACCGAACCCATCACATAATCGTTTATTGAACCTATCAATGAATCGTTCATCTTAAGGTTCACTGCATGAACCATCGGACGATTCACCGTTCCAGCAAACATTTTATCGAAGGATTAATGAACCCATCACATAATGACTGGTTCATCCATTGATTCACTCGCTACATTATTGTCCTCTGCTTCATTTTCGACGATCTCCCCTCGGGCATTGCCTTTCAATCGATTTAGACGAACGTAAGAGCCGGACTTTTATATGTTTTAGTTTACTACGACGTCAAAACTTTGATGCCGTACGTCGACATGATCAACCTGTGGACGGTCGACTACAGGACGCCGGAGCGTTCCCCCCAGAAGGCCGACTACGCCACGCCTCTTCATTACATGTACCCGAGGCTGGAATTCCAGAACGTGGAACACACCGTCAACAAATGGCTTCAGAGTGGTGCAGACCGTAAGTGGGTCGAATATTGTGAGGTTATGAAAGGTTGTAATTTTTTTTTAAATCAACAGCTAACAAGTTGAACCTGGGCATCAGCACCTGGGCTAGGACCTGGAAGCTGAATGAAGATTCAGGACTGTCTGGAGTTCCTCCTCTGGTCGCAGACGGACCTGGAGACAAGGGACCTTACACCAAGACTGAAGGTAAAGAGATGAATTGTATTCGTATTGCAGGACTTTAGTATTTATATCTTCTATATATATGTAGTATATCAAATTTTTTGACCAGGCCTACTCGCATATTACGAAGTGTGCGTCAAGTTAGTTTCGCCGACCAACCCCAATGCGCCCGCCACCCTCCTGAGGCGGGTCGAAGACACTACGAACAAGATGGGCTCGTATGGAGTCAGGCTGCCGAACAAGAAAGCAGGCGAGGATGAAGGGCTTTGGGTGACTTTCGAGGAGCCGACCACGGCCGGGCAAAAGGCTCTGTACGCGAAGATGCGAGGCCTGGGTGGTGTAGCCGTCCTCGACGTCGGGCTCGACGACCCGAGGGGCGTCTGCGACGGAAGCAAGTTCCCGTTGACAAGGGCGGCGAAGCTCAACCTGTAAATTTGGTTTGTAATTAAAATTTCGCGTTTCGCCTTATAAATACTGACAAAAAAGCGAGACTAGGCGGACCCTACATCATTCTACAGACACCTTCTAACCCACTGATATATTGGATAAATAGGGGGTAACTGGGATGACCAAATGCTATAGCTTACCTCTAGTGCTTCTCGCACTCCTCTCGTGTTTCTCATAGTCGGGTAGTTCTGAGACAAAGCGAGACTAGGTGGACCCCTAAATCATCCTACAGACAGTTCTAACCCACTGATATTTTGGATAAATAGGGGGTAACTGGGATGACCAGATTCTATAGCTTACCGCTAGTGCTTCTCGCACTCCAACTCGTGTTTCTCATAGTCGGGCAATTCTGGGTACAAAGCAAGCCTAGGCGTACCCGAACAGTTCCAACCCACTGACTCATTTTTAGGATGAAGGGGGAGATGGGAATAATTGTATAGTTGAGTGAACTAGAAACCAAGGGGTGTTCTTTCGACTGGTACTTCTTATTTCCATGGAAATTAGGAACAAAGCGAGATAAGGCGAACCCCAGATCAACCTACACAAACTTGTAAACATGACTACATATTACAAGGATAAACGGAAACCATGGCTGGGCATAGATGGCCATAGGCTGAGAGGTGGATGCCTGGTACTTCTCATACTCTCTCATACCAGTGGCTTTAGTTGACGTCTGGTTTTTCTCATACTTGAGCAGTACGGGGAAAAAGCGAGACTAGACGGCTACATCCATCAATATATAGAAAACTTCTAACTGACTCTAACCATTATTCATCATTGGTTGAACTGGCAAGTTCAAGAGCCGTTCTTTCAACTTGTGCTTCTCAAACTCGGGCTAGTTGAGAACAAATCGAAACTAAGCGGACCCCACCATCTACAACTTGACACCTTTTAACCGGCTATGATCATATTCTTGGGTGAAGTAGAAACCAAGGGGTGTTCTTTTGACAGGTGTTTCTTAAACTCCGACATGTTACAATATTAGACGGACCCACATCATCATCATCATCAACTACTAACTTCTAACCATGTCATTATGTTTCCGTTTTGTCGGTCTAACATTTTTCCTTTTATAGCGACGCATCCTTGGGGTACACACAGCAGACCCAGGTGCTTCCAGTTCCCGGACAAACGCTCTACCAACCCTCGGCCAATTCGACTCAGACAGCCCGGAACTTCAGCCAACCCCCTAATTATTTTCATTTGTAAATAAGCAAAATTAACTAGTTTAAATAAATAATTTTTTTCAAGGTTTTTGTTAAATTCCTCATGGTTTTTTGAAAAAAGTTTATTAGAAAATACTTTTTAATTTAGATTTATACAATAATACTGCAAGGTGGGACGTGATTGTGGGCTTCAGACGGCTGTGTTTTCAGTGTTTTCAGTTTTTTGCGTTTTCCTGTATAACATGGACTTCTCGTAGTTCTTTTCGATCTGTTCGAGGGAGATGCCTTCGGTCTCTGGCATCAGGAAATATATAAAGAGGAAGCCGATGAAAGAGCACGATCCGAAGAAGTAGAAGACCCCCTGGGGACCCATAAGGTCTTTGAGGCTTTGGAATGACTTGGTTGCTGCGAACATGACAATGTAGGAGGACGCGCCTGCTAAGCCGCTCGCCGTGCCTCTTCCCCTAGATTAAAAACCAAAAATTAAAAAACGCGTTGGTTTGTTTTGTTTATGCTATACCTTAGAGGGAAGACCTCGCTGACCAGTGTCCAGACCAACCCAGTGGCGCCGTAACTTGTGCAGAACTGCAGAGCTGTGTATAGTGCGACTGGGACCCAACCACCAGGAGGGACGGCCGCGAGTGCGAACGCAAGCAAAGCAGAAGAAGCCATGCCGAAGAAAGCGATCGGCCTCTTTTTAAACCATGCTATCGTCACCATGCAGAAAACGCTACCTGCGAAGCCTGTCGCACCAAAAATCACCTGTTGGAAGAATTATTTAAAACAAAAAGAAATCAACAAGGGGAGTTCAGGACATACCGTCCCGCGGAACGCTTCGATCGGAAACTGTAACTCCTTGATGATGAGTATCATGTAAGGCCGGGTCGATGTGACCCCGGTAAAGTTGGAGAAGAAGAAAAGCCCTATGATGAGGAAGAGCGGCTTGAAGACGGCCGGCCTCGCGACGTCTTTGATGTTTGACAGCCAAGACCCGTGCTGGAACTTCGGATTGGGTTCTTCGCCGACTTGGGGTGGTTCGTCGCAGGCCGGGTTGTCGTAGGCCAGGGTGGCCGAGGAAGCGTAGCGTTTTAAATCGGCGAGCTCGGGCCTGACAGCACCCGGTTCGACCCAACCGCGGAGCCATTGAAGAGCCTTCTCGGCATCCTCTTCGCGACCCCTTGCCAGCAGCCAGAGGGGCGTCTCGGGCACCTGGGTCAAGGCGAGGATGGTGAAGATCGGGAGACCGGTCGCGATCAGTGCAGCGGTCCTCCAGTCGACCACTGTCCCCAGGCCGTACATGAGAGTGATGCCGAATGTGGCGAAGAGGCTCGCGTAAGCAGTCAAAGTGCCTCTCAACTTAGGCTCGCAGATCTCACCGACGTACGTTATGATAGGAGCCTCCATGAAGCCTACACCTGTAAAGTATAGCCATTAACATGAATCGTTCACTCAACGGCTCAATGGACGGTTCATTGGTCATCGTATAAAGAGTCATAGAATGGTTCAGTGGATACCTGATAGAATAGTTCACTCAACAAGTCAATGGACCGTTCACCCATCAAATTGTATAGTCATGGAATGGTTCATTAAATCTTTCACTCAACCGGTGAATGGACAGTTCATTGGTTAAATTGTATAAAAAGTCGTACAATGGTTCATTAAATCTTTCACTCACCGGGTCAATGGACAGTTCATTGGTCAGATCGTATAAAGAATCTTGGAATGGTTCAGTGGACATTTGATTGAATCGGTCACTCAACAAGTCAATGGACGGTTAATTGGTTAGATCGCATAAAAAGTTATAGAATGGTTCAGTGGACACTTCATTGAATCGTTCACTGAACAGCTGAACGGATGCTTCAGTGATCAAAGAGTCATGGAATGGTTTCATTAAATCTTTCATTCAACGGGTCAATGGAGGTTCGTTCATTGTCAGAATTTATAAAATTCACGGAATGGTTCATTTAACACTTGATTGAATCGTTCACTGAACAGCTCAATGGACTGCTCACAAAATATGTTTACTGATCAGATAGTATACAATTCGCGGAATAGTTCAGTGAACGGTTGATTGAACAGCTCAATGGACGGTTCATTGAGCCCGTTAAAGATTCGTTCAATGACCAGATCATGTATCGTTCAGTGAATAGTTCATTGAAAGTTTAAACTACTAGATCATGGAATCGTTCACTAAAACCAACTAAGATACGTTCAGTTACTAGATCACCAAATAGTCTGCTAGACAGTTTCCATCGAACAGTTCATTGAACCTCACAAAGAATCGTTCACGAACCCATTAAAAATGCATTCAATGGCCATCATAGATTGTTTAGTGAATAGTTCATTAAATTGTTCACTTAACACGTCAATAATTCGTTCACCCAACGTATTAAAAATTCGTACACTAGAAACGTATCATACAGATCACTGAATCGTTCACTGAACACATTAAAGATTGGTTCAATGACCTGATCATGGATTGTTTAGTGAATAGTTCATTGTATCGTTCACTTAACATGTCAATAATTAATTCACTGAACCTATTAAAGATTAGTACAATAGAAAGTTAATCGTACAGGTCACGGAACAGTTCTTAGCGAAATTTACTGAAACATTCAGTGAATGGTTCCTTCTTCGACTGAACTGTTCATGAAACAACTTACAGGATTGTTTACCAGAAATAGAAGTGTAACTCACCCAAACCCATGATGATGGCAGTGAGGAACATCTGCAATTTCGATTTCGCCGTGTAGTACAAGAGCCATCCGACGAGATGAGGCACGTTGACGGCCATCAGGCTGTACTTCCGTCCGAGGTAGTCGAGAACGGACCCCGAGAGGACGCTGCCTATAGGCTGGCATATGTATATCACGCTGCCTAGAGATGAGAAAGTACAGGGTCAGGTAGTTGTCCCGAGATGGCCGCTTGCCTAAACTCCGATACCTACCGAACCACGACGCGTCGGTTACCGTGAAACGTATGCCTTCCGGGTCCGAGCCGTCGGTGAGGACGGGAATGGCGATGGTCGGAAACGCGATCGTCATGCCCAGGTCGAGGAGGAGGAGGTTCTTGATCGTGCTCGCGATCACCTGGGGCAAAGCCCGTCTCCATTTAGATACGGGTTTCACGTCCTCGCTCCCTTTTTCATCAGATCTGCAAACATACAAAAACAAAAAGCATTAACTACATGCCATTAGTCACAGGCATCATTAGTCGTCTCATCATGACATTCCGGTTCAGATTTGTTTTTTTCTTAACATAAAAGAAAGTAATTAACTCCATTGTTTGTCTGTAGTTCACCGAACGGATCATCTCGTCGAAAAGGTCGTTGTACAATTCGTTAAACGGTCCTCCGGACATGTACTCGATTGGATCGTTAAGCGGTTCCCGAATCAATCACTGAACACCACAAAACAGATCCTACAGCAGTTACGTGTTTATTGAACGGATCCTTCCACGGTTCATTGAGTTGGTCCTTATGTTCATTGAACAGTTCGTCATTGAGTGGTTCAATCAACAGATCCTAGAATTCTTCATTGTATGGTTGATTGAATGACGAGGTGGTTCGCTGAAGAGAACCTTCAAAGATTCAGTAAACCGTTCATCATTGAGTGGTTCAGTGGACAGTTCTTAATTGAATAGTTCATTGAAGAGTTTATTGAATCGTTCTTTAAGCAAATAATTCCACGGTTCAGCAAACGGTTCATCGTTAAGTAGTTCAGGGAATAGTTCATTGGATGGTTACTTGGTTTTACAGTACATCTGTACCTTCAATCGTTCTTTGAATCATTGAATGGCTCACTGAATAACGAATCCTTCGAGGGTTCACTGAACAGTTCTCTAACCAGAACTCTAATGATTCACTGAATAGATTCTTCAACTGTTGAGTGAAAAGTTCATGGAAGTTTCCTTGGACAGTCAGTATGCAAATCCTTCAATGGTTCTTTGAACAGATCATCATTGAATGGTTCAGTGAATAGCAGATCCTTCCATGGTTAGGTGAACAGTTCTCTAATCAGACCTCCAATGAATTATTGGACAGTTTATGAGGTGGTTCATTGAACAGATCCTTCAATAGTTAATTGAACTGTTCATCAAGCTGATCATTAAATGGTTCATTGACTTGAGTGAACAGTTAATTGGACGGTTCTTCGTACAGTCCATCTGATACAAATCCTTCAATGGTTCTTTGAACAGATCATCATTGAATAGTTCACTGAACAGTTCATGAGTGAGTGGTTCAGAGAATAGTTCATTGATCAGAGCATTAAATGGTTCATTGAATTGTTTAGTGTAGGGTGTAATGAAGGGTTCGATGAACAGATTCTTCAAAAGTTGATTGAACAGTACGTTAGTGAGTGAATCAGTGGACAGTTTGTTAAATGTTAAACGGTACAGTTCATCATTGAGTGGTTCTTGATCAGATCCTTCAATAGTTAATTGAACTGTTCATTAAGCAGATCATTAAATGGTTCATTGAGTTGTTGAGTGAACAGTTAATTGGATGGTTCCTCGTACAGTCCATCTGATACAAATCCTCCAATGGTACTTTGAACAGATCTTTGAATGGTTCGTTCACTGAACAGATATTTCAATGGTTAATTGAACAATTCATCATTGAGTTGGTTCAGTGAACAGTTCATTGATGAGATCATGAAATTGTTCATTGAGTTGTTGAGTGCAGGGTGTAATCAATGGTTCAATGACCAGATCCTTCAGTGGTTCTTTGAATAGATACTTCAACAGTTCATTGTTCGGTGAATAGTTCGTTGAATCATTCTCTTATCAGATCTAATAAAGTTTGTCGCGACAGATTCTTGAACCATTGATTGATTCTTCTAACAGATCAACGAATCGTTCACTTAGCAGATCCTCCATTGGTTCAGCTGCATAAAAACCCGTATAGAAATTCGTTTACCGTCTGGTGATTATTGGCCGAAGAAGTAAACAACAGTCGGAACAAAGTCGTTACGAGTGGGACGAGGAAAATGCGTCCGCTTTAATCTTCTCAGCGATCATTTCTGAGATGGGGCCGTTTGGCTACGCTTTTTCACGCCGACACGTTGTCAAATCGGTTTTTAATCGGTGCCACAGCTCGTTCAAAAGGCAAGGGGAAAAACACGAAATGAAGCAAGGACGACATATAATTCGCCGCTTTTTAAGTCGATTTAATAATTATTTTTCCACTGAGTTTGGGAAATCGTATTGTGCTGTCCTTAGAAGTTAATCATCTTTACTTTGTTCCTGCATCAAACTCGCCCTTGGTTGATTTCTATTTTATTTTTTTCGAACAAAACTGGTTCCTGACACGTAAACAGCGTGATATTCTTGATTGGGCCTGCCAACAGCGTCTTAAGAACCCGATTTACAGTCATTTACGAAGGAGATCGAAAAGGGTCTGCGCGGTTTTGCCCTTTTTACAAAGGAAAACAACTGGGACGCGGATGAGATAGGGGCAGAAGGACGCGAGGGTCTCGCATCCGGATCTGACTCCTTTCAATTGGCCACGCATTCACCGTGAAACGAATTCTTGAATAGTTCTTCAAAAAATGTTCAGTGGTTCGAATGCAAATCCTTCAACTGAATAGAACATGAACACTGAAGAACACTTAAAGAAAAATTGAATAGAAGATCCTTTCATGGTTCAATGAACAGTTCATTGTATAGTTGTCAAAACAGACCTCCAATGATTCTCTGAACAGTTCATTGGGTAGTTGAACAAGTGGCTGGATGGTTCACTGAGTAAATCCTTCGACGGTTCAGTGAACAGTTAATCATTGAGTGGTTTAAGGAAAAGTTTATTGAATGGCTCATTGAATAATTAATCCAACGTTTCTTTGAACAGTTTTTAATTGAGCAGTTCATTGAGCTGTTGGGTGAACAGTTCATTGGATGGCTCCTTGAACAGGTGGCTGGATTGGCTGAACTCCTCCATTAATCCACTAGACTGTACATCCAACTTTCCTTGAACAGTTCATTCTTGAATGGATCAGTGTACAGTTCTTTGCGTTATTCATTCAGCAGACCCTTTAGTTTTCGTTGCATTGTTCTTTAAACAGACCGCCAATGCCTCACTGAACAGTTCATTGGATGGCTCCTTGAACAGGTGGCTGGATTGGCTGAACTCCATTAATCCACTAGACTGTACATCCAACTTTCCTTGAACAGTTCATTCTTGAATGGATCAGTGTATAGTTCTTTGCGTTATTCATTCAGCAGACCCTTTAGTGTTCGTTGCATTGTTCTTTAAACAGACCGCCAATGCCTCACTGAACAGTTCATACATTGGTTCCTTGAATAGTTCTTAATTAAGTGGTTCAGTGAGGAGTTCATTGCATGGTTTTGTGAGTAGTTCTCTCAATTGTTCTATAAATAGCCTCCAATTATTCACTGAACAATTTATTGAATGGCTCACTGAACAGTTCATCCATTGGTTCCTTGAATAGTTCTTAATTATGTGGTTCAGTGGCCAGTTCATTGCATGGTTCAGTGAGTAGTTCTCTCAATTGTTCTATAAATAGTCTCCAATTATTCACTGAACAATTTACTGAATGGCTCAATGAACAGTTCATCCATTGGTTCCTTGAATAGTTCTTAATTAAGTGGTTCAGTGGACAGTTCATTGCATGGTTCAGTGAGTAGTTCTCTCAATTGTTCTCTAAATAGCCTCCAATTATTCACTGAACAATTTATTGAATGGCTCACCGAACAGTACATCCAACGGTTCCTTGAATAGTTCTTAATTGAGGAGTTTAGTGAACAGTTTATCGAATGGTTCACTGAACAGATCCTTGGATATTGTTTATCATGAGGTGGTCCAGTGAACAATTCATTTAATTTTTTTTTGAAAAATTCCTCCAATGATTCACTGAGCAGATCTTCCAACAGTTCACTGGAAAGTTCATCTTTAAGTGTCTCAGTGAACATCCTCCTTCTTCCTATCCAGCCGGCTATTACTTAACCCTTTGAGTCGATTAAGCATTGTTCCAAGCTTTAGGGGGGGACTTTCTCACAGATCCGCGATAAGATTTCTGCGAGATTAAAAATTAGGAATTAAACGAAATATGACGGGGCTTTATTCCACCTTAGACCCACTGATAAGCCGATATCAACCATAGCGATTAGTCACGGATTAAGAAACAATAAAAAAAACCAGCGTACTAGTTTATCCGAGAAGAAAACAAAATTGAGCCGCCGATGTTTATTTCATCCATGGCAATTTAACAAATATGCGCGGAAACGCTGACGGAATACAAATGTAAATGCTTCCCTTCCAGCACACTACGTGGAAGATCATAAAGAAAGCAAATTACAGTCGAGTCTGTCAAGTTGAAAAGAGCGAATTGCCTATAACGACAGGAAGGGAGATAATGTACGTTCGCCCCTGAGAATGTAGCAGATGGATGTGGATGATAGTACACGTGGAAGCATTTCCTCGTTCAAAGTTTTTCATTATCGAATTGTTCTAGGAACGGTTCAGTGAACTATTCGAAGATCTTCCCAATGAACTCCTCACTGAACCACTTAATTAAGAACTATTCAAGGAACCGATGGATGAACTGTTCAGTGAGCCATTCAATAAATTGTTCAGTGAATAATTGGAAGCTGTTTAGAGAACAATTGAGAGAACTACTCATTGAACCATGCAATGGACTGTTCACTGAACCACTTAATTCAGAACTATTCAAGGAACCGATGGATGAACTGTTCAGTGAGCCATTCAATAAATTGTTCAGTGAATAATTAGAGGCTGTTTAGAGAACAATTGAGAGAACTACTCACTGAACCGTGCAATGAACTCCTCACTGAACCACTTAATTAAGAACTATTCAAGGAACCAATGGATGAACTGTTCAGTGAGCCATTCAATAAATGGTTCAGTGAATAATTGGAGGCTGTTTAGAGAACAATTGATATAACTACTCACTGAACCGTGCAATGAACTGTTCACTGAACCACTTAAGAACTATTTCAGAAACCGATGGATGAACTTTCAGTGAGGCATTTGAGGTCTATTTAAAGAACATTAAAGGATCTGCTGAATGAACAAAGCAATGAACTATACACTGAACCACTCAAGGAAGAAGTGTTCAAGGAAACGTTGGATGTACAGTCTAGTGAACTAATGGAAGGCTATTTAGGTGGGCCAACGAGTCGAAGCAGCCATCATTTTTAGTCAGCCATTCAATAACTCCATGATGAACTGATCAATGAACCGTTGAGGGTCTGTTCAAAGAACAATTGAAGGATTTGCATCAGATGGACTGTACGAGGAACCATCCAATGAACTGTTCACTCAACAGATCAACGAACCCTTCAATGAAGTGCTCAATTGAAAACTGTTCAAGGAAACGATGGGTGAACTGCTCATTGATTCATTCAATAAACTTTTCATTAAACCACACAGTGAATCATTGGAGGTTTGTTCAGAGAACTGTCCAATGAACCATCAAAGGACCTGCCAAATGGACCGTACAATGAACTGTTCATTGAACCACTCAACTATGGACACCTACCAATGCTGAACTGATCAGTTAACCGATAAAGTATTGAATGAACCGTTAAAGAATCTGCTCAAGGTGCCACCCAATGAATGTTCAAATCATTGGAGGTCTGTTTACCCATTTAATGAACTATTTACTGAACCGATTCAGTAAATCAATGATGAACTGTTAACTGAACCGTCGAAAGCCAACGCAATTGTGCTCCTTTGTCATCCTGTGCGTCTAATAAACTCAGACTTTCTTATTCCAACGCTAAAAAAACCAATATCGGCGGTTTTAAAGAGGGGAAAAGTGCAGTCTTTCCGTAAATACAGCTGGAGGATCGGTCCTTGAACCTTACGGCCTTAAGTCAAAAGTAAAAGTCGCATTCCGTTCACCGGTGCTCACTTATATGCACTTAGATACTTTTTCAAGGTTGTTTTTTGTTTTCGCGAAATCTGCTTTTTTATTGCAATTATTCCAAGCCGTCCCGATTATCCCCAGGAAAAGGGTAATCGAGGAAATGAGAACAGATTAAAGGATCCGGCCGGAGCAAGACTTTATTCAAGGGGTGAAAGGAATACGATTCCATTTGAAAAATAAATACATGAACCATTTTTTTTTTCACCTGGACGTTCACTTGAACGTGTTTCTGGTGCAGTCAACAGTTCATTAAATGGATCACGGAAAACATGTTACGAGAGATCGTCCAATATCCTGAACAGTTCAATGAATGGTCCACTACTCGGATCTTCCAGTGGTTGACTGAACGGGTCCCAAAATTCCGTAAACCGGGCCATTAGTTGCATGGTTTACTGAACCTATACAGTATGTCAGTGGAGGTCTTCTACTTAAATATCGGGATTTTAAAACCTTCTAGGACGCTAGGAGCTAAGATGATCTGATTTATATAAATATTAGGATGTTAGGATATCAGTGGAGCTCTTTTTCTTATATACCAAGAAGTTAGAAAGTCAGAATGTTAGGAGACTAGGAGCTAAGAAGAGGTAGCTGTTCGTGATTTTTAAATATTAGAGTATCAGGATGTAAGAGGAGCTCCTCTATTTAAATATCAGGATTTATTGATTTACCAGGAAGCTAGGGCCTAAGATGAGCTGATTTATATAAATATTAGGATGTTAGGATATCAGTGGAGCTCCTTTTCTTATATACAAGGATGTTAGAAGGTCAGAATTTTTAGGAGACTAGGAGCTAAGAAGAGGTAGCTGTTCGTGATTTTTAAATATTAGAGTATCAGGATGTAAGAGGAGCTCCTCTATTTAAACATCAGGTTTTATTGTTTTACCAGGAAGCTAGGGCCTAAGAAGAGCTGATTTATATAAATATTAGGATGTTAGGATATCAGTGGAGCTCCTTTTCTTGAATACCAGGATTTTAAGATCTACCAGGACGCTAGGAGCTAAGATGAGCTGATTTATATAAATATTAGGATATTATTTCAGTGGAGCTCCTTTTCTTGTATACCGGAATGTTAAAGTTTAAGAACATCAGGAGACTAGGAGAGAAGAAGAGGCATTTATTCGTGATTTTTTATTTTTTACAGACGCTTGCAACAATTGGTTCTGTCTGAAATATGAGGAAACAAAGATGACAGAGGAGCTTACAACAGTGATTCAACGATCTACTTATATTAAGAGACTATTGAACTCCTCGGCTTGGATATCAGGATGTTAGAATCTAAAGCTCGTTTCCTCGTATAACAGGGTGTTAGGTTCCAAGAGGTTCCACATCGATTCTGGTGCCTAATATCCGAAAGTCAAGTGTAACTCCTAGTTTTCTGATGCCTCCTCTGACTTCGTGTTGGCCTAATATTTAAAAATGACGAATAGAATGAGATAAGAAGATAACGGACCTCCTTATAGGACCTAATCTCCTAATATTCTGGCATCCTGGTATACAAGGAAAAGATACTCCTAACATTTGGATATTTATATAAATCAGCTCCTCATATATCATAAAATCCTAGTAGATCTTAAAATAGTGATATTAAAGTAGAGCTCCTCTGAAATCCTAACATCCTAATATTTATATAAATCAGCTCATCTTAGGTCCCAGCTTCCTGGTAAATCAATAAATCCTGATATTTAAATAGAAGAGCTCCTCTTACATTAGATCCTAAATTAGTTCCTCTCAGCTCCTAGTGACCTGGTAGATCCGGAAAGTTTTTATAATTAAGTAGCTCCTCCGACATTCTGGTTCCCTAATTTTTTTTAAATCTCGAACAAGTTTTTAGCTCCTCGTCTCCTGATGTTCTTAAATCCTAACATACCGGCATACAAGAAAAGGATCATCACTGAAATCCAAACATCCTGATATTTAAATAAATTCCCTCTTAGGTCCAAGTGACCTGCTAGATTCTAAAATCCTGATAATTAAGTAGAGAAGCTCCTCTGATATCCTAGTATTCTATTATTTAAATAAATTCTCTCCTCTTAGCTCCTACTTCCTGGTAAATCGTTAAATCATGATATTTGAATAGACGAGCTTCTCTATATCGTGGTATCCCAATATGTAAAAGAATTAGCTCCTCTTAGTTCCTAGTGTCCTGGTAAATCGTTAAATCCTGATATTTAAGTGGAAGAGCTCCTCTGACAAGCTGATACCTTAATATTTAAAAATCACGAACAACCTCCTCTTAGCTCCTAGACTCCTAATATTCTGGCATTCTAACATCCTGATATATAAGGAAAGGAGCTCCACTGATATCCTAACATCCTAATATTTATATAAATCATGCCATCTTAGCTCCTAGCGCTCTGGGAGTTCTTAAAATCCTGATCATTAAGTAGAGCAGCTCCTCTCACATCCTGATAACCTAATATTTAAAAATCACAACTGTCTCCTCTTAGTTTAACCATTCACCGGTTCAATGTACAATCCCATGAACTGTTCACCGAATCACTCAATGATGACACTCCTCTGATGCCCTGGTATATTATACGTAAAATGACTTTTAAACCCTTTTTATTTAATTATTTAAGACGGAAAACCAAACGCTTCCTTGGATTTTTATAAAAAATCATAAACTAGAACAGGTCCTCCTTCAAAGGCCGTGGGGGCGACGATGCAACGCATAAAGGACCCAAGTTAAAATGGGGTGAAAGTCGAAAGATTTTGATAGTCGGGACGATTAGAAAGCCTCCTGGGGTTTTCCCTATTGGCAAAATCGTCAAATTTTGGATTTGAGATTTTTTTTTGTGGATTTTTGTGTAATAGAAAAATTCCAACTCACGCGTTCATTTGTCGATCCTGTTCCGGTTTTTTTATCCTTTTGAATAGAGAAAAATTTTTCTCGTATTTTAGACGGGACGACGAGCCCCAACTCGTTGTCGTGTCCGGTTCATCTACTCGCGTCAACGTCGACTGGTTTCAGACCCAGATCCGCGACTCGTCAATCCTTTTGGAGGGGGACTCGCGGATTTCGCTGCATCGCGGCCGAGGCCGTGCTTGGCGGGAGGGGGGTAGAGAATCCGCTTTCGAAAAATATCAACTCCCCCGGACGGTGATGGAAAATGAAAGTTTTCCCGGAGATACGCGAAGGCTCAGTTGGGGCCGTTTCGCAACCCGAGAAGACCAGTCATTAAGGACGAATGACGTTTCTTTCGTTCTAATGGAACAGTTAGAGGAAAAGAAGTAAAAACGGCGAAGAGGTCCTAAAGTTTTTAGTTTTCGGTAGAGGCACCACAGATCTTATAAAACCAACCTCCTACATGATTTATCCATAATTGGCAAGAGCTTCCGACAGCGAGTTATGTCCGAAAAATCAGAAACCCATTATGACAGAGGAGCTCCACTTGTAAGAGATATCAGGAGACCAGGATGTCAGAGGAGCTTTACTTATTACAGGACCTTGCAACAGAGTGCATTGTTGAAATATCAGGAGACCAGGTGGTCAGAAGAGCTTTACGTTTTACAGGAGCTTCCGACAGTGAACTATGTCTGAAATTTCAGGAGCCCAGTATGATAGAGGAGCTCCACTTGTAAGAGGTTTAGTTATGTACGTTTGGTCTCAAATAACAGGAGCCCAGGATACAAACGAGTCCCTCAATTCAAAGGAGCTGGCATCCCGGAGTTTAAACTTAAATATCAGGAGACCAGGGTACTAGAGATGCTCGCGATCTTCCAGAAGCTCGCAACAGTGAATTATGTTTGAAGTATCAGAAGACTAGGATGACAGAGGAGCTCCAGACTCGAAAGTAACTTGGGTAAGTGCGCTTGATCTCAAATAACAGGAGCCCAGGATACAAACGAGTCCCTCAATTCAAAGGAGCTTGCATCCCGGAGTTTCCACTTAAATATCAGGAGACCAGGGTACTAGAGATGCTCGCGATCTTCCAGAAGCTCGCAACAGTGAATTATGTTTGAAGTATCAGAAGACTAGGATGACAGAGGAGCTCCAGACTCGAAAGTAACTTGGGTAAGTGCGTTTGATCTCAAATAACAAAAGCCCAAGTAAGTGACAGTTCATATTATGGAAACGTTCATTAAGCGAATTTCGCCTGAAATAACAGGAGACCAAGATAGCTAGGTACTGTAGGAGAGATAAAGCTTTTTACAGGAGTTTGGAACAGTGGTTTTTGTGGTAGAAATCAGGAGAACAGGATATCAGAGGAGCTTTACTTTTACAAGACCTTGCAACAGAGTGCATTGTTGAAATATCAGGAGATCAGGTGGTCAGAAGAGCTTTACGTTTTACAGAAGCTTCCGACAGTGAATTAGGTCTGAAATATCAGGAGTCAACTACGACAGAGGAGCTCCAGACTTGAAAGAGACTTGGTTAAGTGCATTTTGCCTCAAATAACAAGAGCCCAGGATGACAAAAGAGCCTCTCAATTCACAGGACCTTTCAATTAAATATCGGCAGACTACGAGCTACGAAGGGAAGCCCCCTTGCTTTTAAAACGTTATCTGAGCCATACGATTTACAACTGCAGTTTATTTTTGCAGAATGTCTATCCACCCTTCTTACCTGCCACCTTTTCAGTACTTAATTGCATCATCTTTGCACATTCAACTGCACGTGAATTTTCAGGTTTGCCAGTTCGGGCAAAACCCGGCCGGATGTTGATGGGTGGATTCGTTTACTTCCCATCCGCGGGTAATCAGGATGTCAAGATCGAAGAACGAGGACTTCATCGTTCTTCCGAAGGACAGGCGTTATACAACGGACCGGTTCTCCCGAGAAACAAACAATTTTAAAACCACTGAAGATGTCGAAAAGGGAAAACCAGCCTAGACAAGCGATAAATAATAAAACTTAATTTAATAAATGACATCCTTTCACGTCAGTTCGTTAAAGATGACTGTAAAAACGATTTTTTTGGAGACCTCCCACGCTAAGATCGCGCTTTCGATTAGGAAAACAGGAGACGTAAAATGCAAAAGAAGGACAGGATAGTTATAAACATCCTTTGACATCCATGGCCACACTTAATGAGTGTCATGGGAAACATTACAAAAAGAAAAGATTCCCAATGTTGCAGGCTCAAAATCAGTAGAGGAGTCTTCTGTCATCCTGGTATTTCAAGCAAAATTCGCTTCCCCAAAGGTCCATAAAATCTGAAGCTCCTCTTACATCCGGGTCTACTGATATTTCAGGTAAAATTCCCTTCCTGAAAGCCAGATAAAATCTGAAGCCCCTCTGGCATACTGGTCTCCTGATATTACAAACAAAATTCGCCTATTTAAAGCATCCATAAAATCTGAAGCTCCTCTGACATTCGGGTCTTCTGATATTTAAGAGGGACCTCCTGGGTGCAAGCTCCTATTAATAAGCTGTACTTTTACGGGGGCTGGAGCAGTGTGAAGTGTGCAAATATCAAGACACCAGGATGTCAGAGGAGCGTGGAACAGTGAGTTTTCTCGCACATATCAGGATACCACGATGGCAAAGGATTTTACGATTTTATGAAAGCTGTCTTTTTTTAAGAACATTTTGCCTGAACAATTTGCAACAAAACCCACTGTTCCAAGCTCCTATGACATCCTGGTCTCCTGTTACTCCCGTCAAAATTCATATCTTGATATTTGCAACAAAAACCCACTGTTCCAACCTCCTATGGCATCCTGGTCTCCTGTTACTTCAGGCAAAATTCGTTTCTTGATATTTGCAACAAAACGCACTGTTCCACGCTCCAANCATCCTGGTCTCCTGTTACTCCCGTCACAATTCGTTTCTTGATATTTGCAACAAAACCCACTGTTCCAAGCTCTTGTATATTTACTTTTTCATCGCTGACTCCTGTTCTGCGATCCCAGAAAATCTCATTTAAGGAACAAAATAAGTCTGTATGCCACATATATAATACACTCATTAAAAGACTTTTATTTATACAAAAATGAAAATAAAATAACACATTCATTTGAAAATAAATACAATTATAAACACGTCACATTTTTTTTAAACTTTTGGTGATACTGTGATTTCTTATTATTGCACATGTTTCATAAGGATAGATAGATAGATAGATGTAATAATTCAGGGTATGGTATACTGCGCCCTTTAAGAGCTATTGTATCCCCTGTGCTCTGCTTAAAGCACATCTTGATTAATAGGCCCGGTTTCAGTGGTTGTAGTTCTTTTATGGTCACATTGTACATCCCAAAACACTTCCTCCTGCGGGCTAGTGTAGCTCCGCAGTTTGTTAGTAAGTGTGTTGGTGTCTCTTCTGCTTCTTTGCAGAATCTACATGTGCCATCTTGGATTATTCCAATTTTCTTTAAATGTCCATTTAATCTACAGTGTCCTGTCAGGAATCCTGTTAGGATTCGCAGTCTGTTCCTGCTTCCTTTGACACATTCTGTGATTTCTTTCTTGCCAAAGTTGGTTAGAAAATTCTTGGATTGTCTGTGTCCAATAAGTGAGTTCCAAAGTTCGCTCATTCTCTTTTTATCCTTCTGTCTGAGGTATTCGTTGATAGTGTGTGTTCCTATTCCACAGAAGGGTTCAGGTCCTATTAGAGGTGTGGCAGCCCCTTTTCTTGCCAGGGTGTCCGCTTCCTCATTACCTTCTACTCCCATGTGTCCTGGGACCCAGCAGAGGCTGACTTTATTCTGCGAGCCTAATGTATTTAATTTGGTTTTGCAGTTCAGCACCATCCTTGAACTAATGGTATTTGAGCTTAGTGCTTTGATGGCTGCTTGGCTATCTGACATGATAGCTATATTCTTGTTTTTGTATCCTTTATTTAGGTTGAATTGGATACATCTTTCAATTGCATGAATTTCTGCTTGGAAGATACTGGTGTGCTTTCCCATGGGTTCTGAGTATTTGGTTCCGGGTCCGAACACTCCTGCCCCCGTACCTTCCTGTGTTTTAGATCCATCTGTGTACCAAAGGATGGTGCCATTTTTGAGGGAGTTATTTCCCTCTTTTTCCCATTCTTTTTTGGTGCCCAGATGTATTCGGAATTTATGGTTAAATTCAAACCTCCTGTTCATGTCGTCTCTTGGAGCCATGAGTGAAGGATGGTTTTTCCACAGTTTGTTTCTGTCTCTCCATTTCAGTTTTATTCCTGTTGGAGGTTTCTCTCTAGTGATGTTAATTATAGTTTTCTGTGCTGTCCTTTCTATCATGTGGTATAGGGGGATTAGTCCCAATATCTTTTCCATGCTAATTGTAGGACATGTTCTCATTGCTCCCGTTATGCAGATGCATGCAAGTCTCTGTATTTTTGAGAGTTCTTTCCTTTTGGTTGTTTGTTCCGCTTTATCAGCCCATGCTATAGCTCCATATGTAAGTAAAGGTCTTACTATCATGGTGTACATCCATAACAGGGTTTCTGGTCTACATCCCCAGTTTCTTCCTGCCATTCTTCTGCACACCATCAGAGCTCGTGTCGCCTTTGTAATGATAGAGCTGATATGTTTCTTAAACGTTAGTGTTTTATCTAGTGTGATGCCCAGATATTTGACTTCATTTTTGATTTCTATCACAGTGTTGTTTAGTTTGATTACTTTCATGTGATCTAGCTTTCTTTTCCGTGTAAAAGTGACTATAGTTGTTTTGTTTGGGTTGATTCCCAAGCCTGCACTTTTACACCATTCTTCTGTGATTTTCAGTCCCTCTTGGATTATATCACAGAGGATTTCCTCGAATTTTCCCCTGGCTGTCAGGACTATGTCATCTGCATATCCCTGACATTTTATTCCTGAACGGTTCAGGGTTTCGAGCAGTTCATCAACTATTAGGCTCCATAAGAGAGGTGATAATATCCCTCCTTGAGGACATCCTTTTGTTGTTCTAACTTCTATAGTGTTTATTCCTATATTTGTTTCAGCTATTCTAGTTCTTAGAAGTTCTCCAATCCATCTAGATGTGGTTTGGTCTACGTGTTTTTTCCTCAGGGAGGCTTCCATTGATGCATGAGATGCGTTGTCGAAAGCTCCCTCAATGTCGAGGAACGCGCAGATTGCTATTTCTTTTGTTTCCAGTGTTTCTTTTAGATCACTGGTTAGTTCGTACAGTGCAGTTTCATAAGGATATTACTGGAAAGTATTTATTCAGTTCATTTTTTTATTTTTTTTTTTCAGCGTGAATTTTTTTGGATTCAGATGGTTGATGTATCCCTGCTTCCTTTGAGGTGGCGCAAGGCTGACTAGTTTTAGGTTTGGTGTTGGGCCGTGACTCACCTCCTCCTCAGCTTCTTCCTGTGATCGTAGAGGAGTGGAGAGACGAGGAAGACCAATAGGGCGAGTAGGAGGGTCACGCCCATCCAGGACGCGGAGACCGCCATCCCCCCGTGCCGACCAGCCGAGATGCCCCTGTAGGCCAGGGCGGCCGTCCCGTTCGGTACCGGGCACGGGAGGTGTACGATGATGTCCTGCCTTTGGACCTGGGTCTTCCTGCAGACCATGTGGGACGTGAGCTCCTTGAGGAGGACGGGGTCGTGATCCTGGGCGAGGAGGGCGGAGTAGGCGGCCGAGACGGGCGTGTACCGACCTGGGTCGACGACGGCACCGCGGAGGTCGAGGGTGAATCCGGAAAACCCGGACATAGCTGAGTGGATCATGGTGTAAACGACCGCGGACCAGACCCGGCTCGGGCACACATAGCCGACAAGTGTACACAGGTACTGAAGGCTCAGTAGGCACAGAACGCTCTCACCTGCAACAAACATCTTTTTAAGAAAAAGTCAATCATCAACAAGTATGAGTCCAGAAGAAATGCTTCTGCTTATAAGAGGTCAGGATGGTACTACATAGACGTCTATCAGGACGAAAGGAAGAGCTTCTGCTTATAGGAGTTTGGATGGTACTGCTCAGGAGGTCATGTATATCAGTTCAGAGTTTTTTTTATAGCGATCTTACACAAATAATTGACCAAGTTGTCCATGAATCCCTGGTCGTAGAGCCCGGACATGCAGTAGGACGGTATGAGGTACGCCAACCACACCAAAGAGCAAGGAATGCAGCTGTAAATGAACTGTAAAAGAAGATTATGAGGCGAACTGTTCTTTGGGTGTATATGTATAGAAAGAAACATACTGTCAGAATTATGTAGAGCAGTCTCGAATACAGACCCTGGTGGATGTCGCTCTCGACGGCCTGACGCTCCTTATCGTGGGTCCTGGACAGTCCCAGGATGAGTACGAGCGGCCAGGACATGACGCAAAGAACGGTGAAGTGGTATCCCAGTCTGTTGATGAAGAATTTTAGATTTTTTTTTTCCTTTTTTTAGGGGTGGGTTTTGGGTACCTTTCTTCTCGTCGTAGTTGGGGATCGGATGTGGGTATATCCCAGAATATGCCGCCGACTATGACGGACACTAGTGCTGCTATGATGACGCGTACGATCCATCTTGTAAAACTTACCGGTTGTGAGAAGAACGCGTCCTTTCTGAAATTGTTTTAATTTAATTTTTTGTCTTGGAGGAGGGTGGTTTTTTGTATGGTCTTACAGAAGTAGGGTGAAAGCTTGAGCAAATATGCCGGGCCTTTTGAAAGGCGCGGGTAGGGTGTAGGGCGCTGGGTCTGAGAGTGGTGTCTGTCTTCTTCTGTACAATCCGGCCAGCTGGTCGACCCTCTGGCTCGATTCCAGCATCGCTTCTGCCGAGAGATCGTCTAGGGTGACCAGGTCGAGGTAGTAGTCCGCCGGGTTCTTGTACGCCGGTGCCGGACACTGAACGGGCGTGAAGTAGTGCCCGAGAGACCTAGACGGTCCGTCGTACATCGTGTCGCACCCCGAGAGTATAAGCAACCGGGTGACCATCGTGAGTATCTCGTACGTCGGAGGCTGGAGGCACATGACGACCACGCGACCCGCCACCCCTCCGGTCGCCCCCGCTGCCCAGTACCGGAGGAACTCGACCAGGAAGAACGTGTCGAATATGTCCATAGGGTTGGTCACGTCGTCGACGAGGAGTATCTGAGGGTCCGAGAGGAGCTGGAGAGCCACTAGAAGCCTCGAATACTCGGAATGGGTGAGCTTCGAGACCATCGTGTCCAGGACTGGACAGAGGCCTAACTCGTCGGTCACTATCGCCACCTGGTCCGCCATGGAAAGCTTACCCCTCGCGCCTTGAGGCCTTCTAAGACTCGCGTAGTACCTGAGACACCCTGACACCGTGAAATCACCGTGGAGGACCGTATCCTTATCCACGAGAGCCGTGATACCCCTCAGATCCTTAGGTGACACTATCTGCCCGTTCACGCTCACCTGGCCCGAGTAAGAATGCCTTCCGGCCAAGCACTCCAGCATACACGTACCCACATCACAACTAGTCGCCATCACAGACAAAATCTCCCCGGCTTTCACTTCCGTCGACAAATTATTAATCATTGGCTCGCCTTTCCTGTTACGCACGTTTAAATTCCTAACCTAAAAAAAATTAGTTTAAAAAAACAAAAAGAAACACTTATTGTAAACACTTACTTGTAAGTGAGGGTAAAGTCCGGTGTACTGCTGAGGGTGTAGCATGGAGAATGAGAACGGCTCAGGTGATGGCACACCGCTCTGTACAGCTGACATACGTCTCATCCTCCTGTTTTAAATAAATAACAGTGAAATTGGTTTTTAAAATTTGCTTGGGTTTATTGCTCACCCTGACATTTGGCCCTGATGGCGGCCGGGCTGCGGTTGCCTCATGAGAGCGTGGTGGAGGTAGTCGGTATGCCTCAGATCATGTAACGACCTTCTATGTTGTGCGGCCGACTGCCTCAGTAATGTCTCAGCGCTGAGCAGGTCTGCGTGCGACAAGCTCTTTCCACCGCCTAACGTTTGCACCTAAAAAAAATACACTAAAATTGTTCTTTTTCTTAAAAAACAAAAAATACTTACGGGATGGTAGTGTAAGTTGGCGAAGTCCGCCTCGCTTCTGGATCTGTTCCTCCTGCCTCTCAGGTCTTCCTCAGATGAGTTGTAACCGCTCGAGGTGCCTCCGGGTCCTTGGTTGGGCGGGAAGACCCTAGGCAGGCCGAATTTCAAGTAGGTGTACATGTTGGCCCCCAGGGGTGACTTGGGCCCATAGCGAGGGTGGCTGAGGATCGACTGGACGGTCGACTCCCGTAGTTGGAAATTGCCGTAAGGCAGTGGCGACTTCTCGCTCGAGCCGAGTGCCGAGTCTGTGAAATCCGAGTTGAGGTTCTGCCTGTAGATCGACCAGGCGTGGAGGTCCTCGGAGGTCGAGGGTACCATCCCGCGGGATGGAGGAGGGAGACGCTCCTCACCAGCGATCGAATAACGACGCTGCTGCATTTCCCACATCTCGGGCATACCTGCGAGAATAACACATATTATACAGCCGGAAATTAACAAGCGATTCCGTATAATCGATATATTCATAAAGATCGATATGATCTTCTCTATTGTCGCCTAAACTTGGATTAAGTAATAATCGATTCAGTAGGTTCGATATTACTTTCTTCACTGTTGCCTTATGTCAGCAGTAATAATAGATTCGTTACAATCGATATTTTCATAAAGATCGATATGAACTTCTCTACTGTCGTCTAAACTTAGATTGCGTAATAATCGATTCGGTACAATCGATATTACCTTTTTTAATGTTGCCAAATCTTGAAGCAATAATCGATTCGTTTCAATCAATATTTTCATAAAGATCGATATCACCACCTCTACTGACGCCTAAACTTAGATTAGGTAATAATCGATTCGGTAGGTTCGATATTTTTCATAACAATCCATATTACCTTCTCCACAATGTCAAGTCTTCATGTAATAAAACGATTCAATGCAATCGATATTTTTCCTAAAAATCGATATTACCTTCTCACTATTGTCGAGTCTTATAGTAATAATCGATTCGGTCTTATAGTAACCATCTACATTTTTCTTTATAATCTATATTTTTTCTTACAATCGATATTACCTTCTCCATTGTTGCTTAGTATTAGAGAAATCAATAATCGATTCGGTACGATCGATAATTTTCTTCTTTATTCTACACTGTTATCCTACTTTAGATTATATCTCTTAAAGTAGATAATAATCAACACGTGTTGTAAAATTCAAAGATTTGGATAACCTTCCTCACTGTTATCCTGGTTCGGTTTAAGTTGGTTAAAAAAAATAGAATCGATTAGGCATAATCGATATTTTTCAGGAAAAATTTCAATACTTGGTTATGCATGCCTCAAGGCATGTCTTTTTTCTGTTTCCTTACCCTACACTAGGTCTTTTCTATTGTAGGGTAAGGAAACAGAAGAAAAAAAAAAGACGTCTTTTTTCTGTTTCCTTACCCTACAAGAAACACGTTCGGAATGCAACCTTCTAAGCGCTTTCCGATGTACAGGAAGTGTTAAAAAAAAGGGTTCAACGTGCTCTCATAACCTGAAGTCGGCAATCATCCTCCATGGCCTAATTAACATAAATGTTTAAAATATATTTTTTTAACTCTTTTTCTTTACCTCTCGTCCTTTTCGACTCTATTCCTCTTCCCGCCTTCTAAGGCTAATTTCGGGAGTTCCACTTCATCTGGAAAAACAAAAGCGTTTTAGATATTTTTTTTTTCTACTCGAGATGTGACTCAACAGTTCGCGGTGCGTGAGCGACCGGACAGGTAGGAGTGAAAGGAGTGGGCGATGCCCTACCCCTTCCCAGGGAGTCGACCAGGAAATGAGTAATGAGCAGTTTTCTGTGATAAATCATAAATAATGTTAATGCAACTTTCGGGAGTATGAACGGCACGGCACGATGAACCGATTTTCGGTATGTTTCGGAAAAAGTATCCCTTGGGAATCAGGTCCTCCGGGCCGGATATCCGATCATTTTATTTTTTTAAAGATAATTAGTTTGATATAATATTCGTTAAAAAACCGTTTGCCTAACCTCAGGCCTTGGAACAAGAATAAATCAATAATCCGGCCCGGAGGACCAAATTTACCATCCAATACAATCTAAAATTCATTGTTTTCCTAACGATTACTTGTTTATAACCCGCCGTAACAAAGCGAACTTTTTTTATTATTTGCCTTGAAAGACGGTTAAATCAATAAATCCGGCCCGGAGGACCAATAAAGTTTTACCGTTACAAACGCAAATATCAAAAAAAGATCCAAGATAAAGGTTTTATGAAAAAATTTATTTTCACGCTTATTTAACTTTTCTGAGGGCATCCTTTCGCCTATGAAAAATTTTCAAATCGATTATCCGGCCCGGAGGTACGAATTTACCATCATCAACCTAAAACTCGTTTTCCTAACGATTGCTTGTTTATAAGTACAAAGAGAACTTGTTTTTTATTATTGGCTTTGAAAAACAGTTAAATCAATAAATCCCGACCGGAGGACCAAATAAACTTACCGCCCAAGATAGTACTTAAAAACGGTACAAGATAAAGATTTTTATTTAAGAAAAAATTATTTTCACGGTTGTTTGACTTTTCTACGGGCAACCTTTCTCCTAGGAAAGGCTGTCTAATCGATTATCCGGCCCGGAGGACCAAGTTTATTAAAAGGGGAAAATCCTATCAATTATTGAAAGAGGAGTAAAAATAAAATCTTTGACTTAGAAAATATTAAAGAAAAAATGTTGAAAAAAAACTTGGTCAAAATATCCATGAACCATTGTTGGATTTTTGGTCCTCCGGGCTGGATTTATAGATTTAGCCGTATTCCACGGCGTGTAGCATACAGGGAATAAATACATTTTCCGCAGAGATACACGAAGTATCAAACCTTAAACATTCTCATTTAGCCAGGTAATAAATTTGGTCCTCCGGCCGAATTATTTATTTAACCTTGTTCCCAAGGAAATAAAAATCAATTACAATAGAAACGTAAGAAAATCAATTATTTTTGATTCAGTGGTAGGTTCTACGCAGCTCATTGTGATAATTGAGTTGTCCCTTTCCTCGCAGCATTTGATAGAAACTGAATCAATAATCTAGCCCGGAGGACCAAATTTATTTTGCGGCTTGTGAGAATTTTCCATGAAACACGCTATAATATAAAATAATCGTACGATAGTAATTCAGGAAGCATTTTACCCTGGTGTTTGTATCATGGAATACAGTTTATTCGATAATCCGGCTCGGAGGACCAAATATCAAGGCAAACTTGATGCTAAACTGAAAAAAAATTTATTTATTTGGTCGCGGAAGTAAAAGGTTATCGGTCTTATTATAAACGATGACTTAAAATATTGCACTTGAAGGCTTTTTATGGATGTAATAAATCTATTTGGATATCCTGCCTGGAAGACCAAATTTCGATGGAAAACCCGTGCTAAATTTGAGAAAAGAAAATATTTGCACTCAAGTAGAACATCTGTCTGTCCGATTATATAAAAAGATTGTAAATAATCTATTTGACGAGAAATTATCTTTGTATCCGGCCGGAGGACCAAATCTCAAGGCGAAACAGGTGCTAAAATGGAAATTAAATTTCTTCATTTCATTGACAAACGAATAATAAGAAAATTGTCGGCTTGAATGAAGAAAAAATATCAATAGACAAAACGTAGTAAAAGTACTCACTTAACCCAACGCCTTAGGCATTTTTGGTCCTCCGGGTCGGATTATCAATTTAGCGGTTTTCAAAAAAAAAAGTTACACGGAGTAAACGCATTTGGCGTGTACCTCCACTATTGAACCACTTAATTTAGCTAGAAAATAAATAAAAAAACAATCACTCGAAACCTCACCCCATCAGAATTTGGTCCTCCGGGCCGGATTATTGATTTATTTATGTTCCAAAGGGGGAAGTTTGACTCTAAAAAGTTTCAATTCAGACCGTGAAGACATTACGTTTTTCGTACTATATTCTAGCTTGGATTTTCCCATAGAAAATTTAGACATCCGGGCCGGATTATCGTTGTGTCAATAATTCATGTCGAAACTTCAAAGAAAATATATTATAGAAAAAACCGGAATAATGCATAACTTGCTAGAAAAAGTGGAATTTAATGATTTATCTGGTATAAATTCGGGCCTCCGGGCCGGATTATCGATTAATATCTGGTCCAAAGGGGAAAAATAAATAGTTAAAAATAGTTTATTACAGATAAACTACAGGAATGGGAACATTTTTTTTTAAATTAAGGTCAGTGAATTGATCAATTTTTATGCAACACATTTGATGATATATTATGTCGCAAATTAAAAAAAATGTATCATACAAAAATCCAAACGTGGTTCAAGTAGAAAAAAATCGATTTTAACAGAAATCCATGAAACACCAAATATAAAATTGTCTAAAAATCATAGACTTAATAATCACTTTTCATATAATAAATTTAGTCCTCCGGGCCGGATAATCCCTGTGACAATATTCGGCGAAGCTTCAGAGAAAATGTTTCATAGAAACAAAAAAAAAGAATTAATGTATTAACATAACTATTATTATTATTAAAGCCAGAGAATTAACCACTTTTCATGTAACTCATTTGGTCCTCCTTGAGAAAATGTACTATAACAGAAGTCCATGAAACAATGAATATGAAATAGTCTAAAAATAATTGGATTATTCAGCTTTCATACAATAAATTTTTCTCCTCTGGGATGGATGTTCGATTTAACTATGTTTCAAGTAGAAAAAATATATTTTAAACGAAATCCGTAAAACACGGAATCGTATAATAAATTTGGTCCTCCGGGCAGGATTTTTGATTTAATTGTGTTTCAAGTAGGAAAAATTTAACAGAAATTCACGAAACACCGAATATGAAATTGCCTAAAAATCATCGAATTATACAGTTTTCTCACAATAAATTTGCCGGATTTTTTTTATTTAACTGTTTTATTTAACAGAAATCCCTGAAACACTAAGTACGAAATTGTTTAAAAATCATTGATTTATGCACTTTTTGTATAATAAATTTGGTCCTCCGGGTCGGATTTTTTATTTAACTGTTTAAAACAATACTTAAAATTTTTTAAACAGAAATCTACGAAACACCAAATATGAAATTGTCTAAAACTCATAGACTTAATCACTTTTCATCTAATAAATTTTAGTCCTCCGGGCCGGATTTTCGATTTAACTGTGTTTCAAGTAGGAAAAATAGATTTTAACAAAAATCCATGAAACATCGAATACGAAATAGTCTAAAAATGATTGATTTATACACTTTTCAGATAATAAATGTTGGTCCTCCGGGCCGGATTTTTTATTTAGTTGTGTTTCAAGTAGGAAAGATAGATCATAACCGAAATCCCCGAAACACTGACTATGAAATTGTCTAAAAATCATTGAATTACACACTTTTCGTATAATAAATTTGGTCCTCCGGGCCGGATTTAGTGTAAACTCGATTGGATTTTAAAACTTGTCTTACTTTCGTCGTATTTAATTGAAATAACGTTTGTTTGAATCGGAATTGAATTCCGTCGGCCGTTGAGAACCGAGCCAAGAACGGTGCCTCCTCTCCCACGGCCGGACGGGGGGAAAAATGCGTTCGTTTTCAACGGGAGTAACGGCTCATTCGACGCCGGGCCAACGGCTTGGAATCCACTCTAGGACGGAGCGAAACGTTCACAGATCCATCCGGAGTTATGACAAATCGGTGTTGAACTTTTGCCGGCGGGACGACCCCAAGGACAGGTGGGCCGGAAACGTGCCCGGGTTCAAAACCGCAGCGCACGTCCGAAAGGCAGCGAAGCATCACGGACCATCTAAAAACGGCGTCGTAAATGGGAATCGCTGTGACACCGAGGCGTTATCGTTTGTACCGTGGACCGGCTTTGTTCCACAAACGTTGTTTGACTTTTTAAAAAGCGTACGCAATCGAGAAATCAAGTGCGGCCCGGATTGCTCCAGAAAAAAGGTTGCGAAAGCGCGGTCGCATTCCCGGCTCGGGGAGGAGGGAAAAATAAAAGGCCACGACGGGCAGGAGGGCCAAAGGCCGTTATTTCGAAACGGCACGAGAGGAAATATAGAAAATCAAATGGCTCGAGACTGTAGCGAGGAGGGGGTCCGCTTTGTCTCGCTTATTGTACTGCGTTCTAGCTGAAAATTGGCTGTGGTTGGTCCCCAAGACACCCGGGACAAGCATAAAAATATTCATCCCTTTAATAATCCGGCCCGGAGGGCTAATTTGTATTATGAAAAATGAATAATTCACTGACTTCAATAACATTTTCTGTTGGCATTCTGTTATAATAGATTTTTCCCCTTCGATCACGGTAAATCGAAAATCCGGCCGGAGATCCAAAATTTGTTACACGAAAAAGGAATAATTCAATGATTTTTAGAATATTTCACATTTGGATTGTCATGATTTCTCTAAATAAATTTCCTCTCCCCCTTGGAAGACAGTTAACTCAAAAATCCGGCCCGGAGGACAAAATTAATAATCTTTAATAAAATAAATTCTTAGAACTTGCGCCATAGTCACATCGATAATCCAGCCCAGTGGACCAAGTTAATAATTAAATTCAATTATCTTTAGCAAAGTTTACATTCAATAATCTTTCTTCTTTTATAATTTTTTTCTTTGAACATGTGCCATAAAATTGTAAATTGCCACACCGATAATCTATCCCAGGGGACCAAAATTTACTATATGAAAAATGAAATAATACTATGATTTTCAGACGATTTTATATTTGGTGTTTCATGAATTTCTGTTAAAATCTAGTCCCTCCCCCTTGAAACAGTTAAATCAACGATCCAGCCCGGAGGACCAAATTTGTTATATGAAAAGTTCACTGACTTTAATAACATTTTCTGTTGGCATTCCAAAGTTTTCTGTTACGTATAGATTTTTTGCCTTTTCAAACACGGTTAAATGGAAAATCCGGCACGGAGGTCCAAAATTTATTGTATGAAAAATGAATGAATAATTCAACGATTTTTAGAATAATTCATATTTGAATTGTCACGAATTCTCTTAAAATATATTTCCCCCTCCCTCTTAAAAGACAGTTAAATCAATATCCGGCCCGGAGGTCCAAATTAATAATTTGGAAAATCATTAAATTATATTTACATGTTTTACATGCAATGTTTCTGGATTTTTATGATAAATTTTTTATTTGAAAATCCGGTCCCGATGTCCAAAATTTATTATATGAAAAATGAAATAATTCTATGATTTTTAGACAATTTCACATTTGGTTTGTCTTGGTTTCTGTTAAAATATATTTTTCCCACCTTGGAACAGTCAAATCTAAATCCGGTCCGGAGGACCAAATTAATAATCTAGTAAGTCATTAAATTCAATTATTTTTAGCAAATTTTAAATTTAATATATTTTCTTTTTTTATAATTTTTTTATTTGAGCTTGCGCCATAAAATATTGTCACATCGATAATCCATCCCGTGGGACCAAAATTTATGATATGAAAAATGAAATAATTCTATGATTTTCAGACAATTTCATTTTCGGTGTTTCGTGGATTTATGGTAAAATCTATTTCTCTCCCCCCTTGAAACAATTAAGGAATAATTAACAATTATATTAAACATTTTCTATTGGCATTCCTTTTTTTTCTATTACAATAAACTTTCCATCCATGAAACACAATTAAATCAATAATCCAGGCCCGAGGAATAAAATTAATAATTTTGCATGATTGTTAGATATTACTATTATTATTGTTATTATTAGATATTAAATCCAATGGTTTTCAGCAAGTTTAGCATTCAACATTCTGGGTATTTGTATGATACATTTTTCTTTGAATTTTCGCCATAAAATATCATCACTGATAATCCTGCCCGGAGGACCAAATATCAGGGGGAACTCGAATATGAACTGATAAAAGGTTTAGTAATTCTTTCTTCCCAGAAGTAGAAAATCGTCGATCTGATTGTATGAGAAATTTTCTTAATATCCGGTCCAGAGGACCAAAACTCAATAGAAGACTCGTTCTAAAATGAATATGTATTTTATTGACAGTCGAGCAAAAAAATAAAACCAACTTCAATAAAAGAAAAATTTTAAAAATATATATATTCAGTACAAATAAGGAAACCCTTGTCATTGTTGGTCCTCCGGGCTGGATTTTTTATTGAACCGTGTTCGTGTTCTATGGTTAAACAGGTCTGACTCATTTTTGTCCCGGAAACCTGACTGAAACCTCTAAAGTCCTAGTTTTTTAATCAACCGGTATATGAAGCTTAAACTCGGCCTTAATCAAAATGGGAATAATTAAAATCGACAATATGTGAAAGAAAAAATTAATTTTAGACCAAAGTGGACATTTGTAAAGGAAGATCGGTCAATTTTGAGGAATAGCCTAGGCCGTGAGTCATCCTGGAATCCTAGGGCCTTCTAAATCGTCAAGTACCGTTACACGCCGGTTGGGAAATTGTGAAAAATTCTTTCCTCAATGTTCAAGAGGAAAATGGGTAAAGTTTTTCTTTCTCCCTAGGAATTCGTTTTGGAAAACTTCACCCCGGGTTTGTATCTCTTTTCCAATTTTTTCTTCTCCTTGTCCGCTGAGGGGAAAATATGACGAAAACCCCCCCGTGTGAGAAATCATGAAGAAATCCCGTGGGAAAACATCCGGCCGTTATACAAGCTAGTTATTCAACCCGGGGTTGGGGACTTAGGAGCAAAGCGGTAAAAAATTCTCCACTTACCTTCCTCTGGAAAGCCCTCAAGCGCGGGCACAAAGCACAGGGGTAAAGAGAACGAAGTCCTTCCGCGGATGAAGCCCTCGTCGATCCGCGCACTAGACGACTCCGACACTAGAACGGCCGTCGCTGAACCGTGAAACGGCAAAAGAAGCGTGACACGCCTGCCCCACTCACTTCCTCCACTTTCCGACTCTTCCACCACCACGATCCAGAAGAGGAAGGATGACGAGGGGCCAACCTGCTGGCTACCATCAAAAACGAACGTTCCCTCTCCATTCGACCACCTCGCATAGAAAACAGATCAAAAAACCAATTGGATACCACGGAAGGTAGCTGAGATCCAACCCTGGAGTGCCACAAGGCATCAGGGTCTTATACCTTTAACAACAAGTTTTTACTTAATCAACAGGTCCTTAAGCCCATGTTCAAGCACAATACTGTAATTTTCGAATCGGAGTATCAGGATACCTTAGAATAGAAGGGTTAAAATATCAGGAAGACAGACTTTCCACAAATTACCAGGATCAGTGAGCTTCTAAAGTATCAGGAAGCTTTAGAAAGGAGCTTGAATCAGCTTGGATAAATGTATAATGTGTGTATAAATGTATAAAAAAAGTAAAATATCCTATCAACCTTGAATTACTAGAGCTCCTAAAATATCGAGAAGTATTAAAACGAAGAGCTAGGAGGTATCAAGAGGACAGATTCTCCCCAAAGTATCAGGATGGTAAAAAGAGGAAAAGGGCCTTTTACAACATCACGTGAGCTCCTGGAGTAACAGGATGCCTTGGGAACAAGGAGCTCAATATATAAGGAGAAATCTTCCCAGTTATACATTATGACAAGAATAAATAGAGGAAAAGGAGAGCTGGAGTATCAGGATGCCTAGCAATAAGAGTGTTAAATGTATCAGAAGACATTCTCAAGTATCAGGATGACAAGGATAAAAAGAGCTTCAATGTATCAGTAGGACATATTTTCCCAGGTATCAGGACGAGAAGGACAAATCTGGTCAATGTTAAATTCCATGATTTCCTGGAGTAGCAGGATGACTTGGAAGGAGTTCGATATATCAGGATAACAGGTTTTTCCGGATATCAGGATGACAAATCTGGTCAATGTTAAACTTCTTGAGCTCCTGGAGAATCAGGATGCCTTGGAACAAGGAGCTTCGATGTATCAGGAGGGCAGATTTTCCCAGGTATCAGGATAAGAAGGACAAATCTGGTCAATGTTAAATTTCATGATCTCCTGGAGTAGCAGGATGACTTGGAAGAAGGTGCTTCGATGTATCAGGAGGACAGATTTTCCCAGGTATCACGATGAGAAATCTGGTCAATATTAAACTTCCCGAGCTCCTGGAGTATCAGGATGCCTTGGAAGGAGCTTTGATATATCAGGAAGACAGATTTTTCCGGATATCAGGATGAAAAATCTGGCCAAGGTTAAATTTCGTGAGCTCCTGTCGTATATGAATGCCTTCGTACGAGGAGCTTCGATGTGACAGGACAGATTCCCCAGGTATCAGGAGAAAAGTTATAAAAAGAGAAATAAATCCGATGAATAAGCTCCTAAAATATCAAGACGTTTTGGAAAAAGGGGCTTGAGGATTGGAGGAAGGGGCAAAGTGTTTATAACATTTTCCCTGCCCTCATCAACATTGGTCCGTCTATTCTCGCCGTGTCTTCCTTTCCGTTTCGACCCGTTCAGATTCCCGGGGGAACGCGATGTGGGGGGAAAACAAAGAAGTCGCGATACCCACGCAGTCGAGAACGATTATAAAAATAAACAAATTATCATAAACGGGCTTTAATATTCATTTCGACAGATGGCCGAGCTATGGGAAAAGTTTTCGAAACAAGTTAAACGGTAGCTTTTAATTGGAAAGTTGAAAATTAAAAGAAAAAATGAAAACAGAAGGCACCGTATCGGATTTATTTTAATCAATTTTCCCCATGTACGTATATTTTATCTATCAATAAAAATCAAGGCGACACGTCATCCTCAAGGTGATGTCATTCCGCCTTGACTTTTCTCCTTGACAGTTACAGTTGAAGAACCGGATCCAGCGTAAAACATATGACAAAGTGGGTTTAAAGGGCGAGTTGAATAGGCGGAATTCCAAGTACGCCAAGGCTGCCCTCGGGGAAAAAGAGAACGCGGCCGGGGTCCGCCTGGCCTCGCTGTCCGACGAGCGATCACAATCGGATCAAACCTGAGAAGAAAAGTAGTCACTGATTCTTAGCCTGTTTCCAAGGCAACCAGATACTCCAGGAGCTCACAGAATTTAACATTGGCCAGATTTGTCATCCTGATATCTGGAAAAATTTGTCCTCCTGATACGACGAAGCTCCTTGTTCCAAGGCATCCAGATACTCCAGGAGCTTACGAAATTTAGCAGTGACCAAATATGTACTTATCCTGATAACTGGAAAATTTGACCTTCTGATTTATCAAAGCTCCTGGTTCTAAGGCCTCCTGATACCCCAGGGGCTCTGGTGATTCGTTATGATAAGGCCATTTCCCATTTTTATTCTTGTCATCCTGATACTTTGGGGGAATGTTTGCGATCCTGATATATTAGTGCCGAGGCATCCTGATATTTTAGGAGCTTATGAAATTTAAGTACACATCGTGATACTTTGTCGTCCAGATGCCTGGGAAAATTTGTCCTCCTGATTTATCAGAGCTCCTAATTTCAAGGCCTCCTAATACCCCAGGAGCTCTCGTGATTCATTATGATAGGCCCTTTTCCTCTTTATGTCATCCTGATACTTTGGGGAGAGTGTCGTCCTGACACTTTTAAACATATTCCAAGACAATCCTAATAGTCCAGGAACTCATGAAATCTAACATTGACCATACCTTTTCCTATCTTTATTCTTGTCATCCTGATATTTTGGGGGAATGTTTGTGATCCTGACATATTAGTGCCGAGGCATCCTGATATTTTAGGAGCTTATGAAATTTAAGTGCACATCGTGATACTTTTTTATCCGGATGCTGATACTTGATACTAATACTTTGGAATGCCTGTCCTTCTGATATACTGTCATACTACAGGAGGTTCGACATAGAATGGAACTTTACCCCCTTTTTTTCAGTTGACTGGCAAAACGTTTTCATGTCTTTTTGTCCCGTCATCCTGTTATTTTAGGAGCTCATGGAATTCAACATTGACAGGTTTACTTTAAGAGCTTATGAAACTTGATAGCCTCGTTTTCTCCTTTTACTATTTTCCTCCTGGTACATGGGTAAGTTTATCCTTGTCATCCTGATATCTTGGGAACGGCTATCCTACTGACATTATTAATCTGTTCCAAGGCATCCTGATAATCCAGTCGCTCACGTGATACAATATCGATAGGCCCTTTTTATAACCATGATACTCTGAGGAGAGTCTGTCCTGATACCTCCAAGCTCTTTGTTTCAAGACTTCCAATTATTTTGGGAACTCTCGTAATTCAAGGTTGATAGGATATTTTCCTCTTTTTATACATGTTATCCTGATACCTGGAAAAATTTGACTGATACATCAAAACTCCTTTTTCCAAAGCATCCTGATACCCCAGGAGCTATCGTGATCCAATGTGATAGGACCTTTTCCACATTTTATTCTTGTCATCTTGATACCTGGGAAAATCTGTCCTCTGGAAAAATCGAAGCTCCTGGTTCCAAGGCTTCCTGTACTTTAGAAGCTCGAGTCTGACAATTTTTTTTTTTAAATCCATGTCTTCCTGAAAGCTAAAAATGTCTATCTCCTAATACAAGAGAGCTTATAACAAGGCATCCTGATACTCCAGTAGTTCACAAAATTTAACATTGGCCAGATTTGTCCTCATCATGATACCTAGAAAAATCTGTCCTCCTGATACATGAAACTCCTTGTTCCAAGGTATCCTGTTACTCCAGGAGCTCACGTGATACAATATTGTGATAGGCCCTTTTCCCCTTTTTGTCATCCTGATACTTAGGGGAGAATCTGTCCTGGCACTTTTAAACCTATTCAAGGGTAATCCTAATATTGTAGGAGCTCATGAAATTTAACATGGACCATACGTTTCCCTATCTTTATTCTTGTCATCCTGATACATGGGAATGTCCTCCTGACTCCAAGCTCTTTGTTTCAAGACAATCCGATATTTTAGGAGCTCTCATAATTCAATGTTGATACAACATATTCTTTTTTATACATGTTATCCTGATACTTTGTGGAATGTTTGTCATCCTGATATATCGAAGCCGCTTGTGCCAAAGCGTCCTGATATTTTAAGAGCTTGTGAAATCAAAGTGTACATTGTGATACTTGGCATGATAGTTTAATTTTTTTATATTTATGTAATTCTGAAAGCTGTGATGTTTAACCTCATTATATGTACAAGCTTCTTATACCAAGTCATCCTGATACCTGGGAAAATCTGTCCTCCTGATCTTTTTTCCTGAATGAATCTCCTTGTTCCAAGGCTTCCTGATAATCTAGAAGTTCAAGAATCAATATCAAAATTATCATTTCATCTCATTTTTTGAAATCCATATCATCCTGAAAACTGTAAAAGTCTAACCTCCTGATACATAAGAGCTTATATTCAACTCAACCAGATATTTGTGATGGTCCATTCTTTTAATACATTCAAGCTCTTTACGCCAAGGTTTGCTGATATTCCAGAAGCTCTCAGAATTGACAGGACTTTGTCCCCTCTTTATGGTAAACTTGTTAACGTCATATCTAATATTTTAGTCTAGGTTAGACAAAAATTCATTTAATGCAGGCTTAAATGTATTATTTATATCTTACAAATACTTGAAAGTTTAAAACTAAAAAAGAAAAAATATTTATATATTATTAGAAAGAAAGAAAAAAAACACGTGAAGCTTTACAATTTGACTTCTATTATGTGCTATTTACACCGATGACGAAGTACGAACTGGCGGTGGAGGACGGTTCAGAGACGTCGTCGAGGAGAAAAAACAAACATCAGCATCGCCATCCCTGTGTCCCCGTGCTGTGAACTAAAGGGAAATGATCAAGGGCTTCCCTCTCCCGTCGTCTCTGTTTCCTGGGACAAATTATCAATTTAGAAAGCCCTTTGGATTTTTTTTTTTTTTTTTTTTTTATCTTACTGGTCAGGACGTGAGGTAAAGCGGATGTCATTTGGACGGGCTTTCAATTTCTGTCGTGCTCAGGTCGATCATACGTGGATATTTGATCTTGCGCTTTGTCAGCTCCTCCTGGGCCCAGAGGATCAGCTTGACGACCGAGTAGAGCTTCGGCTCAGTCGAAGTGTGATGTTCCGTCTTCAAGATCGCTGTGTTAACTTCACTCGCGACCTATAATTTTTTTTAAAAAATCAATCTTTTTTTCTCTTCTTTTTTTAGAAAATAGGTTCACCCGTATGCATACCTTATGCCTCTGCTTCGTGTTGAGCAAGTGTGAGAACGGGGATAGAGTTGGCTCTTCGAAGGCGAGTAGTGCCAGAACGCGTTCAAGCTGGTTCAATATGCCTGGCTCCGACTCACCAGACTCGGAGAACTGTGTCTGGGCAAAGTGCAACGCCTCCTCGACCTTCCCGTCCCTTATCAGTTCAATCAGGTGCAATTGCTAGAGAAATTATCTTTTAAACTTAAAAATAATAATATTATTAAAAATAAGCTTTTTACCTGCAATCTGAAATAAAGATATCTATCGTTGTCCAAAAGTTCTGGGTACATTTCATTGACAAGGAGAATGGCCTCCTGCGTCCTACCTTCCTGTATGGCCTCGCGTATGCGTATCCTGTTGTCCATCGTGTTGAGGTCGAGGGGAGGTACGACGCCTGACTCCTCTTGGAACTTCTCAGCGGCACCTTTGAAACCCTCTAAGCGTTTTGTTAGCTTAACGCTCTCCAACTTTAAAAAAATAATGCTCACCCGTGACGAGGTAGTTCATGATGAGCTTGTTCATGTCGCTCCTCTGAAGCTGCGTCGACTCGAGCTTGCTCATCCACTCCTCTTTCGTGAACTCGGGCGATTTGTCCGAGTTGTAGCTCATACTCATGTTTGTCGTGTTCGCCTCGACCCCTGGGAGGTAGCGAACGCGAAATAGCGCTCCGGGGAGGTAGAACGGGGAGTTCGCCTCCCAAATTTGACGGGAAATCTTGGATGGCTCTTCTTAACCTCGGTGGGGGAAGCAAACCGGATCGCCCAATTTGTGTCAGAAGCCTGGAAACAAAAAGAAAAGACAAATTTGTAACCGTGTTTGGATTCGTATACAAGCTTAAACTGACAAGCTTCTAACAATATGTTTAATCCTACATTATTTCAAAGCAGAGTTTGACGGGTATGCTGAACCGCACAGGTCTGACCTGACATATTTGTAACCTTACAAACTTCTTACTATGTTTTTAAACTGAGGTTATTTTAAAGCTGTGTTTGTTAGATTTCTTGATCATCAGATGCACAATCCGACAAATTTGCAACATTTTCATCATCCATTACCTCGGTGCTATTTTTGACAGGTCCCTTGATGAACAAAGGCCTAACCCGACAAATTTGTAACAATGTTATCTTATATACCTACAGCTGAGATTGTTCGATAATTTGAACGTTAAACATGGTTCAATCGTTTTAAGTACACATTACTGCGAACCAGAGTTTGTCTGACACCCTCATCATCGAAAGTACAATCCGATATGTAACACTGATACTTTCACGAAACAGAGGCCTGAAAAATTTGTAACAATGTTTTTACCTTATATTACAAAGCTGAGTTTGTTGGATAATTTGAATGTTAAACTTGTATCAATGTTTTAAATGTACATTACTTTGAAACCGTGTTTGTCGGATACCCTGATCATCAAAGCACAATCCAATAAACATGTAACATAGTTCCTTACATGGGACAAAGGCCTAACCAGACAAATTTGTAAATTGTTTTTTCTCTCCTGTCTTACAATAATTCAAAGCATTATCGGATCACTCTGATCCGAAGACAATGGTAAACTTATATCTTGTATTTCTTCGGAGATGAGTCTTCTGGATGATCTGATCATCAGAGTACCTGTTTTCATTTATGATAGAACCCTTGACGAACAGAAGCCTAACCTGAATATTTTGTAACAATATTTTTACCTTATATTACTCTAAAGCTGCATTTGTTGGATAATTGGAGCTTTAAACTTGGATCAATGTTTTAAATGTACATTACTTTGAAACCGAATTTGTCGGATCCTGATCACTGAAAGCCCAATCCAACAAATATGAAATATTGATCCTTTCATAAAACAGACCTAACCTGACAAACTGGCAACAATGTTTTTTCTCTTCTGTCTTAGAACAATTTCAGACTTTATCAGACTACTCTAATCCGAAGACAACGATAAACTTTTATCTTGTACTACTTCGGAGATGAGCCTGTTGGTTAATCTGATCATAAGAGGACTTTTCATTTATAACAACCCGTCAAGAATCTTTGATGAACAGAGACTGAATCTAAAAAATTTGTGAAAATGTTTTTTTTATATCTTACAATACTTGGAACTTTTACGGATTACTCCGATCTGAGGGCTCGACATGACAGACTTATACCAACGGTTTCATCTTACTTTACTTCAGATATGTATGTCCCCTGGATAATCTAGGAGTCAAATTGTACAAATCTGTAAGAATGTTAAATTTGACATATACCAGTTCAGTCCTAACCTTACAAACTTGTAACAATGATTTTACTCCGTTACTTTGAAGCTGTGCGCATTGGAATCAAGTAAGACCATAGTTACAAGCCTGTCGGATATAAACAGACCATCAGAGGACTCATCCTTGACAAAGTTGTAATGTTCACCTTTACATAGTTTTACATTTACTCGGTGTTAAGTCCATGTCATGATCATGAAAGGCCTGACCGAAAACCCTCGCCATTATCGTAACTGGCACAATTTTTTCAATGATGATGTAAATTTATATTACAAATATCGTCCGACCAGAGCATTTTTCTACAAACTGAACGTTTTTTTATCAACTGAAATGTTAAATATTAACAAAAAAAAAACAATAATTGTAAATGGTTTATACATCGTGAAAACTATAAAGGGTGAAAATGGTGGAAACCGCGTAGAAGAGTTTAATTTTCGGTTCTTAAAACAAGACGATTTTTTTTTTTTTTTTCAATTTTCAAAATACCTTCGGCTCTCGTTTTCTCCTTTTGTCCCCGTTGGTAGAAGGCTTTCTTTTTCCCTTTTTCCTTCCTTAACGTCTGTGTCCCTTGACAGAGGTTTCGAAGATCTAATGGAAAAAGGTAAACTGCGTCTGTCCTAGCGAATGATGAGATGAGACGTGCCCGAAGGGACCGTGGGGCATCGAAGAACTGGGCGAACAGCTGACGCACGGCGTCAGACGGGTCCGAATCCACGGTGATATCACACAATGTAAACCGTGACGTCACGGAAGGGGAACACTACAAAATTTATTTGTACAAAGAAATGTGGAAAAAAAATTAGTTTCTGCAATTGTACAACAAACGTTCCAGGACGATTTAAGTTTTTTAACAATTGTTTATTACTCAGGTAAGACCTGGGTGAAACAGAAAAGATGGAAACACTTAAAAATCAAGCTGCAGCCAGTAGAGACAACTGACTAGACGAGGCCTGATAACAGAAAATTTGTCTGGTGGTAACAATTTTTCTTCTCAGAAAACTTTTTCATCTAGCTGAGAAATGACACTAAGTTTGTTATTTTAAATGAGAATCCCATATTTTATTGGGCAATTCAGTTCAAAAGCTTTTTTTATGCCGCTTTTACTGAAAGCATGCTAAATTATCTTGCTAATGCTAATCATTTTTTTAAATAAACAGGGAGGGCCATCTTGTTACAAAAAGTATGCCTCCTTCACATGTCATTTCCAAGCTAGATGAAGAAGTTAAGTTAAATCTGTTATTACCAGGCGATTCCTAGGCAAAAATGAATTGGGGTTTGGATAAGACCATTTTTTGCTAAGGTTAATTGTTTCCGAATTAAATGGGTGTACTATAGAAGTATATACACCCTGTATATACTTAACAAAAAATAAATAAATAAGGCCAGAAATAATGAAGGGGTAGAACAAAAAAAGAAAAGTCCAATATATTTTTTTATCCTTTTATTTAAGACTAAATTTTGAATTTATACGTACAAATGAGATAGAAAAATTACAAAAACGCATTGGCCCGGGGGGGTTGTGGGGTGGGGTGGGGGCACGAAAAACTGAACAACTAGGCACAACCTAAAAAACCCCTCGGACCTTCGGCTGAAAAGCGATACAAAAATAGACAAAAATAAAAATAAAAAATAATTTAAAAAAATGGCGACATGACGAAAAGCTCTCCTTATTTACAATTTCCCTGTAAAAACTAATTTATTATCATTATCATTAAATTAATTATATAATAACCACATAAATAAATATTTTTGTTTTTGCGTTGAAAATATTCGTTATGGCTTTTCAGATATTATTGGCACGCACTCCGAACTTAACGGAACAAAAAAGTCACAATACATAGTTTAAAAAATACACATACACATAGAAACATAAAGAACTAAAGCTAAAAGTTTAAATAAAAAACTTACGTTAGTTAAGTTTTTTTATAACCTATAAAATCACAACCTTTTAAAATGGAATGTAACGTTTAAAAAAAAATTTTCATGGCCTTTTCTATATCTTTTGTTTCAAAGTTGGTAACAGAAACTTAGGGATCTGAAACTGACAAAATACATTTAAAAATATATATAAAAAATATCAAAAACATCCATACAAAACCAAACTATGTCATTTTTACAAATAGCCGAGACCTTAAAGATGATATTTACAGTCACAAGATTTAAATAAAAAATTATATATGTGTTTTAAAAGCATATTGCACTTTCAGTCTGGGAGCCTGTGAAAAACCCGATTAGCGTGAACAAGACACATGATCAGACGTGCGTTTCACTCGTAGCCTTCCTGGAAAAAAAATTTAAAAAAATTAAATTTAAATGAAAAGAAAATACAAAATCCAGGCACCGTTTCTACTGAGACCGACCTCATACTCCCTGTTAGACATGAAACAGAACAAAACAAAATGTTAATTTTTTTAATACAAGAAGAGAAAGTAAAAAAAGGATTAAGAATTTTATGGGGTTATTTTATGTTTTCCTATTTTTTTATTCTTTTTTGTTCCCTTACTCGTTCTCCGATATGTCTGGGTAGAGGTACTCATGGTGCATGGCGAGCGGGCTCGGTGAGCTAGGCAGAGCAGCACTGTAACCAGGCAGGCAAGGCTGCAGGTTGGCGTTGTACGCCCTCGGCGGGAGCGAATGGTCTTCTTCAGCTGTATAAGGGAAGAGGTACTTGTCGCCTAGGCTCGCTTTGTCCTCTTGGTCGGAATAGACATTCCCGATTTTGACGTCATTACCATTCTGCATGTGGTAGTTGTTCACCGGCCCTCCAAGATCGTTGTCAGATATAGTAGACGACGTCCAACGATGCGGCAGCCCTTCGTCTAAAATACTCCGTTTGTTTAATTTAAAAAAAAAAATTATAAATAGACAGTGTCATACCATTTCTGGCCGTCGCATAGACTGCTTTGAAGAGATCTGAGTCTATGTTGAGCTGCGGCGGGTATGAGACGACGTTAGGCGGCGGCCACCTTTTGGACCCTTGGCCGTTTGACGGACGCCCACTTTGACCAGTCAGCGTCGAAGCACGCCTGCTAGACGCCTCCTCATCGCTTGAATGCGAAGATGCGAGTTCGAGGCTGTGTTCCGAACCCTAAAATATCATTTCATTTTACCTAACATCTCATAGAAGAAATATCGCACACCGTTAGGCAGAAATTAGGCCATGACAAAGCTTATACAACAAAATCTAGTTAAAAGAGGACGTGAAACAGTACAAACATAAAATAATCAAAGTGCAATTGAGTACCTTCACAATATCATCACCGGTTTCACCGAATCATACAAAATTTAACTGATTTTTCATGAACTCACCTCAGCCTGTCTCACCAAAGTTGTCTTTATGAGGATTATTATGGAGGATAGGAATAATGGTTGGCATTGTCCGGTGAAATATGACGGGGTACAAGAACTCGTCACCGTGAAAAAGGTTGGGTGATATTGATAATGGTGGTAGGGTGGGAAAAAATAAAATGCCAAAGCTTTACACATTCCTAGGTTATGTTTAGTAATTTTTATGAAATATGTTGAAAACATAAAAACAGCAAAATCTGTTCAATCAAAATTTCACCCACACCAACGGGCTCAGCTAAACTATGACTGAAATATGTAGATCAGTGAGATTTTGAAAGTACCCAATCACAAAAGTTAATCATACTGTTATCCTACATAACCTGACATCAATGAGACCTTATTAATTTGACGGAGGACGATGTGTGTAATGTATTTAAAAATGAATAATAACTGACCTCAGATTCAGACTCGGAAGTGTGGGTGACCCGTCTTTCATGAGAAGGCTCGTAGTTGCTCGTACTCGTGGAGGTGTTGCGCAACTGCGCATCACTTCTGTACGGGCTACTTGAGGTTTTCGTTGTCGACCTTGAAGTGGTCGAGGAATTGGATATGCCCAAGTGGCGGCGCGCCGTCTCTGAAGTACCAGCTCCAGCCGGCCGGTATGCCATTGCAGAGCGAGGTGGAGGCGACGGCTCTGGGGCGTCAGCCGAAGGTGGTACCTTCCCATTAGTGAGACGGAGGACAAGACGACGCAACGTCGGGCTCGTGGCGGCCTGCGAGACCAAAAGAGCGGCACTGTGCAACGGCAACAATACCGCCATGCAAAGTGTCGCCATCGGGGAATGCTCCGACGATGTGACCAAAACAGCCAGCCAGGCTGCCACAAGCAATGGCAGACAGCCGACATTCACCCAAAGCATCGTGCGCAAATTTCCATACGCAACAATATTCTGGTTTACCGTGAAAGCCGCCTTAAGGGACATGAATAGTATAACAAGCTTTACAAATATTATCACCGCTCCTGGCCCTATCATGCTCCATATCACCGACTCGTGTATCGAAATCCAACAGCTGAAAATTTAAAAATTCATTTTATTTACATAAAAGATCGACGAGGGTATTGTAAGAACAATTATAAATCTTACAAATAATAGTTTCCATACTGATCAGGCCGTACCGCAACTGCAAGAGCAACTATGATACCGGGAAGAGCATAACCAAGAGTGTAGTAGTGCATCATCGGGCCACGGTTAACGTCACGGAGTTGTGTTAGCATACGATACAGGTGGATTGAATAGATCAGCGACCACATGAGCGAGCAGAGCCATACGTAGTGCAAACCTATGGCAACCAACTTGCACCAAACCTAAACAAAAGTAATCAAAATAAGCTAAATTTTTAACTAGTGACAAATATTGGCAGAATTAAGAAATTAAAATAAAGATTTAGAAACTAAAGATCTTTTGCTGATATTATAGAAAATTTACCATGAATATGTAGATGTATCAGATATGTAAGATAACCAGTTGGAGGTTATATTTCCCGATATAAAATTGATGGTATTTATCATTACTTGTAAATTCTATTCCTACTTTCATTACACTTGAAGCCAAAAATCTTTAATGTTGTAAGTAGATGTTCATATTACCTTGTAAATTATCTTTGGCAGACATTATGCTAAATTTAGGCTAAACCTTGAGGTTAGCTGTGAGGGATAACCTTAGAGAGGTCATATTTCCAATATAGAATAATGGACGGGTCTTTCTCGTTAGTGATAAATTCAATTTGTAATTTCATTACATTTGAACCCGTACGTTTTCAATATTGTAAGCAGATGCTAATAGTACCATGTAAATTTGTGCCATTATTATGTGAAATATATGACTACTGGCAGGTGCATTGACTGTAGGATAACCACGTGGAGGTTATACTGATATATATAAACCTACATCACACCAGACCGCATCTCACAATTTCCGAACAATCATTAACCTTAAAATAAATTAACAATGCGTAATAGTTACTAATCTGTACTTACAAGGTGGGACGTGAGCGAGGCTTTGCTCGCACCCAAGTAGAGAAGAGCAGCGACGAGTAAACAGCTAGCGAAGTTCCCTTGGATCGACGAATGGTTCGCCTTGCCGACGCGAGACGTCAACTCGATTATGAGTACGCACGTCGCCAGACACCAGATCGAAACACAAAGCCCGATCCATGTGTAAACCTCCTCAGCCTCCGTAGGCTCTCGAACGTACTGTAAATTAAAAACAATTACATGTTGACTAAGACAATAAAAAAAGGGGGAAGATGGGCTTACGTGTTCGGCAACAAGATCGACAAAAAGAGCATGTGTTGAAAGTGTATTGCAAGTACAGTTGACAATTACGATGCTGTGCTTCCACCAGTCGCCTTCGGGCAGTTCCGTCACGCATCCTGCCCTCGTCCATTCTCCAAAGCTAGAAATCATAAATTAAAATTATGCTGGATGAAATTATTTTTGGAATTAATTACCCTCTGATATGAGTCCATCTGACACACTGCGGGTTGCTACGGGGAGATTTGACCGCTTGGTTGAGCCAGAGTTGAATCCTGATGGGGCTTTTCAACCCTGAAGATAGTACAGAACCTTCGCCGTTTGCTGCGACAACTGTAACGACGGACGAGCCGAGCTGTAAAGCTACACCCCAGCGAGTCGTCACCGTCAGGTCGAACCTGTTGGGAAAGAAAGTCGCCCCGTTTCTGTACACGGCATAGGCAAGGGTGGCCGAGGTTTGGGCAGAGCCGCGCATTCGTATCGACACCTCGCCGGGGTTAACGTTCCCAATGCCGAGAAGTTCAAGCGGTATCAAAATGCGAGAGTATTCATCGAACTTGACACCAGATTTCAAGTAGTTGTTGTACTTGGGAAACATGACAGTGGGGGAGGATGCGTTGCCGCCGGATCTAGAGACAAGGCTCGCTGCCTGGAAAGGCGGCTGAAGTATGTTGGTGGTATCTGGCAATATGACCGTCTCTTTGAAACCAGCCATCTGTGTATTGACGGACTGCGATGAAATGACCTCATACCCGTAGAGACTGTCTAAGCTCACTGTGTCCAATCCCAAAACTGACATCACACATTAAAATAATTTTTTTTAAATAAATTTTACAAAAACTTTTATGTTGAATTTTTTACCCATGTTTTCGGAGATCGTCTCAAAAGGCTGCGTGTATGTGTCTTTCATGTTGGATGTAAGAGTGGTCATGTAGAGGGTGAAGAGTGTATGAAGGTGATTCGGTGGTTGGTTCGTTATCTGCTCCACTTCGGGCCAGTAGCGGGCAGTACGGTCAGACAGAAGCTCACCCACCGTCCAGACGAGACGCTGGATGTATCCGGCATCCTGGACATGGCTGAGAGCCAACCCTGACAAAAATACTTGTAGAGATACAAATCAAGTAACCGTAAGTAAGTAATCAAAACATGGGAAAATACCTGTCAGACCGGATTCATACTGGAGCAGTCTCATCGTCAATTCGACACCGATGAGGACATCAGCCCCATAAAGTCTTCCACGGCCTGTTTTTGTAGAATTGAGAGCATTGGCAAGAGATTTCGAAGTCTCCGTAGAGACATAAGTGTTGAGCGAAACATCTCCAGTCTCCAACTGGTTCAACTACAAAAAAAAAAAAGGTTAAGAATATATGATTGAATAAAGTAAAAAGTTTTTACCAGTCGTCGGAGTTGATAAAAGTCGTTCGACGTGCAATTGAACATGTCTGGATCCCTCCAGCCAGGGAGAGCGCGATCGCAGAGCCTCGTCGCCTTCCCGACTGATCCTTGTGGGCACAAAACCGTCGCAGTAGCACCGTAGTCCGTCTTCTCCCACCATATACCCGAGTATTGGCTTCTGGGACAACCGCCATATACAACTGTTTAAAAAAAAAAATTAAATATCACAATTATATTATTCATCAAACAATTTACCTTCGCATCCAAAATGCGTGACCTGGGCGTAAGCGTTCGGACATTGGTCGCAATGCTGACCGACTACACTCTCCTTGCAATCACACTGCCCAGTCACTTGGTCGCATGACGATGACTTACTTCCTAGAGCGTAGCACAGGCAAGGCATGCAGCCTATTTCTTCAGATACATAGTAATAGTTATCCTAAAATATATATATGACACATTAACCAATATTGAACCGACATGACTGCAGAACAAAGAACACCAGGGCAGGCATATAGGAACCTACAAAGAAGACAGTTCCTCACTATAGATGGCACATCTTGAAATGTCAAACATCTGAATATAGAAGATCCAAGTGAGTTGATGTCAGTTCAACGTGTGTTCATCAACTCACAGATGAACAGACATCATCAATAAGTATAACTTGTAAAAAAACTGCCCACTCCACGGTTCATATCTTCTCTATTGATAGGTTGAAAAATTCCAAGTTCTCCGTGGTTGAAAACCTTTATTCAATTTAGTAAATTACATGGACGTTTCGGGCTCCTGGCCCATCATCAGAAACTTTTTTTTATTATTATTACACTAGACCAACTTAGTACAAGTTATACACAGTGATTGTCCTGTAGTAAATACTTCGCATCAGACATTTGATTATAATAAGTCTATCACGAGCCTTTTTTCAGCAATGGAGGAAATCGTTTAAGTTTAAACAAATATATAATAAGGAATAACATTAAATAAATACATATATAAATGAATAACAACCATATGCATAATGTCCACTATCTGCTATATTCAAGCAATGTCCAGTACATCCTGAAGGGTGCGCGGCTTTATCCTCGATGCGATCTTGTTCCCCAGTTGGAAATGTACTGCTCCTTTTACTATTACGGTAATCCGGAGTGAAACTTTCTGAATCTCTCTTGGATTGTTTCGCCGATGGAAGGTATGTTGAATTCCCAGTGCAACTGGGAATTACGCACAAACCACGCTGCATCTACTGCAAACCTCAGAATTTTGTTCTGTAGTACCTGGATTCTTTTGATTTTGGATGGTGAGGCAGTCCCCCCATAATCCGAACCCACAAAGGACCAAAGGTCTTATGATGGATTTATAAATCAGGAGAGATATTTCAGGCTTAAGCCTGGATTTTCTATTCATTAATGGGTACAACATACTGAGACGGGCGTATCCTTCTTGCAGTTTGCCATTAATGTATATATTATAATTTAGTCTCCTGTCCATTTTTATTCTGACGTACTTGACAGCACTGTTGGGAGGGTTCCAGGGAATGGTAGTCCCTTCGGTATTCAATTCGTTTGGGTTGTGGGGTCTTCTCAGAGTAAATATTTTTGCTTCGCATTTGCTGGGGTTGATTGTGAGCTTCCAGGTTTTACAGTAGGAGCTGATTTCATGGAGCGCTGACTGGACAACATTTCACGCCTTTTGGATGTCTGTGCCAGTGGCATATATCACTGTATCGACAGCATAGGCAGCAATGTTTACTTCTTCTGGAGATGGGAAGTTGCTCATGAAAATAATGAATACTATAGGCGACAGCACTGACCCTTGTGGAGTTCCCGAGTTGATACTATTTTCGGTTGAATAGCAATTGCCAACTCTCACTTTAAATTTTTGGTCTTTGTGAAAGGAGCTTAGGACCTCATACAAGTATTTCGGGATTCCCATAGGTTTTGACTTATACCTTAATCCAACGTGCTATCGAAGGCCTGTTTTAAGTCCAAGTTAGCAGCAACTGTATGGCATTTGCCCTCACATCCTTGCACCACATTTTCATAGATTCTGCATATTTGATGGCACGTTGAATGATGTGAGCAGAAACCAAATTGATATACGGGGATAATATCTGCTGAGAAGACAAGGAGGCGTCTCTTTATGCATTTCTCATACAGCTTACCCATGATAGGGAGGAGGCTTATTGGCCTATAACTTTCGGCCTATAATAAAAAAGTATTTATACCTGGACTATGCCAATGTTACATATATATTATTTTTCTACCCCCTTTATTTGTTGAGGGGAATGTCGTCGAAATATATATTTAAACGAAATGTATGTTTTAAAACCATGTTGACGACATTCCCCTCAACAAATAAAGGGGGTGGAAAAATTACTTTTATTTTAAAAAATTGGAAATTACTGACGGGTGGGCCTTCAGATTAGGAATTATACCATGAGATTTCTCTATGTTTAGTTGCTGATGATGGGCCAGGAGCCCAAAATGTCCATGTAATTTAATAAATTGAATAAAGGTTCAACCACGGAGAACTTGGAATTTTTCAACCTATCAATATTTTAATTAAATAAATTTGCTTGATAATGTACTTAGACACTGAAATGTCACAAGAATTAAAGTTTTACTGTTTCACAAAATGACCTGTTTTAAATGGTTTTAAAAAAAAATTATATAATAAAAATGTCATTTTATATGGGGAATACGCCTTACCTTGCAGTAACATGTCCCGTCGGTCTGGTTGCAATGAGGGGAATAACCTTTTGAAATGTCGCAGTTGCACGGGCCACAGTTGGGCTGGCCCCACCAAGTCGAAGGGCAAGAGAGCATTCTTTCATTTTCGCAGTAATCCCCTGTGAAATGCGTGCCATTGCACGAACAGCTGTATCCGACCGGCGAGTCCCTGTCGTTGAAGCAACGACCGCCATTTTCACACGGGTTCAACGAGCATATGTTCTCGCATTCTTCGCCGACATAACCTTGAAATTAAAACGTTTTAACTGGATATGGATCGTATTCGGGATGAAAGAATACCTGTGTTGCATGTGCAGGATGCGGAGAGATCGGAGAGACGGCAGTGACGGTTCGGCGGACACGTGTCGGGGCATTTGGCCTCATCGTCGCACCCTTCACCGACACCCGTGGCCGTAGTCGGGTTCTGTACGAGCTGGAGGCCCTGCCACGAGCCGAGCCTTATGTCTTTGATGCAGCCGATGAACGACTGGTAGCCAGGCTCCATGGCAACGTTCAGCTTCCCGATTAACTGTTTCTGAGGGTTCGTTCTTACAGCACTCGTCGAGCTCCATGTATTGTCCAGCATGAGAACTGCCGTACCACCTGGAGCAACAGATGCAGTCACATGGTGCCACTTGCCGTCTGCAACCCTCCAAGACGTCAACTTGACATGATCCGAGTCTATCGAATATCTCAAATACCCGTTTACAACCTAAACCAGTAATTTTTTATACTTTAAATTAAATCCTTAAAAAAATTGCTAAAAGAAAAAAGATAAAGATTTACAAATGCGTGAATATATGAAACTTACGGTGAAAGATGCTGATGAGTTTTGCCCGACAGATATGCCGAGGATGAAGCTGTCCAGCTGTTGAGTTCTGATGTAAAAGTGGGTCTCCCAAGGAAGCTGGATCGGCCGAAGGATAGGGCTGAAAACGAGCTGGCCGTCGCCGTTGAAACTCCATGCCGGCGGTACGCTCTGCGAGCAATCCAGTCCTGACCATCCATCGGCGCACTGGCATATAAACGTGCCCCATGAGTCTCGACACGTCCCGCCATTCTTACAAGGCGACGACGAACAAAAATTGTCCCTCTCGACGCAGCCAACTTTCGTACCATTGTTCCCGACGAACCTTTGCAAAAATTTACAATAATAATAATAATAATAAAAACAAGCTGAAAATATTTTTTTTAAAATTTTGAATACTTGTTGAGATCGACGAGCTTTTTGTCGATGTGTACGTCGGCTATACAGCCGGCGAACGACTTCTGCTCGAGGTACGGGTGTATGACGCCAGGCGGTAGGCCTCCGAGATGCAAAGGCCCGGTGAGATCGAGGAAACGGTGGCAGCTTTCTGTCACAATGGCACAACGACTCTCGAGCTGATGCGTCTCCCTCGCGGCGCACGTCATATTGAGCCTGTCCCTGAACTTGATAGCGACGGCTGTATCGCAGTCGTCCAGAGATATAGTCGCAGTCTTATTATAATAAAATACCGTCACTGTGTGCCAGTTGCCGTCATTGAGCGGTTCATTTGAAGTCGCGATCACCGTCGTCAATTTAGAACCAAGCGAAAACGAAAACTGCATCGAGTTCCCGAACTGAAGTTCCAAAGCAATGAAATCATGTCTTAGATTATACCTTCCGTTATAAAGGAGAAGTCCATGACTCTCAACTGTGCTGAACCTAAATAAAATTGTAAAAAGAAAAAAAATATATATATATAAATTTTTTTAAACAATATAAATAAAGTATTGTTAAAAATAAATTATACTTTAAAGAAATAAGCATCCTGTTGCGTTGTCTTATAGGCTGGAAAGTGAGGTAAGAGCCTGGATAAAATGAACGCGCCCTCGCTTCGCAAGACCTGCCGTAGTTCCTGAAGCTGCCGCCGGCTTGAGCGCAAGACTCACACGTGTAACCACCAGATTCGAGCGGCGAGCAGGTCGAACCGTCCGGGCAGCCGTCTTTACAACTCTCTGTCAAGTCGGTTTCACACGTTTCACCTGTAAAAAAAAAAATTGTTTATAAAAAAAAATGCAACCTTGCATGTGTTGTCCTTAATTTTCAATAAATAACAATTATTTCCAAATTGAATTTAAAAAATTTAAATCTGTAGCATTGTTTATGCCCCTGTTCACATCTCTGAATTTGAGACCTCCCATTTCCCATTCCCCCCCACAAAAAAAAAAAAAAAAAAACCAAGGGGCGCGTTTTTTGTTTTTGCAGTATGGGGACATTGTCTTCTCCTCAGGGACAAAGTCCAACATAATTTTTTTTTAACAATAGAAAGTGTTCTTTATTTTTATTTATTTATTTTATTTATTTATATATATATATTTTTTTAAGATACTCCGAGAAGTGTAATTTTCATTTTGTTTGCGAGGCCTTCACATAATTGTTCTTTTGTAAACTGAACAGTAATTAATAAGAAATTTGTTTACTTTAAATTCATATTGCTTCATTTTTATTTATTTTGTAATTCCGACTCACGACGAATGTTGACACTTGCAGCTGTAAAACATACCTACGTGTCACATAAGTGGGAAAAAATTCTTTTTCACAGGGGTGGTGATATGTAGGGGAATTTACAAATGAAATTATGGGTCTTAGAGGGTGTTCAGGTTTATGTGTTGAGTAAAGTAACATATCTATGATTGCAAAAAAAACAAGCAAAATTCTACAGTTTGAACACAAACACAATTTCGACTTCAACAATCCAAAAATATTACACATAGAACAAAACAAACATAAACTTTTTGGAAACGGTTTACTTCAACAGAAATATACACAGCATCAATTACAGAACATACACATATAAACTCAGTCGCAGCTATGCCAATATCATTAATCAAATTCAATATCGATAAAATACATATATCATCACATCACACAAAACATAATATAACATTTATACATTCATCACATTCCACACATCAAAATTTTTACATAGTCTAATTTTTCAACAATTTAGCTTTCCTTTTCCTGAAAGGACAATCTAGCCGAACCATTACCAACGTTTTTTTTCCCATCATCGGCTCTTTTCACCTCAAAGAAGCCAACTCCTTAAACAAAAATGTTTTTCTATTCTGACTTCCTTCCCCACCCCTTCAAAATCCAACGTATATAAACAAAACAGTTTGACAAATCTCAACAAAATCTCACTGGCACTCTCAACACGATACGCAAGAATGGCACAATTACGCAGAAAACAAACATTTTGAGTGAGTAGAAATACTTTGAATATAAAAAATATTTTTATTTTTTTGCATTATATAAATTCACTTTTTTCCACATACATGTTTTTGTTAAATTTAAACAATGTTTGTAAATCCCAGGCCCTGAAGATGATCTCAATAAAGAGATGTTGGCACGATAAAGAAAATGTTTTTCTGCAACCTACATCACACCAGACAGCATCTCACGATTTCCGAATAATCATAGACTAACGGTCACTAATCAACACCCACACAAGTTTCAGCTTATTTTATTTTGTTTTTTGAATTGATTCAAGTTATATTATTGTTGCCAACCAGACTGGCTATCTCATAGGGTCCTTGGAAGGGGGGAGAAAAAAACAAAGTGTGGCATCTGAACTTTATATTCATTGCTACCAGCACCACAACTCGGGTTGGTTGTCACGAAACCCGTGGCAATACCTGCTGGGCTGTTTATTGATTCTCATTTTGTTAAATTTCACCTAGACTTCCAAAGGAATTACAGGAAGATTTTGATTTGCATTAACAGAATTAGACGATGTGTAAACATCAGTTGTTTTTTTTTTTTTTGCCGTACCTGAAAATCCAGGTTTGCAGAGGCACGTGAAGCCACCTTCAGCCTGGAAGCATTCACCACCGTTCTTGCATGGGTTCGAGTAGCAAAGATTGACTTCTGTGTCGCACAAATAATGTTCCTTTTTTCCTAAAAACCAAAATATCATTACAATTTGCACCGTCAGTTAAAAATATGTCATAAATTACCGATAAACCCTTTTGGGCAACGGCAGGCGAACGTCGTGACCGGATAAATAGGCCTGAAAAGCATCGTCTCGCTTGCGACAAAGCCGGACGCATTTCCGAACTTGAGTATTGTGATGCACTCCTCAAAATTCAAGCATGGCTCTCTTACGCACAGGTTGTCATCGAATTGCAAGACCTGGATGAACAGGAGAAATTATACGGCATTTTATTCGATCGGAGGGTGACAGCTTACCTGAAGAGTTGAAAGCTTGTTGAGTAGGGCCCGATTGAGGTGTACGCGCTCTTGGAGCAACTGAGCCGGGAGCATGTACCCTTCGGGCTGTCGGACTGAAAAGCTGACGTTGAGTATCCTTGTATCGCCGACATCCGGGTCATCCTGCGCGCTGAATACATACACATTATGCTTAGGGCACGGTATGATTGCAGCGATCGCCTCGATGAAGTAGCTATACAACGGCGATAGAAATGCATCGACGGTCATCTCGGCAAGGCGGACCGTCACCGAGTTCATGAGCATGTCGTCAGTTATAAGACGCACCGTCAGTTCCATCCAGGCTTTCACTTCATTAACGCCATCTTTTTAATAAACAAAAATTTATAAAAACAATTTTTTGTTTAATTTTTAATTTTTTTTTACCAGAGACAGAAACTTCCATTGTAGCGACTTTCGGTACGTTGGTGTTGAGCTGAGGGGAGAGAGTCAACTCTCCCGTACTTTCGTTGAGCGATACCAGATGGGCGTTATTACCCGAGATCAATCTATACCTTAGCTGTGCATAAAATTGACAATTTAAATAAATTAAATTTTAAAATTAAATAATACATCCGTACCTTGTCTGTGACATCCGCATCTGTAGCAGGGATCTTGCCAATAGGCCCTGATGGAAAACACTCCCGGAAATTGTTAAAAATCACCTAATTAATAGACAATAAAATATAAATTACAAAATTAAATGAAAAATGGACTTTTTTTTTTATTAAAAATACCTGAAAGTCTGGCAGAATAGGCGCGTTGTCGTTGACATCAGTTACAACGACGGTCAATCTGGCGTCGGAACGCAGAGGAGCCGAAGTGGCCCTGATGACAATCTGGTATTCCTTTTTGTCACTTTCATAGTCCAGTTCCGTGAGTGTGATCAATTCAGCGCGGTCTGAACCAGCCCTTCTCTGCAGCGAAAAGCTCGACGCGTCATCACCGCCGATAATCGAATACTGTACGATCGCATTAATCCCTACATCAGGGTCGGAAGCATAGATTTCACCGACGGTCGATCCAACAGGCGAATTCTCCGGTATGTATAGTGTGAGCCTGTCGGAGGAGAAGGTCGGCGGGGAATCATTGACATCTTCAATGTTGATAGTTATAACAACGGACGACGATAAAGGTGGTGTAGCTCGGTCTGAAGCGATAACAACGAGTTTGTAAGAAGCGACGCTTTCCCTGTCTAAAGCTCTGTTTACGCGTACGACGCCTGTAATCGGCTCCATGATAAATGTGTCAGTTTCTTCAAGGCTATAGCGAACACGCCCGTTCAACCCGACATCCGAATCTGTAGCCGACACTTGTATCACACTCGTACCTATCGGGACGTCCTCCGATATAGACACTGTGTAACCTTCTTGTAAAAATTTCGGAGCGTTGTCGTTGACATCCGTCACCGTTATTTCTACATCCGTCGTGTCTGACAACTGAGGTGTTCCTGTAAATCAAAATTTTAACAACTGATTTTTTTTTTTTTTTTTTAATTAAAAACAAAAAAAATTACCATTGTCTCGGGCTGTGACGCTAAGAAGGTAACCGGAAGTGGTCTCACGGTCAAGTGTATCTGTAGTTATAACAGCACCAGTGTCAGCGTTGATGGTAAAATGATCCGTTTCAGATGTAAGGCTGTATGTTATCTGCGCATTTACACCCGTGTCGCCGTCCGTGGCCGACACGACGAGTACCGTCGTGCCAACTTTGGCATCTTCTGGTATTGTTGATGAGTACGGCGCATTGTCAAAGAGCGGTGCGAATGTATTCGCATCTGTTATATTCAGATAGACGTTAGCAGAGTCGTACCTGCCGCCTGAATCCGTCGCCCTGACCTGTAAAAAAAATTTAAATATTTATGAAAAAAAAAATGTTTTATAGTTTAAATTATTATTTAAGAAAAAATGGTTACAATGAGGACAAAACGTTTTTCCTGCTTGTAGTCCAAAGGTTGTGCCACTGTTATGAGACCTCGCCCATTCTGGGTCGTAATTGCAAACCTCCCCCTCGTATTTCCACTTGAAATCTCGTAATGAAGCCTGGAAGATAATAAAAACCTTAATTTAAAAAAAAAAAGTCAGTGTCTTTGTTAACTCACCTCGGGTTTTCATCAGGGTCGGTCGCATGTACAGCGACAACTGACGTGCCAGGAGCGATGTCCTCCTGAAGATTTGCTGAGTACTCCTTCGGGCTGAAGACTGGGTCGTTGTCGTTCGTGTCCTGTATGTCGACGGATACAGTCGCCGTGCCTGTCTTGCTAGGCGTTCCGTGGTCAACGGCGAGCACTTCGAAATGGAGCTTCGGCTCGGCCTCTCGGTCGAGGTGTTTGTTCGTGTAGAGCCAACCGCTCACCGGATCGACTGAGACGGGCAGATTACCTGGATTGAAGTGAGACGAGATCCTGTACTCGATCTCCGAATTTTCCCCCTCGTCACCATCATATGCTTGCACCTAACAACAGAAAATAATATTACAAACCAAATTGTATATTTTGTCTTGTTTAATACAGAAATTTTAAAAAAAATCATAATATTGAAAATAAATTAATATAAACACCAATGATTGGATAATAATTCAAAATGTAATCTCCTGAAAGAAGACAACCATGATGTTTCCAAGCTTCTCCTCATAACTTTTTATTTTAATATTCTTTAAGGTAATTATTAAAATATTATTTATATATATAATTAAATAAATTTGAATGATTATGAGAAATAGATGATGAAATGTCGTATGAATTGAAGTTTCACTGTTTAACAATAAATAAAAACTTACCCTAACGATTGAAAAACCGACGGGGACATTTTCCGATACGGATTCTTGAAAAAGAGACGTGTAAAACCTCGGTGCGTTGTCGTTGTAATCTTTAACGTTGACAAGAACTTGTGTCGTGTTGGATTTCCCTGGCGAACCACCATCTGATGGTGGGTAAAAAAAAATCATCCAATGTTCAGATTTTAAAAGATTCAAATCAAATACCTTGCGCCCTGATGACTAGTCTGTAGCTCCGTACTGCCTCGTAGTCGAGAGGTTTAACGAGAGTGAGTTCACCGTTTTGTGAATCGATGGCGAATTGACCTTGCGTGTTGCCTCCGATGATGGCATAACGCAATGCGCCATTCGGTCCTGCATCGGCGTCTGTAGCTCTATAAATCAAAAATAATAAAAGTCTGTAATAGAAAATTGTTTGATGTTAATTACTTGATATGGGCGACAACTGGGTTGGAAAAGCTTGTCTTTTCCTCTTCCGGAAGTTCGACGGTGATCGTCCTTTCGCCAAACTGTGGGTAGTTATCATTTTCATCTTTGACCCTGACGACGAGGCTCACGGTGGAGGTGAGACGCGACGCGAGAGGCTGCGCCGAATCGCTGGCTTGAGCGACGATCGTATACACTTCAGTCGTCTCTCTATCGAGGGGCTGGCGCGTCGTGACTAAACCGGTTTGCGGATCGATTGAAAATACGCCTTCGCCCGTGTCAAGACCTCCCGATTCGACATCGACCAAAGCATATTCGATCTGCGAGTTTATACCGATGTCTAGGTCGGTCGCTCGCAGCTGGGCGACGACTGTTCCAATCGGGGAACTCTCGCTCAGGCTCGCTTCCGTGTTGCTCACCCCTCCGCCTAGATTTGCCCCTTCAAACTGTGGCGCGTGGTCGTTGACATCGCCCACGTTGACCTGGAGTGTTGTGGTTGCCGAACGGCTTTGTACAGCACCACCGTCCTCGAACATGGCCGTTATCCGGAAATAATGTACATCCATCATCTCACTATAAAATAAAATTATTATTTAAAACAAAAACAAAAAGTGAAATTATTTGGTCTTACCGGTCGAGCCTTGCAGTCGTTGTGACGATACCATCATTAGAGCCTATGGTGAATAATGCAGACGACCTGGCATCGAGCAAAGAGACCATGCTGTACCTAGTACCAGGGTGTGATATAGCTATGGTGCATACTTCGACCCCGGGAGCCTGCTCTTCCAAGACCGTCGCAACATACAAAGGCTTATCGAAAGTCGACTCACCTAGTCGTAGCGTCCTTCTCACTCTACCCGTGTCGAACATCAACTCCGCCGGTTTGAACCAAATCGAAACCTTTTTTTTATAAAAAGGTTAAAAAAAAATTTTATACAAAATATTATTTTAATAAAAAATTAGTTAAATGTTGTTTTACCTTTAACTCGCTATGGCCGGGCGAGATGATCGGCACCTTGCCTGAACATGTGTATGCGATTGGGACTGTGACTGTCGTCGTTCCGGACTGGTCAACACAGATGTCAGAACGTCCGACGACCAAGTCGCCGTTGCGACCTTCGACAGCAAACCGAGGGTCATCCGGGCTGCTGAAGTCGACGCTGCATGAACTGCGGACGGTTGATGGTATCAATGAATGGAGGTGGCCGAGCTGTTGTGAAGCCTTCAGACACACCTCCTTCGTCACTCCATTTGTATCCCTACAATTTTTTTTTAATATGAAAAAAACTAATTAACGAAAAATCAATAAAGCAAAACTACTCACCTGTAGATGGGAAAAGCGAAAGAAGCTATGGTCTCGCATGGCCAATTTTTCGCCTCGGCAATCCTTTCTTCAGCCTTGTTCACCACCATGCCATCTATATTGAAACAATAATAATTATTGATAAAGAAAAATGGTTGTTTTTGTTATTATCGGGTTGAAATGGAAAGGCAGGAAAGCGTACAAAACGGAATGGCATGGGGGAAAACAGTGTGACTAGGCGGACCGTTTCTAGAATACAGCTATAACTTCCATTCTTCTTCTACAAAAATCTGTAAATAATCTTGTTGGGTGGTGTTCATGCAACAACATGGAACTGAATGTAATTAAGTGTAGGAATTAGTCTTGGACGTGATGTCTTCTACAATTATGCCCAATTATGCCATACAGGGTATCCAATTGGACAGGAAGGCTTTGGAATCACCTACTCTAGCAACTTGACATTTAACTTGCATTGCACCTCAATAATTAATAAGGCAAATCAAATGTCATATTTCTTACATTGAACTTCAAACAATTTCAAGGATGAAAAAAAAACAATGATTGTACAACTATAGTCCCATTTTAGAATACTGTTTAGTTGTTTGGTTACCGCATCAGAAAATATTATTTCAATAGAAAATAAACAGCGACGATTTATTCGCACTCTCTGGTTTAAATTTACTAGAACATACTTGGATACACCGTACGAACTTATTATGGAACAGCTAGATGTAAGACGAGAAAATAATGACCTGATATTTTTTTACAAAGCCTCAAATATGACCGAATGTCCACAAATAATCAATCTGCTAAATTTCCATGTTCAACAATGTAGCTCCAGAGAGGAAATATTATTTTCAAAAACTGATTATAATACAAATGAATTAAAATTTAGTCCGAATCCACGACTCATGGAACCGAGTAACAAAACATATATTGTGCCATTTTTAACTTTCCTTAAGTCAATTTATTTATTGTTCATTTTTTTTTTTTTTTTTTTTTTTTTTTTTTTTTTTTTTTTTTTTTTTTATTGATCAGAGCAATTGTGTTTGCTTTGTTTATATATTTTATTGTTAGTTGTTTTCATTAATTTTTTATCATTCCTTCTCAATTGCTTTTTATTTATTTATGTTTTTGCTGTTTTTATTAAAATTTTTATCATTCTTTCTCAATTCCTTTTTATTTGTTTATATATTTACGTTGTTTTCATTAAATTTTTATCATCCCTTCTCACTTGCTTTTAATTTGGGTATATATTTTTGCTGTTTTTTATAAAAATTTTATCATTCCTTCTCAATTCCTTTGTATTTGTTTATATATTTTGTTGTTAGGTGTTTTCATTAAATTTCTATCATCCCTTCTCACTTGCTTTAATTTGTTTATATATTTTTGTTGTTGTAATTAAATTTTTATAATCCCATCTCACTTGCTTTTAAATTGTTTATATATTTTTGTTGTCTTCATTAAATTTTTATCACTCCTTCTCACTTGCTATTAATTTGGGTATATATTTTTGCTGTTTTTATAAAAAAAATTTCATTCCTTCTCAATTCCTTTATATTTGTTTATATTTTTGTTGTTAGGTGTTTTCATTAAATTTCTATCATCCCATCTCACATGCTTTTAACTTGTTTATATATTTTTGTTGTCTTCATTAAATTGTTACCACTCCTTCTCACTTGCTATTAATTTGGGTATATATTTTTGGTTTTTATAAAAAAAATTTCATTCCTTCTCAATTCCTTTATATTTGTTTATATTTTTGTTGTTAGGTGTTTTCATTAAATTTCTATCATCCCTTCTCACTTGCTTTTAATTTGTTTATATATTTTTGTTGTCTTCATTAAATGTTTACCACTCCTTCTCACTTGCTTTTAATTTGGGTATATATTTTTGCTGTTTTTATAAAAAAAAAATTCATTCCTTCTCAATTCCTTTGTATTTGTTTATATATTTATATTGTTTTCGTTTAGTTTTTATGATCCATTCTCTCTTCTCTTTTTCTTTCTTTTTTTATACATTTCTGTGGTTTAATTAAATTTCTATGATTCCTTCTCACTTCTTTTATATTTTTATACACATGGGTATTATGACAAAATACTTATAATGTTTTATTTACTTTTATCTGTTTATATATTTCTGTTGTTTTCGTTTAGTTTTTATGATCCATTCTCTCTTCTCTTTTTCTTTCTTTTTTTATACATTTCTGTGGTTTAATTAAATTTCTATGATTCCTTCTCACTTCTTTTATATTTTTATACACATGGGTATTATGACAAAATACTTATAATGTTTTATTTGTGTTTGTTATGTTGAATATGTCCATATTTTTAATTGTTGTTAATTGTATATTATTATTTATGTTTCAATTATTAATTATTATTTACGTATACTTTAAACTTTTATAAAACTTGTAACTGGGTATATTTACCCGAATAAATACGATATAGATATTTGTTAATTCATTTAATAGTTTTAAGAACAATTTATCGTTATCTATATTCTCTCGTTTTGACGAAAGCCGGTAATAAAGATATTATTATATGCATGTCCATTCTATGCATCGAAACATTATCAAATTAAATACACTTCTCCCCATAGACCATATTAAAATAGCTTTCAAAAACCACAAAACAGTACACAAACTTTTTTTTCCAAAGTCAAAGACCCAACATGTACTTTATACAATCAATTGCGTGGAATGTCCAAGCTACATACATTGCAGTAATATTGCAATATCTGAAAAAAATGTAAGAAAAAAAAACACATCTAATACAGTGAAACACTAAAAACTGATCCCAAAGCTTTGCCACAATTTTTGAAAATCGCAACAACTTTTAATTTTTTTAATTGGTGATCGTGAAATGCGGTCTGGTGTGACAGATTTTAGAAAAACATTTTCTTTATCGTGCCAACGTTTCGATCTTTATTGAGATCATCTTCAGGGCCAGGGATTTACAAACATTGTTTAAATTATACAAATATATGTACACAATTTAAACAATGTTTATAAATCCCAGGTCTTGAAGATGATCTCAATAAAGATCGAAACGTTGGCACGATAAAGAAAATGTTTTTCTAAAACCTACGTCACACAAGACCGCATCTCACCTTCCCCAAATAATCATTAACTAACGGTCACTAAACACCACACATTTAATTTTTTTACCAAACACGGAAAAAAAAATTTACTAACGATAATTTATAGAAATGGTTTGCACAGACACTACAGAGCATTAATTAGAGAACAAATACACGCAAAATCTGCCCTAGCAATGCCAACATCATAAATTTAAAAAACCATTAAACTATATTTTTTTATATCCCTTTCCTTCATTATCGTCCATAATAATTAAATTTCTTTCCAATAATACAATAGTAGAATAAACCCCAATCCCTGTTCTCGATTTACTTTGAGCCAAATAAAACTATGATCAAAGAAAATTTCCCAGATTTTCCATGTTCCCCACCGATCAAAATCATACACAAACATTTGGACTATAACTATCACTAGATATTAAATATTAATTTGATATTATATTTATACTAGATATTAATTAGATATTAGATTATATTTATACAAGATATTAAATATTAATAACTATGATTATTATAATAACTACTAATAAGTACACTAAAAACTAGAAAAAATAATTTTAATGTATAAAGTAAATTTAGTAAAATTAGCAATTAAAGATTAAAAATTAAAGTCACTTACAGATAAATTAATGTTATTTGGATATCTAGATAGATTTGAACATGCGAGAAAAATAAAGTAAAGTGAATGAGAAAACATAAAAAAAAAAAAAGACTCCAACATAAGTTTGAATTGTTCACCAAAAACAACAAATTATCTAATCATAGTTATTGTAGACCAAATAAAATATTTTATTCGAAATTTATATTATTTAAATTTGTTTTCTATAATTTTTTTCCCCAATCAAAATGTGTTTTGTAATTCGCCCAGGCTCTGAAGATGACCCAAATAAAGGTCGTAACGTGCAAAAAAAATATGAAAAAGTTTTTTTTTCCAAAATACTTCATTCCTGAAACATCACACAAGAATGGCACCACACTTTATGTGAGTATGAAATTTTTGTTCAAAATTTATATTATCTACATCTGTTTTCGGTAATTATTTTTTTCCCCAATCAACATGTTTTGCAATTCGCCCAAGCACTGAAGATGACCCGAATAATGGTCGAAACGTGTCAATATATGCAAGAAAATAAAATGAAAATCTTTTTTTCTAAAATAATTCAATCTAGAAACAAGATACAAGAAACACAAGAGTTTAGTGGGTGAAAGATAGATAGAGTGTGTGTATGAGTGTCAGAGAGACAGAGATTGAGTGTGAGTGTGTGTGTGTGTGTGTGTGTGTGTGTGTGTGTGTGAGAGAGAGAGAGAGAGAGAGAGAGAGAGAGAGAGCGAGAGAGAGAGAGAGAGAGTGAGCGAGAGTGAATGAGTTTAGTAGGTGAAAGAAATATAGTGATAGATAGATAGATAGATAGATAGAGATCGAGAGAGTGAGAGAGAGAGAGAGAATGAATTAGTGAGTGAGAGTGAATAAGTGGAAGAGAGAGGAGAGAGTGAGTGAGAGTGATGAGTTTAGTGGGTGAAAGAAAGATAGAAATACTAATAGAGATAGAGAGAGAGAGTGAATGAGTGTCAGAGACAGAGACTGAGTGAATGCGAGAGAGAGAGAGAAGAGAGAGAGAGAGAGGAGAGAGAGAGGAGAGAGAGAGAGAGAGAGAGAGAGAGAGAGAGAGAGAGAGAGAGAGGAGAGAAGAGAGAGNAGAGAGAGAGAGGAGAGAGAGAGAGAGAGGAGAGAGAGAGAGGAGAGAGAGAGAGAAGAGAGAGAGGAGAGTGAATGAGTGCAAGAAAGAGAGAGAGAGAGTGAGTGAGTGAGAGTGAATGAGTGCAAGAGAGTGAATAAGAGAGGGGAGTGAATGAGAGAAAGAGAGAGAGAGAGAGCGAGTTAGTGACAAAGGACTGTTACATGAACGACCGCAGAACTTTCTCATTTCTTAAAAAATCTTCCAGACGCCAAAGAATAGACAAACGCTTGTTTCGACTTGAAAAAACAAATGGTCGGTCTAATTGTCAAACTGGACAAGTGATAAATTGATCAAACCTAGTGACTAAATGTTTAAGACCATAGAATCTGGATAAACGTTTTATTTCAATAGAAAAAAAAAAGTTCAAAACGGGGCAAATCTTTTAATTTGGACTGTAACTACTGTTGGTAACTGACGTCTAAATGACCTAATTTTCTTGTAAAGTCAACCTTTAAGTCTTGGATCAAAGTAGAAATGGCCAAATTTGGAAAGTGAGTGACAGCCGTACCCATGTGGGGTACTATGAGAGTCTTATCATGGAGGAACGACCTATTTGTGAAAAATGTCATTGGATTGTTGCTGTTTTTTTAAATATAAAATTCAAGTACCTTGAAATGAGATGAGCCGGGCGCATCCTCTGATGAGCACTCTCAAAGGCACAGAAACGTAATCCAAACTGGTGTTTGAGTAAGAGTCAAGGTATATAGTAAACAGGTCCGGATACCTCAATCCACCGCACTCCACTTTCCTCCTCAGTACCACTTTTCCCGTGTGCTTCTCCACGTGGAGCAGCCTTCTGACGAACACGGCACTCTTCTCCGCGTTGATCGCATAGGACCGGCCGCCCGGGAGGCCGCCGTCGAAAACCAGGCCCGGCTCGTCTTCCGCGCTCAGGGCGATCAGATAGGCGCCGCAGCCGACGACCAGACCGAGAAAGACCGGCGGTAAGATCATTTCTCACTTCTGACGACGGTTTACGCCGCCTTGAAAACATATAACTGTCGTTTTGATTTGTTTGTCTTTTTTCTGTTTTGTTTTTGTCCTTATCGTTTTGAAAGGACGCGACGGCGGTTGCGGCCACGAAGCGATCCGTCGGCCATTTTGCTCTCGACTGGCGAGTGGCGAGTAGCGAACGGACGCCGACGACGGCCGAGAATCGATCCCCGCATTCCGCGACCCCCTCCACTAAACAAAATTCTCCACAACCGCGACCACATTTCCTCATCCAATTTTCTTTTTGTTATCCGTTTATTTCTCTCATTTTGATATGAATTTTAATTGCTTTCAATATAGAGTAGGTACGAAGAATTGTACCTTTCGGGGCGTCTTGTTTCAGTGAACTAGGTTTTGAAGAACTGTAGTTCACTAAAAGAAAGGACACCTGTCAATGCAGCTCTTTCACGGGAATAGTTCGTTCACAAATCTCTAGAAGACATTCGAAATTGGCTAAGGTGTTCCTTTTGATGAATAGGTCTTTTAATGGAATAGTTCGTTTGAACTAGTTCTTTCGTGGACTAGTTCGTTCACGAACTACACATCTCTAAAAAAATCGAAATTGGCCGTCGTTCCTTTTGATGAAGTTCTTTTAATAGAATAGTTCTTTAATGGAATAGTTCGTGCATGAACTACTTACCTCTAAAGAAATTCGAAATACGCTGTCCTTCCTTTTGATGAATAGTTCTTTTAATGGAATAGTTCGTTTGAACTATTCTTTCGTGGACTAGTTCGTTCATGAACTACACATCTCTAAAAGAAATTCGGAATGAGCTAAGTAGTTCCTTTGATGAATAGTTCTTTTAATTGAATAGTTCGTTGAACTAGTTCTTTCGTGGACTAGTTCGACCATGAACAACACATCTCTAAAAGAAATTCGAAATACTCTAAGTCGTTCCTTTTGCGGAATAGTTCTTTTAATGGAATAGTTCATTTGTACTAGTTCTTTCGTGAACTAGTTCGTTCATGAACTACATATCTATAAAAGAAATTCGAAATGGGCTAATTAGTTTCTTTTGCTGAATAGTTCTTTCCAATTCCTACTTTACACCGATACCCATTTCTACATGATCGATTTTTTAGATGATCGGTAATTCTGTTTCGATAGTTTTAACGATGTTCATTTGATTGTAACGATACAAACCATGATGTATGTGCAATTCAGGAATGAACTAATTCAAATGAACTACTTCACAAAAGAGCTACATAGATCGGTCTTTCATTTTAGTGAACTATAGTTCCTTTTCCGTTTCTTCAAAAAGCATGAATGAAGTACCACGTTCATTGAACGTGTGCAATTCAGGAATGATTATATTGACCTGTCGTCCTTTACATATTTTGATGTTAGAATGTAAATAAACATTTGAGATGCCTTCGTTCATCTTCAATTTGCGAATCATTTCTTTTAGTCTTACTCTGGCGTTCTTCTATCCCAAACGGGACACTTAAACGTTTCGTGACATCCCTGGAAATCGTGGCCGACGAAGTTTCACGTGGATCTTAGAGAAATGGCGTAAACCTTTCACTCCGTGGGGCCTTTCAGGGTATCGGCCCAGGAGTCCGGGCTGACCTTTTTCTCTTAATCCCACTTCTTTCGCACGAACCCCGTTCCCACTTCCAACAACGAGAAACGGATTTTTGGAAAGGCCGTGTCTAAATTTTGTCGGTTCACAAGGGAAAAGAGGACGACTTTTCTTTTGATTTGGGTCTTTCTTTAGGCCTCTGTATAGTGTGAAAGATCGTTTATCATCCGAGGTCGAAAGATAGAAAAAAAATGTACGTGACGGTCGAGGAACGGTCCTTGTCAAGGGGGCGAACCGCTACTTTTCCGATGTGGAAACCAGTTCTGCGGCTTCCTCTCACTTTCGTTCGGGTCCAGCCTGGAGGTCTCCAGATTATAAAAGCCAATATCTCAAGGTACTGGAATGATCCGGATCTCACGGCCTAACATTTTTTTAAAGCATTTTCTAGTGTTCTGGCTTTTCTGTCGGCCAAGGGCTTCTCGAGGGGCACTTGTCGAATTTCCCGGATCGATGAGGCATGAGTCAGCCGAGGGAGGGTGTGTCCCACCCTAGCCCGGGAGGGGTCGAAAAGAGATCGATAAAACCGCAGGGGTTGGAATAGGACGAGAAAACGGAGCCCCGGGTCTTATTTTCCTTGACCTTTTCTCTCAAGGACTCGAAAACCAGGATGACACGGCATCCCTCGGTTTTCAACTTTTTCCCGCGACCAGAGAGAAAAAAACTCAAAAAAGAGGATTTTCCTTTTTTTTTAAATAATAAGATGATAAAATATCCACTCGGGCTTTTCGCACGGCCGTATGAGACAAAAGGTGGCCCTATTCTATGCCACGCAAGAGCACTCAGCGTGGGACTTCCTGCTCGGCCGCGTTCCCCTTTCGTTTAACCCGTTTTCATCCGACTTCCCATAAAATTCGACGGCCCCCCACCAATTTTCGATTCTACAAACATCGATGGTTACATATCGATTAATACACAGAGAAACATTTTTTGTATCGATAGTATAAGATCGATTAGCAAAATATTATCAATATTTGGAAAATATCCATAAATATATAATATATATAATGGTAGTACATATCGATAACTTTTAAAGAGCGATAGTAAAAGATATTATCAATATTCGATTATCGATAATAAAAATAATCGATATTTAGAAATAGTATCCATAGGAATTAAGGATTTGTACCGATACATAATAACATGTAATATCGTTCATTTTTCAAGATAAAATCTACTTATTACAACTATCGAATATATCGATAGTAAAAATGCTATCAATACTGAGTTATCTATAACTAAAATCATCGATATATCGAATAAATATCGATAGGTATTACGGGTTTGTACCTGTACAAAGTAACTTGTATCGATTTATAATAGCGATGTCGTACTTATCGATAATTTTTAAAGAAATAATAGTGTTAAATATGTTAAATCTTAATATTACAAGTACATCGATAGTAAAAGATATCGATATTCGATTATCGATAAATAAAGATCATCGATATTTAGAAATTAGTATTAATAGGTAATTTGTATCTATAAATTATATTGATAATTTTTAAGATAAAATAGAAAGATTTAAGGTAAAATGGAAGAAATATATCGATAGTAAAAAACATTATCTATACTAGATTATCGATAAATAAAAATCATCGATATGTATACGGGTTTGTATCGATACATATTAGGGATGTGGTAATATCGATAAAAGATTTTATGAACTTTTTATGCCTATATTAGGAAAATATCGATTGTAAAATACGCCACCTATCCTAAATTATCGATAATTGAAAAATCATCGATATTTAGAAATAAGTATCGATAGGAATTATGGATTTTAATAATACATGTGATAATATCGATGTTTTTAAAAAAGATTTATCATCGATTTGGATCATCGATAACTAAAAATTCATCGATATTTAGAAATTAGTATCGATAGCATTTACGGATTTGTATAGATCCATAGTAGCGGTGGTACATATCGATAATTTTTAAACATATAATCGATTTTTTATATCGTCCTTAAGTATCGATAGTAAATGACTATCAATTTTTCAACGTTAACAATACTGCGTTACATATAATACATAAAATAATTGATAATTATGTGTATGGGTAGGAGTTGCGGATTTGTACAGACTTTTGTACTAGCGATGATTCAACTAAAGAATCTATTTTTTCGTTGATCGATTTTGATATATTTTTAAATATAGTTCATGAACGAATTAGTTCAAAAGAACTATATCGACCGATATTTCTCTTTAATGAATGGCAGCTCATTTTCGGTTTCCTCAGAAGGTGTATGTTTGCAATTCTAAAAATTATAGATATGTAGTAAGAATCCCGAAAGAAAAAAAACTAAAATGACCAGTCATTCTTTCTAGTTATTTTTCGATTTATTAAAAAATCATGAACTACCTGGTTCAATATAAGGTACTCGTTATATTAAGCGAATATCGATAGTAAAATCTACCGACTCCACAACGTTTTCTAAATTAAATTCACTAGTTTTCGTGGTCCCCTCGACAAATTAATATCTTTCAATTAATTAAGGTTTTTATTTGATATAAAAAATGCCTTTGAAAAATGGCAAAAAGGAGGGAAAATTCAAAAGGTGCGGTTGAGGTGGAAAGTTAGTGACCGAGTGGATCGAAGTCACGATAGCTCAAGTGGTAGAGTAGCGGCGTATCTAGCCGAAGTTCGTGGGTTCGAATCCCGCTCGCGACACTGACTTTTTTATCACGACTAAAAACCTTAATTAATTGAAAGTTATCTACATAGGATTATCTATAGTATATAAAACAGTCGATAAATATAAATACGTAAAGATAAAGATTTTTAGAGATAGATAGTAGTGCTGTGGCCGCATATCAGCAATGGATTTTTATAATAGCATATACACTAAATATTGATAGTAAAAGACAATTGTTTAATCCACATTATCCATACTAGATTATCATATTTTAGGACTTACAAGTACTTTAAAAGATGTCAACGAAGCTCCTTGGGCTTATCAAGTAACTTTCATCACTTCCTTTAACATCGAGGGGTTGAAATCTTTCTTGATTACATTGTGTATGGTATTTGTTTTTTTGTTTTTTTCGCTCGCAGATTGATCCAGGTGAAATAAAAATGGACCCATATAAGCCGTACAATTAATAAGTAGTTGTTTTTTAGTAATGAAACGTTGAATTTAGGGATTTTAATAAAATCAAACAAGACTGCTTGTGACATCATATATCAGTGACATCATGTTAAGGTGATAACCGTTATCAAAGTGGAGGTTCGTTTTCGGCTATCCGTATCGCTGCGTCCCGTCCTGTTTAGAGTTAAAATACTTATTTTAGGACTTACGATTTTAAAAGATGTCAACGAAGCTCCTTGGGCTTGTCAAGTCCTTTTCCTCTTTGAAAATAATCCCGGGCGTACTTCAACACCACAGGTTTGATTGTTTGTATTTTTTTTTTATATGGATTTTATTGTTTATATGGTAAACAGTATGGCCCTGAGACGTGAATCGACCCAGGCTCAGACGGGCCTGATGGAGTTTTTTGACATTAAGGAGAACTGGTCAAAAAAGGCGGTCCACGTTGGCCGACCATGGTCGAAAGATGAGCTCCGCAGCAAAAGCAACCAGGACCTCCACAAACTTTGGTATGTTGATGGGTTTTGGATTTGAACTTTTTTTTGCTATTTAGTTTTCTTTTATTAAAGGTTTGTCTTGCTCAAGGAGCGAAACATGCTTCTTACAATGGAAGAAGAGTATAAGAGGAATGTCGAGTTGATACCAAGCCCGGATCGTATCGATAAGGTCTGATTTATTTTATTTTATTTTTTAATTTTGTTGATTTTTGTTTTTTTAAGGTGAAAGAGAGTATGGTGAATTTGGAGGATGTCGTGAGGGAGCGTAACCGGGCTTATTACATGCTCGAAACAGGTGAGACTGGAGAAAGGCCTGGCAAGGTCATGTCGAACCCGCTCGGAATGCATTTCTTTTTCAAAGCTGGCGAGCATGTGATACCAGAGGAAATGAACGCCCACTGGTACAAGACGAGACGGCTCTACACCAACCGGAAAGAGTGTATGAGATTCCTTTTGTTAATGGGAGAAAAGAAATACCTGGAGAAGAGGCGCGCCAGGAAGTGAGCCGTGATGTAATATTGTATATTCTGTCAGTATTCCTCACGGATTTTCTCGTTTTTCTAGCCGTGAGAGGAAGCATGTGATGCAAATACTGAAAAGGTACCCGGACGCGGACCTGGAGGCAATTAAGTTCGAGTACCCAAGCGTGGACATCGAGAAGGTCAAGTGTTGGAGGAAGGTAAAGGGCCACCATGTGCCTGATTGAACCCTCGTCTATCTGAAAGCGTAGCTATTTCTTGTATATTTATATTTAAAAAATAAACAAATAAAAAATTACCTTAAAGTGTAAATTATTACCGTTGGATCCTTTCTACACTAATTGATTTTTTTCCGCTCATTTTAAATATACCAACAAGAAGAAAAAGAAATCAAGATGCATTCAGCATATTTTGTTCAGGCATGCATTACCTGCAAATGTACAATTATTGTTGAATATGTTCAGTTGTGTCTATATACAACGATAAACTCAATGTGTCAATACAGATATATACATACAAACTGATGATTTCAATACATTGGATAAATAACTGGAAATAAATCTAGATTTACAAATTATTGATACAGATTACATATAAATAACTTCAATGTATCGATACCAATATACATGAACATACGGAAATTTCTGTGCATAGATATGTCAGCAGATATTTTGGTAATAATGTTGTATCGTTACTAATACACACTATATTGATAATTCCCATACATTGGTTGAATACCTGCAAATATATCTACAGTTACCATAATCGATATTGATAGACACATACAAATAACTTCAATATATTAATACAAATATACACAAACATATCAACCAACATTTGATGTATCGATTCGACAGCAGTTATATCGATACCAGCAGCCCATACATTTTTATGTATTGATAAGATAACCAGAGAAATATAGAGTTCCGATGTATACACATCCATATATCATTAATTTTGATACCAATATATATGTACATATCAATGATTTCAATGTATCGAATGAACAACTGCAAATATATTGATAGTTCTGATGTAGATTGATATGAGTAAATATCTGTATACCAATACAATATCATAAATAGTTATGTATCGATACAATTAAATATCTATGTACCGATAGAATATCATAAATAGGTATGTATCAATACAATTAAATATCTATGAACCGAAACAATACTGTAAATTTGTTATGTAATGATTCAAATAAATATCTGTTTACCGATACAATACAGTAAATGCCATATGTATTGATACAAATAAATATCTATATACCGATGCAATATCATAAATAGCTATGTATCAATACAATTAAATATCTATGTACCAATACAATACTGTAAATTTGTTATGTATTGATACAAATAAATATCTATTTACCAATACAATACTGTAAATATGTTATGCATTGATACAATTAAATATCTATGTACTGATACAATACTGTAAATATGTTATGTATTGACACAATGTACCAAACCATGAGCACTGCCCACTGAGAAGACACCTCAAGATCAAATATGTACCGATACAATATCATAAATAGTTATGTACCGATACAATACTGTAAATGTGTTATGTATTGATATGATTAAATATGTATGTACCAATACAAAATCGTAAATAGTTATATATCGATCCAATTAAACATCTATATATCGATACAATATCATAGTTATGTAACAATACAATTAAATATCTATGAACCGAAACAATACTGTAAATTTGTTATGTATTGATACCAGTAAATATCTATGTACCGATATAACATTGTAAATAGTTATGTATCGATACAATTAAATATTTATTTACCAATACAATACTGTAAATATGTTATGCATTGATACAATTAAATATCTATGTATTGGTACAATACTGTAAATGCTATGTATTGATACAAATACATATCTATGTACCAAACCATGAGCCACTGCCCACTGAGAAGACACCTCACAAGAACAAACATGACGGAATACCGAAGCTAATTATATTCATACCATCGTGTTACAAGACCTCATTTTTCCATCCTGATATCTCCTAGAATTGAGCTCCTATGAAAGATCTATTTCAGCCCTCCAAACCTGGTATATCCTCTAATTGGCCAATAGATAGAAAAAGTGAATTCCTACAGAACAAATATGATGGAATAACAAAGCTATTTCTTTATGCCATCCTGTTACAAGATCATATTTTCCTTTTTTTCCATCCTGACTCCTCCTGGAAATGAGCTCCTATGTAGAAGAATTTCTGCCCACCAATGATATCTCTTATCACACAAGTGCGCTCTTGTATCACGACGAAAAAAGGAGTTTGCAATAAGGCAAGAACTTTTTCATATGAGTTCACTTTTTCTATTTATTTACCTATGACAAGAATTCACAGGATTGAAAGGCGCTGAGGAACAATTGAGGGAGTGTTTTCTTTCTTATATTATAGGGATAAATTTGGATAAAATGAAAAGGCAGATGGCCTGGCCAAGAAGGTTCTAATGCTGTTTGTTGGGCCGAGCGAAAGAGAGTATTAATAACTGGGCAATTCGTTAGGGAGTGGAATTTATCCCCTGGACACAGGCAATCGAAAGAGTTCGTTAAGGTGATCAAACCACCAGAATCCAAATGGCTATTCTCTATCTCAAGGAAGGGAATTAGGAGGCTGATAAGTATTCTACCAGACCCCTTTTGCTGTTTTTGTGAAATAAAAGAAGAAACGGCACTACCTCACAGAGAGTGATAGGTATGCTAGGCCCAGATTTGAAATCTTTGAAGGAGCAAACATCACCAAATCACTCCGCGTGATAAAATGGTCCAAAATCTTGGGGTTTGTGAACAAGTCCAGGAGATTTATGCAGGACACATGAGCTGACCAAGTCCCGGATGTTTTAGGGATGGGGTACAAGTCTTTAACCCCCCAGGTCTTGGTTGCCCACCCTGAGTTATACACACACACAAGCAAATATCAATAAAAATTATACAGAAATATCAATAATTTAGATGTATCAAATCAAATATAAATACATGTGATATATCTGAATTGATAGAAATATACACATGAACAATAAAAATTGTAAACTTACCGATATTGTTTCGGTGCCAACAAAGACTTACATATTGATATAAATACGCTTTCATATCAATTATCTTTACATTATAATTTACCTACTGTTTGTTATATACATTTATTATTATATAATTTTTTTTGAGGGGTGTGTTGGCTTATAACAGTGGTCGGTCATCAACTTTCAGTGCTTTTGGAAAAATATATTGATGTGACACCGTTTCAGTCACAATACCCCCCACCACAATAATAAAAACCATTTACCTAATTAAAAGGAAATGAGAGGGAAGCAGGGCCAGTAATTTATCTCTTCCTTTTTAGAATAATAATAATAATACTGATAATAATAATAATTACATTTTTATTTCACAACAAATATTTTTGTAACTACTCACAAAACAGAAGACATCTAAAAAAAAGAACAAAAAGAAAAAGAAAAGAAAAAAGAATGTACAGTATATTTTTAAAGCGCTGAGCTTTAGTGCGATGCGTTTGAATCAGATATTTTATTTAAATATAATTTAACAGTTATTCTATCTTTTACGCATCGGGACTCGTAAAATTCCGAACTTTTACTTGTGTTTAAAAACAAAACAACTCTAGCACGTTTTTTCTAAATCATGGCGCTAATTTTACTCATTAATAATAATTAACAATAATAAAACAAAAATAGTGATTATTTAAATAATATTATAAGTGAAAATTATTTATTTTAAAATTAATATTTTATTTATTTATTTTTAGTTTTTATCAAACTGACGACAAAAAATTTCAACACGCAAAAAAAGAAAAGAAAATATTTAAAGAAAAACAAAAATTTTACTCAGTCTTCACATTTAAATTTTTTTTTAAGAATTCAAGAGTGGGATTTCACTTTTTTTGGTACAAAAATCACTTAAAGGACGACAAATTTTGAAAAAATTACTTTCTTATAAAAAACTTTCCGTGTGTGTATGTGTGTAATGGAAATTTGGAACATCGCACCTCAACGATTTTCACGACCCTTATTTTTCAGTTTTGACGGTTTTCACGGCAGTACACACCCCACTCCTTGTTATATTATAAATCTCCTTTTTTTTCTTTTAAATAAATCGGCCTACAGTTCATCGTGGTCCTGGGGAAAAAATGAAAGTTAATTTTCTGTTTGACTGAAAAAACATTAATTATGTTATGACTTACTTCTGTCTTGGGCGCGGAGTCTTCATCTTCGTCTTCATCCTCATCATCTTCATCTTCAGTTTTCTTCTTGTCTTTGCCAGCCTCCTCCATGTCCTTTTCTTTTGCTTCGTTCTCTTGTGCTGTTTTCATTTTCTCCTCGCCGGCCATCATTTCTTTGACGACTTCAGCCTCCTTCTTGGCGAGCTCAACGTCATCAGTGATGAGCAGGTTGCCGAAGACAGTGCCTGACTTGACTTGCCATAGGTCAAATCCGACAGAGCAGAGCTCTTTCCTGACATATAGTTCATTGTCTGGAGAGTACTCTGGGTTTTCGATCTCCGGGTGGATCCACGGCCCTTTGTAGTTGGGGTTGTCGATCTGTTTTGGCTTCCACTCACCCTTGAATTCAGGGTTGTCAATCTGCGGTGGCTCCCATTCGCCGTCCATCTCAGTGTCCCAGTCCTCAGGTTTGTTCGCCTCTGGGTCGGGTATCGTCGCCGGCTTGTCCCAATCCTCAGGCTTCGAATCAGTTGGGTCATCGATAGTCGGGTTGTCCTCCCAATCCTCAGGTTTCTTTGCCTCGGGGTCCTTTATCATCTTTGGCGGCAAGAAGTCGAAATCGTCTTCTAGATTTCCACTCTCGACTTTTTCATTGTCGATCAAGACCTAAATACAACACAAAAAAAATTAACATTTTCCCTTAATTGTCATAATCACTGAAAACTTTTCAGAATCACTCACTTCGTATGTGTTGTCAGGCTTAACGACGAGTGTGTAAAAATGACTGAAAACGTCGTCTTTACACCTGATGTCCTTGTTGACGAGGACGTTTCTACCCTTGTACGAGAAGATAACGTGTACCTTTTTTGTGGATCCGCATATGTCCGGACCGAACATCACCTCGTACGGCGACTCGCCATGAAGGTTCTTCTGGTCGAGCGAGCAGTCGAACAGCTTGACGTAACCGCCTCCACAATCAATGTTCTGCTCATGTTTCACTCTGAACTGGACGACGAGCGTCTTGCCCTTGTTCGTGAATGAAGGGAATTTCGTGGAAATAGCATAGAACCTGGCGTCCTGCGAAGTCTGCAGACCTGCCGATCAATTTACAATACTAATAAATAAAACATTGAAATAATGAAATAACTATTAATGTTTTTTTCAATACAAAGGTTATACAAACCCTTCCTAAATTTCACATTAGTCAAAATTAATATCGCAGATTCACAAAAATGAGATTACCTCTGATTAATTATTAAAATTTAAATTATATATTTCTTTAGCTGGCAAAATAAAAATAATTTTGAAAAGTACAATTTTTTTTATAAATTTTAGAAGAGAGGTGGAAATCCTTTTTTATTAAAAAAAAATGTTTAAATGAAAAGTGTTGATAAAAGATATTCAGATTCAGATAAGTGCATTAACAGTGTGAATGAATCTGTTACTGGTCGAATTACTTAAAGAGGATGGCCGTTGAAATCCACCATGGGTGATTATATCGCCTTTATTAAAAATTGTTTAAATTAAAGAAAATAAAAAGTTTATAACTTACTTTACATTTAATGTTCTGTAACAACCATGGAAGGTTATATGAACACTGTCTAAATTTCATGGAATTCAAAACTTATCGCAGATTTAAAAAAATGAGATTATATCTGAATAATTGATAAAATTTATATAATATTTTCTCAACATAACACGGGCACTCTCAACACGACACGCAAGAATGGCACAATTACACAGAAGACAAACACTTTGAGCCCAATAAAGATCGAAACGCTGGCACGATAAAGAAAATGTTTTTCTGAAACCTACATCACACCAGACCGCATCTCACAATTTCTGAATAATTATATTTTCTTTAAATGGCAAAATTACAAAATTTGATTAAAAAAATAAATAAAAGGAAAAATGGTTAAAAATAACATTCCTTAGACAATATAAAAAGAAATTAAGATTATATTATCAGCGATAGTGTAACTTTTTGGGTTAATCTCTAAAAGCGGGCAACTGTTGAATTCCATCCAAGGCGATTTCTACTTAGATGAACTAAACTCCTAAATAATTTTTAATATTAAAAAAAAAATAAAATAAATAAAAGGAAAAGAGGTTAAAATTAACATTTCTTGGACAAGATAAAAGGATATTAACATTATATTATCAGTACTGCTAGTATTAACAGAGAGAAACTCCTTGTGAGCAAATTTCTTAACGAGGGCAGCCATTGAATTCCGCCCAAAGCAATTTCTGCCTAGATGGACTAAAAACTCCTAAATAATTTTTATAAAAAAATAATAATAATAAAATAAAAGGAAAAAGTTTAAAATTAGCATTTCTTGGACAAGATAAAAGAATATTAACATTATAATATCGGTGAGAGTGAAACTTTTTTATTTTTAAAGGTAGCCAGTGAAATTCACTGAAGGTGATTTCCAATTAGGGGGGAGGGGAACTTTTGAATTTTGTTACAAGTTGTTTAAATTAAAGGGAGAAACTGGGTTAAAAATTAACATTTCTGAGATAAAAAGATATTAACATATATTATTTATCAGTACTGCCGGTATTAACAGAGAACTTTTTGCAAAAATTTCTCGCAGTGGGTGGTCAAAAATCAACTCGGGGCGACTTCCAACTAGACATACAAAAACTCTTATATCGCTTTTTATTATAGATTGTTTAATTTTGAAGGAAAAATGTTACATTTTTGCATTTGTACAGCAGATAAAAGAAGTTTTATCAAATCGGCTCTTTTTCCACACGACTGGACATATTTTGTATTTATCATCGTATAAACTATTGCCTTTAGGACTCAAATTTAATAGGTTGTAGAGATAGACAGATAGAGATAGAGAAAGTGAATGAGTGCAAGAGAGAGAGAAAGAGTGAGAGGGGGAGAGAGAGAGAGAGAAAAGGGGGAATACAAGATTAAGAACTGATCTTTAAGAAAATGTGGGTTTTTTTCGTCTTAGAAAATTTTTGTTCAATTACCTGATGGGTGAAGGGTGGGCGATGGTTTCTGTCTTTCGGGTATATCCAGTTTTTTTTTTTTTTTTCATAATTAAACAATCTTTTTCAAGTTTTAACTTATAAATTATGGGTAGGGTCTTTCTAATTTTTAAAATAGATATATAATAATCATTATTAAAAATGGTTTGAATTCAAAGAAAAAAAGTTACATTGCTGCATTTGTGTAACGGATAAAAGAAGTTTTATCAGATCAGCCTTTTTTCCACCTGACCCGATACATTTTGTATTTATTATTGTATATCGTAATAAACAAAATAAAAAATATAATATAATAATATGGGGGTGAAAATTTCGGTCAAATTTTACTTATAACCTCCCCACCACTGTTCGATTCAGTTTTCTTTTCAAAAACTAAACTCCTGAATTGAATTTTGTTGAATTGTTTAAATTAAAATGAAAAAAAAAAAGTTTAAAATCAACATTTCTGAATGAAATAAGTTTTTGATGTATTTTTAGAAGTACGAAATCATTTTGGGAGACTATCTAGCGGTGGGCGGCCACTGAAGACCGCCTGAAGTGATTAAGAATTGGAAAAATTAACTTCTGTATCCGTATCGCATGTTGGTAAAATGTTTAAATTAAAAGAAAAAAATTAATTTCTGAACAAGATAAAAATATATTTATATTAAATCCTTTAATGAAGTATTTCTTGCAGTGGACGGCCATTGAAGTCTGCACAAGGCGATTAACAATTGGAAAAATTAAACTCCAGTATTGAAATTTGTTAAATTGTTTAATTTAAACGAAAAAAATATCGAATTTTAAATTTGTGTAAGTTATAAAAGACGATTGCTATGTTTTAACAGTTTTTTCGCTATGCACAGAGATCCAGTTTACTGACGAGAGGGTGGCGAGGCCGAGCTTTCTGTCTTTGGGGTCCAAATTTAAATTATTTTTTTTCCTATTTAAACATTAAAGTTAAATTTTTCGTACAACCTCCCCACCTCTGTTCAAATCAAAAATTTGATTTTAACAAAGAGGAGTGTGAATTGAACAAATCGATCGTTTTTTGTTGATGAAATTGGTGATAAATTGATTTTTCTTTGGTTTTTAGTTAATTATTTATTGATTTACCTTTGTCCTTTTCAGCATCGTTGAAGAGTTTTCCAGCTGTCCATGTGAACTTGCCGAACTCCTTGCCCGAGTGTTCCGAGTAGACCCATCTCTCTTCCCAAGAAGCTGGAAAGTTCCAGGAAATATTTTTGATTACGTTTTTGAGGGTTTTTTTTAACGTTGTACTCACCGTCTGAGAATTTGTCCTGGAAGTAGAGTTCGGCAAAAGCGACCGAGAAAAGTGTGAGGAGGAGAAGAGCCCTCATCGTCTCGAGCTGGGTTTCGTCTGGTGGTCTGGCGGCGTTTGAAAATCTCCCGAGACGGGGGCCGGCGGACTCGTGGACGGGACAAATGGAACGATCCGATTGGCTAGGCCCCGCGTCCAATCAGGGCTCAACACGATTTTAAACACTTTCCAAAAGCCACGGCTCGACTCCGGCCGCCAATTGGGCCGGATCAGAACGAGACGGATATTACTTCAAAAACCTCGCAAATAAAGGGATACAATTCGATTTTTTTTAACTGTAAAAACACGGTGAAATACAAATGAAAACTTTCTCACTTTAGACCTGACCGGCTGGTTTTTAATGATCTACTTTTTGTTTTTGTTTTATTCCAACTACGATCTAGAAGGCCGTGGCTTATTAGAGATTAGTTTTCCGCCATTTTAGAAAACTAATTGTATTTTTTAAATAATTTTTTATTTTAAACTTCAAACCTATTTTTCACTATGTTACATAATAACAAGTGATAATTCAATATTAATTTAAAAAACGATAATTCTGCATGAACCACTGGTCATGCAGATCCAGGAATGCATCTGGTACTAATACACATCATTTTTTCATATTTCAATTGGATGAAAAGCAACTACATTTACAAACCGCTGGATGAAGGTATGTTTATTTTTTATTTTCTATAGGAAAAATGTTCTATAATTTGCTAAAGCATAAATTATTTATGATGTTCAGGAAATCCTAAGCCCCCACCCCCATAAAACAACAGATTAAGAGTATGTCCTCAGTTCAATGTGTATTTCATAAAAGTCATGTAAAAACATCACTAAAACAAAGCCTTTAGACGTATCACAGTCACAGTGGAAACAATCCTGTAGTAGTACAGATAAGAAGAAACTTAAATTTCTACTCCTATGGCCCAGTTCACACGAGGGCGATCGGTATGGAGGAGACTGATATAATGTACGGACAGGTACTAGAAATGATGAATGGTGGATGAGTGCGGTGTTCAATCCTTTTTAAAAAGATAGGGACAGGACATGTATGTACAACACTGTATGTATACCAGAGGTTGTTGAAAGGATTGACTTTTCTTTTAAAAACCCTTATCATAGAAAAATGAATATTTATTTCCAATATACATTAAAGAAACCGTTAAGGAATGGCTAGACTACAACTAATAATAAAAGAATTTTGCATTAAAAAAGAATTTAAATTAAATAAAAAAATAAAAATAAAGCGAAGGGCATGCAACATACAACAGGGCAAGGGTTTGTAGAAACCCCGATCCCTGAACCCAGACCAAATTAAATTTCCTTGCAAATCGATAAATTTATTTACAAAAAAAAAATGATTTTAGTTTTCTCAGGATTATCAATTTATTATTATATATTATTAACAATTATAAGTAAATTTGTACGGGTGTTTTTTTTTTTAGTTTTTAGTTTTAGAGCGAACGAACAGATGGGTCGTTATTTATTTTTGGTTTTACTCGTTTCTTTGTCGAAGAAAGAATTAGGACGAAGGCCGGACGGCGGCCGGTTTCGGGGTCTGGTCCGGTATGCCGTATACCTCCTTAGCGATGGCGAGGTCAGCGGCTTCTTGGAGACGCCGCCTGCGAAGCTTTTCTGCTGTCGAGTTAGCCGGCGCTGCAGCGAGCTCTGCTTTCAGTCGTTCTCGTCTCGCCTTCGCCTCCTCCTCCTTCAGCCTCTCTTTCTCCTCAAAACTAAAAAACAAAAATAAAATAAATAAAAAATTTAAAAAGTATTTTCAAAAAAATCATTTAGTGATACCGCTTGCATATTTTCTTTAGAGATTTCTTGGAGCCCTGCGAAGGCTGCTGAGGCTGTTTTTTCTCCTTCTCCTTCTCGCCTTCTTCGTCTGAGTCCTGGTCCCAGCTGTCCTTAACGGATTTCTCCTCGTCCTCCCCTTCCCATGCGTTTTTACTTCTCTCCCAACTCTCCATAACAACTGAAAAACTGCAAATATTCGAAAGCGTTTTATAGATCGGAATTGAACACAAAAGATGAAGTTTATAGAATTATATATCATCCTATCCTACATTGCCTATTACAGAATATACTTAATTTTCAAGGCGACTGTTCTTTAATTGGAAAACATATTTGAACAGTCATGTGGTTTCTACCAACAGAGACTTTCAGTTTGTTCATCCCATATGAACGAAATGTTTACATCATGCAATTTTGAACAGATCAGAGATGATGTTGATACAAGATTTGTTTTAAGAAAATAAAGGCCAAAAAGTTTTTTTTTTTTTTTTTTTTTTTAATCACATCAGAAGCCATGTTCGAAAAGTCCAATGTTTCTACCAATACAAATATTCAGATTGTTCTTCCGATCCGAACGAAATGTTTACATCAAGTGATTTCGAACAGTTCATAAGACGATGTTGATATGTTTTGTTTTAAGAGAGAAAAAAAAAAGACCAAAAAGTGGTTTTTTATCACGTCAGAAGCCATATATGAACAGTCCGGTGGTCTCTTCCGACACAGAAGTTCAGATTATTCATTTGATCTGTATGAAATGTTTACATCAAGCAATTTCAAATAGAACTTAAGATCCGAGATATCTTTTATGAAATAAATCCCACTTTAACAGGTTGAAAGACATATCTGAACAGCCTGGTGGTCTCTTCTGATGCAAGCGTTCAGACTATTCTTCGGATTCGAATGAAACGTTTATACCAAGCAATTTTGAATGGATCGGAAGATGCTGTTGATTGTGAGATTTGTTTTAACGAAATATGAGCCAACGGTTTTGCCTTTCCAAACGATTTATTTGGTACAGAGCCTGCATCAAATCGTTTGAATGTATCAGGTTAGAAACTTTTCTTATGGCATTTATACTGTAAAATAAACCGACTGAGTTGTTTTCTCTGTGGCCTTTTGACATCTTGGACGTACAAATCTTTCTAATCTGAACAATATCATAGTCGTTTTGCTTATATGAAGCGATTTTGAAAACTTTTACAGGAGCTTTTAAATCAAGAAAATCAAGAAAAACATTGTGTATCTAGCATATTCGTTTTGTACGATAAAATATTTTCTTTTGTTTTCAACAACAAGGACAAAATCGGGTCTGGCATCATTTTCAGACAGAAAGGCCATTCGTGAATTGAAACGTCCCCGTTTTTACAAGATAAAAGATATAAAGAAAGAAAAAACTTACTATTTGTTTTCTTTATAATAATAATAATAACAATAATAATTTGGTAAAAAATAAACGGCTCTTTCGATTTGTTACCTAAGTGGCCAGTGAAAACATGAGCGGGGTCCGGTCTCGGCCGTCCGTTCCGTCGTCTATCCTTGGCCGGAAATATGGGGTCGAAACTCGGCTTTTCACGTGAATGGGTCGTCGGTCCGTCACCGTGTCCCAGGGGGGCCGAGAAACAACAAAGACGCAGACCTCGCACGGCGACACGGCTCCCAAGCCTCGATAACACGACCGAGGATGGCGAACCTCCCGCCGATGGACGAGGCCACGAGGCGAAAACCGCCAAAATTCGAAAAATTGAACAAACGAAAAAAGTTTTTTTTTCTTTTTGGAAGATCGGATAAACATAATTTTATGTGAACTAATACTGAATCAATGGATACATTGTACTGTACGACAGCTTATGTTTCGGATTCACTGCGTAACGTAATTTTAGATTGTTTTATGTTTAAGAATCACAATTTATGTTACAGTAAAATATTTAACATCTAGAGTAAGTAATCGATAAAAATAGATTCTTACTAATAAATTTATTATCTATAATTTGATAATCGATAGAAAAAAACCGAAACATTTGGAATTGATATTTTCCATGTAGTTTAGAAAACGATACTTTGGTTACGGTTATACAATATTGTACTCCAAAAATATTTTATAGATATTTTCTGTCGATACATAAAAATCGATCTTTTTCTATGGATAGTTTGCGATATGATAGGAATGCGTAATCCAAAATTGTAAACGACCAAATATCGATTTTTTATATCAACAGAAAATATCGATTAAATATTTTTGGAGTTCGATTCAAATATCGAAATACTTGTCACTGTTTGATTATCAGTACATCGGTAACCGACCTAATTTTGAAATCTAGCAATCAAGAACATATCGATACGTTAAAATTTGATACAAAAAGGATACTTTAGTATCATTATTATTGTGATCATCCATCAATGATTAACGCAACGATATTCCATATAGTACTAAAGCATTGATATTCCATCGATGATTGTGGCATTGATTGCTAAAATATCGATATTCCATCTAATACTAATGAATCGATAATTCATCGATAATTAAGACGTAAATATTCCGTCGATTAATACGGGATCAATTTTCCATCGATGACTAAAATATTGATTTCCTATCGATTACTAAAGTATCGACATTCAGTGAATCACTATTGTATCGATATTCAGTGGTCTAAAGTATCGATATTGAGTATATTACTAATGTAAGGACATTCATTCTATTACTATTATGTATATCGATATTCAGTAAATTACTAATGTATCGATATCATACCGATTATTAAATTACTAATATTCAGTCGATTACCATATTATCTTTCTTCTATCGGTTGCTAAAGTATCGGTTTTCTAATAATTCCTAAGCTATCGATTTTCTATCGATTGTTAAAGTATCTATTTTCCATCAACGGTTAATTTATCTATTTTATATCGATAGGTTGTGTATATTTCTACCGATTGTTCAAGCATATATTTTCTATCGATTGCGAATGTATTGATTTTATATCGACTGCTAAAGTATCTATTGTATATCAATTGTTAAAATATCGATTTTAAATCGATAACTAAAATATCGATCGTTTAATTATTGGTTTGCTAAAGTACCGATTTTTATCGATTACTATTGTGCCGATAGGTTACAAAATTATGGATAGATTTACTATGTGTTACTAAAGTATGGATATTCTATCGACTAATAAATCCGCAAAAGGTATTGATTTGTAAACTATCCGTAGACAAAATATCGAATCAAAAAGTATCTATATTTTCAGATTTTTTTGGCAAAATTACTGATATAAATTTAACGAAACGGCCATTATCAATCATCAAAGTATCGATATTTTGAACAAATATTGACTATCGATTACCAACGTGCCAATTCTATCAATTACAAAAACATCGATGCTCTGCAAAGTATTTGCCTCTATTTTCTCAGTAAGTTAGGTATCGATTTTCTGTCGATTAACAGAGTATTGTTATTTTAGGATTTTGTTAAACTATCCGTACCGAATACTCGAGATCGATATACAAAGCCTTGGATTAATTAGCAAAATACATTAAGAGAAGTATTTAGGTAAGACAAATCTTATATTTGTATAGACAAAAGATCAATTATTTATTTAATCGATATAAAACTTTGTCAAGCGGAATTGGTGTCATTCACATGACAATTGTTTATTTTTTAAAGTTGACAAGATTCAAGAGACGAATTGGCAGACGGCGAAAGCAGGCGTGAAGCACGGTCTCAGCGCCGTCTTTCCTTTCTCGAGTACAGCGCATCCCTGCCCTTCGACCGAGAACGCGTCCACGTCCGCGTTGCCGGAGAGGAAGAATGGCTCGTCCTTTTGCACAACTGAATTTGCAAAAATAAATTTAACAATTTAGAAAAAAAGAAAGGTTTTCTCACGTTTTTTTATTTCTTCGGATGTTTTAGTGACCTCGTCCGGACCGAGACGTCCCAGCTGCATACCCATCGATCTGCAATAAGCATACTGGGCGTACCAGTCGCCCTGGAAGCCGAAATAGGTTTAAAAAAAAGTTAAAAAAAGCACTGGGCTTAGAGCGTACCCTCCCCCAGACATTCAAGTGGATAACCCCATTGCAACCTTCTTTCTCACCGAGTCCCACTTGGAACAGCCAAGGAGGTAACATCATGGCTAGTACCAGCATCATCTCATAACTAATTAAAAAAAAAAAAAAAAAAAAAATTACGCAGTTTAACACCATAACGTTACGCTTGATTTATTAAATTCAACCGTCATAATTCATAAGATTTTTTCATTTTTAATTATATTATAATACGTCAAAAAAATAAATACAGCATTGGGAAACAATGCTTAGCGAGTTCAATGTTATGATTTTTATAAAATACAAGTACTATATTATTAATAAATATTAATTTAAAAAAGTTTTTATTGTTATAAATATAATTTTTTTTAAGTATTAGGGCTTTAATTTTGGCTTTTTTATGCTGTTTCGGTGGCCATTTTGTATTTGGCATCGGCGCCAGCGTCGGTCTCATCAACATCCATCTATTGGATGAGAAAGAAAATTCATTAAACACTGTATAAAAAGGGAAAAAGGCAATTATTTTTTCTTTACCCTGGCGCGCCTTTTCTGGTACGACATTGGTATCTCGGCATGGTATGCCTCGGCGACCTTGGTGCCAAGTATGTCCGGCAGCATGAACGGCTTAAGCCAGGTCACCAGGGGCGATTTACCCGGCGTGTAGAGCGAGTCCTTGTGGTAGAATATGACTCCATCGACTTTTGGCTCGTTACTCGAGAAAAACGGGTGTGTCTCCATGTTCTATGGAAGAATGAAAAATTCTAGTTCGTATTTGATATGTATATTTAAAAAAAAAAAATCACCTTTTGCAAATCAGATACGTAGTTGTGATCGAGTAGGATGAACCTGTGCCTGTTTGTCTTCCCAGGGATGCTGAGTTCTGGTATTTCAGCATACTTGTTTTTCAGCCAGAAGAACCTCAGTTCTGCCTTCATACAGAGTTTTTAAAAAATAAAAAACTTGTAATTTTTTATTTTATTTTTTAAAGTACCTCACAGTTGGTCAACGGTACGGCCCAAGTCAATATGTCAAGTATGAAATAAGTCTTTGAAAAATGGTCCCATATGCAGTCCAGGACCGTGTAGCCATTGTGCTCCTTCCTGCCGCCTGGAAGGTGAGACGGGAACTTCATCAAAAGCTCGCCATGTCGTGAATAAGCCCTGGTCACACCCTGCAAGGGAAAAAAAGCAAAAACAAAAATTGCAAAAAAATTGCCGGGAGGTTCTCACCCTTTCGGCGATGACGAGTGTCCTCTTACCCTGAGGGCAAATCACATAGTACCACTCTTCTTTCATGTTTTCTGGTACGTCGACCAGCCATACGGACAGCATAAGCCAGTTGGCATAGACACTTTTTTCATCATGAGGCTACAATAAAAATACATTAAAAAAATCCAAGATTAAAAAAAAAAAATTACCTTGATCTGAACACTTTCGTCTTCAGGTTCCTCTGGGATGCCCCTGTTGCGGTTGAAGCACTCAAGCCTTTTGCTATCCAGAAAAATATTTAAAAAGAAGAAAACTGAATTAATTTGAAAATAAAATAAAAATACTTCTTTTGATCGAGTAAGAACTGTTTTCTTCTTTCTTCCTGGCTGACACGGGATTTTTTCTGTTTGTATTGGTCATAACGCGGGTGTACGAGGGAGACATCATCGTACTCCAGAGATACGCTAGCGACTGTAAGCCCCTCGACCAGTTCCTCCATGTCAGACTTTTAAATCTGCAATCAAATGTACAAAACAAAAAAAATAAAATGGATAATTGTTGAATTATGATGATGGGATTTGAGCCATGGCACTTAAGATATGAAGTATGAGGATGGGCTCTGTTTTGTGTCATTCATTACAGAGAAAGTCTCTTCTGCGAGGATGGCCCTCAATACTCTTTGGTTGGGTTTCGTTCCACAGAACACGATCCCTCTTTCCCAAACTTTTTTAACTGGGTGGCTAGATCTATTGCCTGCTATGTTTCACAAATTTGGGGATATAACAGATTTGAAAGTGTAGAAAGATTATTAAGATTTTTCATAAAGAAGTTGTTTACTTAACCAACGATCAACCCCAATTTTATGTTATTATTAGAAACTAATATAGACCTTGGAGATTTTCACATTAAAACTGCATTTCATGTACTACTTCAAAGTTCTAAAGCTACCATTATAATTATAAACAGCAGAACTTCATGGTTCAAAACCTGGATCACTTTTGGAGCGAATTCAACCCAGACTTTTTATACTTGCATCTGTGGAAGGGGCAACTCTCCACGTTATTAATTAAAATAGGCGAGAATCATAGGGAAGAGGCTGCGACTAGTGTCATTAGGGTTGTTTTCTGAGAATAATGAATCGCCCAGTAGATGCTCTGTTAGAGAGTCAAGATTGCTGTTCAAATTGAGAGGGGAACTTTCATATCTTAACTACACCACATGGATGGGCCAAGAAATTACCCGGTACTTTTTGTGAAACTTAAATGCATGAGAGGATATATTCCATTATTTAGCAATATGTTGTTTGTGCAGAGTCTGTATGCGTTACCTCGGTACTTCCAAGCCTAGTACCCAGCTCATTTCTCTTCTCGACTCCTATTGCCGAACATTGATTAAATTTGCACGCATTGCGTGTTATTATAGATACTTTCTAGTAAAGCAATTCCATTTTTAAATATTCTCACTCATTCTTAACAACAGTTTGTATTTTATTTGTAGCCTTTTGTCTAGGGTTTTTTTTTCTCTGTCTTTTACATGTTTATTTACATATTATTTGAATTTTTACCTAGTTAAGTATTACATTCTATATTTTTGTAACGTTCTCTCTCTCCTCACTTGCTTTCTATATCATTTATATTAAAAAATCCTCAAATGCTGTAGAGGGGTGAGTGAGAGAGGAGAAGAATATATTATATTGTCAGGTCAACCTCTGGCAACTGAATGGAATAATTCCAACCTTTGTTTTAACATTTAGGAATTAAAGTATTATTATTAATTAACGGCCACCAAATACCAATTACCAAATTTTATATTTAAAAAAACTTAAAAAAAGTACTTACGTGTCTTGTTTTACATCTTGTCAAGTCGGGGACTTAACCGCATTCCTGCAGTACTTAAACCCAGACGGGCTTTATAAGTTGAAAAAAGAAGTATCACAAATCATCCCACTTTGTACTTATTTCTGTTGAATAACATTTGCAACCTCTCAGATTGTTGTTTAACCTGAATCGATTAATGTTGATATAATCGAAAAACATTATTTTTCCCGTTTTATGTAAATTAAAGGAACTAATTAGTATTTACAAAAATATTTTTTTAATGGTGTAATTGGCTGGGTGATCAATTTTGTTTAATTTTTCCTTTGGATTTTTTGCGTACGTAACCTGACTCGTTATCATATGTCGGGTAGCCTGCGCGTTACCTTTCATGAGAAGGTTTTTATCTGTAACTCAAAAGTATCGTCTTCGAGTGTGAAAGTGTGACACGGCCGGTTTTAATCGGCGATCTTTCAGGTCTTAGGATGGTGGCAGACGTGTATTTCTAGCCGGCGGAATGCTCCGAGGGTCTTTCGGGTGAGTTTCGAACATCGAGACGTGGACCGGGATTTGAAAAAAAAATGACTGTGATGGGTGGTTTTTTCCCAGGTTCCTGCCGCCGGTGCGACCCGGCACCGGGACCAGGGCTCTGCTGATAAGGGGCAAAGACTCCAGGATTATCGGGCAAGTCTTTTTTTTCTTTCATCAATATATCTTTAATAAGACCCCACAAAAAAAAAACCCGACAAATTTATCACACAAAATTACGACCCCCTGGTAATCGTACAAGGATCAACGATTATTCAACCTAAGGTTCAGAATTCTTATAACCTTCCAGAAAAAACAGGCGATTGATGATTGATTGATGGCTTCATTCACCATGTCGCACGCCATGTTTTACGGCACATTAACTTATCAATATATACATTGAAAAAACAAAACAAAAAACATTACCGATGACGTATATTCGAAGCATAATGACGTCATGGATCATAATGCTGAAATGTGCAAGACTGGGATGATGGGATATAAAATTCAAACTCCTTTCATTACTGTTTACATTGTGCTATTTGGTACGTTTGTTATTCATGTATTTAATTGCCTGATTTAAAAAAGGACAATATGACTGTGTTGATGATGGCATTAAGTTCAAACCTGTTCCATCGCATATCTTCAAATTGTATGATAGATTCGTTTTGATTTTACCTTTGTTTATATTGTGCTATATGGATGGTACGTTTGTTACTAAAACTATTAAAAAAGGACATGATGATGGAAGACAGTTTAAACACCTTCCATCATCAATGTTTAAAACTTAATCGTCATTTGTGTTTTTGATACTGCTTGTTACTCTTAAAAGTCTTAGATAAAAAAATGAACACGATTGCTATTGGGAAAAAAAGGCTTAGATTTAAAAAAATGATTCAATGATGATGCTAGAACAAATTTCCAACAACTTCAATCATCACTATTTAACACTTCATCATCATTTATAACGTGCTTTTCTGTATATTTGTTATTTAAAAAAAAGTAAAAAAATATATAAAAATTAAGATGAGGATGATGATGAGAAAAGTCCAAACAACTTCCATCGTCAATGTTTAAAACTCCATCATCATTTGGATTGTGTTATTCAGTATTTTTGTTATTAAAAAAAGGACTCAATGATGAAGGAAGGAAAGTTGAATCAGGTCCCATCATCAGTGTTTAAAACTAACTTCATCATTGTTTGCATTGTTTTATTCGATACATTTGCAATTTTAAAAAATTTTAGATGAAAATAAAATAATGATGATGATGAAAGAAAGTTGAAACACCTTCTATCATCAATTTTTTAAAACTAGCTGCATTGTTGTTTATGTTGTGTTATTTGTTACATTTGTTTTTCAATGGTTTTAGGTTAAAAAATAAAATAAAAAATAATTGTGAACATCATCACTGTTTACACTTTGATGATGTGAGTCTAATTGTATGATAATTTTGATAATGTTGAAATTTTTGGGTTCTTTTTTGAACAGGAGAGTTGGTAGAAAGGAGTATCACCATTGGTCAACAGGGCGTGAGAGGCTGCTGCTCCGAGACATCCATGGCCTCCAAGGTCGGCGCGGCTTCGCCATGTTCGTGGCACGAGCAATCAAGGGCGTGCTCAAACTGCGCTACCTTGTCCTCGGAGGTGCGGTCGGAGGAGGCGTCAGCCTCCATAATGTAAGCCCCATCATATAACTATACTTTTCGGTCCTATTGATTTTTATTTTTAATCGAAGAGGTACAAGGAGTGGGTAGATTCACTTCCGGACATGTCGTGGGCGGCAAAGTACATGCCTTCGAAGGAGAGCATGGACATGGTCCACAACAGCATGACGAGCCTATCGGAAAAGGTGAAAAATGTTGAATTGGGTATGTACTCTTTTTTTTTTATTCTTTTATTATATGAAATATGTTTTTATGTAAAAATAGGTTAATGTATGAGATCCTTTTTTCCCCTCTTCGTTTTTTATATTTTCTATTTTGGTTTTTTTGGTCTGTTTTAAATCAAAGATCCAAGACTGGTTAAAGTAGGGGAGGAAAATTGGAGTAGAATACAGGATTGGTTAAACCGTAAATTAGAGGAGGCATACGCCGCAGCGGATGAGCGAGAACGGGCAAGTAAGGGGTTTTTACTCTATAAAATAAAAAAATTAAAAATACAATATTTGCTTTTGCTCAAACCTGCATGCTGCTTTACTATTACGATTCAACGCCAAGCTTTTGTCCGTATATTTTCAGTTTTCAGAAGGTTTGAATTATTTGAAAACGAGCTTGGCGTTCAAATCGCAACAAAATCCTTCTCCATGCCCTCTTTTAGCATGCACTCTTCTTTTCCACTTTTTTTTGTTCACATTTTAAAAACAGACCGTTCCACCACTTTTTTTTTGGTTTTTTTTCTCTTCTGTTCTCTGTTCAGGAGCGAGGTTAAAAAGTGAAAGCGCCATTAAGGAAACGGTTCACAAAATTTATGAAGGTATGAAATTAAAATTAAGGCTTGTAACTGCATATACAGCGTACACAATTATGCTTTCTGTGCATGTTTTTTTTAAAATTATTAATTATTTTATTGTTTTACCTAGATCTCATTGATTCCAAAGTCCTGCCATTCCTGAATCTGGGATCAGAACATTTTTTAATTTTAGCCATTTAAAAAAAATAATAGTAATAATAAAACAAAAACACAAACAAAACATAAGAGTTATTATTTTTAAGTATATATTTAATATAAATATAAATACAGTTCTCTCTCTCTCATTCACTTGTTTTCTGTTTCTTTCTCACTCACTCATTCATTCCCCTCCCCACACACACACACACACACACACGTGCACTCGCGCGTGCTCAACCAATCACTTTTTTTTACCATACTTTTTCTCTCTCAATCTATCACTCACTTTCTTTTTCACTCACTCACTCACTCACTCACTCACTCTCTCTCTCTCTCTCTCTCTCTCTCTCTCTCTCTCTCTCTCTCAGACACACAAACACACTCAATCAATCAATCAATCAATTTTTCTTTTTCTCTCATTCAACCACTCAATCTCCCTTTCCCCCTCTACCCTCAATTAATGTATTTTGTTGAGTGTATTGAAATAATGTTCATGTTCAGTAAACCGAAGTTTGGATTAGGGAGAGAGAGAGAGAGAGAGAGAGAGAGAGAGAGAGAGAGAGAGAGAGAGAACTGAGAAAGATAGATAGGTATAGAGAGAGTGAGAGAGAGGAGAGAGAGAAGAGAAAAACAGAGTGAGAGACAGAGAGAGAGATAAAAAGAGAGAGTTAGAGGGCACTGTGTATATCATATTTTTATAATAATTCATGTTCTGATCCTTGGTTCAGTTTAGAATTTTTTTTTTAAATATTTTCATTGGATAGTTTTATTATATGTATGAAATTTTCCAATTACATTTAATCTAAATATATTATTTAAGAAAAAATGTGAAAATATAATAAAACTATCTGAAAAAATGGAAAAGAAGAATGAAATATTAGATTTTTTCTTTCTTTTTGAATAGTTATAGAAACAAATTTTAACGATTCATTGATCCGATTTTGTTTGTTTTTGCAGAGGCTGACAAGAAGGTGAAGGTGAACGCTATTACATTCAGCGCATCGTCTGATAAGCGAGAAGGTGATTATCTCAACTCCAGACGAATTAGTCTTGACGTCATTTTTTAATTAAATTTTAACGAAAAACACTTTTGTTTTAATTTATTTATTAACTCTCTATTATATTGAAAACGCGACAGAGCCGAGAGAGCCGGTTAAAGAAAAAATAAGAAGGTTCCTATCGCGAGATTATCATAGAAAAAACCCATATGAAATTGTCCAACAAGGTATTCCTCCGAACAGTGATAATTAAATTCTAAAAAATATATATAATAATAATAATTGAAAATGTTTTGTATATTTTTTTTTAATGATTTTTTTTTTTTTAATTTAGACAGCCCGGAGAAAAGGGTCGAGAGGCTAAAGCAGGAGTTGATTGAGGTACAGTTGAAGTACCAGAAGGAAATAGAAAAACTCGAAAAGGACAACAAGGAGCTTAAGAAGCAGATACTGCTCAATAAGTCATCCAAGGTGTCCAGGAAACAGATCAAGGTTTTTTTTTTTAAATTGCAATTTTTACAACTGTTTAATTTTTGTGTCTTGTGGTGTAGAAATCGCTCATTGACATGTACTCCGAGGTACTCGACGAGCTTTCGGATTACGACGCCAACTACTCAGCTCAGGACCACCTGCCGCGTGTCGTTGTAGTCGGCGATCAGAGCTCGGGCAAGACGTCTGTCCTCGAGATGATTGCCAAAGCCCGTATCTTTCCCAGGTTGGTATCAACTTTTTTTTTCTTTCTTTTTCTTCTAATGTTTTTGCCTTTAAGGGGCGCTGGAGAGATGATGACACGTGCGCCAGTCAAGGTGACGCTTAGCGAAGGGCCTTACCACATTGCTCAGTTCAAGGATAGCGACAGGGAGTTTGACCTGACGAAGGAAGATGACCTGGCCAAGCTGAGGACCGAGGTGAATTAAAATAAAATACCATAAAAATTTTAAAAAATTGAACTTTTTTACATTTTTTTTTCCTTCAAAGGTTGAACTCAGGATGAAAAGAAGCCTTTCAAAAGGTAAATCCGTGAGCCAAGAAGTGATCGCAATGACAGTCAAAGGGCCTGGCATACAAAGGATGGTTCTCGTCGATCTCCCTGGCATTATATCCGTAATTTATTTTTTTTAATTAATCAATTTTTTTGTGTGTAAATTATTGAATTTCAGACTGTGACAAAAGATATGGCAAAAGATACGAGGGAGTCTATAAGGGAAATGATCAAGAACCACATGTCGAACCCAAACTCGATCGTACTCTGTATACAGGACGGTAGCGTTGACGCTGAACGGTCCAACATCACAGACCTTGTCGCTCAGATCGACCCAGCTGGGAAGAGAACGATATTCGTACTCACGAAGGTTGACATGGCCGAGGAGAACCTCGCGAATCCCCTTCGAGTAAGCATTTACGCCCGGGAGTGGAGTTAATTGTCGATTAATTACTTCCCTGTTTCGGCAGATCCAGAAAATACTCTCGGGCAGGCTCTTCCCGATGAAAGCGCTTGGTTACTTTGCTGTCGTGACGGGCCGAGGACGGCAGGATGACTCCATCGCCCAGATACAGGAGTACGAGGAACAGTTTTTCCGCAATTCAAAACTTTTCAGGTTTGCCCCCTCTTTTGCAAAATAATTACTAATAACAAATACATAATTGATTATTGGATAATAAGCTGTATGACTTTACTTAATTTTTTTTTGAGGCCTCAATGAATCTCCAATGTAAAAAAGAGATACAGATGGCACTGGTAAACCAGTGGAAGATTATGTATACACAACTCCCTCATCCATAGAAAAAGAAAGATTAAAAAAACCGCTAATTTAAGTAGTTGTTGTACATATTTGAAATTCGAACGTTTTGGGTAAATAACGATATAAATTGTTTTTCACCCTTGCTTAAAATTGAATATGGCTCAGGCAAAAAAAAAAATTTCATTGAAAAGTAGTAACGTTATTGATATAATATAACATTCCTAAGAAAGTAAGGTTATAAAAGGATTGGAGAAGGGCAACGGGGAAGAAGACAACATACTTGTCTTACGGCTTAAAACGACTTGTCAGTCTTGTCGGTTTTCTTTGCTTGCTGTCCGTTTGTTTTGCCATCACGATATAAGTCGAATTTTTTTCTAGGTCGAGCTCACTTTCGTCACACCAGCTCACGACAAGGAATCTCAGTTTCGCCGTATCGGAATGCTTCTGGAAGATGGTTCGGGAGACAGTCGAACAGCAAGCGGATCTGTTCAAGGCCGAGCGGTTCAACCTGGAGACCGAGTGGAAAAATACTTTCCCAAGGTCAGTTATGGAAAACTGTTTTAACTTATGTTAATTTTTTAACCCGTATTTTTCCAGCTTGAGAGAGTTAGACAGGGACGAGTTGTTTGACAAGGCGAGGGGCGACATACTCGACGAGGTCGTCAACCTGAGTCAGGTCTCGGCGAAGGAATGGGACATACTGCTCGCCGAGAAAATGTGGGACAAGGTCGCGGCATATGTTGTTGACAACATCTACCTGCCAGCCGCCCAGGCGCAGAATCCAAGTAATCCATTGTATTGCACAACGTTTGATTTTTATTTTTTTAAATATTTTTTTTCTTAGAGGCGTTCAATACGGTTGTGGATATTCGCTTAAAGGAATGGGCAGAGCGTAAATTGGCTGAGCTTTCGATTGAAGCTGGCCAGGACGCTCTTAGGCACGAGTTTGTCCAGCTGATGGAATCGTCTATGAAGAGCAAATCATCTGATCATCTGTTTGACGCACTTAAACGCGCTGCGCTCGAAGAAGCACTCAAACGCCACAAATGGGAAGACAAGGTACCAAAAAAAAAATTTGTTTTTAATTTTTTTTAAAACTCGGTTTTCGATCTATAGGGTAATGAGATGTTGAGGATGATCCAGTTGAACACGTTAGAAGACCGTTGTGTCAATGACAAGCAACAATGGGACTCTGCGATCCTCCTCCTCGAGAAGTGTCTCAAAGATAAGCTCGCCGAGAATGAATCGGTGCAGAAAGAGACATTCGGACCCGGTACCACTGAAAGGTGGCTCCACTGGAAGAGCACCACAGAAGCCCAGAGGAAGCGCAGCTCAGCCAAGAACGAAATTGAAAAGATCCTCTACTCGGATCCCGTACGTATTCAGCATCAAAGAAAATTGTGATCTACGCATATATATATATATTTTTTTTTTATGTAAGGTCTTGGTTGAGATGAAAACATCAGTGTCACGAAAAGAATTCAAATCCACAACCTTTTACTCAATACACTGCTGCACTAACCAGTTGAGCACTAACCCCCATCCCAACCTACAACCTTTTGAATTTTCCCTCTTTTTGCCATTTTTCAAATGTTGTGTAATCAGGATTCGATACTCAGCGACTTATGAAGGGCCACAGGGAAAGCCGAAGGTCGTGGGTTCGAATCGCGTTCGTGACTAACTTTTTCATCTCAACCAAGACCTTACATAAAAAATAATTAAAATGAGTAATTTGGTCAATTAGACCACTAAATATAAATGGATTATTTATTTATTATTATTTTTTTTTTATAGGATCATGGGCCAGATATGACTGAGGACGAATTGACGACCATAAAGAAGAACCTAGAACGCCTCGGTGTTAGGGATCCAACGAAGGAGATGATACTGGAAGCGTGGCCATCCATATACCTGCGCCACTTCCTCCATAAGATGATGAGGAAGGTGTACAGCTGCCGCAAGGGATTCTACCTTTACCATCATAACAAGGAGGAGCTCGAATGTCAGGACGTCGTACTGTTCTGGAGGATGGAGCAGATGCTCAAAGTGACCGCGAACGCTCTGCGACAGCAGGTCATGAACCGCGAAGGTATTTATTTAAAAAAAAAAAATCATATATATTTCATTTTATAAATCAAATTATTTCAGCGCGCCGTTTGGACAAGATAATAAAAGAAGTTCTTGAGGACTTCAGTGAGGACAGGGATTTGAAAGTGAAGCTATTGACCGGTCGGAGGGTCACTCTTGCCGAGGAGCTCAGTGAGTGTACTACATGGTTTCATTTCTTCTGTACAAGTTTAATTTTTTTTTTTTAAATTTTATTTTAGAACGAGTACGCCAGATCCAAGAGAAGCTTGAAGAATTCATTCAAGCACTGAACAAAGAAAAGTAGTGATTTTTTATGTTGTTATTTTTTCCCCCTTCACTTTTTATTATTTTTATGTACTTATAATTTTTTGATTTATCGTTTTAGATGTAAAATGTTTTCCCCCTTTCCGAACTCCCCTGATTTATTTTGTAAATATTGTACCTTTATTAAGTGAAAAACAAAAAAAATTAAGGTAATATTTTATATTTGTTATTTTTAGTTCTTAAATGGGGTGTCTTGATGCACTTTGCCATTAAAATATAAATTAACAAATAAAATAAAACCAGCAAAATCAAATTCAATTGAATAAAATCACAATTTGATCATAACTAATTAATTATAATGTAGTGTATAATTGTTTGCAAAAAAGGAAATAAATTGAAATTCAAACGCTTTAAATATTTTGTTTGTAAATGGCCCTACCTTTAAAGAAGAAAAAAAAAACACTGTTCTACCGTTTAATTAGCACTCCGAAGCATCAAATATTCAGGAAAACAATATTTTTAAATATTCTAAAATTATTTAAATAAATTGTTATAAATAAACAATGTGTGATGATTAGTAAAAAATATCGATATTTGATTTTTTTTTAAACATCAATTCGTGTGTCATTAAGTACAGAAAAAAAAGCCCAGCAGCTTATCGTTCAATCGATAAAAGAAAATTCGATACATTATTATAAAAAATCAATATAACTAATCGATGTCATATCGATATTGATGGTATTAAAAATAATTTACATGTGACTTTTTTATTTCAAAAATATAGATTCGTGATTCACTGGGCATGGAAACAGCAATATTGAAAACCCAACCATTTAAACATCGATATTGTAAAAAAAGCCTTTGTTTTACCGTTTAATTAGCACTCGTAAGTATCAAATATTCAGGAAAAACAATATTTTTAAATATCGATAAAAATCGATACGTTAAATTACAAAAACAATTTTTGAAATATCGATAAGGTTATTGTTATTAATTGTAATAATAAAATTATTAATTATCGATATATTCAATTAGTTATTTTATGTGTGGAAAATTTAACAATATATTTTCTAATCATTTATATTTCGTGTATTTTGTCAGCTTTGATAATATTTATGCATTAAGTTCTGAAATATTTTTTTAAAATTATTATAAAAACTAACGTACACTGTGAAAGTCGCCGGGAGGCGCTCTCATCGTTGTCGGTTGGCCAGCCTGGCCCTTCACCCTCTTATGACATGGTTGAAAAAGAAATCACTGACCCAGTCTCTTTGTTCCTATGTAGCCTCATTGGGGACGGGACGTCGGCTTTTTATTTAAGTTTTTTTTTAATACCTATTATATATTAAATTATTAACCGGTTTTGGATGTAAAAAAAAATCCAATTTGGAGACAAAGAGAAAAAATCAGGGGGGAAAATCTAGGAGGAAAGGCTTTTTACCCTTGATTCTGTTTTTTTTCTCTCTTTTTTATTTGTAGCCTCCCTGACACAAAATTTTCCGTTTCGATCTAAACAAAAACAACACAAAACACGCGAGTTTTGTTCTTTACAGTTTTTTTGTTTGTTTTGTGATCTAAAGAAAAAAAAAAGAAAGTCCGCTGTTTGGTGGGGAAAGAGAAAGAGGAACACGGCGGCCGCCTCGTCCGACGGCTGTTTTCGCCGATTCGGTAAGTTATCTATTTTCACAGATTTTTTTTAATCTATCGAAAATAACATTACAACGTGGTCCGCGACGTTTCGCTTTTTCCCGGCCAGTGGGAACGTTTTGAAAACCCGTGCTAGTCTCCCACCTTGTAGGAAAAGACCGACATCTCGATGATGCCGGGGTTGCTTTGAATTGCACAATCCCCGTGGATAAAGACAAAATTTCTTTTCACTACCTATCTGTATCGATATGACAGAAAAAAAAGAAGAAAAGTTCATTCATTATTTCTAAGGCAAACCAAATTTTTATTACCAGAGACAACTCACTTTTGAATATTAGCACTTCAAGGTCATCCGTGTACATTCTGTCACCTCACGATATTGTACAAGTAAGAATTTTTCATTCTTGAATGATCTAAGGTAGAAATGATCCGCTGGAAATCTGATCGGCCAGGGCAGACATCGATTATTTTGTCCTTTTGCCGTATAATGTTGCACCATGTATTGCATGCCTTTAAACATATTCATGTTTATTCCTGTGCAACTGTCTCATAATGTGAATGTAGATTCGCTTACTTTTTTCCTGTCAGTCTGGTCTGAACGATTAGCATGATGGATGATTTTTTTTGACGCTGTGTCCATTCTGTTGTACAAGGTATCGTTCCCTCGTGTTCCTTCCTGCGCGACCGGGTCCGAATAAGTGGATTCGCTTTGCCTCCTGTCATCCAAGAAAATTGAATCATACTGACATACAAGTGAATTTACTTTACATGTTCATTCCTGTCCGCACAGGAAGGTATAGAATCCACTTATCTTTCTTGCCTTTTCAAGGGCGTCAACTTGTAGTTTACATCTTGTGCTGGTTAGGAAGGTTAAATGTGCAGATCAATCCTCCTTTCTACGCCATTCTGAAAATCAGCATAATTCCATATTATCTATTTTTTTAATGCTTCGAAAACATTGGCCTTCCCAAACCAAATCATTTTTATTCCTGACCAATTGGACCTGAAGGTAAAGTAAATGCGCTTACCTTTCATCCTGTAAGTCTAGAAGTCCAATCAGTCCAGTCATACGTAATACAAAAGGTAATGGTTACTTACTTACTTAAAAAAAAAAAAAAAAATAGAACATCAGCTTGTATTCGTAAAAGCCATTCGCCCCTGACCACCAGGGTCCGAAAGAGGACATGGAGTATGCAATATCTTTTTTCCCTCATGGACTGAGATTCAAGTGGCAGCAACTTTTTTCCAAGCAGTTCTTGGTCATTAATGCATACCAGGTGAAATATCCTTCCCTACTGTCCGCTCCTATGCAAGCTACATCGTACAACTGAATGCTGGCAATTTTTCCAAGCAGTCCTTGTTTATTCCTGCATACCCAGGTGAACTATCCTTCCTTAATGTCAGGTCCCTTGCTGGCTGACACCATATGGTTTCAAGAGCATTCACGATGTGATCGTAGAACATTTTCCTCGTAGTATGAAAGGCAGCCTTTTGTTTTTTATTGAAAAATATTTTTTTAATGTTTTATTTAATATAATAAATTTGAAATAGTAAAGTATTTTAACTTTTTTTTTTCCAGGATACTCAATATAAGCATTCTGCAAGAATAGAAAACCATAAAAGTTTAAAATATTACAAAATAATAATAATAATTTTGTTTTGAAATTGGGAAAAGAAGGGAAAAAAAAAAACAACAAATAGCGAATCTATTCTGAATGCGATGGACAACTGGGGATGGAATGGCGCCTACTCCGTGAGGCAGATGATGGACCCCAGCGTATCAGGGCAAGACAGCTATTACAACAGTGGTACGCATTATTTCCAACAGTCTCGCCAGTATGAGACGTTCGGGTCCAACGTCATGCCTCCACCTGGTAAACTTGTTGTTTTTAAAAAAACTTTTTCCCCTATAAAATCATCATAATTAAACGCTCCGATTTAAGGTTTCGCCGGCCAGGGAAGCATCAACCAGAGCAACGAGGGGTTTTACGACTGTCACAATGATTACAACCAGTATGGTCAATACCAGGGGAACTATTTGCCGACTATGGTTTATTCGAGCAGCAGCGTGCCGAACAGTAATAGCCGTAAGTTTAAATATTTATTTTATTTTTATTGATTTTTAATTGTTTGACAATTTTCAGAATGGTATGATGGCAACTTCATGAACAATTATAGTAGCGATGGAAGGGGTTTCACTAGGGCACAGACATCTGGCACAGAAACCAGGGAGATCGGCGCGCCGTGGATGGACTTCATGCCTTCAACATCGAACCTGATCAACAAGCCGGCAAGCGACGCCGAACGGAACACGAGGCACAAAGGTCGCAATGACAGGATCAAATTTAACCCAAAACAGTTTCAAAAGAATCAAAAACTACTGCAACAGTGAGTTTTTGAATTTTATTTTTTTATTTTTTTTTATTAAAATTAATTTTACTCAATTCGGCACAGGCAAAAGGTGAACAATGTCGGCCTGAATCAAAACTCAAAGCCGAGAGACAATTGGGAGGCGAAACCTTACAATCGTAAGAAGCAAAACACAGAAGCGGAATATTTCTCACATGGTATAAATTAATAATTTAACTAATTTTAATAGCAATTAATTATATTTGAAAGAGAAAAAAAATTAAACAGATGACGCCAAAGTTATTTTGGACAATATAGAAGAATCGTCACAGTTGGAGAACAAAGGACGTCAGAATCAAAAGTGAGCTGATAAAATTAACTCAAATTCAATTTTTGTTACGATTTCAAAATTATTTTTATAGGAAAACAAACTGGAGGAACAACGGTAAAAAACAGTGGCGGAACAAGCGTGCCGACAACGCCGTATGCCAGAGGGAGAGGCTGATTGAGCAGCTTGTGAGCGGGACGCTCGAGTGCCTCGTCTGCTGCGAGCGCGTCAGGCACCAGGATTCTGTCTGGTCGTGCTCGAACTGTTACCACATATTCCACCTCTACTGCACTGTAAAATGGGCTTCCAGCTCGAAAGATGGTAATCTAAATCTAAGTTTTATATTTTTAAAAATATAGCTTGTTTAAAAACATTTGAATTTAGATAACGGTTGGCGGTGCCCAGCGTGTCAAAATATAACAAAGTCTATACCGTCTGAGTATACGTGTATGTGCGGAAAAGTGCAAAGCCCTGAATTTGTAAGTATTGATGCGGTATTGAAAATGTGGTTTTAATCTTGATTACAATGTACATTTTTAAGATACGCGGTGAGACGCCACACTGCTGCGGGCAGATATGTGGCAGGAAGAAGGACTGTCCGCACGGTTGTACGATACTGTGCCACCCAGGCCCATGCCCGCAGTGCTGCGCCAACATCAAACGTTCCTGCGGTTGCGGCCGAACCAACAGAACCGTCCTGTGTTCTTCGACCGTTACGATCGAGTGCGAATCCGTATGTGAGAAGACACTTAACTGCGGCGTCCACGCATGTAACCAAATATGCCACCAGGGTAACTGCAGTCCCTGCGATAAAAAAATAGACCAAGGTAGGTTAATAATTAAAAAAAAAAAATGTATATAAATGATTTTTTTTGAGTAGAATGCTACTGTGGGCAGAATAAGAGGACTTCGGACTGTGACGGATCATTGATACCACCCGAGATTGGCGGCCCAACTCAGTACGAGTGCGGGTCTCGCTGTATGCGCCGGCTGTCATGCGGGTCACACGACTGCCCCTTACTCTGCCACCCGGGGCCTTGCCCGAAATGCGACCTCGACCCTGAAGTACTCAGGCGATGCCCGTGCGGCGGGATGGAGATACCAGAAGGGAGCAGGACCAAATGCACTGACCCTGTACCGCTATGTGGGAAGACTTGCAACAAAATACTACAGTGTGGCCCCGAAGGTACATTCAAAAGATAAATAAATTTAATAAATAAATAAAATTCAAATAATCTGTCAGGTGAGCGTCACTGTTGTAAGAGCAGTTGTCACGAAGGCGACTGTCCACCTTGTGAGCAAGTCTCTAAAGTAAAATGCCGATGTGGCCACATAGAAAAGAGCGTACCCTGCATCGAGCTATCTTCAAGCATTCTATGCCAGAAACGCTGTACTAAGGTATGTCCGTTATATTATGTTACTCTTTACATGTAAAAAAACAATAAAAGTGCCAACGTGTCGCTGCACTTGATAACCAGACTGAGGTTACAATTCTGGCTATCTGTAACAAACCGAAAGAAAAAAAAAACTACAGTCTGCCTAGCGATGTTGAAAATTTGAATGGTTGTAAGTTGCGATGAGGAGTTGGTGCTTGGGGGGCTGAAGTCATGATAGATCAAGTGGTTCAAGTAGCGGCGTGTTTAGCCGTAGGTCGTGAGTTCGAATCCTGCTCATGACACTAATTTGTCATCTCAACGAAAAGCCTTAGATAAAAAGAATTAGTTGGTTATAAATGTTCTGAGTTATTGATGACACCAATATAGGTTATACAGGTGGTTTAGAGGACTTCACATTGGACTTAAAATACTGAACATGTAATGAATTTTATTTTTTGGGACATCCAAGGCTGTGATTACAGCCGTGTAGGTTATACAGGTGACTTAGAAATTGCAGTTGTACTTCACATATTGAATTTATAATTACCAAGGTTTTTTTGAGATTCAAGGTGTAGATAACCTCGCTGTGGGTACAGCTGTACTTCAAGATTATAATTCCATGTGATTTTTTTTTTAAACATTCGAGTGGATGATAACAGGTTACTGTAGGTTATAAATGTGACTTCACACTTAAAGCTGTACTTCAAGGTCTGATTACATAGTTTAAACCTTTTTTGTATATAAGGTGTGATAACTTCACAGTAGGTTATACATTTTTTAGGACTTAAGCATATTTTAAGTACAGAATACATGTATAACAAGACTTGGAAGTGGTGATAACAGCAGTGTAGGTTATAAAGGTGACACGACTTAAAGAATAAAATTTATAATTAACAATTTTTTTAAATTATTATTCTAGGCTTTGATAACAGCACTGTAGGTTTTAGTTATTATTTCAAGAATAGAATTGTACAAATATTACCTTCAAAATTTCATTTGTCTACGGAAGCAGTGGAAAAATCAGTGGTGAAAATTTAAATGTTAGCACTAAAAATAACCTACTTAGGCAAAACCTTTTGACTGTTCATTTTACCCCCACTATCATCACCATCCTTTTTCACCAATCACTGGGGCAGCGGTAAGTTCTTGATCTTATGTTATCTTTCAATTGATGAAAAGTCAGTGAGATTTGAATTTGGTGTAACTGGATTAGTCTTGTACTTGATTTTTAATACAATAGAGTAGTAATACTTAATGTATCAAAAAGCTTAAAAAGTTATATTGTTGAGGGTAGGATCCTTAGGGCCTATGTTTATCTACATTTATATCTTAATATTTATCTTATTACAGTTTATTATTATTAATGATGTTCTGGGTTTTAGAAACGGTCATGTGGGAAGCACAAGTGCAATCAGGTCTGTTGCGTAAGCGAGGAACACATTTGCCCCCTTCCTTGCAACAAGAGCCTCAACTGCGGTCGGCACAAGTGCGAACGTCTCTGCCACCGTGGCCACTGTTCGCCATGCCTCGCTGCCAGTAAGAGCAGTAAAAAATTAAAATAAATAAAAAAAAGATTTTTTTGTACTCCTATTTATTTTTCATTGCAGGCTTTGAAGAGCTTCATTGCGAATGCGGTAAATCAGTGATACTCCCTCCAGTCCCTTGCGGCACTAGGCCGCCTGAGTGCAATGAGCCTTGCACGAGGAGCCATCCTTGCAACCATGCGCCGTTGCACAACTGCCATTCGTTCCCCGAGTGCCCGCCGTGTTCTGTACTCACGACAAAATACTGTTTCGGTGCTCATGAGGTAAACAATTCTAAAATAAATGAAATATTGTTTTAGAAAAAAATAAAATTATTTGTTAGATGAGGAAAACGGTCCCATGTCACTTGGGTGAGTATTCGTGTGGACTGCCGTGTGGGAGGCCATTGGCTTGTGGACATAAGTGCAACCGAAGGTGCCACGATGGAGCCTGCCTCGGACCCGAAGATATTTGCGTGCAGCCGTGCACGACAATCAGGGAGGGCGGGTGCGACCACCCTTGCGCGAACCCGTGCCACCCTGATAGGCCTTGTCCTACGAACACCCCGTGCCTGGCCAAGCTCAAGGTCACGTGTGAGTGCGGACGACGTTCTGTCATCCGTACATGCACAGAAAACCACTCCGAGTACCAGCGCATCGCCACTTCCCTCTTGGCGAACAAGATTGCCAATGTACGCCTTGGCAATACCGTCGAGGCCTCCGATATGTCGTCCATTGCTAAAAAAATGAGCCTTAAAACGTAAGAATTTAAATAAATTATTCTTACAGTTAAATAATTTTTAAAAAATTCACAGACTTGAGTGTAATGAGGAGTGCCGGAAGTATGAGCGGAACTTAAGGCTGGCGGTGAGCCTGCAGATCGCAAATCCGGACCTGAGCTCCAAGTTCAGCCCTCGTTACTCCGACTCGATGAAGGCATGGGCAAAGAAGGACTCACGCTTCTGCGAAATGGTTCACGACAAGCTGACCCAGCTCGTGCAGCTTGCAAAACAGTCGAAGCAGAAGAGCCGCAGCTACTCGTTCCCGTCAATGGGAGCTGTGAAACGGCAGTTCGTTCACGAATACTGCGAGCACTTCGGCGTCGAGTCAGTCGCCTACGATCCCGAGCCCAACCGCAACATTGTCGCGACGGCTTACAAAGAAAAGGTACATTCAATAATAATAATTTTACCCTCATCTCTTTATTTACTTATTTATTTTTTTTAAGTGTTGGATGCCGAGTTATTCCCTGATGGAAGTCGTACAGCGTGAATCAGGCCATCGTAAAGTCCCATCCCTACTTCCCTCACTCAAGAAAGATGTACCCACCAAGTAAGAAAATTTAATAAATATTTAAATCATTGATCCCCTCCTTTTTTTCATAAAATATAATGAGTGAAATGTATATGATGAACTAATTTGTTTTAATTAATAATAATAAATTACTTTTGCCAATGACATCTGAAAACTGATACTATAAAAAAAGCAATGGCAACAAATATAAATGCCTATGACTTGGGGCTTAGCACTGACAAACAGTAGTCCCAATGACTGTTGATTCAAGCGACAATTACAACCAAAGACTATTTTCTTGGTTAATGACTGCTGAAGAAAACATCAGTAGAAAAGAAGAAACTCTTGTCAACTAGCATTAAGATGAGGACAATTTGGTTAAAAAAAAAAAAATTATCCAGGTCATTAACAGTACCTATGACTGTTGAGCCTTGGTCAGTAGTGCCGATGTTAAGACTTCCTATACTAGAAGTGCAATGACTGTTGAGCCATGGACGGTACCACCAATGACTGCTAAGTACGCAGACCAGAAGTGCCAATGACTTGAGTCCCTAAACCAAACTAGTAGGGCCAATGACTGTTGATCCTAGAACCAATGACTGTTATGTACTTCGATCAGAAATGTGAATGACTGTTGAGCCTTGTACTATAGGGCCACTGGCTGCTAAGAACCTAGACCAGTATTGCTAGTGATTGTTTTTACTAGGACAGTAGCATCAATGAGTATTAAGTACCTAGACCAGTAGTTGCCAATGGCTGTTAAGTACATAGGCCAGTGGTGCCAATGACTCCCTTATCTAAGACAGATAGTAGTGCAAATGGTGTTGTGTCTAGGCCAGCATTGACAATGAGTGTTAAGTACCTAGACCAGAAGTGCCAATGACTCCCATATCTAAGAAAGATGGTACAGAAAATGGTATTGTGTCTAGGCCTGTAATGACAGTGACTGTTTAGCAAAGGGACAAAAAGTACCAATGACTTGAGCATGGGACAGAAGTGCCAGTGACTTCCTACAGATACAGAAAAATAAATTATATTGTAATAAAAAGTAAATTTATTATGTTAAAACATAGTTGTCTTAGTGACCATTATTCCATTTAAAATAAGATAGATAATAGTTGATATTTCCAGGGAGACAACTCGATTGGTGCCTGTTAAGAAAGTGCAGCTTCAACCGCATGTTCTGGCGAAACACGAGCCTGACCTCGGCGACAGCCCTTAAGACCAGCCAGCATCCCCATCAAGAAAAATGTTGTCGACGATTTATCCCCCCCCCCAAGCGAATTATATTGTTAAGATTATTTTTGTCGGTTTTTTTCTTTCTTTTGAATCGATTGTTGTTATGTCAATTTTGGCTCACGAACGAGCTTGCAGAGGGTGTACTGCTTGATCAATACGACAAGGCCCTGGACGATACGGCCGGTTTCGCGATTACCGATCGAGTCAGAGCGGTTTCACAATTTTCTTTCATGTCTTCTTCACTGATTCACCAGGATTTAAAAAATAAACAATCAATTATTTGAACATTTTATTGCCTTTTTTTCTCTCTTCGCTTTTTCTCTGGTAATTTCTAAAAATACAATAAACAATAAATAAATAAATTAGGGATGAATTAAAATTGTTACGGTTTAAGGAATTGGATCCCCTGTGAGAAACGCTCCAAGTCCTCGTTGTCGAGTTCGCTTTGTTTCGGGCAGAACTCTGGCAGCAGATTTTTTTTTATTCCGAGCCTCTTGACGAGCAAGGTCCACTCGGGCGGAGAAAGTCCAATCACTGTATGCATCCGATCCGATTTGATCGACTCCGCCCTATTCGTCTCATTCATGTTTCCCCTTATTGGTGCTATGAACAGTTCCTCATTTGCGCCAACGCCGAGTTTGGCATAATGTTCGCTCACTAGGAATGCAACTATGTACATGTTGTAAGTCGTCTGGACGAAAGACGAAGGATTTAAAACAAACCTTACAAAAAAAATATTTTTTTAATTTTTGTTGAAAGTTAATACGGGTTTTATACATACTCGAAATAAGGTAGCCATTTTTTATTTTTTGTGAGAGTGATAAGTACATTCAAAGCGGCCTTCATATTCATCTCTAGGCGGCTGTCCTCCGCCGGTGTTGTCATCTCCTTCGGCTTCTTCACTGCCTGCTGGCTCTGCGTCATCGCCCTGTTCACCCTCTCCTTCCTTGCCTTGGGTTCTGGCTCGTTTAGAAGGTCGTAATTCATGAACGCGCTGTAATCTAAAATGACGGCCTGCCTCGAAAGTTTCACCAACTCGTCAAACCCGCCTTGGCACCAGCTTTCGACGCTGTTGCCTTTTAACAGACCGTTTTGATTTTGTAACTAAAAATTCCATTAGTAATAAATACCGTCGCCTTTGAAGAAAATGTTCCACTCGGCTGACGAAGGGTTGAAGTCTTCCATCTGCCTCTGAACAGCCGCCGACGACTCGTCCATTAAGCTTGTGATCAAATGGAGGTCGGACGGGGTGTTCGACTTGGTAATAACGTCCTCGAGCGTTTTCTTGTAAAATGAACCAATCTTACGAACTGTTGTTGTTTCTGGAATGAAATTTTAAATCTGAGACAACAGAAACATTTGACACTACCAAAGTTTTTAAACACGAAATCTTAAAACCAAACGGATCAATACAACATTATGACACCTTAAGGAATTAACATGTTAATTAATGAACGAGTATATATGCAAAAATGTATCCTTTTTCAGCCTAGCTGAAGGTAAGCAGCAGTTCACTCATGTCGAACCTTTGTATGGTAGAATGCACATGACTCTCAAGAGGCTGGTTTGTATTTCAGGGAGAAATAAAAAATAACAAAAAGGTCACAGGAAAAGAACCATATTATCATAAAAAAGTTGAAAGTTTTAATATGTTTTCATCATCCATGGTTGCACCCCTATTTAACTCCTAGAAGACATCAGACACAAAAGAGGATTGACTAAACAAAAAAAATCAATTAGCTCAAACGTTGTAAGGGAAAATATGAAGAATATGATCCAATAGTGGAACAAAGCTTCAAGGTAACTTGTGTAAGCCGGTCCCCATCAAACTCATTCTGGGGCTCATCTTTTAAACTGTTCTTATGAAAAACTAAGTTGTTTCTTTTAAACTTCCCTTATTATTGTTTAAAAAAATGTTATTGCCCATAATATAAAGTTTATCAATTGTTTATTGAGGAGGGGAGAAAAAACACACCTGAAGGTTATACACTTCAGTTTATACTTGGAAGATTTAAAATCTTTCTTACCAAAATTATTTTAACATCAACAAATATGCTTTCCCTTTTTTTAAATGTTTAATATAAAAAATATTACTTTTTAATATTTTTTATTATTAATTATTGGATCTCATTCATGTTTATAAATTATTTATAGAAAAAAACAAATAACATGGAAAACAAAAATGGCGCACTTACAGTTTTCTCCTAAGCCGTTATTTTATAATTTATTAATTTATACGAACAAACAAATAACAATATGGCAAACAAAAATGGCAGTTTTCTCCTAGGCTGTTCGGTGATTGAAAATATTCTTGGTCATAAATTTGGGCAAATTTGATCACAACTTTGATCAAAATCTTCCGGTTTTGTGTTAGTAAAACTGTTATTATTTAAAATATAAAGTTTAATAATTATTTACTGAGCAAGGAGGGAAAAAAAATGGAACCCCTGAAGTTTCACACATGGTTAAACTTGGAAGAGTTGAAATCTTTCTTAACAAAATTAGTTAATTTAAACACAACATAAAATATTTTGACCTTATTTTTTTAATGATAAAATAATTAGTTATATCTTCAAATTTATAAATTCTTTGTAGGAAGAAACCAATAACATGGCAAACAAAAATGGCACACAACAGTTTTCTCTTGGACAAAAAATTCAGGCAAATTTGATCTTAACTTTGATTAAAAAAATGTTCGTTTTGGGTTAATTGAATAGTTACTTTCAAAAATATGAAGTATAGCAATTATTAATAGAATGGGGGAAAAAAATAAATTAAAAAAAGAAGAGATTAAAAAAAACATGGCGACTATACAGTTTTGATCAGGACTGAATTTTAAAAATTTGCATCTTTCTTAATTAAAATTAATTTATTTTAACTAAAAAGATTTAATTTTTTAAAAATTATTTTGTATAAATGAAACAGTTTTCAGTCTAATTATCAAGTTAATGAAGTATTATATTATAAATTGCTGGTAAAACAAGATTAATTATTTTTAAAAATGGCGCACTTATAGTTTTGTCCTAGTGGACATTTTCCAAACAATTTTTGCTATAATGTTTTATTAATTCCATAAATCTGTATGTTTTATCTAAAATTTAACTAAAAATTTTTTGTCAATATAAAATTTGATCAATTGAAATCTAATCTATAGGAAATCGTCATAACATCAGACCACCCCCACCAAAAAAAAGATCAACAACTAAGACTTGGCGCCCAGGTTGACCAAATTTCTTATCAATAATGATGTTAATTATAAATGCCAGCAATTACCATCCCTGTTGCTGGATCCGCCCTGCTGCAAGCTGTCTTTCAGCCTGTTCGTAAGTCCGATCTTGCTTTCTTCCGAGATGTAATTGTGGATGGCGCATCGTTTCAGCTCTTCAGACAGTGTTTCGACCTCCTCGGCCACGGCCATCGTTCGACTGAAGGCTGAACGCTGAAGCTGAACTGAAGCCGAAGTTCTGAAACCTTACCAACCCGCCAACCCAGCAATACAATCGATTCATACATCGATACAATACAATCGATAATATTGTTTAATAATTAACCACAAGCTTAAAAACATACTTATTTCAATTTATTTCAAAGTGACAATGTTGTGATTAGATTTCATGATTAGGCCTAGAGTAAAAATAATAGAGGATCAAGACAATGAGAGTCGAGTCTAGAAGTGAACGAGTCCATTTCGTGTAGATGGGAGTTAAAAAGAAGTGTGGTATGTTGCCCCGGGGAGACCAGGTTCAATGGGATTTAAATATAAAAAGGTATGTGGAAGGATGGAAAGTAAGTGCTTACACAGGGAACCAGTGATGGAACACTTGATTTAAAGTTCTGGGATGATGGTTTTTTCCCACTGTATGTCCGAAAAAGAAGACTTTTTAAGGTAAGATTTTTTTTAACATGGAACATGTTTTAGCCATCATCCCCCAGCTAAAAACGTCCGGAAAAAACGTTACGAAAAAAGCGTTACGGAAATGAGTCATCGGACACTTTCATGGAAGAGCTGAAAACAGTATTTCTTCTTAGCCAACTTATTAGTGTACGCACCAAAAGCATCAGAAATGTTTGAACTTATTGAAGAAAGAGGCTACGGAGAAATCCCAATTATTCTATCTGGTTATATCAACTTAGATATGAAGAAGAAAGAAAACCAACATTTAATCAGTTTCATGGAAAAGACATTCGCACTGCATCTCAACGAATTCAGCATAAATTTTTTTTCTTTTTCAAAAAGTATGAACTACCTAGTTCGTTAAATTCTAGCTCTCTGAACTAATTCAATAAAAGAACGAACTAATTCAATTGAACCATTCCCGAATGATCACTACATATAAGTTATATATATCATATTATTAAAAATTAATTAAAGAGCTATTTGTACAGAAAAATGTACTCGGCTTATCTCGGATGTCGATTAAGCACAATTGCATTTTTCTCCCCCTTAACCCGAGGTGACTTAAAAAGGGACCGAGGGTAGATAGATTAGATTCTGTGTACGCTTTCTCGAATGTATATCGGTAAAGCTACAACTTTTTAAAATAAACATTTTTTAAAAAGTAAGATCTCGAATTATTATCCATAATTTATATGTACCGGTTTAGTGAACTAGTTCTTTTTTAGTTTTTTCTTTTTATTCTGTAATAATATAACTTACATAGGTTTTTGCTTTTCCAAAAAGCGTGTACTACCTAGTTCGTTAGAACTCTAGTTCACTGAACTAGTTCATTAAAAGAAGAGTGGTTGTTCAAATGAACTATTAACGTAAAAGAACTTAATGTTCGTCTTTCATTTTAGTGGACTATGCTTCTTTTTATCACGTAAATAATATAGGTTATAGAAATTTTTACCTCTCCAAAAACTGAAGTATGGTTCTCTTTTAGTTTTTTCTTTTTATCATGTAATAATATAATTTATAGTTTTTTGCTTCTCCAAAAAGCATGATCTACCTAGTTCGTTCAACCACTGCTTCACTGAACGAATTAAAAAAAAACGAACTGCCGGAATAGCCAATTGGTGGTTACAATATGAAATCGATTTAATCGATTAAATTTTTTTATCGATTCTTTTGTATTTTTATATTGATACAATTTTTAATTTATGTATAATTTTTAACTCTTATGAAATAATAAATGACTGCCAATAAATATTAACGTTTTTTTATTCAGTTTGATAATTAATCGTTATTTTCTTTTAATTTACCGTCAGCATGCTCGCGTAACCTCTCCTAATTGTTATCCCGCCTTTTTATTCAGGCTCAGGGACAAGACTCTTCACGTCTCGGGTGGCCCTGTCGGATACGTTTTTTACAATTTTTTTTAAATGTTTGTTTTGTCAATATTTTAAATATTACAATTCCGTTTTAACTGTTTTTTTGTTCGTTGGCGGAGTGAAGAGGAAGAATCGGCCGAAATGGTGAGTGGAACGTACATCGAGAATCTGTTGAGTCGGATTTGGATATCCTCGCTTGTATGGCTTCGACTGATTTTTTGCTGTTTTCATTATTTTCTTGACTTTTATTCGTTTTTAAACTGTTAGTGGAAAAATTCAATGGTAAATTCTTTCCAATTCTACTGGCTTCAAGGGATTCAAGAGTCGACTCTAAAAGATAAGGAGATTCAAGATTTTAACTGCCTAACCTAGAGCTTAAATTATACTGTATATTGTACTAATTAAACTTAAAGATTTATTCAATAAGCAACTACCGTAGAATGGAACTGTATTTGTCTGGCAGTCGAGCGGAGCCAGGTTCACCCAGCGGAAACCTTTATGACTGGTTTCCTCTCTGGTATGGATGACAGATCCAATGGTTATATCCAGTATATGTTACATTTAATTCAATGGTTCCAATAGTATTTACCATAAGGTGTAACGGTCTTTATGACATTGTGTTTAAGTCGTGGGTTTTTTTTTTGCATTGAACTTCTAAGACATTCAGTTCAGCACTTTTTACGCATGTTCAATATAATGTTTCCATAGTAGCTTCTGTTTGATTATCAGTCCTAAAAATTTTAAGGAATTACATGTGTTGATTTTGTACGGAGCGAGTTGCAGGCCAGCTGGTATGTGTGATCTTCCTTCGCCTGCTGATGATCAAACTCTCTAATTACAGGTTGGGTTTCCGAGATTCCCATATACATGAATTTTTCACAAGTGTAAAAAGTGATATCATCTGCGAATTGGCTTACTCTAGTGGTAGGTTGGACTAGTCTATGAAGGGATGCTGTATAAATATTAAATATAATTGTTTGTTAATTGTTGGGGACCAAACTTTGCAGCCATCCAATAGTTTAATCCATACAGTTTATGATCAGATATCCAGCCGATTGAATTATTGAATTCAGTTCAAATCGTTGCGATTTCCTTGTTTAAACCGTCAAACTGGAAATTCTTTTATAATTATATATTTTATGCTAAATTCTGGCTGAAATTTATTCAATGATGTATTAAAAAATAATTGTGTGACTCTTTTGGAACCTGATTGTTAAAGATAATCTTCCAACCTGTTTCCATGATTTCTATAATTCAGCTCTAGTTTTGGTTTGCATTGTTTTCTTTTCTAAATCAGTAGACTTATCTGGGTAAAGAGGATAGAAAATAAATGAAATGTTGAATCGTTGAATAATTTTATTTTTTGAAGGTCCTAGGGTATCGCCGTAAAGTGCCTTCACATTTCACTGGAGCGGGATGTCGCTGGTTTTGAGTATGTCTACGGACTTGAGGAGTTCGACACGGAGGCATATGATGCTCTTCTCGACCCGTTTTATCAGCTGCTGCGGTACGTCGGAGAGCAGCGCTTCCTCGAAGTCGCCCAGCGTTACAAAATTCGACATGAGGTCGCGCCCAACTGACCTTAAATAAAAATGAAAAAATGTATAAATATCGGCATTTTTTAAGTTTGTCGGCAAGATTTTATACCTTACGTCGCCATTCTGGTCGTCGAGGAGGATGCAACCTGTCTCGAGGACGCGCTTGCGCATCTCATGAAGTGCCGGATGACTCAGGAGTGTTTCGTACCCTACGAGCCTGACGAGCGTGCACATTATTTTCGCTGTCGTAAGCCTCACGTGAGGGTTCTTTGACCTAAAATGAAAAAAAAAAAAAATTAATGGAAAGAAAAACTCAGGGGGGAATTTTCGTACCTGGGCCCTTTGGCGTGTATGGCCCGCACTACAACTTGTGGTGGTGTTGATGCGACAATTACGTCAAGCGCCGAAGTCGCATCCTTCCTTACGAACTTCTTCGAGTCGGCCGTCCTTATCAGAAGTAGAACGACGATGTCGTCAAACTCCTTCAAACAGATTTTGTTGATTCGTGTCTTAGGCAGGATTTCTCCTTTATCTTACCGGTCTTGAGACGTGGCTTACTCGGCCGAAGAGCTGTGCTATCGCCTGGCACGCCTGGCGCACTATCTTGACCTTGAGGCTACGCAGCATCTCGCAGAGGTGGCGGTTTACCTGCGGCATAAACGTATACGCGGCGGTCTCATCAACCTTCGCCAGGTGGACCACGTCGATGACGCCTTCACTGATCTCCAATCTTTAAACACACATTTTTAAAACAATATATGCAATAATACTACAAACGCCTTTTTATTTTTATTTTAGCTTACAGATTTGAGCTTTTCAGCTTGACCTTTGTCCTCCGTATGAAGTCGGGCTTGTTGTCGATTTCCCTCGGCTCGATCAGGTCAATGTCGCCTCCGCCTTCGGAAGAGTTGCTGCTCATCCTGCTCTTGCTGTTCCTTATCGAAGGTCTGGAATTGGAAAGATTATTGAGCTTAGGGAAAAGATTTAGCCAGGTAGCACAGTACAGCTTCTCCTCTTGTGTCGTCGGATTGGATCTGGTTTTAAGAGTGGCGCCGAACTGAGGCACACGGTTCTTTTTTGTCGGCAGGAGTGGGAGCGTCTCTACAGTTGAAGAGGACGACCTCTACTGAACGGAAATACAGTTTCTACAATGGCGCGACTAATGTAAATAAAATATAATAAACCTACGGTGAGCTGATTAGGCTTGGGGCGTAGGCTTAACGGGCATTTTATCTTCGGCAGGGCAACTGGAAGCTCGCAATCCGGTGCAAACTGGCTCGCTAAAATAAACAATAAAATGAAGAAAAAAAATTATTTATTTAATTCGCCACTAGTCACGTTTTGCACTCTTCGGCGCCTCTTTGAACTCGATGGGTGGTAGCACACCATCAAAAAATCCTGTGGAAGAAAAATTATTATTTAATTGTAACCTTTTTGTACAGTTATTTTACCTGATCCTTTGCAGGTCGGGCAGACATGTAGTGTGGTACGTGGCTCTTCCTCGATCGGTATGTAGCTGTAGTCACCGTAGCCATTACTATCGCTCTGCATCTTGCACCACTATGCCATAAAAAAATATATATATATCCTTAACTGTTGAATGTTTCAATACATTTATGTCTACTTACATCTCGATCCATGTTTTTGGTTTTTGTTTAATTTATGTTTTAAATGGATGTGTTTTTGTCTTGTTTTTCTTTGTCAATTCGAACGTCCTGCCGTAATCCGTAAATTTCTGAATGTGTGTTTATCTACATGGCCATCTGCCTACGGTGTCACCTAACCACTGTCAGAACTGTAGTTCGGACCACCATCTATTCGCGGAGACGCCAAATCTTGATGTTTCGTTTATAATTTCCCTTTGAAATATGGCTCACAGCCTTTGGGCATCAGCTGATTCTTGGCGCAATTTGTTAGGCCAGCTACGACCGGCTGGATTGGCTTGAGGCGCGGGTTCACGTCGGAACTGCCCTTGTCGCCTTCGACGCGTATGGCGTGCGTTTCCAGGACGGCTTGTCTATTTTTATGTATGTGGTGTGGCAAAAAAAGGTCTTAATATTGGTAAACAAATAAAAATCCGAATGTATTGAGACTCGAATAAACTGTGTAATTTTAAAAAGCTCGGATCTCCAGTTTTATAATTTTAAACACTGGTTTAAACAATTTAAAGTTTTTTTTTGTTTTTAAAAAAATAATATTTCAACTTTTCATGTGTTTAATTATTTCTTTTTTTTTTCTTCTCAGTAAATTATATATTTTAGGGGGGAAAATGTATTATCTCTTAGTTATCGTCTTTGGATATTTTGTCTATGGTTTGTTAGTTGAGGTGAAGGTTTATTTTGAGAGGAAAGCAAACGCGACACCTGTTTACAATTGCTGTGAACATGAAGACAGGCTGCTGAGGAGATATAGGTGGCTTTCGAGCGAGTACCAGCGTCTCGAACAACCCCGGAAGAACGTCTGGGCCGAGACGGTCCGACTAGACAGGCCGTCTCCCACCGGTGTATTAAATGTTGGTCGTTGCAGATGGTCGGTGAGATGAAGTCGCCGGGAGCCAGCGGTCAGTACCTGCCTGGATTCCTGCTCGGCGAGCCAGAGGTGAACCATGAGTTCCTGTCCCGGAGCCAAGCCTCACCTGAGAAGATGAACGTGTCACCGCGCCACGGTGAGAGCCCTCTCCAGATAACGTCGTTCAGGCCGCACTACAACCACGGGAGCAAGATGGTCCTGAACGGGCCCCCAATATCTTCCCTTTTTGATGAGGAGATGAAGGCGAAGAACGCGGAGGTTACAACAGACAGAACAATCGGAGCCACACCCGACAGGTACGACTGTCATGTTTTAATTTAATCAAACCTATATATTACCATATTTTACAGGATGGACACTGTCGGCAACGATGCTGTGGACAGTGAAGGACACTGGATCGTAGTTTATGGCTTTCCACCATCTGCCAGTGCTCATGTTTTGTCTATTTTCTCTCAAGTGCGTATAAAAATCATACAAGCTTTAATTAATACATCAAATTGTATAATTTAGTTAAAATTTAAAAAATTTGTCTTTATTATTAATACTAGATCTTAATCATGTCACCATTGCGGCTTCATGAAGGTTATAATACGGTTACAACCAATTTGCTTTTCAGTCAACTATTTATAATATACGTTATCTCAATGAAAATAATTTATCTTTTGTCTGCATCAACTCCTTGTCTATTTCTCCCAATTAAGTACATAGTATAATTAAACTTTAAACTAAATCCTAAGGTTTCAATTTTAAATAAAATATGACAACCATCTGACCAATCAACCCCATAACTCAAAACTATCATACAATATATGACAGGTTAAAAAAAGTTATAGATTGTTTTAAATAATTTTTTCATCATGCTAGTTTTAATTTTTACATTAAACTGTGTAATTTAGTTTGGAAAAAGAAGACAAATTATCGTCATACACTACAAGTATCACAATTTGAAAATTATGCTACACAGGTTAGAAAAAAAAGTTATTGTTTAGATTTTTATTATTAACATCCATCATGGAAGCTTTAATTATTACATTATATTGTATAATTTACGTAATATTTAAACATTTGGATTAATTATCAATTCCAGATCTTAATCAAGTCACCTTTATGGCTGCGTGAACATTATAATTTGTGTTTCAACCAATTTGCCCTTCTTGCAGTTAGGTATGATGTTTGTTCTCGTTGTCTACTGAACGTTCAGGTTCTGTTGTTTAATTTGCATCTTATATATCGGTCAATTATTATCTGGTCTATTTCAAACACACAAGCCAGGGTTTTTTGTTTCTGGGTAAGTCATGACCAGTTGGACATGCTTTCAAAAACTTTTTTATCCGGGGCAATATTTTTATATTGATATATTATTTATTATTTTTTGGCTTGGTTAGAAGTAGAATTAGCAACTTAGGACAAATTTGAAAAACAAATTGTTTGAAAGTTTTGTAATAATGTATATTATTATAACCTTCATGTTGACCATGATGAATTTATTGTTTATGGCTTAAATACTGATGGCGACTGATTGTATAACTTTGTTAATATAGGTTGAATCAAATCTGAATATATGAATTTAAAAAAAAATTCTTGTGTCTGAAGGACCAATTATTGTTAACAGTGAATATAACCTTCATGTAAGTGCCATGATGACTAATTTATTGACGATGGTTCAATTACAGATGATGATTTATATAACTATGATAATCAATACGTCCTTTTTAGATTTTGTGTGATTTAGTTCAAATTTGTATATATTCATTCTTAAAATAAAATGCGTCTGAAGGACAATTGGTTGGTAACAGTATATATAACCTTCTTGTAAGTGCCATGTATACTAATTATTGACAACACCTTAATTACCGATGATAACTGAATTAATTACAATGAATGATGATCAATATGTCTTTTAGGTTGTGTGTGGCTTAGTTCAATAATTATTCAGAAATTGATTAACGGTCACTAATCACCACACATTAGTTCAATAATTTGAATATGTAATTTTATAAAATGTTAGTGTCTAAAAAGACCGATGGTTAGTAACAGTGAATATAACCTACATGTAAGGCTGGGTTGAATAAATTATTGACGATGGCTTAATTATTGATGACTGTCTATGATGAATGATGATCAATATGTCATTTTAGATTTTGTGTGTTTAGTTAAGGTATGAAAATTTATAAAATTTAGTTGTTCTTAAAGGCCCTGTAGTAGTAACAGTGCTTATTTATAACCTCCCTTTTTAGACACGTGACTTTCCTAGGATCTATTAATGCTGGGATATGTATTATTTAATTGTTAATACTTTAAAAAATTATTTTTATTTGTAATTTTCAGCTTGGGCAGGTGATGGAACACTCATTCCCGACGTCTGGGAACTGGATGTTCCTGAAGTTCGGCAATAGGGGAGACGTTCGGAAGGCGCTGGGTTACAATGAGCGAATCATCAATGGCAACATAATGATCGGTGTTTCCGAACGGAAAAATATAGTAAGTTTTCTTTTTTTCTTTTTGTATTGTATAAGGTCTATATGTTTATAAGGTCTATTCCAGCCGAAAAACTTCTCCAGTTTGGTCTATGTTAGAAATGTGTTTTCAAGAAAGCACCACGGGTATTTTTATATATATTACATATATATATATATTTTTTTTTAATTTCTGTCATTAGGGACTGTTTTAATGTGATTTTTTAGGGGATGTGGAAACCCAAAAATCGGCGCTTACCGCGTGAAGAGCTGGTTTCATTGTTTCAATTAATAAAAAGCCTGTTGTCCATTGTTTCGTTTTATTCAGTTTTTTTTTTTAATTTAGAACCAGATGAGGCTTTCCTGCCCCACGTCGCCAGCATTCAACAACAGCGTCACAGCCCAAGCATTCTCACCTACTTCGCCTAAAATACGCCACCTGAGCCTGTCGAGAAGGGAGATGGCGACGCCGGATCAACCGACACCACAAAAGGACACAAGCGTAGTCGGCAAGGTGATCGATTTCGTTTTAGGATGGTGATTTAAAAGAAAAAAATTAACTTTTTCGTTATGTTAATTATTCTCAACCGTTTTTGTTTGCCTTGTCTTCTCTCTTTTTAAAATCTAAATTAAACCAAATATGACCGAATGAATATTAATAAATTCAAAATTTATAAATCAGGAAAATTGTTAAATAAAAAAAACTTTTTAATTATTAAATTATTTATCTTATGTACAATTTGTGTTTTAAAAATTTGGCTTTGTTGTTGTTGTTTGTTTTTATTTACAATCAGTTTACAATTCTTCAACGTAAGTTGCTGGAAATATTCCGACGGTGCCGTTGAGCTCGCCGAGCCACCAGCCGTCAACCTGCTTGTCATGGATGTTGATTATGTCGCCTGTAAATTATACCAGTTTGAAAACATGATGCCGTTTGACAGGTTTGAACCATTGTACCTGGTGTGAGGTCGAGCTCGTCGTAGAGTTTGGCCTTGTAGTTGTAGAGAGCCTTGCAACGCTGCGGCGTGCATGATGGGACGACTTCTGCTACAACTGCATTCTCGTCGCCCTTTTCGCTTCCTTGGCTTGAAAACTCGTCTAAAAAAATATATCATTTAAAATAAAAATAATAATTGTGTAAAATGTATGTTTTTATTAAATCTGACGTACCGAAATCGCTATCTGTGTGGGTCGCAGTACCATCGGCGGTGCCTCTGTCAATCCAGATGTGCTGCTCTGATGTTGGTTCGGAGGCGGTGTCATGGACCCAAGAGGGCACTTTGAGCGTCGACTGCCTATAACCTTGCCTGTCCCTCGAGATGTGTATGTGCGGAGCGAGTGGGTGGCCAGGTATGGGGGTGCCTTCAATCTCTGCCAGTGCCGACTGCAGTTTGTACCTCGTTGCCTCGAGGAATGCCAGCATCGATTTCATCTGAGGACACAATTGACAACAGTAAATCCTTTCTTCCCCATCCTCTCCACCAAAAAAAATCTCACGTGTTGGAGCTTGTCAGTGACATTATGCTGCGAGTCTTCGCTAGTAAATGTGGGTGTCTGTTTAAAAGCGAGTACGAGGTTCTCAACACCGGCCTTACCTCGCCTTTCTCTCTCTAGGTCGCCTTTGACAAGCTGCAAGAGTTTGATTATCGCCTGAAAAGAAATGAATAAAAATCCTAGATTTATATCATTCGCTCTAATTATTTCCTTTCTATATTATCTTAGCTCACTTATCTCCTCATTTATTGACATCATTTAACACCTTAACCAATTTACTGATGTCATTTAATAACCTCTGGTCATTTACTGATGTAATTAATATCCTCTACTAATTTACTAACGTCATTTAAATTCCATCTGCTAACTTATTAGCATCATTCAATTACATCTTCTAGTTTACTGATGTAATTCAATAACCTCTACTAATTCTCTGACGTCATTTAATAACCGCTCCTAATTCTCTGACGTCATTTAATAACCGCTCCTAATTCTCTGACGTCATTTAATTGCCTCTCTTAATTCGCCGACGTCATTTAATTACCTCTTCTCATTTTGTTAATGCCATAACTGTCCTTATTTTATTTTCGTTTCCCTCCCTATTAATTTTAATCCTTGTTTTTCGTTACAATTGTGAAAATCTTGGAAGTAAAAGAAGAAAGGATCCATAATTTAGTTTTAAAATAAATTTGTAGTTTTTCCTAAAATTTTAAATTTCCATCATTTCTATATTCTTTACCGCTTTCCTTTCCCCCTTTTCTCCAGCCACGGTGAACGGCATTATTGAAACGGAGGGGTGGCTGTGCAAGAAAGATGAGCCCCCTCTCCGACACATTTACTGATGTAATTTATTATCCTCTTCTAATTTACTGACGTCATTTTATTACCTCTCCTAATTTACTTACGTCATTTAATAACCTCTTCTCATTTACTGATGTAATTTAATATCCACTTCTAATTTACTAATATAATTTAATATCCTCTCTTACTTTTCTGACGCCATTTAATTACCTCTCCTGCTTTACTGACGGTATTTAATAATTTCTTCTCATTTACTGATATAATTTAATATCCTCTTATAATTTACTGACGTCATTTAATAACCTCTTCTCATTTACTGATGTAACTTAATATCCTCGTCTATTTTATTGACATCAATTAATTACTTGTCCTAATTTACTGACTTTATTTAATAACCTCTTCTCATTTACTGATGTAACTTAATATCCTCGTCTATTTTATTGACGTCAATTAATTACTTGTCCTAATTTACTGACTTTATTTAATAACCTCTTCTCATTTACTGATGTAATTTATATCCTCTTCTAATTTACTGACGTCATTTAATTACCTCTTAATTCGATGAGTCGTTTAATATCTTCTACTAATCTAGTGACTTACCTTACTTGACTTTAGTGATTTACCTCGACTATTTTATTGACATCATTTAATTATTTTCTCCTAATTTACTGACGTCATTTAATATCATCTCTTAATTTAGTGACGCACTGTAATAACCTCTCCTATTTACTAACGTCATTAGTAGTGATAAAAGGCCGGTTCTGACGCAGTGAATACTGGCGCACTTGATGGGTTCTGGTGGGGGTATGACTCCATGGAGTTTGACGATGTCATGACGTCATTGTTTTTGCCTTATGACGTCACGGAAAGGAGGAACTGGCGCAGGTGACGTCACTTAAAGGAGCTACTGGGAAAAGGTCGGTTCTTGCGCAGGCGCTACTAGCGCAGATGACGTCACGTCGAACATGCAAAACATGTAAGTAGCTCATGTGAAGGTGCTATTGGCCCGCGTGACGTCACGCCTACATGTTCAAACTTATTAGGATTTGCGAGTGATTCATTTCATCTTGTAATTTCTCAGTTCTATTCCAGAAGTGTAAGAGGTCTATCCAATCACTCACTTTTGACATTCACCTATCCCATTCTATAAAATCACTTTTCCACTTAACCTCCTCTCACAATTGACGTCATTGTCTTACATAGACGGTCCTGGTCTTGTCCAATGACCTAATTCACTATCGCTCACCTCATACTCAAAAGTTAATACACGACTCTCTCTGTACAGACCTGCCTCCGCCTATCGCGGTTCATGGCTAGGGTTAGCTGCTCCGGGTAGAAGTCCGGCAGGATCTGTTCGTGGGACGGTTCCGTCGCCACCCTCAAGCACACCACCGCCTGCATGTCCTTCGAAACGTCGATCGCCTCCAGAGGGTCGCTTATCCTTTCTCCTATCTGCGTTACAGAATTTTTAAAATGCAGGTATAAGTACAATTTTTATTTTTTCGAAACAAACCTGAGTTAATTTCGGGGCGGTCTGTTTGAAACATTTGGCGTACAGGTCGGCCAGCGTCCTCAGCCCCTTGAGCCTTTCGTCTTCCATCACCTTTATGAAATTCATTTATATATTTATTTTTAAGTTTAATTTTAAGTTTTTGTACTACCTCGAAACAATGGCTCCCTCGTACGATGGCGGATTCCCATTCGAGCCTCGACCTCTCGGCCCTGAGGCAGAGGTTGTAGTACTCCACATCGGCCTTTTTCACTGTCTCCTCTGCCTTCTTCCTCTTCGACTCAAGCTGTAAATATTTTCTCTTTGATTTCCATCTTTTATTTTATATTTTTATTTTATTTTTTTAACAGACCTTCGTGGTGTCCTTTTCACTGGCGGCTTTTGAAATGTGAAGCGAGCTGCCCGAGATGCGGTTCCTCACGTCGACGCCGTCGCGGAGCTTCTCGTTGTCCCTCGCGCTCACGAAGCTGTGCTTTTTCGCCTTGGCCTCGGCCGCCCTCCACTCTGCCAAATTTTTTGCTAACACGCCCAAAAAGAATTATTTCAAAAAATCAAAATTTCTTTTAAAAAAATTACCACTTTTATCTACGGCGAGTTCGACTGATTTTCTGATCCTGTGCTGTGATTCGGTGAGGCTCCTCAGCGGCTTGACAAGGTTCTCGGTGAGCGAGGCGGCGAAGCTCCTGTGTATCTCGGACTCGTTCTCCATCTCGATCCCGATCCGGTGCCAGGTCGAGTTGACCGTCCCGCTCAGCTCCTTCGTCGCCTTGGCCAATTTGGCCGACAGCCTCGCAAGCAGCTTGGCGTACTGAGCTTCCGCCTCAGACCTGGAAATGGACCCAAATCCATGGACACAAAGAACATTTATTAATTCAAGCTACGACGTCACCCGCTTAGCCCAATCGAGCAATTCGCGACAAATGCCAATAGTTATTCCCAGACATAAGCTTGGTTAAGGAAACAATGATGTCATTATATCCCAGTTCATAATATCCTAAGTCGCTAGCGTCGTTACTCTAGCAGTAATCACTGACGTCTTACTCTAGTCCAAGTCTTAAGGTGGCCATTCACGATCGCTCCAAGCAGTCCAAACGGAGCGTCGCCGTTCCAAAAACCACGTCAATGGCAAAACTGAACTGGCGTGCCCGGCTGTGCCGAATATTCGATCGGTCCAAACTCCATCGCGCCACTCCAAATATCTACAGCGCGACGACGGCATGGCGCGTTCGTGAATGGGAAAACCTGGCGTGGTGGGTAGGGATTTTGGCGCGGTAGCCTGGTCGTGAATGGGAAAACCCTCACTGAGCAAACATCTCCGTCGTACATTCTCAAAAAGTCAAAAACGTTTATTCTTTATTGGTAATGACATCCAATCGAGATTTTATTGTTGAGGTGATTGAATTGTATGAAAGTTTACCATGTTTATGAAAGTGGTGGACAATGATTATATTACCACGATAGAAATAAAAGAAATTCGATCCTCAACCAGTTGGTCGACGTTTTCAAAACAAAGGATACAAATGCAATGAGAGATGCGGTATTGATAACCCCTAACAATGATCAGAAATCGTAGTAGAGAACTTAAGTTCTTTGTAGTTCATCCCTGTAGCGAGAAATCGTAATGTGGTTGCCAACATTTCAAGTAGTGATGATTTCTCTCATGACTGTCTAATCAAGGGGGTAACAAGCTGGAGTAAATATAAATAAGATGTTAATCTTTTTTTTTGTAAGGTTTTGGTTGAAATGAAAAAATAGTGTCACGAGGGGATTCGAATCCACGACATTCGGCTACATACGCCGCTGCGCTAACCACTTGAGCTATCCTGACTTCGATAGTTCGATCCACTCGGGCACCAACTCCCCATCTCAACCTACAACCTTTCGAATTTTTTTCTCTTTTTGCCATTTTTTGGTGTCGGAGAGGATCGAAGTCACGATAGCTTAGAAGTGGTAGAACAGCGGCGTATTTAGCCGAAGGCCATGGATTCAGATCCCGCTCGTGGCACTAGCTTTTCATTTCAACCAAAACCTTACAAAAAAGATTAAATAATTGAAAGAAGTAATTTGGTCAATAGAACACTAAATATAACGAATAAATAAGACGTTTCATCCATCCTTAAATAGTTCCTCCAATCAGCGGGTTCATGGGAAAGATCTTTCATCAAATTGAAGTGGGTATTACGGCTTCTGTTCAGGAGCTTACACCATTTCCTCTTCGATTTTTTGCTTTTAATATGTAAATAAACAGAAGAGTAGCACAAGAGATCGTTATCCATTTTGAGAAGTTAATTCACTGGTTGACGTTCGGAGCGACTGGCTGTGGAGCGGTCGTGAATGCCCCCTCAAATTTCAGGCACTCCAAATGGAGCTGGACGGCTTGGCGCGCTTCCATTTGGAGTGATCGTGAATGGCCACCTTAGGAATCCACTGGCTTCATACCCACCATTATAGTTATCCAATGATATTGCTAAAGTGCAATCAAAATTTCATGACGTCATTACCTTAATCCAATCAAATAATTAACTGTCATTAAGATAGCCCAAATCGATTAATTCCCCAGACGTCATTACTCTATGCCAGCCGACATTCACTGATGTCATAGCCATAATCGAACCTAGGATTCGACGCGGTAGCCGAGTGGTTAGCGTGAGAGACTCTCGGCTCATAGACCCCGCGGTCATGGGTTCGATTCCCACCGTCGCCTCTGGCCTTTTTTTCACGATCTCGCTCCCTCAATATGAATGCACATATAATAATCGTATTCTTGGCTAATATGCATCGATCATAAGGCAACTAAAAAAATAAAGTAACGCTAACGTCAGTCATAAATCAAAGAATTAACTGGCGTTTTTAGAGTAGTCCAAATCAATTAATTCCCGCGCATAATACACTAGACCAACCACGAAATTCACTGAAGTAAATATCAGAAAAGAATTTCTGACGTCATTACCCAGTCTTATAGGTTACCGCTGACGTCATTACTCTAATCCACCCACGAATTCCACTGATGTCATACAATCATCCCATTTTAGTAAATATTCCATTCAATCACCTCACCTCATTTACTGTTGATATTCCCACATTCCATCAAGTCAAAGTCATTTACTGATGTCATTGCAGGTGCCACTTCGTTACCCTTTTTCTTCAATCGGTATCACTCACTCATGCCAAATTATTTACTGGCATCATTCACCTAGCCCATTCTATCGGGTCACCTCTTTCGTTTATTCTGTTCAATCGCCTCATATCCTTGTGTTACGATGTTCGCCTAATTCATTTACTATCATGTTCATATTACAGACAGGCATTTTTTTGCCTAAAACCTATTGGAGTTTTTCTTTTATGCCTTATTTCTGTTTTGTTACCTTTCTTGGAGGATGGAGGCAAGCTCTTTGGAAAAGTCGCCGCCCTGTTTCACGTGACGTCGGAGGTCCTCGAATCCGCTCTGGCCCTGAAACAAACGGGGCAAATATTAAAAATTAAATAAAGGATACGTGTATATATAAAAGAAGAGGGGTACCCGTCCGGCCGTAGGACCTAATTCTAACCACCCCTCGGAAGCATACGTTTTAATTGTAAAAGAAAAGCTTAGAAAGCGTGAAGGAATGCGGTTTTACGTGATTGTTTAATTGGCCGTTTTTTTAGTTTTTTTTTTATCTACGCCGGGCGGTTTCTGAACCGGGTTCAACGTATTGGAGATGAGAAAGAGCGAGGCCGGACGGACCTCAAAACAAAGACACACACGCACGGCGAGGCGGCCGTCGTTACCTGGTGTTGGAAAACTGGCTGTTGGGCAAACCTCCTCTTGATCCTAGACGCCTGGGGTGTGGCCAGCTTCTGGAAGCTCCCCCAGAGCCGTTTCGCCCCCTTTTCCAGTCCCGTCTCGGGCAGGGCGAGGGAGGAGAGCTGTCGTCCCAACGCGGACGTCTTCGATGGCTCGTACTCCGGGAAGTCGGGCTCCGGGGGCGTCGGGCCCCGCAACTCCAGGACGGGGAACGGGAACTCGAACCTGCTCCTCTCCCACTCGGGACGGGACACGGTCGCGTACACGGCAGCAGGCGAGGTGCTCCTCGCCACACCTTCACCACAAAACAGTCAAATCAACTGATGACAACACAACACTAAAGGAAGGCACACCTTGACTAAAAACCCCGCCCGTCGCGTCACCCTCACAGCCAATTAAGGACAAAACAAGTAAGAAGACTAATAATATCAGGTTGATAGACAGTCGGGACTTATCAGCAGATCGGTCGTCTCCGATGTCCGGCCCACTTATCAATTAAGTACCTTCAGAATCGGAATCCTGGTACGTCTCTATTGCAGTTTCCGGGATGGGGTCGTCGTCCGGCTCGAGGTCTTCGGCCTCCTCTAGGAGATGGCCGTCGATATCGGCGAAGCGGACCTCGTCGTCCGAATCGTCGAAAGAGTCCGTCTCTGATGATGACGAGGGGAACCGGACGGACCCGTCGTCCTCGGGGCGGCGCTCAGCCTCGCGGCCGTTCACGAGGACGTTGACGAAGGAAGCGAACCAAGACATGCCGTCGTCGGTCCGGCAGAGGTGTTACTGAAACTGCCGAAGGCCCATGGGGACGGAAATAGACCCGGGGCCCGTTGCCAAACTCTCTCCGCAGGCGTCAAAACGTGCTCGATTTTATTTTTTTCAACCTGGTTCCAATTTTCGAAATTTCTACCCCTCACCTCACCACATATCAAAAACGATCCAGTTTCTCGATATTATGCATCAACAAATATCGATATCCTATGTATCGATATTGCCCATAATTACTCTTTAAATGCATAAATATACATTGACGTCTAAATATCGATATTTATGCATCAACAAATATCGATATCCTACGTATCGATATTGCCTATCTCCTTACCTTGAATGTATAAATTATTAAACGATCGATGTACCAAGCATCGATATTCTAAGACTATATTGTTACATATCGATTTCCAAATTGTTACGGATCGATCTCCAAAGTTCGATACGAATATATATGGAAAGTATAAATTATAAAAGATCTATGAAACAAGTATTGTTAACCTTACTCCTTAACTTCTTGAATATATATTGAAGTCTAAATATCGACATTTATGCATCAATAAACATGGATATCTTATGTTTCGTTATCGTCTATCATTACTCCTTAACTGCGTGAATATATATCAAAGTCTACATATCTAAATTTATGCATCAACAAATATCCTATGTATCGATATTGCCTATCATTACTCCTTAACTTCGGTGAATATATATCGAAGTCTAAATGCCGATATCGTCTACCATTACTTCTTAACTGCGTGAATATATTTCGAAACTAAATATCGATATGTAACAATTTAGAAGACGATATGTACTAATTTAGACGTAGAATATCGATTCTTGGTATATCGATTTTTTTTTGTAATTTATGCATTCTATATGTATTCATATCGAAATTTGTAGATCGGTATGGAACAATTTAGAAGTAGAATATCGTATACTTGTATACTTGTATGTATACTTGTTTCATATATCTTTTATAATTTATACTTTCCATATATATTCGTATCGAACTTTGGAGATCGATCCGTAACAATTTAGAAATCGATGTAACAATATAGTCGTAGAATATCGATGCTTGGTAAATCGATCGTTTAATAATTTATACTTTCAATATATATTCGTATCAAACTTTGAATATCGATATGTAACAATTTAGACGTAGAATATTGATCTTAGTAAATGCATGGTTTGTAATTTCACATAGATGCATATCGATACTTGTGGCATCGATATTTTGCAGTTTAGGTGAAATATCGATGCATATATCAATATTTAGACAAATCGATATTCTTTCCCTCAGGCGTTGGGAAATCGATGCATTGTTTCTTTATACATATGGTATCGACGTTTGACTAATCGATATTTAACCATTTATGGGTAATATATCAATGTTTACCAATATTTACGACGTCAATCTTATATCTACAGATGGAACATGGTTAATGACATTTAAACTATTATATCGACACTGTAGTGTGACGAAAATTTCCGTCGAACCGGCTCGACGACCCGGTTTCATCATCAATTAACCCAAAGGTCCGTCATTCCTCGTCGCGTGAGAGAAAATCACCAGGGGTTCACAACAGGCATGGACAATTCTATTGTTCAGGTTTGCGACATTCTACAATTGACGAATTGGCTGGGACTTAATCGGGACATAGGCGAAGACATCTAGTTTCACCCTCATGTTCCGTCTTTGTACGAAGCCGGTGGGAGCGAGGAGAGAAAAAACCTATCAAACAGGTGCCGTTCAGATAATCCGATATTAATCATCTATATCGTGTTGGACTTCTAATCCCACGGGATCCCGGGGACGTAGGCTTGAATTAGGGGCGTAGGAAGAGGGAGCCCCCGGAGGATGGCCAAATTTGGCCAGGTTCGAAAAATCGGAATGGACGAAAAAAAAAAAAAAAAAAGAACGACGCAAATAATATGCCAATTTGCCCCGACCTTTCCTCATCGCGCCCTAATCCTGTAACGTCCAAACTTAAAATCCATTCACGGGTCCGTGGGGTCCAAAGGTGAGATAACTTTTACGCCTCTCTTTTTTTTCTCTCTCTCTGGCCTACAAATCCCCGGTGACTTTCACCCATGGCAGACTTTCGCGGCGAGGCCGTGCGGACCGCGGACTGTCACGTAAAATCCCAGGCACGACTTTCCGACCGTAAAAAAAGTGAGGAAGGCCGGACCCCGGGCTATCGACGGGGATAACTCTACAAAAGGAAAAACTATATCTGAACCGTGCGACGACCGTTACCGTGATTTACCGTTGCCCTTTTTCCACCACGAGAGTCGTTTTATCCCGTCAACTTTTTTACATAGTTGTAAAATATAAAAAAAAAAAACAACGACGTATCATCCTTTTGTAGCCTTGTACGTCCGTCATCGGCCCCCCTACCGTAATGTATCGCCGCGACCTCGCGTTTTCCCCCCTGCACAACGCCTATTTGAACGTATTATAGAACGGACGGAAGAATTGAGTACCTGGGAGAAGTTTCGACCGTGAAGTTACATCGCTTCCTAACACGTCATGTCCATCCATCCGGCGAAAATCATGGATCCAGGACGGCTTCATAGTTATTCTCATAAATACGTTCATACCAACTAATAATCCATCTGTTTACGACAAATAAGTGTTAAGGAATATCGATAGTTAGCTTTCGATATTCATTATTGGTGAATCATCCGTATTTCACGCTTCCACATTTGTTGAAACAAAATATCGATATTTGGTACTAGTCTAAAATATCGATCTCAAGTATCCATCTATAACCACAATATCGATATTTGGTACTTAGTCTAAAATATCGATCTCTCAAGTATCCATCTATAACCACAATATCGATATTGTGGGTATAACCTCAAAGTATGAATATCATAATAATCGATATTTGGTACTTAGTCTAAAATATCGATGCCCTAAGTATCGATAGTAAAAGATATTCACACATATTACAAGATATCTTACCCCAAATATCGATATTGCGCGTATAAACTCAAAGCATCAATAGACCAAGAATCGATTTTTTGTTCATGAAGTCTAAAATATCGAAAGTGTCGATACAAAACGAAATTCAAGGTGTATAACACAATATCTATATACTGTACTCAATGCATCGATACCGCAAGAATTGATATTTGGTACACAGTCCAAAATATCGATGTCCTAAGGATCGATTGTAAACGATATTTAATAACACAAATCTATAATCCAAATATCGATATTGTGGGTATATACTAAAAGCAAGAATCGACATTTGGTTCATAGTCTACAATATCGATGACCCGAGTATCCAAAACGATATTCCACATATATATAACCAAAATATCGATATTGTGGTATGACCTCAAGGCATGAATACCACAAGAATCGATTTCGTTACATAGACCAAAATATCGATAGAAAACGATATTCACGTATATAAAACATATACAAACATAACCCAAATATCGATATTGTGGGTATAAACTCAAAGTAGGAATATCACACGAATCGATTTTTGGTGTATGGTCTAAAATATCGATAGAAAACGATATTTACATGTATAATACATATACATATAATACTAAAATATCAATATTGTCAGTATAAACTCAAAGCATGAATATTACAAGAATCATATTTGGTACAACTAGTCTAAAATATCGATGTCTCAAGTATCGATAGAAAACGATATTCACATGTATAATACATATTAATATGTAACACAAATATCGAAATTGTGGGTGTATACTCAAATCACTGGTAGCTCAAGAATCGATGTTGGTACTTATAGTCCAAAGTAGTGATATCCCAACTATCGGTACAAAACGATATTCCACATAATACAAGACATGTATAACCCACTTATCGATATTGTAGGTATAGAATCAAATCACCGATAGCACAAGAATCGATTTTGGTATTTACAGTCTAAAATGCCAATGTCCCAAATATAGATACAAAACGACATTTCACATATATAATACAAGATATCTATAATCCAAATATCGATATTGTGGGTATAATCTCAAAGCATCGATAGTACAAGAATCGATACTTCGAACATATAGTCTAAAATATCGATGTCTTTTTATTCGATTTCCCAAGTATCGATAACCATACAAAACAATATTCCACCTATACAAGATAATGCAAATATAGATATTTTGGGTATAAACTCAAAGCATTGATTACACAAGAATCGATCGATATCTTGCACATACAGACTAAAATATCGATGTCACAAGTATCGAACCATCTATATCGTACAGAAAATCATTGAAATAAAATTTTACAAATAATGTATAGCCACTTGAGATATATGAGAGTATCGATTCCTATCTAGATCTCCTATCTAGATCAATTCCTAAGATATCTCTAGTATCAATGCTCGAGTATATTACGGCTATTTTGTTTTTTTCTTCATAAAATAAATACTTTCGATGTGTATCGATATTTTAAAGATTACACATCGATGTAAGAGCGATACTTACGCCATGAAACCTTATTATCGATGTTTTATAGGTTTACCTAGTGTATCGATATATGGCACATCGATGTTTATTGATTCTCAGGATAAATCGATGTAACCGTTCGATATTTTAATCGATGTATCTAACTTATAAAGGCTTTTAAACGGCAACGTACCCCGAGGAAAAAAAAGGATTTCCGCACCGTCCGGGAAACGCAAATCGATTCTCTACCGGGTCAATGGTTTCCACGGGCCGAGATACGCCTCGAAAATAGACCCGCGAGGGGGGAGATGACAACGCGCGGAAGGTCCACGCGTAGATCTTTGGGTCCGCGCGGTATCGCTTGTCCATAAATCGACAGCCTGTCTAGAACAATTTTCGACCGCCTCTAAACACTTGAAACTTATTTCACGTTTTCACAAGTGTTGTTTTTATCTCTCTTGAGCGTTATCGGTTTTTTTTGTCTGTTTGTTGAACCTTTTACGACTAGTCTGTTTTTTGGTCCTTTAATCGAGTTTTCGTGAGCACGTGGAGGGATTTTTATCCCCAGCCGAAATTCTGTTTTC